AAGGGAGAAGGGAGAAGGGAGAAGGGAGAAGGGAGAAGGGAGAAGGGAGAAGGGAGAAGGGAGAAGGGAGAAGGGAGAAGGGAGAAGGGAGAAGGAGACGAAGAAGACGACGAAGAAGACGACGACGACAGAAGAATAGAGTCGCTATTGCCATAAGATGTTTACAGCCAGGGACCTTCGGTTTGGCCACGACATCAGGCTTCCCCCTTTTCTATCTACAAGGCACTGATATGGTCGGTATGTAGTTTGATGGCACGCGGGTGAATCGCGACAATGGCAACACATGGATAGATCATGCAATTTGAAAACCATGCCGTACTATATGAAGCACTGGGATCCTCTTTCATTCGATGATAGGGCTACTGTATCACTAACAAGTTAATCGCCATGAGGTCTCATCCAATATCGGCCGTCCGCGATGATGCCTGCGCTCACCCATCGACATTGGTGTCCCATACCTCATGCTTGATTAAAGGATTCACAAGAAACACTCCCTTCAAGGAAAGAGAACACAAAAACTGTCTTTCCATTACTTCCACCTTTGACAATGGCGTCTCATGCCCGCCGACACTGACTTGCATATACATATAACCATCTCGAACTTCAGGCTCACAAACCGACCGGGTGCTCTCTTCCTTGCCCCGGGATGTGGGCGAAGCTGACATGTAGTCCCAACCATAACTAGACTGCGCTTTCAACCGCAACACTGCTGGATGTCGTTGTCGAGTTCTGGACGGCCGCAATTGTTCCTGCTCTTCGACATACGGATATAGTGGCAGCATTGCGCTCGAGGAGAACCAACTGGTCCTAGCAATCCACCGCGCTACCATCTCCACGTTTGCGTCTCCACATCATCGGACAGCCGTCTTCCGTGTTAGCGACTAGCGACTGCATGATATGCTTTCTTCAACTCCCCAGAGCATTACATTGATAAGCTTGGACGCACTGAACACCGCATGTAAGCGTTGTGGCTCATAGCGGTGCCGTCCTCGAGGGCGTGATTCCGGCATGTTTTCTTGACGCTGGCCAAGGTTACCGAACACGGACATGGCAGTTGACAACATCAAGACTAAGGCATATCGGTCTTGCGGGTGTTGATTCTGCTGGTTTTCGAACGGTGAGGCGGTGTAAGATGGAAGCGGTGTGTCTAAGCTCCCACGCTATGGTGGAGACGTACCCATCTCTATCAAGGCGCGACGTCCGAGAGGGGCATGGGTTGAATAATCAAGTAGAAGTGTACTCGCAGGTAGTCGTCATGCTATGTAGATGATGCACTTAGTAGACAGCAGGTCATGCTTGTAACCAGGACAAGTCCCACCATGCGACCTTGGATAGAGGAAATTGTCGCTAGCCTGACTTCTTGGAGACAAATTGTAGAAAATGAAGCAGCATCCATGGAGTTGTATACTCGGATGCAATAAGTTTCCGGGATGTCTTCCATCTTTTCGGGCATTGCATGGCAAATCTATCAACATAAATGGGATTAATGATGCAAGTCATGCGAGTTGCGCTCAATGAGATCTGGATTGCAGCTCGCACCAGATCTCTGGCTGTCATTGGCTATAGGTGCCGATACCCGATAAATCTGAGCTAGATTCATGCGAAGTCTCTTGAATGATAAATTTGTGGTTGGTGGCCAAGAGCATCGCATCCCAGAGGGTGATTCAGCAGCTGATCGAGCGTGACAGGACGTCAACAAGTTACCCGCTTCTACATAAACATGCGTCGACGGCCACTTGACGCCTAAGCGAAGTTCGGACCGGGTCGGTTTGATCGGCGATGGGTTTGAACACTTACATGCTACTGCAAGTTCGTTGCTTGCAGAGAGCGGTCAACAAGGCGGTATCGTGGCGAGAGCTAGCCCCTTTTCCGAAAGTGAGGCTTCATAGCCGGCATGCTTGTTAAACGGTCTGCGTGGCAATCCAAAACCTAGTCCCTGGAAGAAGATACTGCACAGAGTTCAAAAGGCGATGCGCGTTATTATGCATCAAGGCCCACTATGACTTACCCTTTTTTTCTCAAACACTAATTCCATGTACTCCGTATGCGCACAATATCTCACCGTCTCGGCTCGAATCGACAATACTAGAGAGAAATGCGGCAACTCAATCTGCCCCTCAGCCCCTCCTTCCGAGGCCGCCGGTGAGGTGAGAGTGAGGAGTGATAGCAATCAGCTGATAACCAAGCGAAGCAATTTCAAACATTCCTTCTGGCTTCTCGAAAAGTGTCTTTTCCCCTGCCCTTCGAAGCCAGGGTAGGGCAGGGGGGAAGACTACTCGTACAGGGACTACAAGCTCAGATCGATGAGACAGATGGTTCGGAAATTGTCCTAATTACTAGATGAGGTTTGTTTCTGGCGCAACCTTCCCTCAGATGTGGGAGACAGGTGGGTATGGCCAGTGGGGGCAACCTAGGTTGGGTTACCGGCTTGTGGGATCCCGACGGCCTAGGAAGGATAGTGGAGGCTCCCGCTGTGGCACTCGATACAAAGCCACGCTTCAAGTTTCGACAGGACTGGCGCAAACATCTCCCCCTGGCCATGGTGGCTGGACCGACAAAATGGAACCGTGTGGTGTGGTCTGCCTTTGCACGTCTTGTCGGCCAACTGCCTAGTTCTTCGTCGCACAGCGATTTGGCTGAGCATAGCGCCACGGGAGGAAATGTTAGATCATGGTAACATTATTCCAGATGGGTCGGGCGAAATGGCCCATCTATGTGTCGCAGATCTAGGCAATAGACTCAGTCCGTTACGGAGAATAATTGAGAGAGACTCGTTATGGGAACAGTCCTCCTCACTCCAGAGACTTGAAGTTATTTGGAGAGCATTATCATTGCCTTCGAGGCGAGGAATGCGAAGCGGAGTGCCTTTTTGGCAAACTATGTACTCCGTACATAGGAGACTGATTCCGTTCCCGGCTTTCGTGCCAGGCCCGCCGGAGATTGGAGCCAGTCAGGTTTCCAACTCTTGGGTATTCTCCCTTTCTCGAATGCATTTATCGTGCGTTGTAACCGAAACAACCACGGCCCTCGAGTCGTGGCAGTAGTAGTGGTCTAGTCACCAATTATTTCCTTGAGATGGCGTTCAAAATTAATCCGTGATTCTGATGAGACGGCTAGGAGGCCCGCGTGGACGGTTTGGAAGCATGGAAACGGAGTCTCGGAAGACGGATTGCTTCCACGGACACGCGGAAGGGAAGTAGAGCTTCCCTTAGCCTTCCAGGGTGTGCCAGTCCATCCGTTAAGGTGGACTACCTAGAGTTTAGCGAGCTCCACGTCTTCCCTCTCGAATGCTGTTCCCCCAAGAGATCACGGAGCTGCAACCTGCACGGGACCTGCAGGAACAGGAGCCAACTTTCTAGGGCGAAATTCTAAGTGCTGACGATCTCCCCTTATCCAAGTTTTTTTCGATGACACGACTTTCCTTCTGCTGGCTTTAGGAAGGCCATACCTTGATAGGATCGGGGCGTCTTTCCATTCTACGGCTGGGTGCCTTTTAGAGGAATTACTGGTGATGGAAACACCAATGGGAGCATAGGCGTGGCCACTTGTAGTGGCGTGAATGGAGGCATCATCGTTATTTCTGGGCGTCACGCTGCATGACACAGGCAAACCCCCTTCCGAGGATTCCAGTCAACGGCGTAAGCGTGGGTACGGCCCGGGGGCAGACTAAAGACCGCAAATGATGGATGGGTGGCTGGGAAGCGACGCGCATAAACTGCATTGGTGGTAACCTTTCAGCTGTCACATTTGGCTGAAAGCATCATGAGTCTTCGACACGGAACCACAACCCGTGATTGACTTCGTCTTGGGATGAGGTACGCTGTACCATGTTGCTTGACGCTTGCCGAGCGAAACAAATTGAAACTAAACCATCACGGCGGCGATAATGATTGTGACCTTGGAAGCGGTAAACAGGCGTTCACTGTTCATGGATCAGGCAAGCAATTGGGATTGTTTTATATGGTGGGAACTGGGATCATGCATGGGGCTCCTGCCAACCGTGCAATCCAGAGTACGGGGTGCGAGTACAGTACGAGTACAGTGGTATTTTCGGCAATGACAACACAATCAGCAGCACTTGCTCCTTCCTAAACAACTGGAGCGTTCGCCAGTGGGAGGGAGGACGGCAACCGCAGGTCGAGGGGATACGCACAGCAGCCCTCGGCTCCTCGACGCTCGAACACTCAGTACAGAGAAATACAACAAACGAAGCTGTCGCGTATGTACTGTACTGCGTACCAATACCAAGTTTCACCCATGGTTTTCCCTCGGCCCTCTCGAGTCGAGCTTGGAGTACTCGTACTGCACTCGTGGACTCGGGATGCAAGGGTTGCTGGGTTGGTGGGCTGACTCAGGCTGGCCTAGTCATGGGCTAGTTAGCGGCTGTCCGCGGGTCACGGCTTCTTTGGGCCTGGGGAGCCTGGGTGGGTACTGGGTAACTTTACCGTAATTTTTCAGGGGTTGAAATAGGATTAGGACGGGGCCCAGCAGGCAGGAGCCAGGAGGGGAACTTGCCCCCTCTCTCTGTGTCCAGTGTGCTGGCCTGGCTTCCAGGCGCCTGCTCCCCCCAATTGTGCTGGCAGCTGCCCCTCCCTCCACCACCGCGGCACTATCACCACGGCTAGTGCTATCTGCCTACCTAATGGTCGTAGCAAGTCTGTAGAGTGCTCCGTCCTCCGTACTCCGTACTGCCAGTGGCATTAGGCAATCCTCGATAGGGAAGTAAGTATTGCCGGCCTGTCGCAGTGGCACTTAGTACTCGTAGAGAGGGAGTCTGCCCACCACCCACACGCCCCCCCATCTTGTCACCCAGCAAGCACCTGGCCCAGTGGCCTTTAGGCTTTAGCCCTTGGCCTTCAGCACCCTTCTCCTCCCTCCCTCGCCCTTCACCCTGACCTGGCCCTCACCAACTACGACTACTACTAGGTACTACTCTCACCTTCGCCCTCGTTTCTCCTGTGCCTCTTTTTTCGACCCCTCCTTTTTCTCATTTCGTGTTTCTTTTTCAAATCGCACTCACCTACACCCCTCGACCGTCTAGTATCAACAGCTACAGCGTGTGTTCTGCTTCGTCGCCTATCTACCTAGCATTCATGACCTGGTAGTGCCGACGCTACCCACGACTCGACACTCGAATCGGACAGGCGCAGGGCACCACGCAGCTCGCACGTGATCTCCTGCAGCGACCCCAGCGAATCCCATCCCCGATCCCGAATCTGCCTGTAGTGGCCTTCCCAGTCAATCCCAATCCCTCCCTTGACCCAGCCTGCGAAATTCACCTTCGCCTTGGATCATCACACCTCGATCCCCTCTACAACGGCATGAACACAACACCGTCCATCCCTCTGAACCAACTCAATTTTGAGCCAACGGCTTGCGCCTGGTCGGAGCTTTTCTAACCCTTTCTTTCTGCGACTGGCACTGCTCTCGCGCGATCGAAATGGCTCAATCTGACAACGCCACCAGCTCGGAGCCTGCCAGCACCTCTGTGACCAACAACACGCCCAAAAAGACTGCCTCTGTTCCCGAGAAGAAGTACAAATGCCAGTACTGCAATCGGGCCTTCAGTCGCAGCGAACATCGAAGTCGACACGAGCGATCGCGTAAGTAGTCACTTTTTTTTTTGGTTTTTAGTTGCCAGAGGTTTGCGACGTGGGGCACACAGCCAAAACCCCAGCGAAGGGGGAAAGGGACCCTCAGACCCCGCCATCATACACCATCGCATTTGCTTTCATCTTCCATCCTTCCTCCTGCTAACTCCTCATCCTTGCCAGACACCAAGGAGCGCCCCTTCAAGTGCCAGAAATGCCGAAGCACCTTTGTTCGTCGAGACCTGCTCCTGCGCCACGACCGGACCGTCCATGCAAAGGATGGCGGCGTCCCTCTGCAATCTGAAGGGAGAAAGAGAAGTTCAGGCACCGCAGCTCCTGGCAACAAGACATCGTCGTCCGCCGCGGCGGCGTCTAAGCCTTCGATCAGTATCGATCCCGGCACGTTGGAGCAGATAGAGGCAAGCAGCGATGGTATGCTCGACCTTGAAACTGCCGCCATGTTGATGACAGACTTCCAACACAAGGCGGCAGCAGCAGTGAACGGCGGCCATCTTCAAAACGGTGAAGGTTCCATTCCCGACTATTCGCCCGATCGCAGCTCGCTCCTCGAGTCATCCGACTACCTCACCGGTCCCAACAGCCTGCCACATATGCCCTGGGACACCTTCATGCCTCAAGGTCCTTCCGAGCCGAAAGCCCATTCCATGTCGAGCATGTCTTCTCAGGATAACTTGTCACAGCCTCCTTATGTCCATATGGGTTCCATCCAACCTCACCAATCGCAGCTCCCGCCCATTATGGAACGTCAGCATTCGCTCGGTGCTTCCTTGCCGCCCTCTTTCCCCTCGCTGGCAGATACCTTCCCCGTTTCTGGGACCCCGACTCCAAATGCCTTGTCGCCCTTTCCGTCCATGACAGGTCCCGTATCACCAGTGAACTATCGCAAGTCTCCTGGACCTGCTCAGCCCCTTTCCTTGCCCAAAGCTCCCCAATTGAACAATGATGACCAACGTGCCCTCATTGCTAACCAGTTAGGTGGAGATCTCGTCCTTCCTCCTCTGCCTTCCATCAACCTCTACCTCACCACATATTTCAACCTCTTCCATCACCATCTCCCTTTTCTTCATCCCGTCACTTTCCGACCTGAAACTACCGAACTTGCCCTGCTTCTCGCCATTTTGTCCATTGGCGCCCTGTACAATTTTGAACAGGAGCAAGCATACGCCCTTCACCATGGCTCCAAGAAGCTAGTCAACCAGTTTCTTCAGAACAAAGACAACTTTGATTCTCGCAAATGCCCGCTATGGACGATGCAAAGCACCTTGCTGAACATGCTATTCGAAAGTTGGAGTGGTGGTTCCCAGGGCCTTGAATGGGCATGCTCAATTAAAAGTTTACTCGCCAACGTAGGTGCATCCTTCATTCATGCGCGCAACCCCGATAGCTAATTGCAACAGATGGTCGCTGGTAACAAGTACGAGCTAAAGCTGCGAATCGACGCACGATCAGGATCCCCCCCTACCCATGAAGAGTGGGTGGCAGAAGAGGGTTGTCGAAGAACCTACTACGCGGTCTACATCTTCTTTGGAATGCTGACTCTGACCTACAATCACACCCCGGCCATCAGCTTCAACGAGTTTGACTCACTGCCACTTCCTTCGTCCGAGTCTCTTTGGAACATCGAGCCTTCCGACGAGGAAACATGGCAGGACATCTTCGCAGCCTCACCCACGATTACTGTGCGAGATGCCCATGACAGTCTCTTTCAGGGTGATGCTGCACGTTACAGCGCCTTTGCCACTCGGGTCATGATCAACGCTCTCTTCTTAGAAGTTTGGAATTTGAGAAGGAGCTTCGAATCACTGCAAGACGTTGTTCTCGAATGGAAGATCCGCATCGCACTCGAGACCTGGGAACGCTCACTCGACCTCTGCGAACCCGAGACAATTGTTGTACCGTTGAGCACCCCTCACAAAAGTCATCCACTGATATTCAACTCCATGGCTGTCTATCGAAACACCCGGGCATTCCTTGAAGTGGACCTCAAGAATGTTCAGGAGGCGCTCCGGTATCATAACTCGTTTGAAATTGCTGCAGCAATGACTCTTTCACGTGACAATGTCAAGAGAAATAAAGAAATGATTAAGGTCATTGAGCAGTGTTACGAATGCATGGAGATCGTTGCCATGCAAGGAATTAACTGGGTTACCAAAACCTCGTCAACAAATTGGAGTATCGAGCACCCTCTTTGCGGGCTTGATCTCATCACCATCCTTAGTTTGTGGCTATATCGCATCGAACACGATGACCAAGAAGCCACGGAAGAAGAACTTGCAATGTACATGAAGGTGCGAGGCTTATTCGACGATGACGCCGTTGATTCAAACGGCTCTCGTCTAAGTTCTACTGTTGCCCGTGTCTGGGGCACGATGTTGGACGGCGTTGTTGTCTGGGGGTAAGTTTCATTATTCCTTGCGAACACATCTGTACTAATGATGTCGTAGTATTTCCAAGACAATGGGCGAGTCCTTCAAGTTGCATGCTCAAGCCTTGGTTGGCTATGTGGATGAACTCCCTGTTGATCCAGTCACAGGTATGCCACAGGTGGTATCAGACCAGGCTCTAATGGGCATGGGCGCTACCTACTAATATTGCGCACTGGGACAACCAACACATAAACTCCTCTCTATAATGCATGGCGAAGCGGCGCAGTCGACATTCAAAGCAGCCCGGCGTTCAGATATGGCATAATTCACCTTCCTCACCTGTCGATGTATAGATTCCGGAAGTCTTGTTGACAGTACTCGAGGATGATTCAGCATCCAGGGTATCACTACGCAACCTCAAAACCCGCCATCGGGCCACAACACATATGGTGTCTTTGATCTTTTCGAAATTTTACTAAAAATCCACCTCATCAATCTCATCACGACCAACTACAACCTAATCTTCTCAATCGATACCTTGTTCGCTTACTCATACAAGACTTTTTGGCAACTCTTTCTCATTGATGACCCTCAATAATCACTGCCGAGTTGACACACGACCACTCGAGCGTGCAAGATGGCCAGTGCGGTACAGTCTGGCTAATGAACATTCCACACTCAATATTACTCTTTCCTTTTTATTACTTCAGCTCTTGAAACGGCCTCCTTTGTCTTGATTTTGTGGGTGGATGAAAACTCCCTGTGTATACTAGTGACGGCTGTGGTTCGGAATGGGTCGGGCAAGGCGGCCTCGGATTGAGATTGAGGGATACATTATTTTACTTGAGTTTGGGCAGGTAGCATCCCGGTTTGGTATCTTCGCATAGCATGGCACTTGCAAATCTATGTGCTGAAATTGAACCTTTTTCTGACGAGAGCCACATCTTCACATACATCTTTATCATATCCAACCAAGGTTAACGGACACCCTCTAAGTAACTGACCAATATAATTGTTAGCTAGCCTACTGCGGCCACATCTAACTCCAACCCAACAATTCAGAATGGTGCCTTCCCAAACTTCAATTCTGCCCTCACTCTTGCGATCAGAGCATGAAACATGGCGGTGCAAATGGATGGGCAACTTGGAATCATTTTTAGCTCCCATCTTTTGCCCTTGAGCGAAAGGGCAGTTGCTTACTTAGCTCTTACGTGGAGCATAAGTGAATCTAATTCTAAAGTGAGGTGATGTTCTGAGGCCCGTTCATCCCTTCGTAGACATAAAGGTGTCCTTAATCTCAGAGAAGGTGGTAGGAAGCCTACGGCGCCACAGCGACAGAAAGTGATGAGCCCCATGGAGGCTTCATCAATAGCCCCAATCTTGGTGGTGTGAGAAGAACAATGTTATGCGAATACTTCCATCGAGCAACCGCACCAAGCTCTAGGACCGACCTCGCTCAGGCAAACAGGAAGATCTATCGTCTTCAAGACAATAACCATCAACAACGACGAGATTTCCGATATCATGGAGCATCTTGAAGATGTTTGCGATTAGATCCAGGCTGGCCTCCAGTGCAGATCGGACGGGCATGATTCTGAGACCCAGCCAGGCATTCTGGTCCACTGTCGAAATGGCACTTCTCGATCTGGAGCCTTTGTCATTGCATACTGTATGTATCCGAGACTGAAATATGACCTGGTGTCGGTATCCCAGCATCTACAATGTAGTGTGTGTCCCCGTCGTCAAAACTTGTGTTCATCAGTCACGCAGCAATTATCATTACCATACTCGTCCGGCCTTTCGCTAGCTTGTTCATCTTGCCCGAAAATAGCGTCGAATCCCGGCTTTGAGCGTCAATTGCGAATCTGGGAGCACTGTATATGAACCATCTACCAGACTTGCCTCGTAAACACGGTGACCGCGAAGTACAGCATGGGCATTAGGAACACAGCCTCGAGAAATCCAGCTTCCCCGAACAAATTGGCTTATAAAGCCTATCTCGCAGAGCACGATAATCTGTTGAATCTGTTTTCAGGGCGAGGAAAACATCAATCGCGCGCGCTTAGCATCGCTGGGCAGCGTAGCGGTACTATTTGCTCGTCGGAGAATAGAGGTGGAAAGCGAGGCTAAAGCCGAGCCTGCAAAACATGACGCTCCTCAGCCTCCTGCTGATACGTGTCGTAAAGCCTTATCACCGGCCAAGCTCGCCGCGGAAAACAAACGCGAGACAGCTGGACGCGTGTCGACATGATGGAGATGGAGTGGAACGCAATGCTGATTCGTGGAGGAGGATGAGGGCTGCTGGGTGACGGATGAGCTTTCAGATAGTGTGTCAGACAGTGACAAAAAGAAGGGGCACAAAGAAGTAGAGCTCCAGCCTCGAATAAAAGTAGAGAACTCGCCCGAATCGTGGAGCTGATCACCACTGCTCATTATTACCCCCATGGATCATTGCTCCCAAAATCACGACTTCCGACACAGAATCTGGCCATGGGGAATGGCAAAGAAGGCATCCTCCTGCGTGCCCCATTTCTTCCACGCCTCCGAAATCCCCCTGATCTCCTCCTCGCTCGCAAACCCTTTGTCCACCGCCGTCCTCAGAAACCCTGGCTGGAGGATCCTCCCGGCCCAACTCTCGGAAAACTGGCGGACCCTCTCATCCGCATACCGCCAATGGTCCCAGGTGGCCTCGACCTCCTCCCCGTCAAAACCGGCCTGCCGCGCCCACACATGGCAATACCGGCCCGCATTCGGCTCGCCGCCATTGGTCTTCGCGACCATCTGGTACAGCTCGGCCCAGCGCGCGAGCTCCTTCGGCTCAGGGTACCATGCGAAGGTGGCGTAGTCAGCCTCCCGCGCGGCGACGAGCCCGCCGCGCTTGACCACGCGCCGCATCTCGCGCAGGATGCCCACGGGGTCCGACACGTGCTGGAGGACTTGGTGGCACGTCACAATGTCGAACGTCTCGTCGGCATAGGGCAGAGCGTTCGCGTCGACCTTTTCGAACGTCACATTGCTCAACCCTCGGGATGCCGCGTACGATGTCGCCTGGCTCAGCACCGACTCCACCGGGTCGCAGCCGATCACGCTGCCCTGTGGCACGAGTGCGGCGAGGTCCGCCGTGATTGTCCCAGGTCCGCAGCCTACGTCCAGGATCGTGGAATTGGGCTTGATGTGCGGGAGTAGGAACGCGGCGGAGTCTCGTGCGGTGCGCCGCGCGTGGTCTTGCACGACTCTGTCGGGGTGAGATGGGGGTTAGTGTTTGTGGGATTGACATGAGGATAGGACGCCGTCGCTAGAGGTATTGATTCTTGAATTCGAGGGACAGGCGTGAAAAGACAACAGTGATGAGGCAATCACAAAGCAAAAGACTGGTACCGCCGACAATAGTCTCACAAACATCAAATGTCGGGAACTGAACATGAAAACGCCTGAAGAGACGAATGAGGTCTCTTCATAGCCGAAAGCTTATTGCGGTTCGACCATGACTCAAGAGACTTACGATTTATGATGCCCGTGTGAATACACTGCTTGTTCCTTTTTCGTTGTCGCCGCCATTCTTTCCAGCATGGGTTCCTAAGTACTTCTTGCTGTAAGATGCACTCTCGCTCAGCAAAAATGGAAATTTCTGATTATGGGGAGGGGCTTCGGAAATGGGGCAATTGAAATGAACGAGAAGAAGGAATGCAAATCAATGCAAGCAGATTGGACATTTGACATTCGAGATGGTGATATATTTATGTATCTTAGAGATTATGGGGGTGATGTCGTTGATGGACGCCGATATCGGATGGGCTTCAGCCTTGTATTTAAAGGGGGGATGCGGGGAACGATCGTCAGTCATTGATGCGGAGGTAGGCAAGGCTGGGGTGGCGCCGTTCATCTAGAGCCTCGTCCCTCGCGTTTTGGTCGAACGCGTGCTCCGGAAATCGGGGCATCCCCTTGTAGTCAAATTAAAGGCACCGATCAGATATGGAATGAAAACAAAACCGCTCAATTGCTGTCTCAATTGGCGTGCATGTGATGTCGATGGGTGAAGGACCTAAAGCTCAATACATCACACAGGGTGTTTGTTTCAGCACGCCGGATGTCGATTAATCTCAATATAGTATCTAAAAGGATCCGCCTTCCGAAACTCCTTGTTTGAGGCGATCCTCCAGCCTAGTTATGGTCATATTACTCGGTAGTTTCTCATAATACTGCGTTCATCCTGCCAGAGGACTGCATTTCCTTGTGGACTCAGCTGACAGACTCATATTGGCCAAGCGGTGTAACTCCCCAATCAGGGACTTCCAATCTTTCGACACTTAGAATTGAACAGAGGTCGCGGATGCCAGCAATAATTTTCTAACTACCTATACTGCTATCCGATATAATATATGAATATATGATGTCCAAAATCCTTTTACAATCCGTTCCGCTCCCCGATTAAGAATCTTGCCGACACGAGGGTAGGCATCCAGTGATATTAGAAATCAGTGTAGCATTTATAAAACAATAGCACACGCTGGTATAGTCCTAAAGTTTCTTGTTAGGGATTTTAGTCTCTATATCCAAATCTGTACGCACACAGCTTGACAACAACAAAAAAAAAAAAGTACAATGTCTTAGCCCAAAGCTGGTAGTGAGTCGCACACAGTGTCTAGCTCGGAGATATCAATCTCCTGGATGGGCGTGCTCGCACCTCCCATCAAAATTGCCTTGCGATTTCCATAAGAACTCCAGCCCGCTTTGTTCAAACCAGCTTTAGAATCTTTGGCAAATCCAAGCCAGAGATCTTGAATCTTGTTGCTCACAATATCTTCACATGCCGAGGATGGCCCATGATACCCCCCTTGAATTCCAAAATATCAATGGCAGTTCAGAAGCATGAGTTGCACCCCATAGCCAGGCGGTGACAGGTCGGCAAAATCCCCGACGTATTCATATCTATAAGTAATAAGAGACTCGTTTTGCCGGAGCTGTGATGCATGGGCAGCAGTACAGAGGTCTCAAACAATCGAGCTGAGATGTCGAGGAACTGCAGTTGAGAGCTTGAGCTACAGATGTAAAGTTTGTACGTGCAGTGTCCGCAGTTTTGGTTGCCCCCGGGGGTAAAATGCAGTACCTGAGGCCAGGATCATACCACTGAAGATGGGATCCGAAGGATATGCAAAGTTAGGAAATCAATGGCAATCGCGCCGGCACTTTGACCCCATGCAATAATTTTGGTCGGATCTCCGCCAAAGTTGGCAATATTGTCTCGAACCCATTCCAGGCCCATGCGCTGGTCCAAGAGGCCAAGGTTTTGCTCGTCCAGGCCATCGGCATTGGGAAAGCCGAATATGTTCGATCTGAAATTGACAGCGACCACAATGTGTTCTTGAGTGCGTTCGATCCATGACTGTGGATTATCATACGGCAAATTGGTTCCTCCCCGCAAGAACCCTCCGCCAAAGTACCATACAATTACCGGTAAGTCTTTTCTTCCGGTGGCTCCGTAGAGCCCATATATCTAGTCAAACAATCTTCGCCAAATATTGCCAGAGGGGAGTATTCAGTCTCATTCCCTCCCCTAGGCGAGTACACATCAACACTAGTCTCATTGTTGATCCAAACCTGTGGACACGCAGGTCCGAAATTGGCTGCGTTCACAGATGCGCTTGATTGTAGTCTCACCGGAGGCAGCCACCTTCTGACTCCTTCGGGAAGTTGAGCGAATGGAACACCCAAAAATTGACGGACGTTCGGAGCCGATGAGTTGACGAACCCAGAGAGTACGCAACTACTAGTTTCTACTTCAAGTGCAGAAGCAGGCCGGGCAACGGTAACGCAAAGACCGAGAGTTGCACGTATTGCGATGAAGCTGAGATGGGCGTTAAACCGAATTATTGTCAATCGATTATTCAATAGGTGCTGGAATATGATATTTACTCAAGCTGCTTGAGAAATTAATTATAAATAGATTGGTATGCTGAGTGCGGAAGCACTAGAGGGGGAAGACTGGATCATATACGGTTGCTCATGCTATGCTCTAATGATGTGCACCTTTGATAGCCAACATTCAGCTCTAGGGCACTCTAACACGAAGACAGACCGCTGTCGCGAGAGAGTTTTCGAGCCTCTACCATGTGAAGAACGATTGGCGAGTGTAACTCAGTAATAACGAAGGAGGGTGGAGCAAGCTCCATTTCGTCCGCTCGCTTAAGGCGACATTTCGTAGAAAGAAACGAATTAATTGTGAGCTTGGTTCTTATAAGTCATGCCTATTGTGGTCATCTTCACGATATGGCTTCGATGATTTGCGTCGAATGTAGGATCATCTTAGCCAACCACAAAGCGTAGGATGCAACGACACCCACATTCCGACCATGCATAACGACGGATTGACCGCCTGGTTCTAATGCGTCTGAAATGTAGTAAATAAAATGCCACATCAACGTCATTGTTACGGAGGTTTCTTTTTGTCCGGATCACTCTTAGTGACGCTTGCACACCTGAACCGAAATAGCTCGTTTCGCGACGTGCATCTTAGCTAGGGTTTAGCATTTCCGGCTGACCCGTCCCACACGGAGGACTAGAAGTTAAGGGTTAACTCGGACCACCCACAGACGATCCTAGATCACAATCCACCAACTGCTTCGAGGCAGAGTAGTGATAGATTTTACTTCATTACTCACTTCAAACCTCAACTATAATCTAGTTCCGTCAGTAGTCGAACTTGCAACACAAGCGGGACCATAAGTCACATATCATCAAATACCAATTTGCTCATTTAAGATCTTGAAATGGCCTCAGAAAGTCCTGGCTGACACGATTGGAACCGAAGAGCCAATATACTAGTGCAATGTAGGCAGTGTCGAAACAGGGTTTTCTGTACACTGAGTCGAAGAAGGACGGCCTCAAGCGGAAAAGCCTTGGAGGGACAAACGGCACGTCCTGTTCCCACCAGCGAGAACCGCATTTCTGATGACAGGTTTAATTTCTACGCTGATCAGGTATCTTTTGAACTCTCTGAAAACGGAAATGCATATACCCTCATTTCGTCAAGAAGTACGAAGAGTATAGTGAATATCAAGTTCACCAAGGCAGCACCTGGTTTCATGGCTGGCACAAATGGAACTTCGACATACGGTATCGACCCCGAGCAACCTGGAGGTCAGATGTTTCACGCATTCTGGCCCAGTGTAAGGTAGACGGTACTTTCCTTACGCCTGCATGTCCTATCGATTTTGCACGCAAAGGCATGTACATCTTTGCACTACAGGGCATGAAGCCACACCATGAAGATATGTTTGCTAGAAAACTTGACAAAGATCTACATGCGCCTGACAATGTTTGTCTTGGTTTAGCTAATAGATGGAATTTTGTCAACTTCCAATCCTCCACATACAGTGCCGTCATGATGGAATTCACAACCCCACTTAGCTACAGCAGCACTGTCGTCAACGTTGGCGCTATCGTTGCAGATGGACAGCTCATCTACACAGGCGTAGATAATGTAGCTGAACATATTGAGAAGCAAGAAGATCCAGAGGCCCGATGGCATGAGCCAACAATGATTGGGTACTGGTGGAAGAGTATATCGCCTACTAGTGAAGGTATCGAAACGAGTCTCATCGGTGCGCCTGGGAAGAGACAAGATCGTATAGATATCATCATGAGGCTGAAGTGCCTGGATTCGTCAAAAGAACCGCTGATACACCCGCAGGCACTAGACAATATGAATACCAGTTTACCCCAGACCTAAACTAAAGTTGAGAATTGGCGGTGGAGAAAGGAAGAGGAGGGTTCGTTTGCAGAGGCAACATTCATCTCATGAAAGTCAGTTTTGCCCCATGTATAACCATCCGGATGAGTCTAGATGATCTCGCGCCACGTTTCTGGGTCCCACAAAGCTGAAAGACTCGGGGATTATATTTGATTTTCAGCTGAAGGATTTGTGCTCAACATATAATCCTGTCAAGAGCAGTCACTTCAATGGTACAACTTTAACGTCGGAGAGGAAACCTTCCTGCCGCGCATAGATATCGTGTTGGCAGCGTGAATAGTCATGTCTTATCAACTAATGGCTTGATGTGTTTCTTTTGTATCCTAGTCAGTTTGAGCAATAGTTACCCCTGGTGAGATTTACAACGTACAAGAGTATAATATGTTCTAGTCTGAGCAAGTCCCAAAGCGAACCGGGTTGCAACAGGATTTGGCGCATGCTTGGCGACCATTACCGCTGATAATTCGGATATGGGCAGACGATATTAGTACCAAGTTGGTGATATCATAGCTTCCCCTTGACCATCACGGCACGTTCAGGGCCGCAGTTTCGCTAAATCTGGTGAGAGCCTCTCCGTATTGGTGGAGATCGTTGCTGTGCTGTATCGGGGTCAAATAACTTGAACTCGCCTACTCCGTGCACTTATTCAGGCGGCAACCTCGGCAGCGTTAAGCTGAAATAGCAAGGATCGCGAGCGAGACTTCGAAACTTTCATGTGGTGTCACTAACTCCCCACAGTATGGGAAATAATAATGGCCGTTCCAAGGGCTGTATGACGTGTTTGAAGCGCCGCGTGAAATGCGGTGAGTTCAGAGCAGAGGGCGTAGATGCCTGTACACTGTACACAATCTCGCCCGTCACTATGTTTATGCCTCAACGGGCATCATTATACAAGGTCTTATGGCTAACACTTGGTTGTTTGTCAAGACAAAGCCGCCCCGCCTGTTCTCGCTGTGCAAAGGCCGGCTATGTCTGCCTAGCTTATCGAGAGACTCTGTTTATTGATGGACAAGAACAAGTTCTGCGACGACCATGCTGCGTCACGGCCGGAGAAGTGCTCATCCTTTCCCCAAGCGGCAGGAAATTGCCAGAGCTTAGGGAATCAAACAACAGAAGCTGAAGATGAGCCTCAACGTAGGGCTCAGCCATGCCGAGCAATGCGTGTTGCGCCACTACCTTCTATCTGCGCAAAAAGCTAAGATTACTTCATCAAAATTCATTCACATTCGGATGCGCGTTTCCATCTAGTAATTCCCTTCCAGTGATCAAGCAGACGACAAAGCTGTGTTAAGAGCATTGACTTTCTACTTTGAGAGCTGTCTGTGAAGACCACTGAATTTGGCGACTAGGCCAGAAAGATCCCGTACCTATCATAGCAGAGCTCGAAAGTCGGATTGTTTTGGCATTTGATTATGGAACAACGTATACTGGTGCGTCTCCTGAGTGCCAGGCTTCTTCTTGAGCAACATTCACACTAGAGATCATCTGATCTTACATCAATGCTTACAAAAAGCTTACAAAAAGCAGGTGTGGCATATGGCTGGGCAGGGCGTGAACACAACAACACGACCTCGGAATCGAGGAGGTAGACGACGGGGTCACGGATTGCTCGTCATGGGAACATGGCGGCAACGTCAAAGTGCCCAGCCAAATTGCCTATAGTTCGAGTCATAAGTACAACTCTCAATGGGGGTATGATCTCTCCAGACGCTCTGCGACTCGTCTGGACACAGCTAGAACTGGACAAGCAGAATCGGGTGGATGAATTAGATCACTTGTTGTGTTAGCTCTGGACGGGATGAAAAACCTCAATGTAAGTCATATTGCAAGACATAGAGGCTTGCCAGATTATCCCGCGAAAGAGCCAGTTGAGATCATCGCCGACTACCTATCTCTTGTGCACAAGCATGTTATGGAACGAGACATGCTTCCAATGGCGGGCGAAGCGTTGTTTGCAAGATCCCCGATTGATTTGGTAGTGACATGTCCAACCGTGAGTTCTTTGAGTCCTAAACTGTGGCCCTTATTGTTGACACCTGCCAGATATGGTCCTACTCAGCCAAAAACCTGACTCTGAAGGCCGTCCAGAATGCTGGATTCAATCCGAGTAATTTTAGACTCCTAAATGAAATCATAGTTGTCTCAGAGCCTGTTGCCGCAGCTTTATACGCTCTGAAGTCGATTCAAGAGGATGAAGATGAACCAATTGTGAAGGTAGGATTTATGTCCGGGTTTGAGTCCTGACTAAGCTTATATATTAGGTCGGGGATTGCTTCGTTACTGCAGATTGCGGAGGTGGTACAGTTGTAAGCGGAGTTAGAGCATGTGGATTATAGCTAGTACTGAGACAATCTTCTTTTAGGACGTCGCCGCATTTCAGGTGACTCAAATCAACCCAGCGATCTCGCTACAAGAGATCGGGATTGGCATAGGTTCGGTTTGGCAGCCCCATCGCATAGGTTCGGTCCTAACTAAACCGCAGGCAAGAAGTGTGACTCGACGTTCATTGATTCGAAGCTCAAGAAGAACATTTTGGACAGAATCGGCCCTTCTAGTCGGGAAAACTTACACAAAGAACTCCCCGAAGGTGCAATTGGTGGACATCAGGCTCTTGGAGTTGATGGAGCTCTACTCCGCGAGAGTATACAGATCGCAAAAGAGCGTTGGGATGGATCAGACAATTTCAACAGACTAATTAGGTTGCCTCAAGCTCTTGCTTGTCCTGACAATCCAGGGCGTGGAATAATCAATGGTCAAATAAGGTTTACAGGGTAATTGTCCCCCCAGCGCTTGTACAATTATCGCTATCGATAGGTATGCAGAGAAGATCTTAAACGTGCATTCCATGACTGCGTCGAAGGGACGATTGAATTGATATCGGCTAAAAGGGTCAAGTGCAAAGATTTGGGTCGATAGCAAGGGTTAGATGGAAATTTTTGAGCGGAAACACTGTTCTGTGCTAACGAATAACCTGACAGTTTGTCGCGATGGTGGGTGGCTTCGGATGTTCAGACCACCTGTTCCACGAGGTCAATCGCTTTACAAGTGTCCGAAGGGTGCCAACAAAACGGCCCACTAGCAAGTGAGAGTTCGACATACTGAGATTTTTATAGTACTAATATGAAATCACCCAGGGAACGCTGCTGGGCTGCAGTGGCGCGTGGAGCCGTTATGTATGGTCTCCAAAGGCGAACGGACAAAACTGTCTACATGCGACCAGCTGCGCACAGTGATGGCGTAAAAAAGCAGCAACCATTCTCGGCCTTCAAGCCTTCTGGGGACGCAATCTGCCAAGGTCCATTTGATGGGCAGGAAAAAGCAGAAAACCAGATGACATGGCTTGTGATGAAGGGTGACTTGATTCTCTCGGATACCTCTACCTATGCTAGCCTTGATATCTGTCGCAAGTTCAGAGCCCAAGATAGCAAGAGTTTCTGCACCCATCTTTTGACGAACGATGACGATCGTGGCCCCGCAGGATATCTGCAAAATGGTATGATCAATCTTCTTTAAACGCTTGCATATTCTGACAATTGTATTATTTTACAGAAATGAGGACTGTCGGTAGCTTAAACTACAATTTCGGTGGAATCCCGGATTCTGCCTTTCAGCGATTGAGAATGCCTGGTAGCCGCGTGCGATTTTACAAGGCAGATCTCCAGCTTCACATTCAAATCACTGACAATACCCAAGTTAAGGAGGTCAAGTTTTGGGTCACATTCAACGATCAGGAACTGTCATCCATTGCAATGAACTATCCTTAAGGGTATAAAGCACTTGACAGAGTCACAGATTACTAGCCTTCAAATCCATTCCGGACAATTTTACAATGAGGACAAATTGACGTTGGCTTATGTTACGGAGTTCACAGGCGCCATAACGATATCGACTATTTTGGTGATGAATGAGGTTGAATAATCTAGACGTATCTCGAATCTCTGTGTAACCAGTGCTACAATTTACAATTGCGCCATGAGGCGGGAAATTCTCGTTAGGGTCAGCATTCAACATATTACAGTTCTTTCTGAACTGAGCAATATCTGAAGTTGTACAATGCGATGCAATATCTAATTGTCCTCTGGAGGCTGACACTGGAAAGATCTAGAGCAATACGAGCCCGCCTAATTTGGAAAGGGTAGATAGTATTGCTGGCCTCTAAAGCGGGGCAACATTTTCCAGCATCGGACACTAAATTCAAAGTCCGAAGGCCTGGGCAACATGTCAAGGCATATGAGCTGTGATATTTTATGGCACTGTTTAGTTCTGGGCGTCAAGAGGGGATATTATGTATGTTGTTGAGAGTGCGACACAAAGTGGCTGCTCCTTGCGAGTTCCAGCCTTGGTTCGCAATTGCCAGGTTCCGCCCACATTCAAGCTTTCCGATACTTTGCCCGGCCGTCAGTTAGATCAGAGGCGTTTGGTTAGGCAACTACGAGGCGAGGCGCCTTTCCATTACAAGACCAATACTAAGTACCTCGCGTACCTGCAGTACGACTCGAAATCCTTGGGCACATCTCCCAAATCTCTCTCTGGCGGTGCTAGCCTGTTTTGTGGCCGGGAACCTCTCAATTCCACTTCCCCCTTTCGTTCGTGGCAGTCGAGGCGACCAGACATCTTCTACCGGAGGCACCACACTCACTTTCAAAGTCCTCATGTCGTTAATGGAAACAAATTGGCTTTCTCACCTTTTCAACGAGTCTTTCTGAGTATCAACGAAAATGACACTGTACTACACCGACAACAATGCTCTTAGTGACATGGTCCACTGGGTTAATGAGAGCACTTCTCTTTGGCGGGTAGCACCGCTTTCGTATTCATGGACCTTTGTGGACTCAGGGGTGCCAGAGGAAGAATGGCGCGAAGGGCTTGCTGATAATGCGACTGTCTTCAGGTGGCAGAGCATGTCGAAGGTTGGAGGGTTGCCCCTAAATACTTTTGTGTATCTGATGATCACGATCGCCGTCATCATCTTCCTGATTTGGTCTGGAAATGTCGAAAAAATCATTCTTGCCGTCAACAGGAGACACTTCAACCACGCGCCTAACATACACCAGGCCAGCACAGAGGATCATGCGTTTCGGAGGGGGTTGGTACGACATTACCCACCGCGCTCCGAAGAGCCACCATTCCTATCACACGCTGAGACAGTGGAAAATCTCCGAGGTGCGGACATAACATCAGACGACATAAGAGATTGTCAAAGCATTATTCGAAAAGTCTACGCACTCAAAGTGGACGCCTATAATGCTCGAGACGCGTATGCTGCGAGCCAGCTGTTGGTAGCGGAGATGAGGCGCAAAGAGAATGCAGGACTGACAGAGATTCAGAGCATAGTAGAGGAATGGGCTAGTGACCAGCCTCAGTGGAAAGCTGAAGAATGGAAGAAGGTCTGCGAGATTCGTAACAGGATGCGGGCAATTCCGGGACTCCAGCCACTTCCAGGAACACAGTTTGACACGATAGAGGAAGCGCGAACTAGATGAAAAGGATTCGAAGATCGAAGGTAGAAGTTCGTGATGGGTGAAATCTCATCTGACACTCACGGTTGCAGGAATTTCGATTATTAGATATTGCTTGGTCTGCGACTCTGCGGTCGAGATTCGACGCAGCGGTGGGGTAGAACCAAAAGAGAGCCGATTTTACTACAAGAACGGCGCACGGGGAATCACCGAGGTGTTTGATGGTACATTGCATGGGCCAAGGAAATCCGAGACTTTCATTCTAGATAGTTATCAGTCAATAATTCCCTTTACTCGAGTTCATTGTTCTGCTACTACTGAATTTTCAGCCGTGGGCCGAGGTTATGACTGGAAAGCTACCTCAGCCTTGTCATTGACTATTGGTTTGGCGGGTCGGGTCTGGCGGCCCCGCCACAGCGACTTCGACTCGTTGGCCCACTCTTAACCGACTGGACAAGATCGTTGACTTCACAGCAATAAGACCATCGGCATCCTATGTTTCAATCAACTCTCTAACAAGGCAACCATTTTTGTCGCTATTCCTTATCCAAAGGACTGGAAAAATGTCCATACAGCGTGAGGAGGTATTGAGTAATGTCTGGCGAGACGGTATTTTTGGTAAGAACACCAATGGCCCTGGTTGCTATGACTCCAGCAAGAAACCATAATTTCTACTAGAATGCGGTTATCGAGAATTGGCACTGACTCCAAGTACCGGGAACAGACGGGAAGGTCGCCTTTTGCACTGGCGGAGGAGGAAGCCTTGTCAGCGTTCAAACACGCGCACTCGTGATCCTGGGAGCAAATGCTTGTATCGTCGGAAGGAACGTTGAAAATACAGAGAGGGTAGCTAAAGATATTGCGACTGCTCGTAAAGGGGCAAAGGTTCTCGGACTCGGCGCTGTCGATGTCAGAAGCCTAGAGAGTCTCGAGAAGGCAGTCGCGACATGCGTCAAGGAGCTAGGACAGATTGACTTTGTGATGTGCGTTCATGTTTTCTGGGTTTGTATCACTGATGGGCTTACATACCTGACCTAGAGCTGGAGCTGCTGGAAATTTCCTCGCACCGCTTACGCAGCTATCGCAGAATGCATTCAAAACGGTAATCGACATCGACCTCTTTGGCTCTTGGAACACGCTCAAAGCCACTCTACCACATCTTATCACGTCCGCTCAGAAGAATAAGGGCGATGGAAAGCGCAGCTCTGAATCTGGCACAGGCGGAAGGATTATCTTCGTTAGTGCGACACTCGGCTATACCGGAACGCCATTACAGACACATGCCATTGTCGCAAAGGCAGGGGTGGACAAGTTGGCGGTCCAAGTGGCAATTGAGCTTGGGCCCCGAGGCATCACGTCGAACGTAATTGCGCCAGGAGGGGTGACTGGTACAGAGGGCACAGATCGATTGATCAAGAATGGAAGTGACAGTAGGGTCGTCAAGACAGTCCCCAGTGGGCGACTTGGAACGGTCAAGGACATGGCAGACGTTGTGGTGTATCTCTTCTCGGATGCTGGAAATTACGTCAACGGAGAAACTATTGTTGGTAAGTTTTTAAATTCTAAATGTGCTGCCTGCTCTTGATGTTGACCAATTTTCTAGTCGATGGAGGAGCATGGCACACGAATGGAGCCTCGGCAGGACGTGATTTCACGTATCCCGATTTCTTGCTCTCCGACGATGTTGTCAGTGGTGTGAAGGGTACCCGCAAGGCGAAAATATGATACCAGATTCGTTTATCAGCGACGACGATCTTGTATACCTGGAATTTCAACCGTTCCCTGATATATTTGACTCTGTCTAAAATAGGTTCTACAATGAATGGAAAATGTACGCGATGCGTGACCTGGCGTGAAACCATTTGAGCGGCCCTTTCTTATAGCTTGATGTTTTAGAGTCTCCCTTCTACATGCCATCTATTGCACTTAGTTCCGTTTAGTCGTTGTAGTTATCTTCGCTGGACTAGTGGTTTGTGAGATTGACGTCGTGGTGGTGGTGGTCGTGCCAATAGCGGTATTTGTAGCAGTAAACACTATGCTTGTGGTAGAACTAGTAGAAGTGGAGGAGTCACTAGAGCTGCTGGGAGAGCTACTAGCGGAAGAAGTAGAGCTTCTAGTAGATGTTGCGATAGTTGTAGTAGAAGAGGTAGTGGTAAGAGAAGATGTAGCTGAAGTAGACGAAGTAGTAGTACTTGAGCTCATTATAGTGGTAGAGAAGGGAGTAGAACTAGTAATGGACCCAGTGGTAGTGGATGTGTTCAAGGGGAAAGCTGCGATAGGGGTAGAAACAGGGGTGGTAACGGTCTTGAAAGTAGTACTAGCACTCGAGGTACTAGTAGTAGAAGTACTCAAAAACGAGGCTGCACTAGAGCCAGTGGTTGTTGAATTAATCGAAGCGGAGGTTGTCCTTGTAGTAGTAGCGACACTCGTACTAATGTCGGAGCTAGTGGGAGCGGATGAACTCGACAAAAGGGATGTACTAGTGGTAGTAGTAGGATTGGAAGTAGAAGGAGTGCTAGGACTCGAGGTAGGGGCTGTAGAAGAGAGAGTGGAAGTACTTAGAGGAGTACTTGAGGCACTGGGTGTGATGCTCGAACTGGTGACAACACTTAAATTCGCAGTAGTACTCGAGTCTGGGGCACTGAAACTTGAAGCACTAAAGCTGACAGAATCGGAGCTTGAGGCAATCGAAGTTTTCGTCCCTAAGCTCGTGGTACTTGAAGTCATTGTGCTTAGAGCTGTTGTGCTTGAAATCGGTAGAGTGTCTGAGCTCGAAGTCGCTGAGCCAGAAGCTGTTGTGTCTGAAGTTGTCGTTATGCTTGAAGACGCCCTGATTGAAGAGGACATGCTTGAAGATGTTGGAGCGTCTGAACTTGTGGTAACGACATTAGAGCTTATGGCTATGGCACTTAGACTTGTCGATAGAATAGAAACCGTTGTGCTGGAGCCTGTTGTGCTGGTGCTTGCTGCTTTCAGGGTTGAAGTCACTAATCCTGTGGTGGTGGTGGTGGTGGTGGTGGTGGTAGTAGTAGTAGACCCTGTTACTGTAGAGCTGGAGATGATAATTGAACTAAAGCTTATTATTACCGTAGAAGAGCTCGAAGTTGTAGTATCTGAAGTACTAGAGCTGGAAGGCAAGGTAATGGTTGAACTCTTCGTGGTCGGGAGCGTAGATGTGCCTGAACTGGCTGCATTGGTGGATATTGTGGTATAGCTCGTAGCGCTGCTTGAAGTAACGGAGACGCTCGAACTTGTTAAAGTACCAGAGCCTGTTAGACCGTTCGAGCTTGACAAAGTGGTAGAAATATCTGATGCATGAATGCTGATCGAACTTGCTAGGTTAGTCAAGCTCGTCACAAGGCTCGGGCCTGTTCCAGAGACTGAAGACAAATTTGTGGACACTCTTATAGTTGTGTTTTGACTTAAATTAGAGGCTGTAGCACTGTTTGAGGTTATGAAAGGCAATGAAGCTGAGCTTCCTGCACTGGAGGGCGTGTTTGTGCTGCCTTGAAAGGAACCGAATGTCGTGGATGAATCAAAACTCGCGGTGCTATATGACGTGGAAGAAGTCCCAATATTTTCGGAAGAAGATCTCAATGTCGACCTAGAAGTCGAATATAGTGACGATGCTCCAAAACTCGTGGTAGAAGCTGAAGACGTACTCGAGCTTGGAAGTCTGGAGCTAAATACAGAGCTTGCAGAGGTAGTGAGTGTGGAGACTGCACCCAATAGAGAAGATGTAGAAAGGCTTGACAACGACTGTGTTTCGAACGTCTGATTAAAAGACGTTGCTGTGGACATGATGGTGAAGGAGACCAAGAAACTATCAGACGTTGAAGTACCGACAGAAGAAGAGTCTGAAGCATAAATTACTGAAGCAGTAGTGAGAGAGCTCAATGCCACACTTGATCTCAAGGTTGGAGCATATATCGTTGTTGGGGTCTCTGTGGAGGCCGTCATGGTACCACCAGTCGTCATACTAGTCATTATACTAGACGTCACAGATTCCGTTGTTGAAGGAAATGCACTTGTGGTTCCCGAAGAGGTACTTGTCGTGGAAGCCTCTGTCGTGTAAGTCTCTGTCGCCGATGAACTTGTTGTTGAAGTGTCAAAGATAGCCTTAAAACTAGCTGTAGAGGTTAGTGTTGCGGCCGATGTCGATATGGTAAATATGCCAGAATTTGGCGTAGTTACCGAGTCCAGACTCGAAGATGCCGCCACACTACTTTCAACTTCGCTAGACGAGGTAATGGTAGTAACAGTTATGAGTGTAGTAGTCAAGGAGCTAGACATTGACGAGATAGTCTCTGACAGAGTGGAAGATTTTGACGATAAAGTTGATGAGATCGTCGACAGGCTAATCAATGCGGTGTTAAACTGCGTCATAAATCCAGCAGGAGACGTAGTGGTGGTAGCTAGCCTTGATGGAGTGAATGATGCGGTTGATTGAGCGACAGGTGAAACGTCTTCCGAGGATGAGATTGTCGTCTGAGTTGAAAAAATGACTGAGACTGCAGGGGGTGAGGTAGTCGTTGTTCCAAGCTGCGAGGTCGAAGATAGGAGTTCACTCAACGTTGCAGTTGTCAATGTCTCGGTTGATGTTCTACCCATGATGTCCGATGAGCTAATCCCAGAAGTAGCTGTTGTATATTCGCCTGGTGTGCTTGTGAATGAAGCCAACGTACTGCTCAAAAACCTTGTTGCAGCACTCGTGGCCGTTGATTCCGATATTGAATTGCCTTCTTCAGTGTGCTTCATGATATTTGAACCACTGGAACTTGCATCGCTTACAGTAGTTTGCCGAATCGTTGTGCTTGTTACCTCATATGCGGTAGTTGAGGAGGTTTCCACTGAGACTGAGCTTGCTAACTCATTTCTAGTTGTGGTTTGCGCAGGTGCAGAGGACCATGAACCACCTTGCGTTGTTGAGAAAGGCTCTGTCATAGTGGAAGAAGAGGCACCAGCACTTATGGAGATGGCAAGGTCGGTCGAAGAACTATCACTATACAAAGAGGAAATAGATGTAGCTGTCGTATCAAACGCGGATATTGTTGAAGTTGTCGTCGCAGATTCCACGGGCGCAGTTGAAGAAATGTACTGAGGGTAAGTGGAGGACGAAACTAATGAGACATAGCTACTAGAAGAAGTAATAGTTGCACTTGACAGAACATCTGTTGACGTACTAGAAATTAATCTTGAGGAACTGGTTCCAGTGGCCTGGTTGGTCGATGACTCAGTTGTGTAGCTGCTACTAGTGTACTCTGCACCCCTTTTACTTGAGGTTGAACCTGGTTGAGAACCGATGAGCATTGAACTAGTGAGGACAATCGATAAAGATGACACTTGCTCTAATGGCGACGAAAATAGCTCAGGAGTCGACGGGAGTGCCATTGTTGCCGTTGTCGTAGTAACGAAAGACAATTGTTCAAACGTGGAGGTAATTAGTTTCGTAGTGGAGGATGGCAAATCAATTGAAAAGGACGGTTCTTGAGAATTTGATGATGACCTCATGTCAGTGAAGCTTTGTTCATTATTGTTCATGCTTGGATATTCAGAGAATGAGTTATATCCCTCACTAGAAGTAGCCATAGATGTGCCTATCTCGGTCGGCTGTGCAGTGAAGAGGGATGAAACTGGAGCAGATTCGGTTGATTGAGTCGTTGTAATGTACTGGTACGTGGAACTGGTCTTCTCGGGGCTGCTACTGATAATAGTTGTGCTAGTCGCATCAGGCATGATTGTTGAGCTCACAGATGTGGTATCTGTGCCAGATACAGTGTTTGTAGTTGATGACCCATATGTCGAGCTCGTGAATGAAGTGGTTTCAGTCGTACGGGAACGGTTTTTATCTGATGAATAATCTGAGGTGCTAGAGTCCATGGCTGAGTAACTAGTGAATTCAGTGGTGCTCGTTGTCTGGAAGCTGCTGGTGGGGGCAATAGAAAAGGCCGAGCTCGCAGTAGATTGTGGACTCTCTGTAGCTGTTGTTGGGGTCTGCGAGAGCGAGCCCGGAGTTGTGGAAATTATCGCTGTAGAGAGTTTGGAGATTATAGAAGAGTCACCGACGCCTTGGACTGAAGAATCAATTGTAGTTGTTGTCAGGGATCCGCGTGTAATGATTGTTGCTGAATCGCTTGAACTGGACGAAGCCAGCCAAGTCGAAGTTGTAATTGGTCTGTCTGAGAGGGTTGAATCCTTTGTATTCGATTGTCCTGCGCTTAATGAGTATGTTGTGTGGCCAGATGAAGCAGAGTTTGCCATATTGTATGAGACTGTTGTCACCGCCTCTGTTGTTGAAGCGGAACTCAAATATCGGTCTGACGTTGTACTCAGATCACTTTTGCTTTTGACAGATGAGACGATTGTTCCATACGTAGTGGTTCTAGCTGTCGTCATTACCATATCTGTACTGAAACTGCCAGCGGTGGTCGATGATACTGTATCCGTTACAGTTGAAGTCGCAAAAGAGGACGTCAGAAGTGAACTTGTTGATGGAGAAATATAGAATAAGGAGCTTGAAGTCATATCCGCTCCGAGTATTGAAGAGCTGTGAATAGTGATATCATTGGCCAACGATACTGTTGGACTTGTAGAGGTAGTGATCAAGGTGGTGGAGTCAAAAAAAGAGCTGAACCCAGTGGTTCGGGTCGTTAATATTTCGGAAATTGTTGTAGAGCTAGTCCTGCTGACAGGCTCATCTGATGTTCGGGTAGTCACATATGAGGTGTCAGAACTCCCAGGAAGTGTTGGTGTAGTAACATCTGAGCTTGCACTACTCGTACTTGAGAGAAATGTGCTGTAAGTACTGGAGATTTTAATTTCGTTTGTAGAAGTTGCTATTGTTGCGGAAATAAAGTAGAAGCTGGGGGCCAAGGAAGATGACTCGGTGGTTGCCGAGACATCTAGAGTACTCATTGAGCTTGTGCCTTGACTCGAGGTGCTACTTGAGGCTTCACTAGTGGGGGTCTCAGAGGTCATCATTCTCATTGTCGAGAGAGTGTTCGTGGCTTCTTGAGGACCAGATGTTGTGGTTGAGAGCTGCTCAAGTGAAGAGGTCTTTGTAGAGCTTGTTGAATCAGTGGAAGTGCTTGAACTATCTACGAACGTAGACACGCGCGTGGTGTAAGTTAAGTTCGTTATTACCGATGAACTAGCTGTCTCCGTGGTTTCCGTGGATGTAAGAGACGTGTAGAGGGGAGTAAAAGTAGAAGTCACTTTGATCGAGGTATCTGAAGTTATTTCAAGACTGGAGCTGGGATTGTTGTTGATTTCTTGCGAAGTTGTGGTCACCTTTTCGGTGCTTGATACCGTTATACTCGTCAAAAATGTTAAAGGCGTTTCAGAGCTCAGCTGACTATACGAACTAGACGAGGTACTGCTACTAGTACCTCTGATTTCAGAGACACTAGTACTGGGAGATGTGCTGCTGCTGCCGGAAAAATTTGTATTTTGGGTAGTGGATAGTGGATTTTGAAATGACGTTGTATCGCTTGAAAGAATAGAGTTCAACAAGTCCTTCAAGCTCGAAGCCTTGGAGAGGCTAGAAGCGGCATCAGTTGTAATGAAAAGAGTTCTACTCAACTCCATGCTCGTCGTTATTGGAGGAGCTGGTGACTCTCCATCTCCTGAAGCAGCGGTGTTAAAAGAGTTTTCCGAGCCCACCGAACTGCTAATGCTGGTAGGGACTTCTGTCGTTATGTATCGACTTGTGATTGATGTCAGACTATTTCCCGTGGTTAACGTCAAATAGTTACTTGTTGTTGACGGGGACTGAACGTTGGTCGATGTCATTGCAACGCCACTAGAGCTGAGGTCCTGTTGATCGATAGATCTTAATGATGACGAGGAAGTAGAACTGATAGAGCTAGAAGATGGTCCTTGCTCTGCTTGCGAGGATGGTCCAGTCGTGCTACGGGTGATATCAGAGGCCTCAGTACTTGTTTTAAGTGATATATCTTGGAATGACGAGGCATCACTAGATGTACGGCTAGACAGAGAGGTGGAAGCCGAGTCAGTGGTACTATCGGAGGATCTGGTGCTTGCTGCGGTTGAAGAATCTCTGGTGAATGAGGGTAAAGAGCTAGATAGGCTGCTTCGAAGAGGTGTCGTAGATGACATTATGGCACTGTCAACAGAAACTGAGTGAATTATTGTTGAGGTCGTTGATGTAGAGGTGATCTGAAATGACACACTGCCCTGATGACTGCGGCTTGGGGTATATTCGCCTGTACTACTCGGGGTGGTCACTGTTACAAAGCCTGTAGTTCCGCCACTAGTAGTACTACTCCTTGTATCGGCAGATCCTCTTAAGCTGTTGCTGCTTGAGGTAGACAAAATCGTCCCAGTGAAGTCTGTGAAATGATCTAATGAAGTCGACAGCTCTGTCGACATAGTAGCCGAGAGTTCCAAATCAAAATGTGAACTTATGTATCCAGACGAGAGAAAGCTATCCCAGGTACTTCTTATTATAATAGTCGTTGTAGCCAAATGAGAGCTGCTTGAAAAGCTTGTAGAAGAAGTAAGCCCCGATGACGCATTGGTGCTGGCAGTATCGAAGGAAGATGGCGTTGCTGTGGAAGTAGTGCTGACACTGATTACAAGAATTGGCGATGGCGAGACGGTGGAAGTATAACCCTGTGTGGATGTGGACAATAAAATATCCGAGGTCTTTGTTCCTGCGACGCTGGTGCTGCTGGCCGTAGCTGATTTCAAATTCCCACTGCTGGTGTAAGAGCGACTCTCGCTCGATGTATCCAATGTATTCGTGAGCTGGATGGACAAGGGTAAAGATAAGGAAGTGCTAGCTTCGGTAAAGGATGCTGATGTTGAAGCTCTGCTAATTGAACTATCGGTGCTCCTGCCATAGGTAGAGCTAGAGCTGGATAAAGTGACATAAAAGGTAGAGGTAGACTGAGAAGGTGTATATGCACCTGGGTTTGTGGTCTCGGATCGTGCGTAATTTGCAGCTAAGCTCCTAGAAGACTGTAAGCTTGATGGAAAAAACAAGCCATTGGGCGTCAGGCTAGTTCCGCTGGAGAAGACAGTATTAGAGGTACTAGAAGTAGTAGATGATCCTGGTGACTGAGTTTCAGAAGTGGCAATTCTGGTGCCATCTGATACAGGAGTATTAGCGGTGGCCTCACTTGAGGACGTAGATTGTGTGGAGCTATAGCTTGTCTGAAAGCTAGCCAGCGAAGTTGTGAATGTCTGAAGATTGCTAGGTGCGACTAATCCTGAAGAAATAAGAGGATTTTGAGAAGATGAAGAGAATACTGCCTGAGTTATGCCGTCTCGAGTAGCACTAGGAGTTACAGTAGGATTATTAGTAGGCGAGGCTGTGCTGGAAGACCTCGGAGGCTGGATCCGCTGTTCTGTGGTTGAAGGTATACTAATGGAAGTGTAAGTCGAGCTGGGCAATGTAGATGAAGGTGTTGCAACTGTGTCACTTGATTGGGTGGTGTCGCTGGTGGGAGGGGACGAACTTGAGCTAATACTGATTGCGGTGGTTGGTGTGTCGGCGATCACTGAGGACAGAGATTGTGCCGCAGCCGAGGCGCCTGCTTTTGATGAAACGCCGCTAGCATCAGAGAAATATAAACCTGACGGAAGTGTGGTAGAGAGGCTAGTGGTAAGACTTGTAGATTGTGAATAGTTGAGCTCAATCGCACGAGAAGTACTTGAGCTCGATTTGTCAGAAATGTCAAAGAAAGAGGTAGTGGATCCTGTGTTCATATTAGCTAACGTAGTGCTCGATGTCCGACCTGAAGAGTGATAAGATACATATGTCGTTGTTGATAAACTTGAACTGTATGAAGCTGTTGTTAGTGCAAAACTTGCGGTGGAAACAATTGTTAATGATACGCTTTCACTTGCAGTTGAGAAGTCCCGGGGCCAAAGCGACGCAGCCGATGCGCTACTAATGCTTGATCCTGATGTAAAGTCAACAGTACTGAAGCTGGTTGACAAAGATATGCTAATGCTGGAGAGTAGAATATTTGGTTGGGTCTCAGAGTTTACAGTACTGCAGGAGATGATTCCAGGTGAGGATGATTTCGGTGTGTAATTGATGGAATCTGACGCTCCTGTCGAAGGAAATATTGTTGAACTGGTCGCGCTATACATTGACATGACATTGGAAGATGGCAGTGTTTGCAAAAGAGTGGTACTAAGCCGAGAAGCCGCCAAAGACCGATTTGATATAGCCGCCACTGTTGCCGCCTGGGAATTTATAGATGGTACTGTCGTGACCACAGGACTATAGAAGGCTTCTATAGGCGTTGAAATACGTGCCGAAATGACAATGTTCATGGTGAAACTCCTGGTCTTCAAGATATCGCTGGCTGAAGTCATGCTGATTAGCATAGCGGCGGGTTTCTGAGTCAATGTTGAAGTGCTGGGGTTCCTCGCTGTAGATGCGGGTGCTGACATGGAAGTTGTTTGTGCGGGAATTGCTACTGCCGAAGTGGCCAATGCAATGGATTTGGAAAGTGGGCTTCGGCTTGACAAAATACTACTTTTCGGTGTGGTTAGTTGAGGTACAGTCATCCGTTGAGTTGTCAGACTAGGTACTCTCCTGGACGATGGTCTAGCTGTCGAGTTAGATGGAGGATACAGGCTCATTCTTGTCGGAGATTCACGATATTTCGTTGTTGAAAGATTGTTCGAGTAAGTGAAGCCAGCTTCGCTTCCTGTGGACAAGCTGAAGCGATTCTTCATCCAGCTATCTGGCAGGGGCCATTCAGTCGGGTCAATGTCCAACGCCGTGGTCGATGGTATCATGATGTCATGTGAACTTATACACAGTTAGTTTGCTGGAGATGAAACCTTGTATCTGAGGGTAAGTTACTCACGTCGTGGGTGGTCTAGTGTAGCAGAAATTTGTATAAGTGATTGTAGTGGTGACATAAATCGTGAAATCCAGTATTGTTGGGCCTGAACAGGTCCTTGTAACGTGTGCTGTCCATGAGTGGAGTGGAACAGTATAGGTTTGAGCGGGTATAAAACTTGTGACCGTGGAACTACTTGATACAACGAACGTAATAGTACTCGTGCGCGCAGTGAAAGCCTTTGAAGGAATCACTTGCGGGAAATTCCACACGTAGAGACCTGGACTGGGGACTCTCACACTCGTATGTACAGGAATGCTCATGGAAGTAGAGAACATGAGGTCTGGGCGGGCAACCCAAACTTCCTGCCATGCCTTACATTTTCGCCATCGCTTTGAGAGGCGGCATTCAAAGACTTCAACCTTTTGTTCAAAGCGTTGGAGTCTGTCATTGTCCAGCTCACTTTTACCGTACAAATCGCTGCCGTTCCAACCAGGAATTGCAAACGATCTGATATTTTTGAAGGGTGCAACTGCCCTCCTCGTCAAAACTTCCTGTTCGTGCTCTTGTTCTTTGGCATGCCCAGGCCAATGCAGATAAAAGTACTTCCAGTGGCCACCAGCGGCCGTAGAAGAGGCTTTGAAGACTGTGTTGTATGCTTCCGACACAATAATCAGTTGATCCGTCCGCGTAACTGTCGTCAATCGACTTCTTGTGCCGTTCCAGGCACAAGGTATCACTGTTGAGATATAGGCATAGGTTTCCCATAGATAAGAGGTCGAGCATCGCCCTCTAACGCATCGAGAGCTCGGTGAACAAGTCGAAACTTCTTGCAGTTGAGTAGTGACGACGATAGACTTGAGTCCTCGCGTAGGTGGCGCTGCTGGGCAGGGTGCAAGTATAGTTAATGGAGAGGCTGCGAAGGCCATTTGCCAACATAGAACACCAAGCCACATTCCAAGGCGCATGGCGGATTCGATAGACTAAATTACAGCATCCCCTGATGCAAGCTGAATTCGTATTGCGCGTTCAGAGCGAGGTGATATGGGGAGATGATATGGAAGTCGCCATCCCGATCCCTACGACCACTGAAAATTGCATTAGGTTGGCTGTATAATGATGGAGTTGATGAGTGCCAATTATCGTCGACTCCATTTTGGACTCGTGTTGACGCTGCCTGAGAAAAAGGTAGACTTTCGTTTTACAAGCGGTCCGAATATTGCTCTCCCTCAGCTGTGGTTGCCCCTTCACCCTTGTCAACTTGTTTTCACAATATTTAATATTTTGCCTGGTCTGGGACCACCTGTTGTCGACTGTGGCAGAGGGTTTGATAAGCTGACTGGCTCGGTATATTTTGCTGTTCAACAAGGCCTCAGTGCACAGGCATGGAATTCAGATTGCCTGCGGTGTCAATGACGGGGTGCGTTACGATGGGTACCACCAGGAGCAGACATTAAATTACTAGGTGATTACACCCGCCAGCTGATGCCAATTCTGGACAGACAGTATAGGAGCCTACATGATCTGAAGAGTATTTCCTCACGGTGGAGCGAATTCGTTCACCTTGCCAACTTACCGAGCAGATCAATGAAACCTGCTGTGGCTGATAAGATGGCATTTTTCGACGGCTTCATTGCTCGATCAGACCATTGGCAGGGCTTTGTGGCACTGGGGTGTTGAGCAACAAACTACCAGCTTCTGATTCGGTCGACGGATCAGTATTGTTGAAGCCCTCGTGTAAACAGTCACATATTACTACACATCAAGTGTACTGTCCAAACAGCTCATTGAACATTCTGCCTTGACCGGGTGAACAAAAGCTGCCCTGGCAGCTTCATCAGTGGAGTCATCCGAGTTTCGGATCGCCTTTGTGCAGATCTGGCCGTTGTTGACCCACACCAAGCATCTGTCAAAATCAGAGCACGTTCTATCAGCTGAACCCTGTCTAAGGTTGCCGGAAAAAATATCTAAAATGCAGCTGCGGCGCGGTCCACAAGGTGGCCTATTCTTCTTGACAGCGCTTCTCAACCGTCGACTCTCTCAGTGGGCTATTCCTCGCAATCAGGCAATATGCAGTCTCTCGGCGATGGTCTATGCTGCGTGTCTTCAGGGCCGTGCTTATGTACAAATGAACAAAATGAACAAAATGACCATGCTGAGTAACGAAGAAAATCTCTTTCATGATCCCCAAACTTTCTCGTCGACTGAAATGGTGAAATTCATGCTCCTTTCTAGAACTCCTCTCCCTGTTGGAATATTTATGCTACTCAATTGTTGCCAGCCTTCAAGATGGTACAAGCTCACATTATCACTATTTTTCAACTGCTTGTCATCGCGACACTCTCGTCTGCACTTCCACCGCTAACACCTAGAGATCACTTGAACCACAAACGGTCTCTACAAGGCAACTCCTCCGGGGTCATATTGCCGCAGAGCAACATTGTCTGCACCTCAAGCACTACATTGACCTCCTGTCGCTGGGGTCCAAGAGTTAGAGCTGATATCTGCCGCGACAGTTGTGCGTGCTCGGCATCCGGCAAACTTTCATGCTCTCGAACGGAATATTGCGACGGGGACGAACTGGAACCAATATGTGAAAAGCTGTGTTTGTGCAGCTCGTCACCGATCCAAAGCCCGAATGAACATGTTTATACGCCAGGGGTGATTAGAGGAAAGCTGAAAATGAACAATTGGAGGGCTTCGAGCCATGTATATCTCGGTGATCCAACTATTTCATACCCGGACGAGGATGATAATTGATGCGATGGTCCCGACTTGGGCACGCAAGGAACTACGAATCTTCATCGCAGATCACTGCCAGTACATAAGCATTCGAACAACTAATTCCGGGTCAAATGATGAACGGATTCTATGGGATTATTTACGGTCAACGCGATAAGTTGGAATATGAATTCGCTTCGTTGGCCCTGCTCAGGGTTGAGATCATCCATCATGAGGCACGATTGTGTTTACATTTTTATTTTGCCGTAAGTGAGATGGTAGAGGATTTGTTGCCATGACTGAGACTAGTCAGACGAGGGTCGCCAGTGGAGACAATGCAGCTTACAACCGATTCATGATTTTTCCGTGTATCACGATTCACGACTATGACTCGATAGCACATTAGTGATTTAGATCTTGCCGTCCGGCGTCTGTGCACGATTCAGATCTTGATGATGACCAACCGTGACCCTCAATTCTGAGGGACGTCAACGCATGAGAAGAGCTGTCACACCGGGTGTCAAAAGTGCAGATTCAGCTGGGGGATTCAAAATGGAGATTATGCGCGATGAAACTCAGTTGGAATAAAGTTCGTTACCCTGCAGCAAGAATATCACAGAAGTGGACTCCGATCTCCATAACCACAGGCGTCGGTATCGGTTTTCCGCGCTGCTTCTGCACCTTGTAAAATGCAACAATGCTCTGGCAGGCGGGGGAAGCTGTCATCAACACGTCAATTGTAGTCGCCGAAGGGGCTTGGCCTATTCGCAAGTCTATGCAATTTCCCCCTGTCATTCGGGTCTTGATTTGCCGGGTCAGGAGTCAGGACTTGATGTTGACGTTGATTTGGGTTACGGAATACTCGCGATCCCATCCGTACTTGGGAAGGGCTTTTCGGTTTGGGCGCTTTTGGATTAGGAGGGGCTGAAGCCTTGCGAACTGGTAACGTAAATGGTCTGTGCCAATCTCCTTGATCGACCGATAATGAACCTCTGGCATTCTCTTTGGTCCCCCATGATAGATCATACATAAACCAACTACAATGTCCTCACTTTGGAACAAATGAGCTCTTATTTCACCAAGATCGCAGATATTAGGCATCTTCATACAGTGCAATTGCGGACCCTCGTAACCGCCGAAGAGGAGCTCCTGGCTTGTGCAAACCGACATCAGTAGCTCACGCCCTTTACCATCGCTTTCACCCGAACTGAGGAGGCGACAAGTTTATATAAAGCACTGACGAAGCTAGCAGAATTACTGCGCCAGTCAAGTCCGCATTTGAAGCATGTCCAGTTCAGCAGCGTGCGATGATTGACGAACACGGTAGTCATAACTGTGCCTCCCCTTGTGACGATGCGCCTGAGGAAATTTTGACTGGCGACCTTGATCCTTTGATGTCGGAACTGCTATTCTTCGACTGCCTCAAAAACGTGCTTCTCGGTCAGCTTGTCTACTATGCCTGTCATCGTCGAGATGTCTCTCCAGTTGGAGCTTTGAATTAATGGCGAATGCAAAGTAAGTTCTGATGCAACATTGTGGGAGGCTAAACATGACTTGCCCGCTATGATATCTCAGGCTCAGTCCTGATGGAGGGGGCTTGGGCAGAAGGAGACTAGATACCTCAATGATTGTTGGATTCTTGTCACTGGCACACAGTAACCACGATTCTATCACATCAGCTCTCTGGGCTCGAAGGAGGCAGGTGAATATCTTGGGTCTAAATAATATCTCCTGGCATTAGTGCATACTAGTATACAAAACATGCGTTTCTCATCAGCACATAACCATGGCTCTTTAAGACTGGGCTCTTTAAGACTGGGCTCTTTAAGACTACGAGCCGTCCAGGCTCTTTAGTATCACCAAGGGATCAGAACCTCAATGTGTCGCGGCCCATTCTCTGTACCACTCTAAACAATCACTGTTCGCAACGCTGGCACTGATTTTGATGTTCAGTCCACTGAGGATCTGCTTGACAGCGCCCTCGACTTTCTTCCCGTTCGTAGTCACTGGGATTACTGGGCACTCATCGATGATTTTCGGGACGTGTCTGGCGCTTAGCTCCTTACGTACCATGTTCTGAATGCGTGTAATCAGGTCTTCTCCAAAAGATTGGCCCGGAGCCATTTTCAAGAAAAGAACGACAACCTCATCGGGATCCTGTGCACGCTTGCGGCCAATACACAAAGCGTCTTCTACCTCGGAGCTGAAGTGTTTTAGGAGAATGTTATATATTTCACTCGAGCCGAAGCGCACGCCCATGGGGTTTAGTACGCCATCTGAGCGGCCGAGCATCCAAAGCCCGCCTGTCGCCGGGTTAAAACGCACGAAATCACCATGGTGCCAAATGGGCTTGCCACTTCCCTGATCTTTGAAGACTTCGAAGTATGAGGATTTGTATCGTTTCTCCCCGCTTGAGCCGGGAGGCCAAAACATGCATGGCTGGCAGGGGAAGGGGACGTTGCAGACTAGTTCGCCAGCCTCCCCGGTCTGCGAGATGTCTGTACCATCTGTAGAGAAGCTCCTTATAGCCATACCTAGACCAGGACACTGGATTTCGCCGGCGTGGACTGGAAGGATAGGACTTCCACAGCCAAAGAGAGAGATGATGTCTGTACCACCTGTTATGGATGCTAGAAGTATTCCCTGGTGAGGCGGAGGGGGCGAAAGAGCCTTGTATACATAGTGGAAGGTGCTTGGAGCGAGGGGAGAGCCGGTGGAGAATATTGACTTGAGAGATTGTAGTGTTGCGGATCGTGGTGATGCACCCCGAGGGAAAATCTTGGCTTGTTCTAGTACTGAAAGGTATTTTGCAGAAGTCCCAAAGTGGTTGATACCGAGTTCATCGACGAGCAAGGGCATGCTCATTTCCTTATGAGGTTGGAACGGAGAACCATCATAAACAACAATTGTAGCCCCGTTGGCAAGACCGGAGACAAGCCAGTGCCACATCATCCACGTGGTTGTTGTGAAATAGAAGAGTTTCTCGCCCGGCTTGATGTCTGATTGTATGAGGTGCTCCTTCTTGTGCTGGAGAAGTGTCCCTAAGGCGTCATGAACGATTGGCTTGGGCACACCTGTTGTGCCCGAGGAATAGAGGATATATACAGGGTGGTCAGGGGGTAGATATGTGAATCGAAGTGGCCGCAAAGAATCGCCTTTGGAGGCAAACGAGTCATATGTCTCCACCGTAGTTTCTTTGCGTGCTTCAAGGGTTGAGAGGTCAAATTTATGAGCTTGAATGGTCTCAAAGATAATAAGATTCTTGACACACGATAGCTCCGCAATTACCTGGGAGATCTTAGCGTGGGTCTCATGAGTCTTGCCATTGTATGTGACGGCGTTGTCTGCAAAAAGGAGCACAGGCTCGATCTGCTTCAGACGGTCAAGGACTGCGTGGACCCCAGTATCTGGACTGACTCCCGACCACAAGGCGCCCAGTGAAGTTGCTGCCAACATGGCTATTACGGCATTGGCGTGATTTGAGAGATATCCCGCGACTCTGTCGCCTTTCTTGAGGCCATGGGCTGTCATGGCAGCGGCGCACATTCGCACTCTTTCTCTTAGACCTGCCCACGTCACCTGTTCTCTAGTGGTCTCAGTCGCTGCGATAATGGCGAGGGAACCGGCCGAAGGGTTGGATGATGGAAAGAGAAGGTTCTCAGCAAAGTTGAGCTCGCAGCCTGGAAAGAAGGCTGGCTTTGGGAACATGGGTGCTGAAAGATCAAGGACCTGTGTTGACCGCGTGGGTAGTTAGTTGAGTTCTATATGTTCGCGGAGTTGGGAGGTGTCTAGCACACCGAGTCATATTGCTTGTGAGCCGTGATGCCTGTATAATGCCAGACGTTCTCCCAGAATGCAGCGGGATTGTCGACACTCCACTTCCACAGGTCTGTATAGCTTTCTGAACGGATAGGGTACTTCTTCATGAGATGTTGTTGGAAGGCATAGAATTCAGTGGATTCGGGTCGAGGATGTCGCCAGAGTTCTGCAGAATCATGTCCATGACCGTTGACACCGTTGACACCATTGGAAGTGCCGTTCGTGCCATTGCCAGTGTCCACACCGTTCATCATGTGGTTCGTCATGTGGGCTGACCGATACTTGGGGAAGTCTGGGAAATCTTGGGACATTGGGCAGGAGCGAACAATAATTATTGCGGAGGAGCATCCAAATTCTGGCTCCCTCCAACGAATCAGCGACGATAAAGAACGGACTTGTTGAGCCTCGGTCGCCTCACCTGCCCTTCTTAGTCTCACCTTTTTTTTTTTCTTTGGTGGGTGCCACGCAATCGATTGGTGGAGATAAAGCGGCATGGGCGATCAGGAACAATGCCCCGATCGTTATCCGAGTGGCGAAATAAACTGGCAAGGGGTGAACTCCGAGGGAAGGTACGGAGCACGGGGTACCGACAACTCCGTCCTCCGTACAATCGGTTATGTAGTTAGGGCAATCAATCCATGATGCTCACCGTCCCATAGTAGTAAAGTCTTACCGTAAGTCCCTCCACATGAGACACTCCGTACTGCTATCGAAGTAGGGAGTGGTTGGATGCAAGAACGTGAGGCCATGGAGAGCCGGGTGTATTCTGCTCAAGTGTCACGGTCAAGTGATGACCTGATAGGCTCAACTGCTTGCCGTCTTCCTCAATCAATCTAGAGGATTCGTGGGGATGTTCTGTGACTCGTGCCGAGTGCCCCGTAGCTTGTCATCACTTGGAGAATTAATGCCTTGTTCGACCTGTGCAATGGTCAGCAAACATGAAAGGGGCCTTTATCACAGTTCCTATGTACTCCGTACGAGGATGTGCACACACAAAGCAAAAGGATCGAGGTTGACCCAGGACCGCCAAGATAAATCGCTTGTGGTACCCGAATAAGCGATTGAGTGCACTCGACTCCAACGAAGTTACTAGACAGTTTCAGGTCATAACCCTCCGGCAGAAATTTGTTAGGCATGTTCCGGGCGCCCCTCCCAGCTCCCGAAGCGGACTCGCTGGGGCCCCAAGAGCCCCCAAGTGGGTGGCTCTAGCCAATTGTAGGGGAGGCCCTCGCCCTTATATTCTGCCTCCCAATCTCTCAATCTCTTTGCCCTTGTCACGTCTAATTTCGACTTCCTCGAGCTTCGCGTGTCTTTCGTGTATCCCACTAACGAGACAACTCTTCCACCAGACTTGAACTGTGATTCCTCCGACACCATAACCGCGCTCCATTATTCTTCATCCACCATCCATCCATCCACACCATCATCATAATCCATCTCTTTTTCTCCCTGTCCTCCCTGGTTGATCAGCCAACTATCGAATACTACTACTCCTATCTATTCTCCATCCTCTTGTCCTTTTCTTCTTCTCTTCAACCTACTTATCCATTATCCTCCTCTATCTCTCCTTCACTTCCACGTCCTCAGGTCCTCTATCAGCTTGTCCAGTGCTTGTCCAGGCCATCTCCAAGTGGCTGGCTGCAAAAGTGCGGCTCACCACGGGCGGCTCCTGCAAGGGACAGGCTCTTCCAGGCCAACCAGAGCCTGGCGGATCTGAGCGGAAACCCTTTCAACCTGTCGCCGTCCACACAAGTGATCCGGCCAGCCCGCCACCCATCAGCTTTCCAACGGCCCTTTTTTCACCTCCGTCATCCACTTCCACCTACCCGTACCTCTCTGGTGACCATTTGCGCCAATACTCCTTTTTTACGCCCGCATTCACCACCTCAATTCTCTTGACGTCCATTCAAATCACCCTGCACCTCGACCGATTTTTGCAAGCAGCCTTTATTTGCAGACCAATTCTTGCTGGTGTCGCGCCTGACGATTGCTGTTTCTCGACGACCGGAACTCGTGTCCTCGCCGACGTACACCGCCACATCGAACACCCGTGTTGCCTAAGACAAGCTAGACCTGCACCACCTTAAGAGACTGGCTTCTAACTATAAACTCGTGGGCTTGATAAAGCGCCAGCGCCTGATCTAAACTACATCCCCCTCGCGAGAGCTGCTTCCCCCCTTGGTTTCCCATCCATCTGGCCATGCCTCGTCGAGTGTCAACGTCTCTTTTAAGTAGTTCACCGCCGACCCCTTGGCCGTCCTTTACGCCATCCGCGGACAAGGGCGGTACCTTTGTCAACAAGACGTCTCAGAAAGCCAGCAAGATCGCTCAATTCTTCTCGACTTCGCCGAAGACGAAAGAGGCTCAAACCGCTGCCGCGGCCTTACTCGCGGCCAGCAAAGCACAGGAACAGGCTTTTTTGGCCTCGGGCTCACCGCCAATCAGTACTCCATCACTATCGCTACCGAGCATCTCGCTTTCGACTGCCCGCGCAGACTCCACAAACATGGACGAACCTCCCACTACCCTTTTCCAACCACCTTCTGCGGCCGAGACAAGAAAACTCGTGAAACAACATGCACAATTTGGTCCTTTAAATTCTCAGTCGCATCGCTACACCAGTCGACACCAAGGGGGCGAATTCCCCGAACCTATCATGGACGAACCGCCCTATTATTATCTGCTAACCACCTACATCTCCTACCTCATCCTAATTATTTTCGGGCACGTCAGAGACTTCTTTGGTATGAAATTCAAGGAAGACAACTATCGCCATCTCAAGGCTCGTAATGGCTATGCTGCGCTCAACAGTGATTTTGACAATTTCTATGTTCGACGCCTGAAGATGCGCATCAACGACTGTTTTAACAGACCCACCACTGGTGTCCCTGGCCGCTATATCAATTTGCTAGATCGAACATCCGATGATGGAAATTATCATTTCTCTCTGACGGGTACCACGACCGAAACCCTAAATTTGAGCTCCTATAATTACCTCGGGTTTGCACAATCCGATGGGCCTTGCGCCGATGCTGTTGAAGAAACAATACGGCGCTATGGACTAGGAACGAGCAGTTCTCGGAGTGAAGTGGGCACCTCAGATTTGGCCGTCGAGTGTGAGAACCTGATTGCAGGCTTCGTCGGCAAGGAAGCCTCCATGGTTTTCTCGATGGGTTTCGGCACCAATGCCGCAGTTTTCTCTGCTATGGTCGGAAAAGGAGATTTGATCATCTCGGATGAATTAAACCATGCCTCCATCCGATTCGGATCAAGACTCTCAGGAGCGATGATCACTTCCTTCCAACATAACGACATGAAGGATCTCGAATCGAAGCTTCGAGAGGCCATTTCCCAAGGCCAACCACGCACACATCGGCCTTGGAAAAAAATCTTGGTCGTGGTTGAGGGCCTTTACTCCATGGAAGGTACCATGTGCCATCTTCCAGGTTTGATTAGACTAAAGAAACGCTACAAGTTCCATTTGTTTGTCGATGAAGCGCACTCAATTGGCGCCCTGGGACCACATGGCAAAGGTGTCTGTGACTATTTCGGTATCGATCCTGCAGAAGTAGATATCCTGATGGGGACTCTTACCAAGTCGTTCGGCGCGAATGGCGGATATATCGCCGCCGACAAAGCCATTATTGATAAATTGAGGGTGAGCAACGCTGGTACCATCTATGGTGAAACTCCTGCCCCGGGAGTGCTCACCCAGATCATGGCTTCCCTTCGTCTCATCAATGGTGATCTCCTCCCAGGTCAAGGTGAAGAGCGTCTCCAACGGATTGCGTTCAACTCTCGATATCTGAGACTTGGACTCAAGCGTCTCGGTTTTATCGTTTACGGACACGACGACTCACCAATCGTCCCTTTGCTCCTCTACCACCCCGCCAAGATGCCTGCCTTTTCACATGAAATGCTGAGGAGAAAGATCTCGGTCGTGGTCGTTGGTTATCCTGCTACCCCCTTGATCTCTTCGAGGGCTCGCTTTTGTATCTCAGCTGCGCACAACAAGGACGACTTGGATCGAGTGTTGGCGGCTTGTGATGAGATTGGCAATGTTCTACAACTCAAGTTCGCCAGCGGAATTGCCGGAGGCGCTCCGCCCCTTGCCGAGGGCGTTACATGGGAAATGGAGCACAGTCGAAAGCGTTTGGAAAAGCACGACAAAGTGGCCAAATCACTTGTTGTCACTCCCAGATGGACATTGGAGGAGGTCATCAAACGTGGCGTCCAGGATGTCAAATTGCCACTCCGGTAGTTGGCAATGGTCGGTGACTCGCACATATCATATGTGAAGATGAATTCATGCTGCTTAATTGTTGCTCGCTATCTGACCTCAATTTTGAGACAGTGCGTCAAGGAGTTTTGGTCTGTGAAGACATGCTGTACATGGAAAGGCGTTGGCCAAGGGCATCTTCAGAAGGAAGAATCAGGCAAACCAGCATTTGGAGTTCCATTGGATGAGCAGGTTGTCGTTACAGCGCCACCCATATTGACTAGGCTGGTTGCCAACTGCCGCAATACTCGTTTGATGGTATTTAATAATTGATTATTATGTATCACACTATACGTACTTGTCCCTGTTCGTTTTCGTGAGATATTCATCGCCGAATCTGCAAAAGATCTAGGCCAAGTCAAGCTTCAAAGTGAGGCGACCTACTAGGCCCACGGTCCAAGTACGCCTGTTTACACGACGGCTGGTCCCCACTCGACCGTGCGAAACCAAGTCACAAGGTGCGTGAACTTTCCTCTCCAGTTGGGTACCTCCGGACGCGAACTGGTGTTTGATTCTCCCACTTGGTATGCACATGCCGCAGCCACCTATGTCGCGCAGAGTACTAAAGTAGTTGTTGCCCGATTTATAGCGCCTCTGTAGATGAGTTGCTGATTGGTCCGTTGAGGTTCGAGTGAACTGGGACTGCATGGTCCCTCTATACACGAAGGGCGTTCCCATCGTTGGCTCTCGTCGGGCACAAGTTTCGCGTTCCTGCAAGGCGACCGCCAAGCGTGTCACGAGGCATCTCCCGTAGAAGTATCAGCGGCCGCGAGGTGCCGATATCTTTTTACCTTCTGCAGTGCTCCCATTACGGCCTGGAGATTACGACTCAGTTGGAAAGATCTCAAGAATCACCTGTACTCTACGTGCATTCTGAGGTGGAATATAACGACAACCCCACACAACTCAGTGTTCTCCTCCTCTCCCTCCATCTGCCCTGCCTAGAAGGGGAATTAGGTTGTAATAACGCCCCAGTTTGATGGAATAAAGGACGACCTTCCTTATCATTGGTCATCGTTCAACCTTAGAATTTTTCTCAGCCGTCATCGGGTAACAAACCATGGGCCGTCCCGTTGAGGAGGTCTCATACGGTGGTGTCCCGTCATTGATTCTGATTTGATAGTGAACACACCGCTTTCTGAGGCTGCAGATGAGTGCTTTGAGTAGAACTGCTCTTTTCTTTTTGATCGAATTATGAATTCAACGGATTTAATGAGTTAATACGCTGCCGCTGCTCACGCGAGGTGTTGACCATTGCATTCATCGCAGGTGTGGAGGTACAGGAATAGTCGATCACGTGTGAAATGAGGGGCAGTCACGTGCCAGCCTTACGCAGCCATAGAAACACTTTCCTGTTTCAATCCCACAAATCGTGATGTTATGAATCGCAGAGGAAGCAATGCCTCTAACGCAATACGATGTTCCATTGCGTCCTACCTCGATCACAACAAGTGGCTTCCTTGATTGACATCACAACGACCAAAACGTTTGAGAGGACGAGCATACGAGGACGGACGGCTCCCTATGACCACAACTACCACACAGCCTGAGCTGTGATGAGAACGCCAAGGTAGTTTCTATTTGGTCTCAAATGATGAACTACTGCATGCATGGGGGCTGGCGAGACGACCTCCCATGCCCCTTTCGACCACTGAAAGTCGATCCTACAGACACCGCCGTTTCAACCATTCGATGCCTCTCCCTCTTCGCTGGTCTTGACTTCGTCTTGCTGCAGGCATGAGCTTGCCCCGCTCATCTACAGCCAATCCATTTCTTTGCTCACCTGATCTTACTGGAACGCTATGCGGTTGTTCATTCATTCAGCCAAATTCAAACCGGCCGTGCGTGGATGTGTTGCCTGCCACTGGCTCGCTTCAGACAAGGCAACTGTCCTCGCCGTTGCGGATGTGTGTCGACAAGCGATGATCCAAACCGGTCGTCCTCGATTGAACCTCTTGTTGAAAGAGAAAACATGACTCCCGACTTCTCTACAATTTGGCGCGCATAATCGGCTGCCTACCGGCTGACCCGCAATCCTGTCATTGATCCTGCAGCCTCTTACATGCATTGCTTCTTCCCATCCTTTCGACTCAAATCCGTCTGTATCTCTTTAGCATTGCCGTTCCCGTGGTTCTACTGCATATCATCGAACAGTTCCCACTTTGCAGCTGCACTGCCCCACTAGACCTTTTCAAACTTTCCATCGGCATTCTGCATCTTTCCTTCTCCCCTCTTTCAAAACGTATCCGCAAGCGAAACAAAGCACACCTGGCTTGTCCAGCCTGATACATTCGGCTTCATTGAAGATGGAGCCACCGCCACCTCGCGATCACTTCGCTCCGATCGACCCTGGCGGAGGAATTGAAATTCTGGATGATCATTTTTTTGAGGAAAGACTTGAGGAACCTGCCTTCTACGAGGAGCGAAGGCCACAGGCCCAGCATCGCATGTCAGCTTTGTCCATTCACGACGACCACGAATTTGAAGAGATCCAACCTCACAAGGAGCGTACCAAAGTCATGGACGACCGTAAGATATCGCAGGACTACCTTTATTATCGCCTAACCAAGAACGGCGATGATTGGAGTAGAGCGTTTAAGGATGTCATTTCAGCACCAATCGAACAAATTGAAAAGAAGGCACGGGAGAAAAGAGGGAGCGATGGTACTGTCCTTGAACAAATGACTCGTATGTCTCCGCTACGGCGTGGCCAGATCGAAAATTTAATTCAGAAGGCAAATGATATGGAGGTTGGCAACACACGCTGGGAAGTTGTTTATATAAAAGCTAAGAAGATGATAAGCCGGAAGAAAACTAAGGCAGTCGAGGTGCCTGAAATGGATATTATCCTCGCCAAAACCAAGAAACAGCTGAAGTCGCGTCAGAAATCTAACACCGCTGAAATTGTCGATCTTCGAGAACCTTACCTCCCACGACCAAAAAAAGAGAAGCGATATGTTGATGATAACTATTCTCGCGGCCGAAAAGACTCTGGGCTGGCAATGTTGTCTGACCCAATCACAAATCTGCCGCTCTTCGATAGAGACGGAAGACCAATAGATGAAAATGGTCCAGTCCAGTTCACTGGACTGCCGCCTCAGATTCCAAGGGATAAGCCGCTTGGCGCAAAACTTGAACAAATGAAAGACAAGGACAAGGACAAAGACAAGGGGGATAAAAAGGACGGAAAGCGTGATAAGAGTCAGAAGCGAAGCAGGTCGAGGGACAAGTTTGCTGAACATGGACATGAACACGATCCTGATATTATGGTGGTTCCAGAAGGAACTTTTGATGGCGATGCTCCTCTCGAGGGCATCTTTGGAGAGATCAAAGAAGACAAGCGGGGCCGGAGAGGAAAGTCTCCTCACGGTCATCATGATCATCCTGACCATCCTGAGGTCATGTTTGGTGATGCTCCGAGATCCCATTCACGCCGACGCCGCGGCGGTCACGAAGGCGAATTGCGAGAGAAATCCACACATCGTCGAGAGAAGTCCCGCCCTCGAGGTGACTCGGTGCACTTTCCAAACAGACGTACGCAGCAATACTTTGATGGCAGCAGCATTTCCTCAGGGGGTAGTGACGTGAGCCATTATGGCTACGAGTATGATGCCGAGAGCTCAAACACATCTATCGGCACACATGGCATTCCACGACGAGGAAGCCTGGTCCGGCATGAGTCTCGGCCTGATGTCATCTACAAGCAGCATCGCCGAGGTCCATCTGTGCCCGTGAGACATGCCTCGTATTCGGAGTCGCCACGACATTATCAGGATACCTATGTGCCAAGATACTACGACGAAGCACGCTTTGTCAAGCCAGCACGAACACCAAGAGAAGGTTACGTGGTCTACGAACAGCGTCCGACTGAAGGAAGATATGAGCGCCCCCGCATTGTGAGACAGTCAACCGTGCCTGTCCAGATCCCGGAAGACCGGCAGCTTCTGTATGAAGCGCCAGCGCAATATCACCAGCCTACACGAGACCTGGTTCCCATCCAGCGCCGTTACAGTGAGAACGCGCCACTGATCCGCCATGATGTGATGCCGCCCGTACTTCATTTCCCCGATGAGGATCGAGACGTCTACCACCGAGACTCACTTGAGCGTCAGAGCGGGAACATTGAGCATTATCAGCGAGACCGCATCAGAGAGGAGTTTCTCAACGAGAAAGAACGTGAGATGACTGACCGCGAACGCGACTTGGACATCCGCGAAGAAGCAGTAAGACGCATGCGACGAGAGAGTCGCGATCTTGACGACAGGGACCTCCGAGAGCACAGAAGGTCAAGGATCGTCGTTGACCCAAACACTGGCCAACGTTTTTACCTTGACGAGTAGAAGTCTGCTGTTCTAATGTAGTTCCGATGAGGAATTCAGGTAGCCAGGATGAATTCATGACGGCCATGTGACAATCGAAGAGTATACTCGAGCTATTGTCTCACCGACCAACGGGCTCACTGATAAGCTCTCAAGCGGGGTTGATGCCAAAGCTGTGATATGAAGCCTTTTTTCCACAGCCTATTGTTTTCAACAATCGTTTCCATCACACAGGATTGGAGGAGCACAATTCTATTCTGATATTTTCGAAATCCGTCATTCACATGCGCGCACATGCTTTTCAGGAAAAGAAGGAACATTGGGTAGGCAGAAGGAATGCACACGCATGGTGGGAACGGGCATTAGTACCAAAAGACTGGCTCTCCGCCAACATTGGGCTCGCGCCTTGAATGTCCCCTATATCCGACTTTGTCTTCCGTTCACCATTGCGTTGTTTTCTGTCTGTTGCTATTACTATCACTATCAGAATGTCACTACCACCGTCGGTCTTCCGCTCAGCAGAGGCCCAAAATAGTTGGAGCCCTCGACCCGCCGCGAAAAGAACCGATCGAAGGATTCGATAAGCATTGATCAATATTACCAAAAAGGGGGCTTCTCTTTAGAGTATTTGGCCTCGATGCTTCTTCTACTTGTCAGGCGATTTTCTTTTTCGATTTATTTCTCTTCACGCTGTCGCTCATGGCTTCCTCACTATTGGAGGTTCGAGATACCCTTGTCCCTCTTATCCCTTTTCCTTGCCCTTCGACCTTCTTGGGAGTGGTTTTGTCTGTGCCGCTGCTGGTGGATAATGTGTCCCAGAAAACGAGTTGTGATGAGGTGAATAGGGGGGTTCAAGCCGTTGTCATTCACGTTGAGATTGATGATTTCTTCACGAACGTGTATTCTGCTATTTTCTGTCAATTTGTGTTAGTGATACTTTTTGAGTGAGCGAGCAAGCAAGCCAGCCAGCCAGCGTATGGAGGCAAAGCCGAAGCGAAGAGATGAATGTGCAGAGGGAATGTATCCGGTCGAGTCCCGTGCCAGCAGCCTGGCTTTTGACGAACACAGCTATTACACCTCCTGGCAGTAGGCGACGCAGCGACCAGCGGGAGAACTCCCCATAATTGGGAATTTGAGATCCAGACACACAGATAAAGCCGTGATCACGGAGGGATGTCTCGGAAATTGAGTTATGATGGATGCAATGGATTAACAGAAACAACGAAACAAACACATATCTTTTGAATTCTCAAGAAGATTATTTTATTCCATGGTCTGGCCACCCCTACCTCTCTCCGTGCGGACCTGCGCTCGTCGTGCGTTTCCTTCCATCTCCTTCTGCTGCTTTCGGCACTCTACTTACCTAGAAGTCACGCTCTCCCCGCCGCTCGTGGGGTTCCTCCATCTCACCGGCCTTTCCGCCTCACCGGCCTCGCATTCTTCTCCCTCCGTAACTCCTTCTTGCGCCGCTCCCTAACAACATGATCCACGCTCTTGAGTTCCTTCCGATTACCAGTCTGCGCAGCCGTGCGCTCCTTCGCACCCGCGGATTTCTTCTTCTGCGTCTCGTAGTCGGCGCGCAACTTGTCTGGCGCTTTGGGCATCGCGGTGCGTTTGTGCTTGAAGCGTTTGTTGCCTGGGGACGCCGTCGCAGACGAGTCGCCGTTGGTGTTGGGCTTCTCGGCCTCACCTACCCTCGGCACGTGGCCCACGCGATTCGCTTTGCGCCACTTCTCGAACCGCCCGCTCTTGAAGGAGCTCGCGATCTTGGCGCCGGACTCGCCGCGCACCAGCCTCTTCGCGCCGCTGTTCCGACTGCCGTCCTCGTCGTTGTCGCGCCGCACGTACTTCTTGTGTCGCTTGTCCCAGCGCATCACACCGCGTGCTTCGCCGAAGTTCTTGCCGGATTCGTCGCCCGCGAGATCCATCGTCACATGTCGTGCTGCCGTCGTGAAGTTCGCCCCTCCGCTGCTGCCACCGGAGTGCACGCCGTAGGCTTTGTCGTCGGCGAGGGAGGTGTGGGTGGGCAGGTAGGACATGAAGTTCTCCGGGTCGCGATAGGATGTTGCGGTGGTTTTGGTCTTCTTGGCATGGGGCCGTGAGAAGGTGACCTCTAGCTCGGCGGATGAGGCTTCGGAGAGGCCGTCGTTCATCTGGGCGTCGGAGTTATCGGGCTCGTCGTCTGTGATGCTGTTCTGAGTTCTCTGAGCGGAGGTAGCGTCTTCATTGACAGCTTCCTTCTGCATATGTTGGGCAGAGTCTTGAGCTTTTTGCTTGCGAGTTTCGAGACCGGATCGAATCTTGCGTATGGCATCGACTGCTTCTTCGTTGTTCCTGCGGCCACCACGTCTTGCGCCGATCTCGAATATTGATTCCTGCGGACGGAACCCACCGACTCTGGCAAGCATTTTCTCTCGTTCGACTTCTAGGTCGTCGGATTGGTTGTTGAACAGGGGGTGTAGTTCTGACCATTCCTTAGACCCAATGATGTCTTTGGATCGCTTTGCACTTTCAGATGATGCAGCGTTCCTCGTTCGCAGATATAATTTCTCACCCTTGACTGCAACAGACCTCAAGGCGGCCAGATCCACACTGTCCTCCAAGACTTTCGAGACCCACTCACAATTGCTCTGTAGGTCTTCCCGACGCAGGCCCCCCAGTACAACATCTTGAGCAAAATTGACCGATTCAGTGGTTGCTCTGCCCACTGCCAGTCTTCTACCAAGAAAGAGCTGCAGATCCAACAGGTATGGAGAATCCGAATCTCGGACCATGCTGTAACTCCAGCCTTTTTGCCCGGCTCTAGCCGTTCGACCTACACGATGAACATAGACCTTAGGCTGAGAGGGAAAGTCGTAGTTTATGACATTGGCCAGAATTGGTATATCAATACCTCGAGCTGCGACGTCTGTGACTACTAGAATGTTGCTTTGTCCAGTCCGAAAGGCATGGACCTGGGTCTTCCTTGCTGTCTGGTCGAGCGATCCATACACATAGGAAACAGCATAGCCTGCCATACGCAGCAGCTGGGCCAGATACTCAACATGGTGCTTTGTTGCGGCGAAAACAATCGTTGAAAAGGGGTTCGAACTGGGTGAGATTTGGTTCTCTATCTCTCTTTTTCTTTTCTTCCCCGACTTAGCAGGCTCCGCAGGTGTCGATGATGGGATCAACTGCGATTGTGTCGGGACTTTGATAACGTCTTGCAGCAAATGTAAAAGAGCACCTTCCTTTTCCGAAGATTTTAATGAGAAGAAAGCACTTTGAAGATCTGGTGAAATCTTGCTGTCCGCATCAAGCCGCACGAGGACGGGCTCCTGCAGACCCGCGCGCGCGAATTCGACCAGCGACTTAGGCAAAGTAGCTGAGAACAATAGCGTTTGTCGAGAGGCCGGGAGTGCGTGGAGAATTTCGGTGAGTTGGGCGGCAAACCCCATTTCAAATAAACGATCCGCCTCGTCAAAGACCACATATCTCATACTCGAGAGATCCAGGCCCATTTCAACTTTCAGATGTAGAAAGCGTCCAGGAGTCGCGATTATAATGTCCGGATTAGTAGCCATGGCTGAGAATTGTTCCTCCAGACTGTCGCCGCCGACAAGGAGGATTGATCTTAAGTCGGTTCCTCGTCCTAGTTCCTTCACGACTTGTAACGTCTGTAGGGCTAATTCTCTCGATGGTGACATGATCAATCCCCTTGCTCCAACTTTTTGACTGTGGACTTTCAGTTTCTCAATCATTGGAATGACGAAAGCTGCTGTTTTGCCTGAACCTGTTCGAGCCATGCCAACCACATCTTTGTCGTTAAGAAGTAGAGGGATTGTTTTACGTTGTATAGGTGTAGGCACAGAGAACCCTTTTCGAGCAATCGCTTTGAGTAGATTCGCATTGAGACCAATAGATTGAAACGCTCCGCCTTTCTTCACCGTCCGACCCTTGAGATTGGAAGCCTTGCGGTTCGAGGCGGCCTGTTGGGCGGCAATGATAGCCTCATCGTCATCGTCGTCGGATGCGTCTGCCATGATGTCGAGATTTCCATTAGGCATATCCGCTTTGCCATCTTCTGAGAGGTCTGATTCTGACCCAGTATCTTTGCCAAATAGTGAGGCCCCAATATCGACTTCATTTTCGGACGGCGTCGGGGAGGGATGTCGGGGCGCCATTGCTGGCATATATATCAAACGGTCTTTGCTGAATTGTGAGATCTCATCTGCTCTTCAAAGTGACGCTCATCTTTTCGGTGTAATCCTGAGTCAAGGTAGTCCTCGTTGCGTTGCGCAGACGTTAATTTTGCCTGCGCCCAAGTATCTCCAAAAATTTTAAAAAATATTTTCCCGCTGCTTTAATAGCCGGCTTGGCATATACCCCGCGTATAACCACTTAACGCGTTTAATTTGGGGCGACGCGTGCTTTTGTATATTCTACGCTTGCCTTGTCAACAACTTCAACACAGCTCTACAGATTCCATCATGGGTGAGTATGGAGCAAATGGTAACTACGTTGATCTTTTCTAATAGTTACTGTCATAGATTACGGGTACGGAAACAACTATTCCACCTCCTACGGTGCAAATGGTGCTGCCGATGGTGGCGGCTTTGTGGCAGGAGAACCACAAAGTAGCCCTGCCGGTGGAAGGGTACGTCCTGGTGAACATCTCTCTTATCATATACTGACCAGGTTAGAGCGGATACGGAAAAGATACCGTTCGACCCTTGACCATCAAACAAGTCCTAGAAGCCCAGCAACCACATCCTGATGCAGATTTCAAGGTGGATGGCGAACAAATCAGTCAGGTAGGGAAAGAGATGGAAAGTTGCTGGCAGATGCTGATAGCATGTTCTCTCAGATTACCTTCGTTGGACAAATCAGAAACATCAGCACACAAGCGACCAATGTCACTTACAAAGTGGACGATGGGACGGGCCTGATTGAGGTCAAGCTGTGGACGGACACGGAATCAAATCAAGAACAGATGGATGTCGAATCCGACTCGAACAAACCCAAATTACGAGAAGACGGCTATTGTCGAGTTTGGGGCCGTTTGAAGGCATTTAACAATAAGCGGCATGTTGGTGCTCATGTCATTCGGCCTATATCTGATTACAATGAGATCAACTATCACCTTCTCGAGGCCACAGCTGTGCACCTCTTTTTCACCAGAGGCTTGCCATCGGATGCACAATCAAACGGTCAGAAACCTGGGGGGGCCAATGGCGTTCAAGGCATGGCATCCGACCTTGGTTCTGTGGCTGACGGTGCTCTTTCGTCATGTTCTGGCCTTGCTCGAAGAGTATTCGCCGCCCTTAAGAATACCCCACAGAGCAACGAAGGTTTGCATGTTCAAATGATTGCATCGAGCATGGGAATGCCTGTCTCAGATGTATATAAGGGTGCAGAGGAGTTGCTGGGTGTATGTCTGATTTTCACGACCGTTGATGATGATACGTGGGCGATTATGGAGACTTGAAGTCTTTGTATTCGAAATTGCTATGAGCGCCATGTTCTCAGAACTGTGTTGCCTAGTATGCGGTCAAGGTTGAGCGCCCAGCGAAGTCCTCCAACAAAACAAATATACATTACGATGATATGAAATACCTGGTTTGCTTTCGCTGCCTAGTGGTGTGAGTGAGTATGGAAAATGACTGGGCCTCTTTTCGGTTAGGATCTACTCACACGCTAGGTGGTCAAGCTTGTGGCTATGAAAGCATGGTATTTGTGCTAGGTTGACAGTCTAAGCATACTTCAAAAGATCGTGCCCTCCTTAAGCTGTACCGAGTACACCTGCCTCCCCGTTCAGAGAGCTGGTTTGGTCAGTGTAATTGAGACCTTTCTGGCAGCCTTGCAGCATAAAGTCTCAAAATGGAAGCAATGTCCATGTGTTTGCCTCGTCAACAGCGCTCTCCGCGAAGACTTGCCCCTGGACTCTAGTGATCCAGACACAGCCTTACTGGACTTTTCCCTTGTGGCTCCAGGCCCTTCCCATCCCCCTAGCCTCGCGCGCTCGAGCCAGTTCAACATCTTCAGGAGTTGAAAACTTCTATTCCAAAGATTCGCATCATTTGGACGAAGTTCAAAACGGGACTAGACAGGGCAATTCCAAGATCATAATTCCGTTATCAACCAGAAGGCAGTAGCGAATTCAACGAAGTTGCAGTCCTCATGGCGCTACGTTGCCCGGCAGGCCACCAGAATCTCCTGCAAATTTGGGCACAGATTTTGTTTTCCCAGAGAGCCTTCATTGAAGTAGGCAAATTATTTGAAGCCAGATAGATTGAAACATGTATCATCGGCATCACAAGGCGTGCACTGGCCAAACTTTCCACGCTAGAACACCACAAAGCGTTTTTGAGCACCTTGACGCACCTCTTCTTCACTATGTTGTTGAGGCATTCAAAAAAGGTATTGCAATATCATAAGAACTAAAAATAGTTGAGAGAATGATTCCAGCAGGCAATCCGCTCACAATGGGAGGAATTTAACTATGTTATTGGAGACTGTACATCTGTACCCCCATAATCTCCCAGAATAGCTCTGCAATGTCAGACCATACCTAGGCAAGTCCGGAGAGGACAATACTTTCTACCCCCACGCAGCCTCTTTGGGCCAAAAGTCAAAAAGCCAGCCTTTTCGGCTAATATCCATCATGGTGACCCAAGGCTGTTGCGGGGAAACTTCAAGAATAAGCATCTCGTACGGAGTACGTATTTAGATTGGCGGGCTTCCAGTTAATATGGGGGCATGTCATTCCCCACAGAGCACGCGACATCGTGATCGTCTCGGTGCAGTACCGTGGGAGGATAAGAGTTGCGAGCGCCTCTTGGGGGTCACCCTCCCACCTGCCTAGACGAGGAAAGGGTTGTTACAAAAGCGAAAGGGGCCCGTTGCTCTTTTACTATGAATCCGTTAATTGAATGCCCCAGTCCTGTCCTTGTACTGTTTCGTGTGGTTCACCCGCTGCCATTGCCCCTGGACGTCACAGCCTCGCTTTAAGCACCCGTGACCTGAAAGGCTCTAGAGATAGGATATCCTGGACAGAGTTTTACTGTTGCTTGGTGTCAAGGAAGTCCTGCTCTGAAAATAAGACAGGATTTTGAAAAGCGCATACTACAAGCAAATTATGAGCGAGTCATGTAGTCGTCAGCCACATTTCACGGCGTTGAACAGCACGCTCGAGACGAGATCGCAGGTGCTGGAGGCGTGTACCTCCTTGCTAAACCCGTTGCTCCCATTCTTCTCACCCGGACGGACCAGGCTACGGCTAGGGGCCACGGCGACTCGTTACGATGAGACGGGAGCTCAGCTTGAGGGATTCACGCGGCCGATGTGGGGCCTTGCGGCACTGCTAGCCGGCGGTGATAGCTTCCCTGGAGCTAAGCTGTGGCTAGAGGGACTCAGAAACGGGACGGATCCAGAGCATGCTGAGTTCTGGGGCTACGCGAAGGACTCCGACCAGCGCATGGTCGAGATGTGTCCCATGGGCTTCGCACTATGCGTCGCTCCCAAGCAGCTCTGGGATCCCTTGACGGAGAGGGAGCGAGGGAATGTCCAGAAGTGGCTTGGGTGGATCAACAATAAGGAAATGCCAAATACCAATTGGTTGTGGTTTCGTGTCTTTGCGAACCTTGCACTCAAGACCAACGGTGCTGAATATTCGGTCGATCGCCTGGAGGCCGATTTGGTCCACCTTGATACCTTCTATCGTGGCGATGGCTGGTCGAATGATGGCCCGAGCTCCCACCGGCAAATGGACTACTATAGTGGATCCTTCGCCATTCAGCTGCTGCAATTGCTGTATGTGAAGGTTAACGGTGAGGAAGATAAAGCTCGAGCCGAGGAGTACAAGGCTCGTGGTAGGTTGTTTGCGAAAGACTTCATCCATTACTGGGACGATCAAGGTAATTATTTGAAGAGAACTCCGCTCGGATGATCTGACGTGACTTAGGGCGTGGAATCACGTTTGGTAGATCACTCACCTATCGATTTGCGACTGCAGGATTCTGGTCAGCTGTGGCGTTTGCAGAGTTGGAACTTGACCCCCCCTTTAGCTTGGGAGTGGTTAAAGGTCTGCTCCTCAGAAACCTCCGGTATTGGTCGCGACAGAAAGATATCCTGACTCATAGTGGACTGCTCACAATTGGATACAATTATCCCAACCAGTTTCTCTCTGAGAATTACAATTCCCCGGGCTCGACATACTGGTTCATGTTGGGATTTGTCGCCCTAGCTTTGCCTGAGTCCCACACTTTCTGGCAAGCCAAGGAGGAGCCATTTCCGTCAACCTCAGTCCCACAAATCGTCGCGTTAAAACATCCGCTACATATAATGGTCAATAAAGGAGGTCACAATTTCCTCCTTTCCTCGGGACAAGCGTGCCATTATCCTGTGCGAGCGTCGGAATCGAAATATGGCAAGTTTGCCTATAGTTCTGCCTTCGGCTATTCAGTTCCAACAGGAGCCTACGTCGTCGAAGCAGTTGGAGGAGACAATATGCTTGCAGTTTCCGACGATGATGGAGAATCGTGGAAGGTCCGGAAACAGCCTCTCGATGCCAGATTGGAGACCATCGATGGCTTACCAGTCCTCGTCTCTTCGTGGAAACCGTGGAAGGATGTATCGGTTGAAACGCATCTGTTGCCTCCTGCAGATGCTACCCCAAACTGGCACTTACGTGTCCACCGTGTGGTCACAAAACGTACACTGAGATCCAGTGAAGGCGCCTTTGGACTACATGGTGTGTCTGCCCTGGACGAACGAGAGCTCACAACCCTTGACGCACGAAAAAATGAAGGCCGCTCGGAAGCCCAGGGTGGGTCACTAGCCATATCCAGAGGCGGGGCGGTAGGAATTTTGGAATTGCATCAGCCGAAGCTTCGTGCTGGTCGAGTTTTGGACGAAGATGCGAATAGTAATCTGATGGAGAGCAGGTCAGTCTTGCCTACTTTAGCGGCGGAGTTCGCCGCTGGCACAGACACCTGGCTCGTGACAGGTGTTTTCGCTCTACCATCCAGTGGTGAGCAATTTCAAATGAGATGGAAGGAAGGTTGGAAAATTTGGCCGGCGATACCAGGCTGGGTGGCAGCGAAGATCAAGGAGTGCAACACATGACGAGGCTGGAGATGTGGGTGTGGGTGCTTGCTATTTGAGTTGTGGAGAATTATCTAGCTTGCTACAGTTAGCGCCCACCAGAGAATAAAAGCAGCTGACTAAGATTTACCGAACCAGCCTTGTCGTTGTTGTTCCGCGTTCACCACAGGGTTATCAGAACTGTCCTTGGACCCCAAGTTACATACTTTCCCCCCTTTCCCTCACGTTTAGACCGGTGAGGAGTGTTCTTTACTTTGCAGTATCAGCGTTTTCCATTAAACTTGCGCTCTGCATGAACCACATAACTGACCAGTGAGGGCGTGGTCCATCACGCCCATCCTGATGATTTTTGCCTGAGGCGTTCGCCATCTTCCCACACCACAATACACCATGGCGCCCTCCCCAACGATTCGCCGTCTTCTAAAAGAAACAGCGGAGCTCTCATCTCCGTCCTCGAGTCCTAATCCGGCATTCTACGCCGCACCTGTGTCCGATGCTGATCTCCATGACTGGCACTTCACCCTGCTCGGGCCTCCCGCTCCTTCGCCCTACGCTGGTGGCATGTATCATGGGCGCATCACATTGCCACCAACATATCCATTGAAACCACCAAACTTCCGCTTTCTGACACCCTCAGGGCGATTTGAAGTCAATCGCGAGATTTGTCTGAGTATTTCTGGATTCCACGAGGAAACTTGGATGCCAGCATGGGGAGTACGAACAGCACTCACTGCGCTACGTTCTTTCATGGCAGAACAAGGAACTGCTGGTCAAGTAGGCGGCCTAGAAGCCAGTAAAGAAGTGAGATCACGTCTGGCAAAGGAAAGTCGTACGTGGAGGTGTGACGCCTGTAAGAAGACCAATGAAACAATTATGAGAGAATGGTGGGATATCTGCCATGAGGCGGGACTCGATGTGCAAGAAGAGGAGTTAGGTCTTGAAGCGTTGCCTGAGGGCATGAACCTCGAAGCTCGGGCTTCCAAAGCGCAGGAGCAGCGGGCGAGGGAAAGTTCCCACCAAGAAGGACAGCACGAGGGACGGCAACGGCAAGAGACGCAGGTCCCTTCAATCATATCGCTGGGTCAACGTGACCCTACATCTCAACCTCAAACACATACAGATCCGCATACACCACCACGCTCTCAGACTCACTCACGCTCTATTTCCACCAGTACCAGCTCCCTTGTACCAGGTCCCATTCCCCTTGTGCCTACACCCAGTGCAGAGGCAACACAGGCTAGGGCAGAAGCAGTACTCACCGCTTCCGAGCTCTCTCCCACCGGACGATCCACGCGGCCGCTTTCATCTCTCCATTCTCAATCCACACCACTCGCAGCTGCGACAGCCACGACGACCAATCATTCGGCACAGTCATTACTTCCACAACGTCTTGGCGGGCGTAATCGAGAACAACAGGCAATTACAATCGATCGCGCTATCGCGGGCGTTTTCCTTGCTTTGTGTCTGATGGTTCTAAAGAAGATATTTTTTCCCGCGGGATCGGGGGCTTCAGCCGATGCGTTAACGAGAAACGAGTTCTATCTACAGCGGGAATGATGAAAGCGATGTCTTTTTGTCCCAAAGAAGCGAGCGTATGCTTGGGTCATGCTAATCTATCCGCTCAAGTAGTTCGAAAATCCGTTGGTGTACAGAGTTGTCTGATCCATCGAACGGAACGGAAATTGAAGGGTCAATCCCATGTCACAGGCTGCCCGTTCGCATACACTAGTTGGGTAACAAACGCGCTCAAAGATCATTAAATGACACATCCACAAGGGCGTATTAAAACCTCCTTGCAAAACCTCCCTCTCTTGTCCTTGCTCCTAGCATATCACGTGGAGGAGTGGTCCATGATAAATTCGTAATCAATTGGCATTTGGTGGACACAGAAGGCCCGCCTCGTACATGTTCGTCTCAAGAAATAAAATTCATACCTGCAATTTTCGTGACCTGCTCGCTAAGATTTGGAAGTATCAGCGGTTTTTAAGAGAAGATGCACACCAGGCGGAACCCAAGTCCTTCGTTGCCATCAGTGCTCCCCACGGTCTCAGCCATTATCGAGTTCCTAGTCTATTTGGCGCGCTTATAGACACGTGACTGCCAAGCAAAGCGCCTTTGCAGAAGAACTACGCGCGGTTATCCTACTCCCCCGTATCTGATTGGTTGCCTTGGCAACAAAAGGTTGCCATTTAATATCAAAAATTTGCCTAGCATGAGATGAGACCTGAGCTACTGCAAAGCTGCCCAACTTGACATGCCAATCAAGACATGCCAGCAAAGACCGTGAAGAAGAAGGTGGTATTGTTCCTGTGGTCCTGCGTAGGTGGCCTTTCTTTATACTTGAATTTAAGCCAAAAAGTGGAGAAGCTGATTCCTCACCAAGTGTAAATGCGGCCATTCAGCAATTGGCATAAAAACACAGGATTGCCCGAATTGTGGCCATTCAAGGGACAGGTACTGCAAAGTAGACAAGGTCGTCAAATGAGATCGACCAGTACTGTTGCACCAGCACCCTTTAACAAGCTTGGGCACTGGGCCTTCAGCCCGTCGGCACGTTGGTTGCGCCTGCAGGGCCAGCACCATGGAGGTCAATATGCTGTCTTTAGGACTGAGTCACCTGGACACCTTGCTGAGTGGGGAGATGAATATATCCGTGGCTCAGCACCGGTGCTCTGCGCTCACAGCTCTGAAGGGGTACAATTCCTGCTCTCGATCGCAACATACCACCACGTCAATACGATTCCTCAGCTCTACAACCCACAAATTGCCCTTGCTCAGAATGGAGGACAGATGGACCACAATCTTCAGCAAGCGTGTTCCGGCCTTCAGTGCTGAATCGTCGGCCAATAAGCCCTATATTGAGACATTAGACGAACTCCCGAACGATTGCGATGATCACACCTCGGTGCAATATTTCGAGGGCACAGGTGAAGAAAATGCCGAGGAAGGAGATCCCGTGGAAAGTGATGAGGAGGGTGACGTGGTGCGAACCTTCATGCGTATTGGGCATGAAAGCGAGGTTTGCCTTCCCCAGGCAGAGAAAGTAGTGGACTTTTGCAAGGGCTGCCCGGGCGCCTCTCTCGATGCACTCCGAGCAGGCAATTCTATTCCAGAGCTGAGCCCTGTTGCCCTGGTGGACGAACAAGGCCACAATGGTTCTAGAAAGGCCAGTGGTGCATTGAATCCACGTGAGCTCTACTGGCGACGGAAAAGAGCGGTGAGTCGTTTGAAAGTTTCTAGAATATCTTGCTGACCACATAGCTAGCGTTTCAAAAGTCATTCATCAAAGATATCCATCCCCACTTTGTTGCGCCCGATTGGAGAAGAAGTTCGATCCGATGGTCAAAAGTTGGAAATCGCACTTTGCGGCAAGGCTGGGGATGGTGAGCCGGATGCAGAGCAACAGACAAACTTTGTCTCCAACCTAGATCCCTGGAGTATCAACGCCCTTATCGGGACAGCACCACATATGGAAGTGGCTCACTTGCAGAAAACCCTGTATAGGCATCTATTGTTCGAGCCATATATTGTCTTGGACATCAACATGGAAGGATTGCCGATGTATCATCTAAACTTTAACTTACCATACTTCGCCTTGAGAAGTTCCAAAACCCCTCGAAAAGATGAGCGTATGTACTCCGACAAAGACGCCCTGAGACACTTCTATGATGTGTCATTCCTCAATGGCAAGAAAGATCCCGACACATCTTCCTTCCTCTATGAGGCTCAAATCTCTTGCACGGTATCAGGAATCGACGACGAGATCTGGACAGGATATTTCTTCATCGACACTTATTTCAATCCAGAGAGCAAGGGAGAAGCTGTTCGCTCTTACGATCAAGACAGTCTTGCCGAGCGGGGCACGAGAGTCGACCCGTTCACTCAGGGTCATCATGAAGTCGATCGAAATACTACAACACGTAATCCTAGGGAATACTTCTTGACTGTCTTGAGGTTCCGCCTCCAGCAAGTGACGAATGAGTGGACTAAAGTGGTAGAAATGTTCATCAAACGCTGTCGACAGCAGGAGCTGACTTTGCTATCAACCTCCAGCAAACACCCTTCTATCGAATCTCAGAAATCCGTCATCCGTGCGAAGTGCCTCTCCAAAAAGTTATTACTTGCAATTTCGGATACCATTACATGCATCGAAGAGTTTTGCGAAGAGCCCTTAATCAAAAATTTCCGATCAGTGGATTCCCGGCCACCTCTTCACCCGATCAAACTAAATATGAAAGAGCTCAAACGATTGAGGCAGAAACTCGAGGAGCAGAACGACCACTGGACCAACTTCACAAATGCCGTAGAAGTCGGACTGGCTATGCAGATGATGCAAGTGGCAAAACTATCGGTGACCGTGGTGTTGTGCATATCACCAGTCGGTCTGGGTGTTAGCATTTTTTCTATGGAGAAGGAGGTGATGCCCTTCGTGCCACGGAACTTCACGTCACTTTTGTGCACCATTGCAGTGTTGGGTGCCCTGGCCCTTGTCGCTCTTGTTGTTCAATCAAATTGGTTCCTGCATCTCGTCTCCACTTCAAATCCCTCGAAGTATTTCTTCTGGTACCGCAACGCCTCACTACCAGATTTCAAACTCCTGACGCGTCATGACCAGCTCAAGCTGGGAAAACTTCTCCAGGCAGATGAAGAGAATGGTCCAACTCTACCCTATCACAGAGAAACACGCTCCCTCGGGACCATGGTCCTCAGGCCGAATGTCAGCAACGATACTCACAACGTGCGTACCGAACTGTCAGGTTCAGCAGGGCTACACTGCCCGGGCGAGCAATCCAACTATTCTGGCATCTCGAAGACTTCCCCATTCACCCCAAGCGATAGCTCTCAATAACATTCTAAGCCCATCAGATCAATTGTTTAACTATGAGAAATCCTTCATCAACAAATTTCTCTTGCTCAACTATCAACGAGTAACAAAACATCTCAACAAAAACAGCCACTATCAGCATAACAAACCTCAGTGTACGTTTCCCCCAATACTGCTTTAGCGAACCGGCCAAAGACCAAACTACGATTAACGAGAGTTTCAACATCTCCTTCCCCACCAAACCCACAACAAAGCACAGGACCTGTAACTATCCCTATGACACCAGCATGCACAGCACGCGGGTGTGCAAGATTTGTTACCCTTTTCATGAGCAAACCAGAATGTACAAACAACAAGCTTCGGGAAATGTCATCTTTCCTGAATGTTTCGCCAAATTTGTTTCAGCCGAGCAATAGACCGCGCGTTCCCCTCTCGGGGGTTTCCTTCCTTTGTTTTCATTCGACTTCCACGTTTTTCTTTCTGGGCGGGGGGAAAAGGGGTTTCGGTCGTTGTGTTTACTTTGTTCATCTCCAAAAAAAATTTGAAGGGCTGGGACTCAAAAGGAATAAAATTGGATGGAGTAGCGGCTCTCCTATTTCGTTATTATCGGATTGTACTCTAGTTGAGTACCCAATAGATTGTGAGCGATGTCTTTTTCTGGGGCTTTTCTTTCTTTTTCACCTTTAGAGTATGGAGCAAAATTGGACAAAAGCGAGCTACGATACCCCAGGTTCGGAGGGTTTGCTATTTTACATTTAAGAAGAATGATATGTTTCAGTGAGGGAATTGAAACTAAGTAGCGACATACGTTACATCGAAACAGCGAGAGCATCAACTCGGTATGATATCCAATGTGATTGGTATACAAGCTATATGGCTAGTTAGGCAAAAAGCACCATCCCCAAAACCATCCGCCGACTTTTGCTCCCCATATGAATAGCATGCCGATGTTCATATGCATCCCCGTTCGATAGTATTGGAACATGTACACGGATGGGCTGGTCATTCCAGATGACGCTCCGATGAAGGTTCTGAAGGTTCTTCGATTTATTTCACCTTCCCAAGCGATTCCTGTGTGTCCAAGCGCGCTTGGTGTGCACGTCATCTCTGTATCCAATGTCAGAATTGGAGTCACTGTCATCGTCGTCGCTGCTGACTTCAAATGACTCGACTTCTCCGCTTTCTGTCGTGTCAAAGTCACGGCGTTGGCGTCGTCGGCCTCTGTCTGGCACTTCGCTAGTATATGGTGGCCTATTGTGTTGATGCAGCGTGTGCATCGACAGAGCACTGTGCGAATACAAATCTTCCTCGTCGTTGTTGCCATATCCATTGATTTGCTGGTGATGATACAGATGATTCTCGTCGTCGGAGTCGTGTTCTCGATCACGCTCGTATGCTTGGTACCTACTACCAGCACCTCCACGCAAGCTGACATTGGCGGCATATCCGGTACTGCTTTGATCTGCTGCTTCATTCAAACGTCGCTCTTTGTTTCTGCTGAGTTCCTCCTGGGCTGATGCCCATTTATGGCTGACTTCCCAGCTCCATCCATCACCAGTCGTATTGCATACGGGCAATGCCCAGAGTAATGGGTTGGGACCGAACAAATGCTTTAGATTCCGCCTCCATCCAAGGTCGAAGGCGCTGGGGAGTTTTGCGGACTCCTTGTCATCGAGATATTCATTATATCGTTCACGCTCTCGCTCAGCCTCGATTGAGGAATATGTACGCCTAAGAGCGCGCAAGGCTGGGGTATCGTTTGTGGAATCTTGGTTCGTACGGCTTGTGTAGTTGGTCGGATGTTGCGGTTGGGCGGAGTAATCCTGTGAACCATAGAGGCTCGGAACGGGGGATGTGTGTTCTTCGCCTTCCTCGTAGCGTGAAGCACCTGGTATTGCATTGGCATGGAGCTCCAAAATCTGCTCCCCTGCTCGTTGAAGTCTTTCCGCCACACCCTCAGAGGTCCGTCTAAAATGGCTGGATTGGTGCTCTTGTCGATTTCTTTCAACACGGCTTCGTACCCCACTAAGGTACCGAGTTTTCTCTAGTTTTTCAATGGTGGTTTGTCCTTTGACGCACAAGTAAATATGCCAGGCCGTAAACCCAGTCAAAACCAACCCAAGGATACCGGATATTACGGAAAGCAGGATTATGTTCACGGGTGCCGCTGCCTCCAAGTAGCCGCTTTTCTCAAACAATTCCTTCCACATCCACCAAGATGCATTAACAAAACAGGTCCAGGAGAACAAGGAAAGGTAAACAAGGAACAGTACGAAGGCCTTGTAATTGTGGAGGCCTAGGCAGGTCGCAAGCCAGGGGCAATGGTGATCCATTTTCAGGACACATCTTTGGCACGTCGAGCAATGATGCGTACGGTCAGGTTTCGAGGTATGGCACTTTTTACAGAACCGCGGTGCGCCGGTAGATGAGACGGTAATATTTTGCACACCACTCAATTCGCTCCCTGGCTCACTTGTTGGAAGTATCGAATATTTCCCTTGCTGCTTGCTCTTGGTGGATTTCAGGGGCGAGCCTGGGTCGGTGAAGACTGCGATTGTGTAGGACAAATTGGCCAGGAAGTAAAAAAGAATGCCGAAGGCCGATATGCCTTGTATTGCCCACCATATATTTTCGGAACCGGTGTCACCAAAGCCAATGTTTGATATCACCCAGACACCCCATGTACTAAGACTGTATACAAAAGCGAGAGGGAAGTAAGTTGCAACAGCGCAGCAGCCCCGCTCGCAGGCGCTGGCGCAAAGATTGAGGCGTCTGCGTGACGGGCTAGGAGGAGGTGACGAGGAAGGAGTCGAGTAGCTTGCCATGTCAGCAAGACTTAAAACGATCGTAATTTCGATGGGAAACTTGGTCGTGCAGACCGAGTAGAACGAGGGTGTGTCATTTAGCCAGAACAATTGCCATTTTTGAGTATCGAAGAGGTGAGATTCGAAGAGACGGAATATTCGCTATGACTGGAAGCAAAACACGGGTATGGCAAGAAGAGAAGAGAAAGTGACACCAAAGGAGTCAGGGCACAGAAGCACGAGGCCAGCAGTAATAATAAGATAACTTGGTGAATGAGAGAATGGGGTTGTGGATGCGCAGTTGATCGAGTCGAGGGATGCTTTGGGTGTTTAGAAGGCGAAAGCAGCGCTGACGTGTTTTGCCGCCAGCCGCAACTCACTAAGCCTCCCTAGGCGCTTCGGCTCGGATAAACTCATCCGCGGGCCTTGACAGCCTCTGCGGGACGCGCCTAATATCTTTAGCAAGCAAAATAGCCACAGCCTTGTTACTTCGTCCACTTGACCCGATGAGTCCAATTGTACTGGCTAATGTTCTAACCCGGTTTCTAGCTAAGTTTTCGCCTTCTTCGAGACATCTCGACAGGTTACTCAAGGGACTGGAGAGCGATGTGTCCCATCGGTGTTGTCATTCTGGTTGCATGGCCCTTGCGCCTAGAATGGATGATCCTTCAACGCAATTGATACTCATAGGGACCACTGCCGCAGTGTTTCCAGTAGCATCATCATTCATTCCATTCCTTCCATTCTGTGTACCATTTCCGCAACGCGCGCGGAGCTATTTGGCATCCGTTCAACACGAGCACTTATTCCCAATGGGTCTGGTGATCGTAAGCTCTATCGTCTCGCAGCATAGTTCTCTGACCTTGCTGCTATCAACGCTTCCATCTCTCTTCTCTATGCTGTTCAGAAGGCGATTGATCTGGCGTCTGGCGCGATCAGCCTTCTTCGCCTCACACGAGAATTCTATTTTCGCAAAATCTACCTCCCACGGTGGGTCGAAGTGAAGCTGTTCTACCTTGACATATGGCGGGCGTCTGGCATATATTATGCGGCAGCCCTGAAGTTGACCCACTCGTATTCGGAGGTGCATCTTGTGCGGCCCGCCTCTTCCAGGAGATTCATACCTAGATAGAAATGAATCCAGTCGTACAACTCCGGAAAACCAAACATGACCAGGCGATGCGAGCGATTCTTCGGAATCAAACGTACGATAGGCGAATCCAATCAAAGCGTTCAGTTCCAAAAATGAAGTAAATGCCGTTGCGTCGCTGGGAACCGACGCGCGAGATTGAGAGGATAGGGGATCAAAGACCTAAGCTTTATGTCGTGGCGAGAGATAACAAGTTCATCCCCCTAGCGGAGCAAAAGAAGGTGTTTAAGAGAATCGTTGGGCCCAAGGAATTGGTGGTGTTGGACAGTGAGCACTTGGACACGTACATGGGCAGTGTATTTGAGGAGAATGTGGTCAAGCAGATTGAGTGGTTGAAGAGGTGGTTGTAGAGCGATACATTCCAACGTGACGACTACACCATATTATTCTCTAGCAAAGAGGGTCAAACCTAGTTGTTACTGCACGACTAGCAAGCATACTGGGTATTCGCACCTGAGTAGGAATGCTTTGATAGCCTGCTCCCCTGTTCCGAACTCCCATTGCTCCTTGTCTTTGGAGAGACCGTGTTAGTCCTGACGATGCTATCCGTTCCTATCGCCCTAGAAGCCCATGCGACCGAAGTTATCTTAATCCAGGTCCTTCTCCTCACCGTCGAAACGGAAAGTGAGACCATCCAGCACGCCAAGTCGAGTTGCGATCTGGCAACGCACGACTTCGTAATGGTCAGTCTCGTAGAATCGTAGGGTGTCCTCCTGCTCACGAGACTCGACCTTAAACGCACTTCCAGAGACAATTTCACCTGGTGCGTCGACCAAGGCCTTATACTTCCCTGCCCAAGTACGAATCCGGCCTCCCACAGTCTCGGCCTCCAAATACTGGGCACCTTTTTCCAGTCCGAGATGCCGAGAGAGGACGTCCGGGTCCGCGAGCGTGCCGTAGAAGAAATACCAGACTGGGTACTGGTCTGCGGATGGGCTTGGCCGGAAATCGGCTTCGTCAGCACGGTGCTGTGGAAGCACGCACTCTTTGCCGAGCATGGGCGCCAGGCTATGCCTGCACAGCTCCTTCTTGGCCTTGGAGAGACGAACTATTGTGGGCTGGAACCCGGCGTGATGCTCTGACACCCACTTCTGTAGGTTCGCCTTAGCTGCGGTGTCGATCTCGCAAAACTGTGATTCTCCATTTTCGCCTACACCTTTGACCAGCGCAGGAGCCCTGTCAAGAGCCGCAGCCTCCTGAACTCTTGCCGGACTGTTAAGAGGACCGGCGAGCTGGACGATGAACGTGCCCTGTCGCTCGCTAGCAGCCGCGCTGGGCGAGCCACCCTTCGGGACGTGTGGATTTCGAAGGGAATACTCATACGACTCTCGATCATGGCCTTTTGCTCTGTGAACATTGTTAGTCATTACCCACAGCTTGATACACGGCTTTCAGACAAAGGGAACGTACTCCTTCTCCACTTTGATGGCATCCCACAGCTCATGTCCAACCCTGGTTCGGCTGAAATCCTGGCGATGTGTTTCGATCGCTGCTGAGGCTTCGGAGGGAGTGAAACCGAAGAGCATTTCCCATCGCTGTATAGTGGCGTCGGAGATGGGTTCGTCGTCAGCATCGGCCACGTTGATTGCCATAGACTCAAGCTCTGCAAGAACATCCATAGCGTCGTTTCTGAGTTGCTGCAAGTTGATAGTATTCAGGTGTAGGAGAATAGCTTGCCAGTAATGGCTAGAGGTGGTGAGATGATGTAGTGGAAGAGGATGTGCTTTGAGATATGCGCTGAATGTCTGGAGGAAGTGAACATTTTATGCGCATTGCACCGGGGGTCGAGAACAATTTTTCACCGTGTGCGCGAGGACCTTGAGGACCTGTACTGCACCAGGTACCGAAGATATGGTAACTGTGCACGAATAGCTGATTCAAGACTTTATGGTTTGTGGTTGGCCAATAGCACCATGGTCATGCCCAGAAAGGTTGGTGTGCAGCCCGAAATGCACAAGTGAGGGGCCCTCTGGGCGTCTCGATGGTCATTGGCTCACCTATTTTGGCCCCACCATAACAAAGCAGATATATTCTCACGCGTCTCGAATGCTTCAATTCTCCTTCCTCCCCCATACCCCTGCCCTTCCATGCCCTGCTCGCCCCATTCCTGCCACGACGCTTCCATGCCAACTCTCACCATGTCTTCTCCTTGTAGCTCGAGTTCTCCTCGCGCCAGAGTGTCGCGTCGCGCCGGCGTACGCTCTGATACCCCTACCGGTGCTCCCCCTCCTCGGCCCCGGCGTCGGCGACGACATGACAACATCACCGATCCTTCCTCCTCCTCCTCCCTTCCCGTCGCTCCCCCGACCAGCACGGCCATCCCCCGTGATTACCTCCCCTTTTGCTTCGGTGCCGAGTTCGAGCTGATCCTGCGACCCAAGTCCATTGCCTACCCCGACTTTGACGCTCCTACTCGTGTTACCCGCGACTTCAACCTCCGCCTGCTCGATTCCATCGCCCAGATACTCTCTTCGGCCAGACTTCCTTGCGGCGTTTACCACCAAGGCTCGGACGACAAGTCTGACTACACTATATGGAACGCTACCTTGGACAGTTCGGTCTCGAAGAAGCATATCCGGGATGGTTTCTACCCTGTCGAGATCGTTTCTCCTGTTATTTTGGCTGATGATGGCTAGGTGCCAACCATCAACAAGTTCTGGGCTGCCCTCAACACACAGTTCGAGTTCCGCAAAGATGCGTCATGTGGTTTCCACGTACACATCTCCATGTCAACCGGATCGTACTCGGATGTTCAGCTCAGAGCCATGGCCAAAGCAGTGACCTTCTGGGAGCCAGCCACAGCCCGCTGCGCCCCACCATCTCGACAGGACGACATCCAAGGATTTTGCAAGAGCAATATCGTCAACACCAGTGCAGCCAAGCCCCTCGCAAGGTATGGACCTCTTCGCGGCCTCGTATATGCCTTTGATTATATCGACCACTCTTCCCGCGAATCCATCATTGAGTACGTGTGCCCAGACAAGCATCGCGCATGGAACTTGAATCCTTGTCGACCCGGAGGACACGGCAGCATCGAGTTTCGACGTGCACCAGGAGTTTCCACCTCTCAGGCCTCGATCCACTGGATCGCCTTCACGATGGCTTTTCTCGACATGGCTATTCAACACAGCCCGGAATCCATGGCTTCCCATGTTCGTGAATCCGCCTTCGTCCCAGAGGTGTACTTCCCGGATTTCCGGACCCAACTCCTGGAGTGCGCTGCCCAATTGCGTATTGACTCGTGCATTGATCTGGATACCGGCCAGTTTGAAGACCCGGAAGCCCTTCATTTTACCATGTCTAGTGAGAAAGTGATTCAAAAGCTACAGCGGGCTGACCACCGTTACCATCTAAGCGACAATTGTTAAGTTTCTGCTATCATGCCATCTACTTCACTGCGGTTTCTTCTCTACTTTTGATTTCTGCGTCTTGATCACTGAACACGAAACACCAAAAAAAATCGTGAAAATAGGCAGATAGACTGTTTGTTGACTCTGACATAGTCGGGGAACTATGGCTTTCAGAGTGACAGATGGCGAGTCGCAAGCTGTGGAGGCAAAAAAAGGAGGTCTCGGGTACCCAGGCCCAAGTTTCATGTAGAACTCGATTTCACCGCCGGTAGACCGGCTTTCAGTTCTTCTCAGTATATGTTTTGGTCTGCAATGAGGTCAACCTTCTCGGGGTGTGGGCTGTGAGTACCTCTTTATGGAGGGAAACCGATAGATCTCAAATTCGAAAATGCGTTCACAAAGCAACAAGGCTGAGCACATCACGGTGCTCTGTGAACCGCTGGTACGCTTCAGGCATACGGGGATTGCCCGGCAACCAGGTCAGTTGAAACCAAGTCCTTGGATAGCCTTGATTGATTGTGCGCTAACGTTTACGCACGGAAACCTGCCCACTGTGCGAGATGTTCTGGTTATCGGGCGGAACAGCTTCCCTTCGTCCAGCTTTGACTCGCAAAGCCTTGCTCGGTAAGTACTTGTGAGAGGAAAATGGCAAGTGATCACTACTTTTGATCGCTCAGAATCATAGCTAACTGACCAGAGGCCGTAGCTAAAATGCCCCGGACACGTCTCAAACAGCGAAAGGTTCCATGGCATTCTCTAAGCACCTCTCATTTATGTCGCACACAGGCAGCACAGGGGCTACATCCACAATCCCAACCCGAGCCTTGTCACCTCTCTCGGGAAGCCACCCTATGGCCCTGTAACTCGCTCTCGGACACCACAAAGAAGGTCAAAATGCTGCGACATTTTCACTTCGGATCCATGGCAATGATGGGCTCGCATGTAGCCACCTTGATCGGCTTGGCCACCAAATCCTTCTTCGCCACGACTTTGTTGAATACATCAAGAGCAGGATTTGTGCGATGAAACTTCAACGCCTCCATGTTCGTGAATCTGTTGGAGCCGGTCAAGAATCGTCCACCCAAGAAGTGACATGGTTTGGGTGGGTCAGGCTTACTTTTCGACAGTGAAGAATCTTTCGTTCCCGGTGGTGGCATCTATCTGGCGGTAGAGAACGAAATGGATACAGTCGGGTTCGCGGGGCTTGAGGGTCTTGATGAAGTCGGCGTATGCGTCGACGATCTTGGGAGGTGGTGATCTGTTAGGAACCGTGCGAGACCGCGAAGGCGGATGAACAACTTACACCTTGGCCCTTTCCGGGGTTTGCGTCAATGATGGCGACGATGAGTCCTTTCTCTGGAAATTCCATAATGGTCGTGGAGTTTGGTAGTTGCTCCAGACCTGATCCTAGCCTCGGACTTCTCGTCTTCTAGCCTCTCGCCCTCGTAAGAATGTTCCGCTTCTTGTACCTCAAAGCCTTGAGTCAATCGACGAGCTTTCGGACTTGCTTGTGCTTGTTGTAGACCTGCTAAGGTCAGGCAGCGTCAGGCAGCAGTCTCCATGGTAACATTGTATGGAGAACAGTGGCCTGGGACGGTCCACTGATCGGCTGGCTGTTATACCTACGGAAGTATATCACATAATCCTGTTCAGGGTTAGCTGGGAACAGGAGGCCGTGGAATGTCCGAGTCGTATAATTCTTCTAACATGCCACGTCGCTCAGAGATGAGCGCCGCCAATTTTCTTTCGGCTCGACCACATCTCTTTCGTTGCGCTGAGACCCGCGAGGACGTCGAGACTGCTGAGTAGGTATCTGGACTATTGAGCATCTTGGTGCTTCCTAAGTATAGATGACAACACAACAACTGTGTAGGGCGGTGCCTGTACGGAGGGTGATGTCCAAAGGTCGTATTGCGTTTGTCTAGCCTAGGCGTCCTTCTGGGGACCATGTCGGTCCCATTTTACGATTGACACCGGGCCGAGCGCCTACCGGAGAACAAGAATACGAATTTTTCGAGCATGGCGTCCATTCAGGTTCGATTCACTCAGCTCAGCAGCATGACCACGGCGTACTTCTCACAGCGCATCGCCGTCGATTGTGTCTTCGGTCTCGGCAGGACGCCACGTTGACCCCCCTCCTCGTCAGTGACTGCGCGGATGGGACTGGTATTCTCGACTCTCTAGATGAAGCTCTTCGGGGTCCTAACGCCAAGGCATATGCCGTTTGTCAGCCCGCCAAAGGCGGATGCATCCAAATGCGGTTTCCATCCCATACGAGAACGAGGTAAAGTTGATATACCGAAACCGAGCACGCAGTATTCGGATCACGCTGTTTGAACTCGATAATACTATCATATTGTGACTCGGCTTTTCGACATTATCGGAATTCGCGGATGTCGACAGATCCCGCGGTAAGATGCTTTTTGATATGCTATATATCTTGACCTATCGGGAAGTGTCCTCTTCCTATCATTCACAAAATATATCAACCACGTCTCGACAGTGTCAACAGTCTCACAGTCACAATAGAGCTGTTTACATTCTACTCTCACCGTAAGCGTTCCCAAGCTACGCAAATCGGGGCTAAAGCTTTATTAGCCCCAGGCAAGAGCTAGGACTAATGTCTGTACGATGCAAAAGGTATAGGCCCGAACCCATGGAAGACGGTCACCTTGTTCGAGGAGCTGAATGTTTCCTACGAAACCTATTTCCTTAACTTTGGCGCCGGCCGCAACGGTGTTGAAGGCGAGGAGTTCAAAAAGAATAACCTAGCCGGCCGCGTATCATTGATATGCGACCCAGCAATAGGTAAAGCCCTATAGACCTCACAATCGACCACCACTAAGAATTCACAACTAACTAACCATTAAATCCAGGTATCTCTCTTTCCGAATCCAACACGATAGCCTAATACTTAGTCGAAAACTACGACAAATCCTCCCGCCTAATCTTCACGACTATACCCGAAAAATACCTCGTAAACTAATGGCTCCTCTTCTAAGGCGTATCTTAAGGCCCCTTCTTCGCCTAGGCTCTAATCTTTAAGCTCACTAAGAACGACCCGGAAGCGCTCGCCTACTTCTAGGGTCTAGTTAAACGCACTATCGTATTACGAACTACGTCACTTGAAAGGTTGCCAAGGGAATCAAGGCACTTATCTAGGGAAGGAAGTTAGCCGATAGAGAACGAGGCTATATTACGTGACTAGGTAAGGATGGATCTCCTAGACCCCTTAGATCCCGTAGAATCTCAAGAGATCTAGGGGGAGCTATAAGATCTAAGAGGGCTATTAGTATTATATATATACGCTCCTTTACCTAGATAGTATAGTTTATAGTTAACTTCGTTAGTAATCCTATACCTACGTTTAGGATATAGTCCGACGATTATATATTCCCCTTATTATCTTAGCTAATACTCTAGTACCTACTCTATTAAGGAACCCTACCTTAGTTAGAACTACTTATAGCTCGGATTATAATAAGTAGCCGCTAAGTAGTTAGTATATCGTATACGACTCGTATAATACTATCTACTAAAAATGCGCCTTATAAGGAAGAGAAGGGGTTTTATTAGTTTACTAACTTTTTCCCTTACTACTAAGTAGAAAACTCGTCTATATAGACCCTTAGGAACCGAATTAGACGTTAAATAGAAATATTATTATTATTGTTATTATTATTATCCTAGTTAATACTCTTATATCTACTCTATTAAGGAACCCTACTTTATTAGAAATACTTATAGCTCGGATTATAATACTAGTAGGTATAAATATCGCCCTCTAGGTAGTTGTCTTACTAATAATAGCGCGTAGCGGCTTTAGCTTAAGTATCAGGCCATCGTTATAACTAAGCCGAAGAAGACCTCGTCGGGCTGCGCCATGAGAGTAAGAACAAGAAATGCCTTGACAGCCCCCATGCCGAGGCTGTACATAAAATGCACTAACTCAGTGAGCATACTCATCCTTGAGGACGGGACGCTAGCGCTTCCTTCCCCGATGACGACGAATATAGGATGATACCGTAGGACTGCTAGCTACAAGTTTTAACTTGTATTTATTATACGACTTCAAGGCGCCCTTTGGCCGTGACTACTTTTGATTCCGGCCAGTATGTACGAGCTTCTCCGTGGACTTTAAAACTCCCCGTTCGAATGGTAATGATTTTTGTGAAGATTACACTTCAGCTGCGGAGACGTCATACTGAACTAACCCTGATCTGTGCGGAGCATTAGCCAAGGTAAGTTAACAACTATCCTGTAAGTGGTTACCATTTACGGCTAGCGCAGTATCGACATGGTGATATTAGAGGTAACCTCCGCGGAGCGGAGCGGATATTAGGGGAGACCAGCCCGCGGGGCGAATTTAGATCACAGAGGCAGAGTACATCGCCTCGAGCCACCAGGTCGTACTTCTCCTGAGGACTTTACCGCCTTACCAAAATCCCAACTAGATTCAGTGCAAAAGAGGAAGTTGGCTCAAACTTGTAGCCCTCCCTGAGTTCCACTCCTGGTGTATCATGTCAAACTGCCTAGCCACAGAGCATGTGGGTTTCCGGTCGAGTAATTTCAGGTAGCTACAGTGCGATAGGAATTAGAAAGTGGATAGTAGATGACATTCACAGAACCGAACCCCTACTTGCCGCCAGCAGCTTTTATGAGCAAATTTCGGCAGCTAAAACAAGCGGATCTAACAATCTGTAGAAGAATCTCTTGCCAAGCAGACTCATCGCATCGCTGCAGCCATGGCAACCGCGACGCTCTTCAGGAAACTACATTCTGAGCTTCCAAACGGCTTCATCAACTAGCATGCCCCACTTCTGGGATGCAACTGCCCTTTCTTGTACTACATATTGATACTGAGCTCAGGAACACTGGTCTTGGATGATATTGGACTCATTGTCTAAGGTCGGAGGACTTGCAACAACGACAAAGACACGAGAAGGATTTGTAAGTTCGCACCAGGGACTTACCATCATAGACTGGAGAAAGTGTATGTTTAACTCTGATATTGTCATTGGCTTTTCGACGTTGGTGGTCATATCGTTTTCTCCCACTACAAATATTTAGACGAATGCTTGCAACGGCTACTTCTGAGCCGGGAAGATTGGCTCATGCATTCGCGATCGTCATATTTCTAGTGAGAATTACGGTTTGTTTGTAAGCTGGAGTTGAGCCAGTTTGGCTGACTCTCGAATAAGCAATTAACGGCGCCGAAACATAGATTGCTGCCAGAGTTTGTCACAAGACCTCTAGTTTCAATACCGCCTGAGAGATACTGTATTATTTATGTATTGCCCAAAGGCCAGTCCTTCCAAAATAGGTTGTCAGAGCTACGGGATACGTACTGGAACTTGCATTTCTGGAGAGACCGAATCAAAGGGAAGTTACATTGATGGGACATGCGTTGGAATTAACGATTAACAGCTCAACGCCTTTTCGTTGGAATCATGTCGCTTTCCGTACCATTTGCATGCAGTGCTTAGACTCCCTGCACTAGGCTCAAAGATAAACCACTGGCATGTCTAGAGTCCCTGTAAGATTAAGTAAGCACGCGGCGGTGCTAGACAGGACGAAAGATGCCGGTCAATATCCCAACTACCGAACACTCAAGTCTATGTTTGCGGGACAGTACTCTGATTCGAGGGCTTTCAACGAACGTTCTAGGCCATTATGCACAACAGCATACCGAACACAAGTACCGTGAGTGGTATTGCCTGTTGCGCTTGTAAGCTGTCTTGGAAAATCACATTTCCAATAATCAGGTTCATCCCTTGCAGTAAGCTTCCTGTCAATTTAGTGGCCACGGGTCCGGCTAATTGAGTTGTTTTGAATGATACCCAGTTCAACAAGTATGCTATAATCATATTTGTCGCGAAGAGCACCCAGAGGGACCTGTTGTCAAACCCGATTTCGATACTCATGCTTTTCAGACACCAGTCGCGGCCTCCACTGGTAGTAAGAAGTGCGCACGAAAAGGCAAGAAAAGCGCTGAGTGAAGACACTTGGAACAGTAAGTCCTGAAGTGCGCCGTTTGTAGTCGAGGAGCTCCGTTGAATGAGCAGGTGCGTTACGACCCCCTTGAAAGCAGCAAAAAGAACGCTCACGAAGCTTTCTATCACGACGGCTTGCGTAGACGTGTCGTGGTGACAGAACAAGACTATTCCAGTCAGCATGAGTATTGCTGAGAGCGTCCCAACCACAGAGATGTTGCGCATCCCTAGGCAGTATTGAAGACACATCGTCAATAGCGGGCCGGCACATCTCACAACCTGGTACGTCGTATATGGTACCTTCGCTCTTATGAGGAAAACCGGTATTAGCAATACGAGAGGAGCTTAATTCACCCAAGGGAACTTACAGCGACGAGTGGGCTGTTGCAATGTTTCCAAGGTACACCAATGCATAGAGTGACAGATCTCTCCGACCAATCCTGTCTATGTCAAATACATTTCTGGAGCGCGTTGCGAAAGCACAGGCCGCTGTCGTTGCCAATTGTGCGGAGGTCAGCAGCCATGACCAGGATAACTGCGAGGCGTCAGTACTGGAGCATGGATGTTTTCAAGTGACACTTGCGGGCAGCCTTGAGAGGATTGACTTGTTAGACACCGATATGCAAAGATTCAGGAGCAGTGAAGCTACCACGTAGCACCACCTAATCATGGTATCACGAGACCACATCTCTTGTTTGCGCTGCAATCATTTGCTTGACTACTACTGTATGAGGATGACTTCGTCGCCAAGAAGCATGAAAATGACCTTGGACCGTGCTGTTCTGGTCGGCGTCACAGCTCCTGGATCAAGAGTCTCAGTTTCTATGCCCCAGGCCACGTAACAGCATGCCCCGCCGTTTAAATCAACTTGCCAAGAGACCGCTCCACAAAACAGAGTCTGACAGCGCCTATCTACTACGTGTGCCAACGTCCACATGGGGACTTTTATTAATTTTGAAGCGCTAAATCTCTTGGTAGTGTCTTTACACTGCTCGGTGCGCAGATAATCACGAATGAAATATAATCTCCTCCGTCCTCCGCGGGGTTTACTGACTGAGCTTGGCTGTGAGGTGGAGCATTCAAGGCCCTAGCGATTAAAATAAGCTGATCATGAGATCGACCGCCCTAAGATTATGAAGAAGGTATCCACAGTTTCAGAGGCTGTGAGATGTGGTAGCATAGCTGGACCCCCTGAAATCTGCATCTCCTGCGAAACTTGAGGCTGAGCAATGGCGTTGATCCTTTCATCCTCTTCCAAGCTTCTGCCGGTAAAGTGTTCTCGCAAGATATTCGACGTGTTGCACGGTGACTCGCTTTCGCTGAGGATGCAAGGTGCCACTTTCAGGCGTTCAGGATCGTCCAGTAAGCTATGACAACTCACTCTTGAACGTGAGTGGCGGGGTTACGCTTAACAAGTTGAGTAAGTTTCTAACTCTCACTTAGCCTTTTCTGTTACATTAGAAATATCGAGAATGAACTCACCGATTACTTTTGCTTTGATGTGTGGTCTCGCTGCTAGCCTTCTTCTGAGCGTTGGTAGAAGCACACTTTGGATCGTTTTATGCGTGGCTCTGGCAGGTTTCTCTAATGCCATCGTGGCAGTTGCTCGGTCTACAGCTGCCGGATATAGCGACAGAAAGGACTTCCGAGCAACAGTTTTCGTCTTACTGGCACTGACGACAGCTATGTGGCTTCTTTTAGGCCCAATATTTGGTGCTATCCTGGTCCGACCTTCTGATAAATATCCATTCGCGTTGCCCAATCTTTGTATGGGATCGTTCTAGTTGATAGAACTCATCATCCGCATTTTTTCGAGGTATGCAGTACCTTGGAGGAGCTGTCGCTTTCTCATTTCAGCTCATCAATGAATAGGCCACGATCAAGGAGTATCAAGATGACTCTGAGCTATCATTAGAAGACACGGAACATTGTTCGGTAAATTCAATGGTGCCGAGCATTGACAGGGTCCGGATAGAATTGTTTCAATACTCCTCCATAAGTGTAGAGCGGCCACTGATGGAAACTCCACAACCCGGCTTCTCAAGTTTGCGCTGGGATCTCTTAAGCAATCCGTACCTAGTAATCATTAGATTGAGTTACTCTCACAGTGTTCCATTCGATCACATTCTACCAGTTTTCTTACATAACACGGGGCCAACTGAACACCAGCAAAATGTTAGCAAAGCATTTTTGGCTAACGGCTTAGGGATGAGTACGTACAGGCTCTCAGATCAAGGCAACAGCTAACATACAGTTCATGTGTTTCCATGATTGGTCTATTTCTCATGTGCTATGGGATAACCGGTGTTTTTATACAGACAATTATTACCCCGTCACTGATAAAGTGATTTGGAGTATATCGGTTCTTCAAATTTGTCCTCGTGATTCCCATTCCCGTTTATTTTTTGATGCCGTTTGTAACACCCCTACCGCAAAAATCTTTTTTTCAATATGGTTCGATGTCTTTCTTGATAGCGTTGAGGATGGGAAGTAGTGGTACGTTGTTATCGTGTGCTCTTATACTACTAACTGAGTCCGTCGAGGCTAAAGATTCGAGTACGATACATGGAATAAGTACATCAACCGCGGCATTATGTGGTGCACTAGGATCTAACGTCATCGGTATGAGCTTTGCTGCTGGGGCAAAGCTTAACAACTTGGTTGTACCTTGGTGGATACTATGTTTTTCTGCTTTATTAGCTTTGATAATTTATCCCTACGTAGTAATAAACTACGCTCCCTACTCTCTTTCGGGTAATCGGCTCTAGCCGAAGAAGATGGGTCTCTAGCTTTAGATGGTTGTATATTGGAGGACGCCTTGGTCGGCTTCGGTGTTGCCCCGGACCTCATCTTCAGGCATGTATAGTTTGCCGTTCCGAGCTTAGTTTCTTTCATGGACGGAAGACGAAGACAAAGCAGGCTGCGGGATATCCTAATATCGTCGAAAGGCCACTCGAAAACAACTCGGTCGTTAAATCTTCCGCACAGTGCGACTTTGAAAACCGCAGGACTCAAGCGCTATGGCCTTTCGCCTGGTATTCCTCATGCCCATTCAACGATGTGTTGGAGATCAGAGGCGCGAGAAGCGATTAAAAATGTTTTCAAACGCAAGTCCAGCCCAGAACGAAATAGGCTCAACACACGGGTGACAGCTGACTTGGGTCTTGGCCTGGCTCAGCTCTCGCTGCTTCAGGTGAGTGAGGAGACGTTAATGTAGCTCCGCCTTTGACATTTTAACGAGATACTAGAAGGAATCCGAATCGCGACAGGTTTCTACATTCCGCAGAGAAGTACCCCATACAATGTGTAGCGATCGCTCCAATAAAACACAGTGCACTCTTTCGGTTCCACTTCAACCTCTTGGTCTCTCTGACATCTTTGCATTGATATCGAAGGGAAAAAGAACACCTTTTTCTTTGTATGCACAGCTCTAGTCAGCTTGGGTGGACCGGGTGACACGTAGCTAGACGCTCTCACATGGTGTCAGTTTTAGATTCTTCACTAACTTTCAGATGTTACCAAACTACGCTACTGGAAAGTGGAACTCTTAGCGTCGCGATCCCTCAATGCGGCGGAGTTGGCCAGAAAAGCTACAACATTGGAGCAGGAAATTTGCACGGTCATCATGGAAGCAGATTAACAGATATTGAGAATCCTCTCGTCCACGCATGGAGCCGCTGAACCAGAGTTTCTCTTGCGCCGGGTTGATCGGTATCAATCACTGCTTCGCACCTACTATCTACGACAGTATCGTCTCAAATACCCCGTTCTTGACCGAGAAGATGCTGCGATACTCATCTTTTTCCGACCCCTGAAACTTCTTCTGGCCTCCCCTGCAATGCTACCAAGTCTGCTACTCTTTGCCCCTAACCTCATTCTCTCACGATCAGTTTCCGACAAAAATCAAGAATGGCTTCAAAGGGCTCTCCCTTCAAACTGGAAGGCAGGGGCGTCCTCGCAGCGTGGAAATCCTAAAGGCAGCAGCATGTGCGCCAGGTTTGTACTTACTCTATTTGGGTTCCTTAACCATTTGGGCCTATCAAAGCAGGTGATGCGGAATCTTACTTTCCTACGTCCACACCCACACACTTCTCCCGCTGATTTCAATCTTCCTTCCAACAGCTTGTTTTAAGTCCTTGTATACAGGAGACTTAGCTGTGGACACCTTGAAGCCACTCCTCCGTTTTGATGCTTCTACTTCTAAGTGGCACCGCGCGGTTGAAAGCATTATTTGAGAAACAAAGGGAGCTGTCAGCGGAAGTAAATGTATTCGTTAACTCATATATGGCTCGTGCTACCGGGCGAATAGTTTCCGCTAACGTGTGATGACTTGTATTCAGAAAACGCTCAGTTGAAGAAAATTGGTCGAACCTACGGGTCGTTTGAGGCTTAGAGGCTTGCGTCTAGGTCGAGTTTGATATCGAAATTTGCACTGAACAAGTCGGGAAGGCACGGAGCGACTATAATCTGTAGTGGATTGACTCAATTTGTTGCCTGCTACCAGTCAACTGGGTATATCACATTTAAAAACGCCTTGCGCGGCATGGGTCGCAGTTGGTCTGAATTGCAAACACCAAGTCCACCGCCTGCTGCTATCATGCTTTCTATGCAAGGAAGTTGACGGAAGGGATGCGGACAGCGCCAAACGCACTGCAGCAATTTATTTGGTCTCTCTCTGAAGGCTTTCAAAAAACTAGATAATATTTATTTGCCAGTACCCACAGATGTGAGATATACCTCTAACCACCGAGTGAATCTACCGCAAGGAACGTCCACCAACTTTTTGAAACAATGCGCCGCGTAGAAGAGAACCGGGGTGACGGTGAAAGCTGCCAACGCGAAGCTGACATATTTTTGTGTCAGACTGCTCCTTCCCGCGTGCTTCCAGCAATAGCTAATCGCTAAGACTCCGACAGAATGTAGGATAGGGCCATGAACAATGTACACCGAGTATGAGATCTCCCCTAAGTACTGTATCAACGGACCTGCGAAAAGCTTTTGAATGAAGCTCGAATGATTGACCGAGTGAACAACCATCATGCATCCAATCGTCTGCCAACATTTTACCCTATCGAGATGAGCTGGTATCATGTGAGAGAGTGTCCTGTATCCCGGTGTGCGCTCTCCATTGAGGTCTGGATACGAGGCCAGGTAGAGCGCCACTAGAAAGAACGATAGCTCTCGTGCTCGGTGCCCGATGGTACCATTAGACTTGGTCTTTGTAGCCTTGTCGGTGCCTTGAGACGAATCCAGCTCAGCCAGAATCATCCCAGCGAGGGTTGCCGATACCTCCCATTTGTGGTACACTGCAGCGTTCCAAATCACGCATGAGAGGGCCAGAAGGCGATAGCAAGTCTTCAATCGGGCAAGGCCTAGTACAACAATGAACAGGACGATAGAGCTGCGGAATTCTGCGGGGAGAGACCAAAGGTTGACGTTATATGGATTCAAGACTTTTTCCCATGTCCATGGATTAACCATCGTCCAGCTCGCCGTGATCCAATGCCAACACTGCTCTCCGAGTGTGTTCAGACGCTGCGCCGGCAACTCGAACTTCTCCAGCCTGTGACCTAGGTTCTCGGCGCTCTTCTTCGAGACGTACTCAAACAAGCCAGCGTAAACCAACAACATGGTGATGAAAGTCGAGACAAGGGGCGGTATGAACAAACGGAACCCACGACGGAAGACCGCAGATGACAACGTGTGGAAAACTTGATCCCAGGACCCGGACTGACCCAGCCTGAGCGGTCTGAGAGATAAAACGTAGCCTGATATGATGTGGAATAACAGCACCATGACTCGTCCCGAGTAGATGAGGCGGATAACTGGAAGCTGGTGCAGCCATTTTCCGTTTTCTCCCCCACCGTAGCCGTAGTTGACTGTCGGAGATAGTGATAGTAGTCCATGGAAGAGAAACACAATGCACGACGCAATCCCCCGAAGGCCGTTAAGTCCCAGGCGATGATCCGATGCCCGAGATACTGTCGAGCTTTTAGGTCGGCCCATTCCTTCCCTCCACGTAGTTGAATGGGAAAGCAGGGTGATTGACTTCGATGAGAGTGATGAAGGAGAACAAAGGGCCCCGACGGGTTCCCGTATTGAAAAGAAGCCTACTGTGACGGTAGAGGGTTTTTGGCGGATGATTTGAGCCTCTGAAATTGGTCGACAGAGTAGATGCTGTAGGATTAATATCTCCCCAAAATACAGCTATGTCTAGTGAAGAATTCTCCGTTGGAAGTGATGGTAGGCTGAAATTCCTCACGTAAAAGATGCCAATATCACTAAGATGATTTGTGGGTGTGAGTGACCTATCTTCGTTGTCGAGAATGTCTCTTGCTCTAGCGTTGTCGGAGGAGGGGCAAGTAACTTAAGTTGCTGAGGTCTGGCTGTGAAGGCCCTTGAATCCTGCCTGAAGGATTCCAGCTAGCAGCGCTGCCAAATAAGTGTACAACTCAGAAGCTAAGCTAAGTTTAGTTGTAATTTCACTCTTGCCTCTAATTTTCAGAGCAAAATCACTCACAGTCGGAGATAGCCTAACCCCACTCCTGGCATCGCAGCACAAGGGTTAAACAGTGCACGTGATAAGCTTCCCTTCCCTCTCCCAACCTTCAGGAGGTCTATTCTTCCCAGCCTTATTGCCGAGTCTGGTCACTCCGCGGCATCTCCGATCACACTGGTACATGGCGTGGTTTTAATACACTTTCACGCTGCCCTTGCAATCCCAAGTGTGTACCATCGGCGCTTTTGATTTGTGCGGAGTATTTGCTTCCAACTGGCTGCTTGTCTTTGGAAATATCTGCTGCGACGATAGTAGAACGCCTGGCGAGACTGAGGAAAACGGTGCCTGATATGTAGGCTACCCACGGCACCAGAGATTGTTGGGGCATTGGCCATGGTAGACACCATAGAGAGCACGTTCTAGGTAATAAAGGACGACCCCGCCGCACCTGAACAATACTGGCCATGATTTACTTGGATGCAGGAAAGCACTTGCTTGGTTTTGCAGCAAAGCCTCAGTTAATATTGATGTAGAACCTCATTGCCTCTCCATCTGGTATACTGGGAACAAAGGTTGACTTTGCTAGTGTGACATCACAGTGACGCCGGATATTCTGTCCTAGGGAACTATCTCTTCAAAGCTCAGCATTAAGAGCTGAACCGTCACCTTTGTATTTTATAGTTGTTATTTGAAGAGCATCACGAAGCCTTCAGTGCTGACGTACAATTACCGCCCTTGATCCCTAGGTAATACCAGGCGACTCGCGATAAACTTATCCGGATTGTGAAGCATCCGAGCATTCAGAGCAACAACTGACGCGATTGGGAACCAAGCCACAAACAATCCGTCGAACGAGGACCTTGGGTTCGGATCTACGTACTCCACTGCCGGGAGCCTACCAGCCACTGTTTACCGCTGCCATTGCTCCAATAGCGTCTAAAGCCATCGACCTGCACACCCACGGTTCCCTGCTGTCTTCCAGTAGACAATTAGTTCTTGGAGATTATGGGTAAGCCATGCCGGTGTCATACTTACTCCAGCGATACAATCAGCCACACAACCACACAACCATAACCCACCACATTATATATCACATCACCACTAAACCACAATAACAGCCATACATCGATCTTGCTAAGCAGGCATTTTATACACTTATGCCATCGGAAGACCACATTTCGAGAACGGTAATCATCTTCCACTGTTTTAGCAGGGATTTGTGACACTTCATTATTCTGCCATACAGATCTTGATTAGTTGGACAAAACTCATATTGCTATATATATTGCATCGAGAGGCGGCATAAAAGCTGACAAATATTATGGCAGGAATAAGGGACAAAATGTGAACCGGATACGGGCATAGATATTCCGTGAGTAGTTAGGTTGCGAAAGGAGATCACTGGTGGACCGGATATCCTTGGCGCCGCCTTACAGTCTCGGACCACTAGTGCAGGTCTCTTTCACGTGAATTCCGCCCCTTGGAAAGGGGCACACGTTCCATGGTCGTTGCTCTTCTGTGCGGGGTCACCAATTTGAAGAATCATACAGGGAGGTGCCTAAAAAAGTGCTTTAATCGGTCCGCTCAAATCTAGCGAAAGGGAGAGCTGTGCTAGAAATATTATTTCGAAACAAAGTCTATTGCCAGAAGAAAGGAATGCTAGCTAGGTGGGCATGCCAGAGACTCTGAATGACTGCGATAGTAACCCGCACTTTTTCCAAGGCCAATTAAAGTTACAAGTCGCTACCGTCAAAGACCGCCGAGAACGCTCTGGGCGGTATACATTGCCGTCAATCAACACACCAAGGCCACATGAGCCTCCCCCGTCTATGGGGTTTGTTGTTGATTAGTATTAACCTCTATGAGCTGAAAGATAAGACTCAAACGGAGGCGAAGAAATTCTCAGACTGAATAGGTAGAGAACAGGTCTTCTGAGTTTGAATCTTCGGACACTGCAATGACGAGCTATTCAACTTACAGTGAATACTATCGAGCTTGAACACAACATCGAGGTAGTACGTTGTTAACCGGTGCTGTGCAGTGCTGAAGGCTCGGCCTCAAGTTCACAAAGTTGAGGATCCTGTTTTTCATCTTCGCAAAGAGCTGTTAGTTGTCGACACTGCTCCTTATAGTACCCAGTTGTCGAATGCAAAATGACTGGTTTGAGCAACCACCACTCCGACTTCGTCCAAAGTTGCATAGTGTTACCAACGCATCCCCCCATTCAGTGAAATTCCTTTTATGAGGGCTCAAGAAGGAGATAATCCGATACCATCGGCGATTCTGGAGAAAATAGAAAGCTAGTAAGAGCTCGGGAGGAGTCCTACTGAGGAGAATCTCGACCACAGATGGTCTGGCGCTGACGCCATTGGTGAATCTGCTTCAAGTGCTGACCGGAGGCATAATATAGAGCAAATCCTGCCCAGCCTGCCTAAGTTCATATATATTGTAAGCATAGGCTGAATCGTACACGTAGAAGCCTGCAGTCTCACTCTTTCAATCACCTTACAGAACTTAAACAGATTCTAGGTTCCTTAAAGTTAGGACCTAATCCAACCCTGAAAATATAGAGCTGGGCTAGATTCGGGTTGGGTTAAAGTCTTTGGCCCGTTTCAGGTTATTAATAGTAATATCTTTAGATATGTAAAAAACCGCTGAAATAGGAAGAAGCTCTTTCCTAATTAGGGAGTCTTCTAGTCTACTTTAAAGTTCGGGCTACCCACCTTGTTCTAGGTTAGTTTTCTATAATTTTAACCTAATGCCAATAGGTTAGGGCTATTAAAAGTGTGAACTAACCCAACCTGGAACCCACGGGTTTAACGCAACACTGTCAAGGCCTAGAGTTATGAGTTCTATGATGGTAAGAATGGCCTAAGATGCAGAAAAGGAGATTATCAAGCCCGCCTGCAACGTTGCCTACTGGATGTCCAGGTTGCGCTCCAAATGAAAACTATTTCGACTGCGCCGAACCTGAATATAGTCAGCGATTGAATTTAAGCTCGGTAATGTGTAATATACGCCATAGTTACACCCACAACGACGGTGCTAGGAGTTAGCCACATCCATCGCTGTCAGGAATTTAAAGGGCTCAGACAATCACTCAGAGTACAGAATGGCAGGTCCGAAAAGTCCAGGAGTCCGTCCAGATCCTTCTGGAAGACAACATACTCCAGACCAGCGAGGTCGCGCAAGGTGTGGGAAGTTGCCGACGAATCGTACGCAAGTACTGCAGCCCAGATACACCGTGAAAGGCTGGCGCGAGCTGCATTGAGTGATGCAAATCCGTGCCTTTTTGCCCGTCCCGTGTTCGTCAAACAGATTTGAGAAGGCGAAAGCAGGTGAGAATCGTTGCTGCTCTCATGAAGACACTCTATGCCAGCCAGTAAGCACAACAATTTCCCGATTTCTGCGGTCAGGGCTGTCGAAAATGGTGGACTCCGCCACATCAACCGCCAGAGACTTGTTCTGGTATGCAAGTGTACCATCCTCGTAGGGGACCACGATTGAACAGGTCAAAGTGCTGGAAGGTCACACTTGCCATAAGACACAGTTCCATCGGCTTGCTCTCCTGCCTACTGAGCAAACTAGCAGCCCGGAAATAATAGTAGTCCCGTGGGCGTAGAGTATTCGGTGTAAATGTCTTGACTTCGGGATCACCTCGTTCTATAGAGGTGATCGTGAGGGATATAATATAGTCCTTGATAGCAGCGTCCTCCCAAGCAGCTCGCAATACGAGTCCATGCCATAATTTTGGAGCTGCCCATCTTCCAGCGATAGGCGCAATCATCTTCGCAATGAATTCGTAGGCCGTCAATTCGCCATGCTGTCCGGCAAAGGTTCCGTGGTAGTGTAAGTCTTTGGTGGGGCACAGCTTAGCTACTGAACTTCCTTCGCCGACGCTATTGTCTACTGAATGCAGCTGAGGGGCAAAGAAAGTCGTCGGAGGTCGCCGCACGGGCTCGAAAATTCATGTTTTCGGGGGTGCATATCCCCCACAATGAGTCTGGCTGGTCTTGCAACTACTTAGACCTCAGTGACGGGTGCCTCAACAGCACCACGTCACTTACCGTTAACAGTTAGGTTATTGTTCGTCACATTTCACCCGACGATATCTGCTTGTTGTGTCAGCTTTGAATGCACTGAACGTCACGATAAGAGACAAATGACACATTTGCAAGTAACACAACCTGACCGGATCTTCGGCGTATGACGGTTGCTTCATCGCAGGATACGTACCGGCTTCATCTTGACAAGGAAGGACGGGATTGCAAGTGATTCCTGTGCGTGATTAAGGATTTTACAAGTGGTCTATAATATTGTTATTATAGAGTATTTCTGTAGATAAATCTTAAGAGTAAAATTAATTCTATTATTATTAAGATAATCTACGAAATATATGACGTGTCTTAGGCCTAAAGATCCATTAGAGCTTTAATTAACCCCTTTCTAGTGAAGCCTTCTAGGTACTATAGTAAAGTATTAGCTAATGTATAGTTGTTACAAGTCCCGGCCTGCGACCTAAGTGTGACCCCGACCCATGAGGAAGGTTGGCCGAGGAGGCTACAACAGGGAAAGCCCCACAAGCCAGGCTGTGGACATGTGACCTGCTCTGTTAATCTGGGTGCTCTGGTGCTGTGACTAGACCGGGCAGAGCAGGCAGAGCAAGGGGAGGAGGGGGGAATCCTTACAAGTCTATAGGTACAGTCACTACACCAACCTTTCATGGACTCCTGGTAGTCAACTCATGTTATTAACTATACTATACTGTTGAACCCTAAGCCCTCACAGCCTTCCAAGTCTTTCCGGCATTACCTATACTCTACTCCGCTAGAACCAACCTACGCGGGAGTCTAAGAATCCCTTGCGCCCTTAGCAGTACTACATTGCATAGATCAATTCTAAAAGACAAAGAGTGATTGTTCCGTGGAACAAGCTATCTCAAATTGAACTTTGCCTTTGTTCGTTGTCGCACCAGTATGTCACTTCGACGACATTGGTCAGGCTGTGTAGGTCATCTGCCAATTTCTCTCCGTGTTAACGCCCCTTCTAAATACCGCCGCGCCATCTAAGCTTCTATGTCCACCGAAACTCCAACCTAATTCTGGGTTGAGTTGAGTCCCAATAACCCCATAAGCGACGGCGACGATCCTCTACTCTCAAAGCCTTAGCTTGACCAGCATTCGAAGTAAACTCGCAAGGTTAGGCGCCATGTTACATATAACCGCGGAGCTGGTCTGCTTCCGCGGCCCGGAAATAACTACACTATGGAACTCCGGTAGCTCGATACCCTGTAAAGCTTAACACTCCATCATGTCTAGTCTATCTAGCGAGGCCCACTGCTCGTCTTATCGCAAGCCGTCTAGAACCCCGTCTTCATAGTCCTGAACTGCCCTGTCCACTTGCCAGGGGTGTGCTAGGCCGGTGGTCGCAGAAGGTTACGGCCGTCTTATTTCTGCGCATCCGTGCGTGCATACCTAAGGTCAAATTGTTGTGGTATGTGCGATTTGTCATGTTCTACAGCAATATAGGCTGGAATGTATCTACTAAAGCCTGCGACTAGGAACGGGGTATTGCCGCATAAAGGCTAGGGTTTTCGTATTTGCTCGTAATGCTCCATCAAGAGGATTCTTTTTAATCAGTACAAAGCCACCAAGTCCCTTTCAAGAACAACTGGCAACACTAAAATCAATGCGCACTACCCACTTCGAAAACAAACATGGATTTTAACCAAGAGCTGTCATAATAGCCCTGATTAGTGTCGAAGCTACTATAATTGTTTTCATACTCCAAATAACTTAGGAGTGCTTTTGTAGGTTGGACGCTCTATTATCACACCGACATGTTAGACCGGAATCCACATTATCTTTGTCACAGTAGGAGGGCTTAACAATAGATATCTTGAAACGAGGGTGGAAAGGCTGCCCAATTCATCCAACTTACAATCTTGTATTCAACGTCTATCTAGAACATCAAGCCGTGCTACTATTAGTCGACGTGAATTTCAACATGTCTTACACGGATCCAACATTTCGAAATTATGCACCTGTTGCGGCGGCGAACTACGCTGCTCTGAGACCTTTGTATCCTGAAAAGGTCATCAACACTATCATAGAGGTTCACAAATCGACGGGAGGCCAAATGGAAACTCTGCTTGATGTCGGATGTGGTCCCGGAACTGCCACCCTATCACTGGCGCCCTTTTTCCAGCACGCTTTTGGAGCCGATCCTGGTGAAAGCATGATTGAAAGAGCACGTCAACACCCACCTCAGACCGCAAACGGTGAAGAAACCAAATTCGTCGTTTGCGCCGCGGAAGACCTCATGTCAATTTCGGATATCCAAGTAGGAACTGTGGATCTTATCACCGCTGGAACTGCCGCACATTGGTTCCAGCTTCCTACATTCTATGCCTGTGCGGCAAAGATATTACGACCAGGTGGAACCATAGCTTTATGGTGCACTGGTTCGTTGTATTGTCACCCACATTCAACACCCAACGCTGCGAGGGTCCAGGAGGTCTACTCCAGACTTACACAGGAAATTCTCGGCCCCTATGAGCTACCGAGAAACAAGCTTTATCGCAATTTATACGAGAACTTGGAACTTCCGTGGACGATCCAAGATATGGACCCAAGCACTCAGGGTGCTATGGAAGCCTTCGATAAGTCTAACTTCAAACGCGTCGAGTTCAACAAAGCCGGCCAAGTCGAGCCTAACGAGGGCTTTGTGCTTGGCATGACTAGCTCGCTCGATATGCTACAACAAGGCCTTGGGACAGGAAGTGGGGTTGCCAGATGGCGTGAAGCTCACAAGGACCAACTGGAGAAGGGAGAGGTTGAGGACTGTGCTGCCTACATAATCAGAATGTTAAAGCAGGCCATGGCAGAAGGGCCAGGAGGCAAAGAAAGAGACTGGATAGAAGGAGGTACCCCTATTGGTATGCTCTTCATTAAAAAAAAACTTGCTTAGCAGAGTTCGTGCGCTGAAATTCGGGCAGAGGTAGCATCACAGCACATATCTGAGACAAAATCCGGAGCAGTTTTCTAAGTCTAGTCCTATCTGATCCACCAAGAGCCTCGGTTTTTATCTCCCGTAGAGTCAAGTTAGTGCTGACCATTGTAGCACATTCCATGATTCGGGTGGCTTTGTGGAACATGGTAGCAACATCCCCGGTCGAGACCAATTTTATATAAGAATCGAGATCCAGTCACGCTGTATCTCTGTGAATGAGAGCACGCACGAGACCAATATGACGCTAGAATCCACGCTCCGAATATGTAGGAGCAACCTTCTCCGGGGGACTATCAATATTTCAGGCTCTAAGAACGCAAGTCTTCCAATTCTTGCGGCTACGCTTCTCAATATCGGTGAGAATATACTAGAAAATGTACCACAGATACGAGACACTGCGCAGATGTGCTTCATTCTGCAGTATCTAGGAGCTCATATCTACCGTCCGGATGATAGCCTGCACATTGAAACTTCATGTGTTGGGCCCAGGACTATTCCAGAAAGCCTTGCAGGCACCTTGCGAGGATCGATTCTCTTTCTTGGACCTCTGTTGGCACGTTATGGACATGCACAAATTGCATTTCCAGGAGGATGTGCAATAGGTGCTCGGCCAATTGATCAACATATCAAGGGTCTACAAGCCCTAGGGGCTGAAGTATCTTGGAACGGAAATATGGTTGAGGCAAAAGCTCCTAGTGGTCTACGATCTGGGGAAGTTAGGTTCGACGTACCTACCGTGACCGGCACAGCAAACATCCTCATGGCCGCTACCAGGATCGAGGGCACCACAGTCATATACAACGCGGCAAGAGAGCCAGAGATCGTGGACCTGGCAGTGGTTTTAAGCAGAATGGGGGCCATAATCGAGGGAGCAGGCACGTACTGCATTACTATCTCTGGTAGATCATCATTGTATCCCATATTACATCGACTTATGGCTGATCGCATCGAGTGCGGGACTTATATGGTGGCCGGCGCTTTGTTCGGCATTCCGTTGACGATCCTAGGTGGTGTGCCTACTCATCAAACGATGCTCCGGGAGAAGCTTGAAGAGTTTGGAGCTAGAATTGTCATCAAAGGCGAAACCATGGTAGTCTATCGTGCAACAAACCCAGGACCTGTAACAATCGAGACTGCGCCATACCCGGGCATACCGACTGATCTGCAAGCACCGCTTATGACACTGGTAGTGACCGCAGCAGGAGTCAGCACTATTACTGAGAATATGTTTGAAAATAGGTTCGCTCACGCGTTAGAGCTGAATCGGATGGGCGCTCAAATTCGTCTTGATGGAAATTCAGCCATCATAACAGGAGTCTCAATGCTATCTGGGACGACTGTGGTAGCCTCAGACCTACGAGGAGGTGCTGCATTAGTGTTGGCAGGCCTTTTCGCAAATGGCTGTACTAGGATCAAGAACGCTGAGTTGGTTGATCGGGGATATGAAAAGATCGAGGAAAAACTCAAGGGCTCATCGGCTAAAATATGGCGCGAGACAAGGGACGATGCAGGCTCCTCCGAGCACAAATGTTAAGCCTTGATGATTCAAGGACATTTGGCCAAGTAGGTTCAATGACTGCTTGGTTCGCAGGCTTCAAAATATTCGTGAAGAATCTACTGATTACTTGTATCAAATCTTTTGGGTAATCGCACGTTATAGACTGAACGGGGGCGGATACAGTTGTAGTTGCGCCGATGACGCATCTTATAAGAATGACACTACACTAAGATTCCGCGTAAGCTGGCGTGTTCCTTTCTACAACAGATTATGACTGACTCTACCACAGCAGTGATCTTATGTTCGAGGTTGCAATATGATTCACCAAAGCTTTAACGAGTTCTTGACAAATTAGAGTAGTTGACGGTGGAGGCTGTCTCAGCTTTCATTGAGCAACTTGGATCACTTCGTTGTGATTTCTACTACAATCCCACTCTATACGACTCTTCTTCAATAATCTATCCTTGTTCAGTCCCAGTAACGATGCGGTCTGACTTATAGTGCAGCGACGATCTACAGATTCGAAATGACAATGATCGTATGCAACTCCGACCCGATGCTGTCACCCGGTTCTTCTGCCCCATCCACAAATCCTGTTCATCTTCCATGGAGAGTGACGGACGATAGTGGAGTTAAATGATCAACCACATGTTACCCCAGCATAACTATGAGAGCTTACTGGCACGCGTTAGTGTGGTGTGTAACGGAACGTTAATACAGCAATAGTTCTCTAGATTACACCTATAGTACGTCACAGAAATACAGTACGTGCTGGAATCAATAGCCGAGCTAACTCTTCGTAAGTGCCGCAGTTCTACTTATGCACAGCCCCATCCATCCGAATAGAGACTACGGGCGGCCATTTTATCATTTGAAGGGATCGCCTTGTACAAGGGTAGAGAAGCTATTCTAGCCGACTTGGGATAGTGGAGTCTTTTGGTCGGATTACGTCTAAACAGGTAATCGCAAACTCCGAACCGAATCTCACTTGAGATGGGATGGGTCTCTGAGCCTGGCCGCCAAACAGTCCAAGTGTATAGCAAGGATATCGTATTCCTCGGGATCGGCGAATCCGTACCGACGCGGGTCTAGACTGCATAATGCTATTTGTAAACTGTGCACAAGAGGATAACCCCAGTGTCTCGGGAGTCCTGATACTAAGACTTCCTTTGATGAATCCACGCCACGGTATCATGGTTACACGTGCCCTCCAGCCTAGTCGAGATATAGATATGTCTGTTCCAACTGATAGGTTCCGTCGAACCCGAACCATGGCAAAAATTCATCATCTTCCATTCGAGGGTGTTACTTTCACGCTTCTCTCGTAAATAGATCGTCGACGAATTAGTCTCTCCATTACGCCGAAATCTACACGTTTTGCTAATCGAGATTCTGCATCTGATCTTCAAAAATGCAGAATCCCGAAGCTGTCTCCTGGGATGGTCACTCATCGAATAACGACAAGAGAGCAAAAGGCAGACATATCGTGTCGGGAACAAATGGTCTCGAAGCCGTCAACCTTGAACAGCTTATCCTCTATTCCCGGGAAAAAGATGAGAAACTCCCTTTGTTTCCAAGGCCGACTTTTGAAAGCTTGATCAATGACATAATTGAAAAGACTCCTGTTGCAAACAGAGTCTTAGATACAATGGACCTTCGAAGATCCGCGAGGGTCTTGGAGCCTGAGCTGGAAACGAAGTTCCATATGGCAACGTCGCAAATGATAGACAGTGCCTCTCACAAGAATTGGTTTACAAGCCAGCTTAGAAAGCGCTATTTATCATTTCGGGGACCACTGTGCGAGATGTCCCAATGTGCAGTCCTCTCCGCCGTTGCAGATAGTCAAGCATCTGCAACGGCGAAGTTCCTTCACAAGATCTCTCTGACGATCACGTCACTCGACACTATTCGAGCTATAGGTTGCGATAGCAAAGGAAACCTCTATGAGACAGAGCAACTCCGATGCATGTTTGCAACAACTAGAGAGCCAAGCCAATCCGTTGATGTATTGAAAACGCATCCCAAATCTTCACACGTACTAGTACTCTCAAATGGGCACATGTTCAAAGTCCGAATACTAGACCCAAATTCACGGCCTATCTCAGTCCATATGTTGACAACACAAATTCAGCAGGTCATTGACAAATCATTCTCAAGCGAGAGAAAAAACAGTGTCGCAACATGCTCCACCCTCTTGGGACGAACGGAGTGGGCCAAGTTGCGAAGCGACTGCAAGATAATTGACCGAGCGGCAATAGAGTGTATTGAGGCTGCCGTTATCTCAGTGGCACTACACACTGCGTTGCCTTCAACCCAGGAAGAGACATTCAGCATGGCCAAGGAAGACACCACGTGCGTCTATTCTGATAAGGTTTTTGGAGTCTCAGTATTTCCAGATGGGACAATTGCCGCGAGGATCGATCATTCAGTCGCTGATGGAGGATTGCTGGTCTTGCTTTGGCAGCACATCTCTTCCTTAAAGATCGATATCGCCGACCAAATTCCAGCAGCATATACACCTGTTGAAGGACCACAGGAGATCGATCTTGCTGGCAAACTGGGAGCTATAAGTCCAACATTCCTGAAAAAGCCCGCCTTTCGACGCCATTCAGTTGTTCTTAAAGTTGACCAGAATACGGAATATATTCGGTTCTTACGCCAGGCGAAGCTTCTGCACATTGTCAATTTATTCGCTTATCAAGCAGCATTGATGTCTATATTGGGTGAAAGTGACTGTACTATACAAGAGCCGGTCTCAACTCGTAGCTTCGCCGAAGGTCGGTGTGACAGGCATTATGTTACAACCAGGGAACTATTGTCGTTCTGCAAGGCTCTCGATGCGAAAACATCTCCGGAGGTGGTTGCCACGAGCTTCATGAACGCCACGCAGAGATACAGACTGGGTCTGAACGTTGTCAAAAAGGGCCAGGGTTTTGGAGCCACGGTAGAGATATTACAACAGGTACTCTCTTCGATGCAGGCCTGCAACGAGAAAAGCATCCTACTGGCGGCCATAAACGCTTTCAAAAAGAGGAGCGCACTTTTTACTGGGTTCCCTTTCGCTCCGGCCATTAATGCCGTGGAAGGATTTGTCTCCGCAGTCGATCGAGTATCATGTGTCTATATCGGTCATGACTCCCAGATCATCATTTGTTTGACTGGTACAGGCATATTCAGCAACACCATTAATCAGATCGGAGAGGCCATGGAGAGTAATCTCGTTGCTATCATTCAAGGAGTCGTCAATTCTAATCTTATGCATCTGGTCCTCGGATGAAATCTGGTCAAACTTGAAGGCCCCGGGCTTTTGGCGCCGCTTTTCAATTTCTATTTATTTGATACAGTTAGCACGGTGTATAAGTTTCTCTGAGACCCCATAGAGTACCCATTGGTTTTGAAATTACGTCTCGGATTTCATATCTCTGAAATCAGACGGGGTTTACCGCCTGTGGATTTGAAGCACAAACTATGAAGTAGATAGCAAATTATCATTCTAACTCAGAAAGTTAGAGAGCAGCCTTACTTTCATTACACACATATCAACTTATCATTAAGTGAAGCTCTATGGCAGCGCTTTCGTTTCACTTGGATATTCAGGCTTCGTCCAGCTTTCATTCAGAGGACCCCTTACAGCCTCTTGCTAATCTCTAGCTCCTTAAATCAAGACATGAACTGAGCAATCTGTCTAGTACGCTGATGTTCCTGTATAACGATATCTGGTAGTACTAAAAGTCTCACCGAAGGTGAAAAGTCTCCACAAAGTATACTGGTTCAATCTGGAGAAATATAGAATAGCGGTTGTAGATGCTCTTGCGAACGGTGGAAGCGAGTTCCAAGAGATCTTCACTAGTTGCTTCTCCATGATTCACTATAATTAGTGCCTGGTTTTTGTGAATGCCAACTCGAGTAGTATTGTATCCTTTCCAGCCACACTGCTCAATCAACCAAGCAGCAGCTAGCTTTCTCTGGCCTTGTGATAAAGATTGAGAGACAATACCGGGGTGAAGCGCTTGAAGTTGACGAAAGCGCTCTCGCGAGACAACGGGATTCTTGAAGAAGCTCCCGGCGCAGTGGTGGATGCCTGCGAACTTCTGCTGCCTGATATCACAAACTGCACGGAAGACTTCTTTGGGCGTCAGCTCTTGGGTATCATTCTGGCTTAAATAGCTGTCATTCATGAGCTCTGGGTGGTTCAGATTCGGTCTCCAACCTTTCCTTTTCAGTTTGTACACCACTCCAACGATTAGGTGCCACATTTCACTAGAAGAGCTGAAGCGGCTTGTGCGGTAGCCGAACATGCATTCACTCGATGGGAATCGTATCATGCGCTTGCCCTTCAAATCCCAAACGAATACCGCTTCAATGCAGTCGCTTACTTCTGCACCGTATGCACCGATATTCTGGACAGGCGACGCACCCACGGTGCCGGGTATCATGGCCAAGTTCTCGAGCCCACCGAGTTGGTGCTCGACACACCATACCACAAAATCATGCCACTTCTCCCCAGAACAGACTGTGACAATAACCTCATCATCACTCTCAATCTTAGTATGAACTCCACGTATTGTTGGCTGAATAACAAGGCCATGGACACGTGCTGGAAGGATGATGTTGCTGCCATCCCCTATGATCCATATATGACTGTAGGCTGTTGCGATGCCAGAAAGTTCATCGAGAAGGTCTAGGGCACTGATAACAATATAGTCGGAAGCACAACTTCGCAATCCAAATGTGTTGAAATTGTCCAGTCTCCTAAAATACGGCCTGACCGCATTTCTGTTGCGCGAGATTAGAGTTCCGGCCATTATTTACAGTAACCACGCAGGGGATTGCTTAATCGTGCAAAAAATCTCTTTGCAAGAGGATTGATGCATAAGGACCAAATTTTTGCTGTAATACGCAGGCCACTCATGACCTATGAGCACAAATCTTGACTTTTGCGTTCATCACTAGCATTACCCTTTTAGAATCCGCAGAAATAAACCGCGGCCACAGCCGAGGACGCTTATGAATAACCCTCACCCCACAACCTCCAGACCGGAAAAATTCTTCACTAGGATCCGTTTGATGATACATACAAGATGCACTATTCGGTAACTTTTCTCACGCGATAGTACTGGTGAAGCCCGAAGAAAGTGCCGAGGTTCTATGTCATGAAAATCATGCCAAGCTTAGCCTTTAGCAATACCAAGGATAAGGGAACATGCGTGTGATATGTGGTTCGCGCATTTACCAGTGCTCGCATGAGCAGTTAGACATATAGATGGCCCGAAATTGGCCTCCCTTTTCATGGGTTCTCTTTTTGCTCCGCGGCGGATTTAGCTCCAAACTCCGTGCAAGGACAAGTCTCATCTGGTTAGGCAATTTTGTCTCAAAAACACTATCGTTGTACCATATTTTGTGTACTGAAATCATCTGGTTTACTCGACCATCTCTCGAAAAAGATCATTCAAACTCTGGGCGACCCAGTTTAGTGATCGCAAAACTTATACAGAGCACCACACTGCTACGTCACTATACTAGTGGATTCCTAACTTGCCTTTCAAGAGTAGGCAACCTCTTTACACGCATTGAGCGCAGGTATGCCCGACTCAGAAACTGCAGCAGAACATAACATGACGCCTCGAAACAAGCTCGAAGATTCGCGGGATATCAGAATCCAGCGAGTGCAAACACAACAGTCTTCTTACGAAAAACAGTCCTCGGACAAGTCCCACTCTCACGAACATGATTCTAGTCGGGTGACTCACTTGTCTTTATATCGATATGCGGACATCTGGGACAAACTGTGCTTAATCTGCGCTGCTATTACAGCAATTATAGCCGGCGCTGCGCTACCATTGATGAGCATTGTAGTCGGAAATCTCTCAGGGAACCTTGCGGACTACCTGAATCAACCTGAAGCTGCCGACATATCAGGAGTGCTGAGACATCATGTCTTGTATCTTATATATCTCACTATTGGCGAATTTACGCTCATATTTATTTCCACTGCACTTTTTGTGCACACGGGTGAGCGCCTCTCATTCAGAATCAGAAGGGCATATCTACGTGCCATCTTGAGAAAGGGTATCGAATTTTATGACCTGCATGGAACCGGGGCAATAAATACCTGTTTGACAACCGATATCAATTTAATCCAAGTTGCTATCTCCGAAAAAACAGCAATTTCCACGAACGCGCTTTCTACATTCATTGCGGCATTTGCGATTGGATTCATTCGATTCTGGAAGCTGACCGCCATTTGTATGTCTTCAGTATTAGTTATCATTGTCATTATGTCAATCTCGGCTCGCTACATCACTCGGTGGAATAAATTGTCTCTGGACAAACACGCTGCCGGCGCCAACATATCAGAGGAAGCATTTGACTCTATCCGAACGGTCAAAGCCCTGAATGCTCAAGATACTTTCACATCTGCCTATGGCGGCCGTCTTCAAGACGCAGCTCGATGGGAAATCCGACACCAGACCATGCTGGGTTGTATGGTAGGCTCAATAACCTGTGTTATGTTTCTTAACTACGCCTTAACATTCTGGACTGGCGGCCATTTTATTGTCAGCGGAGATACAGACAAGTCGGCTGTCGTGTCCATAATCATGGCCATAATGTCAGGTATCTTTGCTGTAGGAAATATCGCATCCAATGTCCAACATCTTTCTGCTGGTGTCGTCGCTGGTTCACATGTCTTTGGGATTATCGACAGTTCGACACCACTCAACACAAAGCCAAGCACAGATTGCCAGGTTATAAAGGGCGATCTAGTGTTCCAGAATATAACGCACTGCTATCCGATGCGACCAACTGTTCGGGCCCTTGATGATGTCTGTCTTTCCATTCCAGCCGGCAAAACGACAGCAATAGTTGGGTGTTCAGGTTCCGGTAAGAGCTCGATTCTGAGCCTTATTGAGCGATTTTATGATCCTCAGAGCGGAGTCATCCTGCTCGATGGGAGCGACATCGGCACTTTCGACGTCCATTTGCTTCGTAGACAGATTGGCTTGGTAGAACAACAACCCGTCTTGTTTGACAAAAGTATAAAAGAAAACATTGCTGACGGATTAGTCGACCATTTTCTAACGGAAAAACTGAAAGAGGAACGTATCATTGAAGCCGCGAAGGAAGCAAATGCGCATGAATTCATCTCTCACCTGCCAAATGGTTACGACACTGTGATTGGGGTAAGAGGAGGCTTTCTCTCCGGTGGGCAGAAACAGCGTATTGCCATCGCAAGGGCTATTGTGCGAAACCCCAAGATCCTATTACTTGATGAGGCCACCTCTGCGTTGGACACTTTATCAGAAAACTCCGTTCGGGCAGCACTTGAACGAGTAGCGATGAATCGTACTACTGTGATCGTTGCACATCGTCTATCAACAGTGAGGAATGCGGATAAGATAATTGTGTTAGACAGGGGCACTGTCGTCGAAGAAGGTACCCACGAGTCCTTGCTCGAAGCACAGGGAGTATATGCGACGCTAATGGCCAGGCAAAAGCAACACCATCTCCGTGACTGGACAATATCCGAAAACACTCGAGATAACAGAATCTCCTTCGACAGGTCATCAAATTCCACAGTCGATATCCGCCATAAAACAGAGACAGAGTTGGGGAATCTATCCCGTGAGCCTTCATTGGAAGGTTTGCGAACTGAACTTTCAATTCCTCATGCAACGATATGGGGAAATCGACTGTCTACTGGCAAATCGACTCGATGGACCCTTACTAGGTTTCTTGCGACCTTCATCCAAGAAGACAAAGGACATATGATGATTGGATTTCTTTCAGGCATAATTTCGGGCGCAGCTCAGCCCGTGCAAGGATTCTTCTTTGCTCAGGCCGTTGTAGCAATATTGCAGCCCTTTTCCAAGCAACGAGAATTCGAGCACAGAATCAATTTTTGGGCACGCTTGAACGCTTTAGTCGCCCTCGTACAGTTGGTGGCCATTCCCTTGCAAAGTTACTTATCGGCAATTTGCACAGGACGACTTGTTTCTCGGATTCGTATATCTGCGTTCAAACGTCTTATGCTGCAAGAAATAGCGTTCTTTGATGAAACAGAAAATGCTGCAGGAACACTTTCATCATTTTTATCCAATAATGTTTCTGACATCACAACTTTTTCTGGTCACACAATCAACACTCTAATATCTTGTCTTTCGACAATTGCTGTGGCAATATCTATTTCTATTGCTGCTGGGTGGAAGCTAGCTCTTGTTTGTGTTGGTGTAGTGCCGGTAATATTGGCAACCGCCTATATGCGAGTCAAGTCTATTGCAAACTTTCAGAAATCTGGCCGGACATTATACCAAGATTGCGCCGGTTTTGCTAGTGAGCATCTAAATGCTATCAGGACGGTGGCAGCATTCACGATGGAGACCCGGACACTGGAAGTCTACTGCCGTCGACTTCGTATCCACATCCATAATACAATGAGGCCAACTGTTGTGAACAGCACATATTACGCGGCGTCGCAATCGATTATCTTCCTGGCCATTGCATTAGGATTTGGTTACGGAGGCACATTACTAATCAACGGCGACTATACACTTCTCCAAGTCTATGTCGTACTTACGGAACTCATCTTCAGCACTCGTTCTGCGGGGACTGCGTTCGCTTTCGTGGGAGATATCGCCAAGGGGAAAGCTGCTGCTGAACAGATCCGGGACCTTTTCGAAAAGACGGCGGTAACTGACGAACACGGTGAAATTGGTCAAGAAATTGGGAGGTTGGCCGGACAGATTGAGTTCCGGGACGTCCACTTTACATATCCTGGGAGGCCTGACACTTCCGTTTTGAAAGGCTTAAGCATGACCATTCAAGCAGGTCAGAACATAGCAGTGGTGGGATCTTCCGGGAGCGGCAAATCCACCATATTTGCACTGCTTGAACGTTTCTACAAACCTTTGTTAGGAGGCATCTTTGTGGATGGACGAGACATAGCCTCATTCAAGCTAAACGATCTCAGAAACCATATTGCAGTGGTAAGCCAAGAACCACTCATGTACGAGGGGACAATAAGGGACAATCTCTTGCTTGGCTTCGACCTAGGAGACAACCTAAGTGCGGATTTGGAGGATCAAATGATACAAGCATGCAAGGGCGCAAATATTTATGATTTCATCTGTTCACTACCGTAAGTACTCCCTATCCACGTGCCAATAGCGTCCTTATGCTCATCTCTGGCCCTCTTAGCGATGGCTTTTTCACCCAGGTTGGTTCAAAATCCAAATTGTTATCAGGAGGTCAGAAACAACGACTAACAATCGCTCGTGCCTTGCTCCGCAATCCCAAAATCCTGCTTCTCGACGAAGCAACATCGGCACTAGATTCCCAGTCGCAAGATCTGGTGAGACAGGCGCTCAAGAAGACCTCAAGAGGTCGGACGACTATAAGCATTGCACAGCGATTGAGCACTGTCAAGGACGCTGACTGTATCTTTGTGATTGAGGCGGGTGTTGTTGTTGAGAGAGGATCACACAGCCAATTGATGAACATCAGGAATGGCCACTATCAAAATCTTGTCACAAGTGGATGTTTTAACGGGAATCGAGAGGATCAATCCGGGAGGACGGAACCATGGCTATGATGAGAGAGAATAGCATAAGAGAACAATTCGAGACTAATCAGAGCCCTTGGCAGGAAAATCCGCTCACCTCATCAAAGAAGTAGATTAAGAGCTTTGTCAATCACCATTTTGTCAAACCATTTTGTCTCCACAATTGTTAACAACACTGGAGTGTTCGGAAAGTAGTAGGCAAGTCTGAGCCAGGTGATTAGCTCGCTCTAGATCAGGGTTCGAGCGACGAAAGCTGGAGGGTATAGGCGCAAGATTCAAGGATGCAGAGTGGAAATTAAGCATTAGAGAGAAGTAATGTGTAGGTTCGTCGAGGATCTAAAGCGCTTTCGGCGCTATCAGCTATTGGGGTGGTGAGGCAGATGGCTCTTGGCCTAGAACTGGCGCTACCATCGTGACTTGCTGTTTCAGGACTAGGATCATCAACGAACAGTCAACGGCTGGCCGTATTCTATGAAATTTCAAAAAGCCTAAGATGATTTCTAGGGGTGAATTAAACATAAACTGACTTGGTATGCGAAATTTCTATCCTCAACTTCGTTTCCACCACTTTCCCACTTCCCCGCTTGTCACCCTCACTCCTCGGCTGTCATTTGCCCCTAGTGATCATTGTTATCTACGATGACGTTACTCTTGACTACTTTCGACGCTCTTTGTCTCAAACCTAGGATGTATCTGATAATGGCATTCACAAGGCTTGAAACGAAGCTACAAGACCTGCCCAACCGGAGAAGCGAAAGCTGGAGGACTTACAACATTAGCCAGCTATGATCAACCCCTCGACCCCGGCGTAAAATCGAAATGATCAATCAAAGATGTTTGTCTAATTCGTGTCGTTGTCTCCTCTCGCAGCAATCGTGAACCTGATTGTTCGATGCGGTTCTGTGATGGGATATGCTCTTGAGGTATATCGATGAGCTATTAGCCACCCTCAATCTCCACAAGTTTGCGGATTGAAACAACGATCACAGGAGGTTTAATGGTGAAAGGACCGTCGGAGGTCTTTTTTAGGACACCGATATATAGTTATTCGAACTAAGATTAGACCGCCAGAGAGTTCTTATTAGGCTCACAACAATTCCTATCCAACCTTCTCGGTCCATTCCGTTTAAAGGACATACTAAAGTGTATTTCGACTGTAGTAGATATCTATATATTATGAATTAGGCCACTTAAAGGTTCGCTAAGGAGAGGCACCTATAGTCGCGAGGCAAGCCAGCCAATGGAGTACGAGGCTGAGTCACGTAACCTGAGGACTGTGATAGACTTGCGACTCTGGTACGCACAGAAGCTAATTGCTAATCCTAGCTTATATAAGCGCGGTCACGTGATTGGTCATTTATAGAATGCCGCTTAGTCTTAAAATAAAGTGATTTATACGAGTAGTTAGGTGTAGAAGATAAGGGGTAGCAAGAAAATACGCGTTGGGACGCGTGTGTCATTTATGGGGTGTCCGACTTAGGGTGTCGATGACAAGGCGGAAGAAGAAAGCGATGAGGGTAGTGCATCGGTACATCGGGGGTCTACCCAGGCAACCCTAGGCGGAAATTATCTCATTGGCGAGCGGCTTTTGGCGGCTTTTGGACGGCTCTACGAGGGTTGAAGTACGCTACAAACGGGATATTGCTCTGGCTTGCGGGCAATACTTAATGACCAATAGTCCTTCTGGCCGACAGAATGATTCTCCGCCGCTCTTATGGCGGCTATGAACCCGTGTCCTAAAATTGGAAGGTTTTGCCTCTGCGTATTCAACTGTGGTGAGTCTGTTGCCAAGAAGACTAGCTCAAGCTTGAAACTCAACGAATGGCAAGGCTACGGCTTTAGGGGTGTCTCTAGCGGGTGCTCATTTGACCCATACTTCTCCGTGAGTGAATAGTAGCCATTACAACAAAAAGCAGAGGAATGGAGCGGAAACTCCAATACGATATATAGTTGCGCCTCGCGCGGGACCCTCACAATTTCAACCAACAAAGACCTTGATTTACACCAACTGCCTCACCAGAACAATGCATTTCCAGAACCTCCTCTCCCCGATGCTTCTTGTAGCACCACACCTTGCTTCCGCCTGTGGTCCGCTGCCCCGCCAAGAGAAAGAAGATGCGAACGGCGGCCCTACCTATCCCTCGTTTGAGCTAGGCCTAGATGTTCCCTCGGATCCAGCAACGCTCGGCTACTTTGTCAACCATCTCTGCATCAACATCAAGAACGTCAACGAAAGTGTTGACTGGTACAGCAGGGTGTTTGGATTGCGACTCATCTTTACACAGCAGGTGTCTGAGCACTTCAGCATCACCTACATGGGACACAGTGCAGGCGGTAGGAACGGAACGGGCTTTCAAACTGCAACGGAGATGAACCGTGACAAAAACAACCGGTACGGTATGCTCGAGCTTGTCTCCACTGAGGGTACGGGATGGGATGTCCAGACCACATCGAATGGATTGCATCATGGTGGACTTATTGTTCCAGACATTGAGGCCATGCAGAAGAGGTTGGATGGGATCGACGGCGTCGAGATTGTGAAGGCCTTCGGACAAGCCCCTTCGATTGACATGCCTACTTACGCAGGTCTCGCAGCACTAGACCAAGCCGAGCAGGATGCAATTTTCGGGGCCATCAACGAATCTAACCTTCCGCTGATCTTTATCAAGGACCCAAGCGGGAATGTGTGGGAGATTCAGGGGCAGGAGGGGTTCGGATTGGGTTGAAAAGCTTTGTGAGGGAGCCCTCTTGGTCAGAATACAAAGCCATTACCCCGCATCGCGCCTTCACTATCGATGCTTCGTAGCTTGCGGATGGAGAGATTGCTGCAGCTTATTCCACATACTAAATTTACTTTCGAATCAAACCTTCCCCTCGACATAATAACCGGGGGTATTCCGCGCGATTCCATAGCTGACTTTGTTGATAGAGTGACTTGAATGTGATGCAGGAGGTATGAGAGAGTGGACCAACATGGCTGTTAGATCAACAGTAATCGAAAACAACCCGTCCAGAGGAAAGCCGCAATGGTACCATTGATGCTGCTCTGGACTCGCATCCAACCTAGAGGGCAGTCTGCCTTGCCGTAGTCCACGAGCAGATAGAAAGCTCTCATCCCCAGGGCAGATTGCATTCGGCTGGTGAAAAATCTTTGCACTGAGCGTCTTGAACGGCCATCCCAGCTACGCCTTTGTCATGTCCTTGGAATCCTGGGACGTCATCGCATGCGTCAGAGTAGGACTGGTCGATCGAACGGGTCTCCCGTTCACCACATACCTTGCTATTCAGAGCAAGGATACATTACTTGAATCTGGTATACATCAGCACGGTGCTTGACGGGGATGTCGGTAGTATACCGAGGGCTGAGGCTAGGGAGAGGCGCCAAAATTTGAGGCACTCATGACGCCGCTCAACAAGTGGAGACTTGTTCAATTCTTAAAGTACAACGAGCGAGATGTGCCAAGTTTGATACTTTGCCAGAGCATCAAAGATGCCAGGGATCTCGAGCTCTTGAAGGAATGGTGCTCCTGCCTCATAGTAGGCGTGAGAGCAGTTTCCCTTGTGCCGAAACTTAAAGGTGTAAGATATCTGCGATGCTCTGTCACGAGTACATCGAGCAAGTGAATTGTTTGGCGCAACAGACTGCTGCAGCATAGAAAATCTTGACAAAGCTACCACTCATGGCAAGCCAGATATGCATACAGTTCACGGGGAGGTGCGGTCCGAGGCAAAGTGAGCAAAAGTGAGGCTTCACACGCAACTAGTTATGCGGCGTCGCCCTCAATATGTCCATGTCGGTGGGCTGCGAGAAAGTCGCAGCAGCAAGACGTGGGCAGACAATATGCTTGGGCAATCTGAGTTGCCCCGAATATCAGATTCGATTGGGACTGGAAGCAACGGGGAACTTATCCGTGGCATGGGCCAGCCGTGGCCCACGCGCTCCTGGCGCAGTTCTGACTCCCTGGTGACCCCAGACTCAGCGTATAAGAGAGACAGGTAGCTCGTGCATATTTCGAATAGTACGAATTACGTGGACAAGATACCACTCCGGATCTGCAGGCGCAGGGACAGTAGTCTGAACTAAGACCAGATCGAGGCAAGCGGAGAATAAGAAAGCAGAGATATCATTCCCAGCGGTGCCGACGATCTGTAGCCCAGCAAATATGCCCGTATCTTAAGGCATCGCTGTTTGAGATGAGGCTGAATTACCAAGTTGTCTTCCAAGCCACATGAATACATAAAGGAGACGTGGGAAGGAAAACTGAAGTTGCAGAGTCAGAGGCAAGAAGCGACCGCCATTGCCACGTGACTAGATAAGAACCCTTCTCCGGTCGAATCTGTAATCTTTGCGCGTCCCCGCTTTACTCCACCAAGGCTAAACTGCCTTGGGGACGCCCAAGCGGAAAGCATCCGTGGCTCTATCCGCTTCCGGTTAGGACGCGTCGCTTGACTCTCTGGGGGCCTTCCTTGGCATTCGCTTGCTATTATTCGACCCTGATGTCAGCTTGACCGTCGACATCCGAAACCTAACAATTCCAGAGCCTAACACAGATAGTGCCACGCCTCGGTCCATGATGCGCCTTGTGGATCAGTAGCGTGGGGAATTGTGTCTCGATGACGGATCCAACCTATCATCAGGTGCTGATAGGCGAGATGTCGCCCTATGACCAAGCCGTGGCACCTGAAACGACACTTGATGGGGCGGATGTTGATAAACCTCCATTTTCTCCTCTTCCAACGTCGTTTCTAGCCTCTCAATCAGTCCTGAAAGCCTCGTACAACCATCACAGCAGCTCAAAGAGTTTCTACCTCTACATCATTCTTAACTGACTTCCGCTCTTGCTATCTAGTGTGTTTGTCGACCTCTTGTCCAAGACCACGCAAGACTCAGACCTATCAACACTTCGTGGTCCTACAGTTCATCAAACCGCTGTGTGACAAGAATCTGTCGAGCAAGCAAACAAGATAAGGTCCATAACAGATCTTATCGCCGTTCTCCTTCCAGTTTAGTGCAAAGTCAACCACCTGGTGTCAATACGCTGATGTCGGTTGACTTGCGAACGTGCTTGCCTTCACTTTCGTCTCGAGCTTTCGCAACCGTGGCGAGAGCCCAACTAAGTTCCGTCCATACCGGAGATCTTACAAGGCCAATTGACAGACGCTGAACTCAGCATCAAAGACCCTTGAAAGTACGCAAATCCAAAAATCAACCCAAGAACCTAGTAGGTTGTCCGACCATATTTGACCTTGGCACTAAACTTGAAGAAAAGGACAATTCTTTCCCAACCCTCACAGAGACACTAGACGTTGCTAGAACTACAAGTCCGAACCAGAATATGGCTTTCTCTAGTGCTGCTGTCCCCGTATTAGATGCCACTATAATTCACGAAAAACGAAGCTCGACCGCAGAGAAATTGCCCCCCAGCACCAACACCAGTACCTCTCTCCCAGATGGAGTTCGCATTCTGGCTGCCCATGAGTACAAGGAAGCCGCAGCGTGTCTTGCAGAGGCATTCAAGTCGGACCATGTCGTTCGCTATGCCATTGATACTCCCGATAGACTTCATCTGAGTGAAGAGGAGCGTTATGAATTGCACACCGCCGCCATGGAATACGTAGTCTATGCACATACCCTGCAAGGTCTCGTCTTGAGCGTCGGTGAGAACTACGACTGCGTTGCATTGTGGTTGCCTCCTGGTAAGGGTATCGATGACTGGTGGACAAGCCTTCGCAGTGGTTTGTGGCGGATGAAGTACAGATTGTCCAAGGAAGGCAAGATACGGTTCTTTGAAGAATTCCTGCCCTTGCTGGGTCGCACCAAGGCCGAGGTGCTGGGAGACAGGGATGAAAAGTCATGGTATCTCAACTATATTGGCACAAAGCCTTCGGCCCGGGGCAAAGGATATGCCAGAAAGCTGATCGATTATGTGGGAAACCTGGTACGTTTGACCGTCCGGTAATTGAGGGAAGTCGGATCGCTAACCTTCCCAGGCCGATACTGAAGGGCTTCCATGCTACCTCGAGAGCTCTCATGACATCAACATCATCATCTATGGCAAGATGGGATATGAGCTCAAGAAGAAAATCTATCTTCAGCGAGCTCCCCAAGAACTCAGACTGGATGTGATGGTCCGGGAGCCAGCCATAGTTCGAGAGAAGGCCAACAGGCCGGTTGCGGCGAAATTAGGATAGGTCAGAGACCGAAAGAAGAACTAATCATGCGCTAGGAGAGAGATCAAAAGCTCCATGGATGGAAATGGTAGGACTGACCGGGCTGGGGCGTTGAGTGTTGTCAAGTACTTCTCACCTTGTTGTATGTATGCACACTCGTTTAGAATATTAGAATGAATGTCTTCGCTCAACACACTGATTATGAGTTTGACGAAAAGTGAATCTCTAATAGGGCGGATAATGGCGGTGCCCATGATGGCTTGGAATTTACAGCCTATATCAAGGGATAAGCATACTCTACGTACTTGGTTTTCCGCCATTAGGCTAGCGAGGGTTCCTCGCATGGCGCTGTTTGGACAGTAATGAAAAAGAGCTAGCAATCTAATCATTGAACCGTTCGTTTGAATGGCGAAATCCGCTTCATCACCCCATCCAGTCATGTCAGCGTAAGTGCAACCGTTTCTCGAGTACAACGCTGAAGCCAGTGATTCAGGAGTACCGCAAAGATGGCATCACATTTATTCATTCCATCCATCCCTTAGACCATTTAACTCCTCCCCAAGCTGTAACCATGCACACAGTTCCTTTCCATCTCAAATCGTGAAAGCAGAACAACGTCGTTCACATGTTCGTGTAATGGATCCTAAGGGGCCGCCCCTTCCATAAAACACTTCCCATTCTCTATACGCCCTGCAAAGAAACAAATTGAACTCCGGACCCGTGTTATCATCATTGATCATTTCGTTAAGAATAATCAGGATTGTAAATAGCGGCCTCCACCATGCAATGCAAGCTTGTTCAGCACATCCATCAATCGCTCCAAGGTCTGGTACCTTATACAATTTCACCATGCGACTTCTCTTTAGTTAGTTCGCCCAGCGGAAGGTCCAGATCAAGCCGATGTATCCCTTCTTCGGAGTCAGTCTCTCGCCCCAGATCTCAGTAACGATCTCCTCACACTTATCGGCGATGGTGGGCAAGCAGAGCAATGCCGGAGAAGGCTTCAGTGCCGTTTCGAGATATGTGACCAGGTCACCCAGTGCCTGATACTTTGGCGGGGGTTTTGTTGAGATCTTTTGGACCAACTTCTGCTTCGACTTTGCATCTTTCCACAACAAGCTGCAATTTTCTTTGATTCGTCGAATCGCCCAGACGGCATAGGAGATATCCTTTCGTTCTGCAAACAGTCGGAGCAGCATGATATCAACGCGGATAGACCACTCATGGAGCGGAGACGCACAGGGAAGGCGTAGTGCGAGAAGACCATTGGAGACAGCCAATTCATGAGCAAGCGCTTCGGATTGGATTCGGGTAGTTTTTCCTATTGATGGTGACTGTTCCCCGCTCGGGGATGCCTGCTCTTTATTCTTAGCGAGGATTCTAGCCAGCGAACCGCTTCGAAGTTCGCAGAGACGATAAGCGCTTATTGCGATTAGCTTGCAGACGCGATTGATACCCTCTTTAGACTTGTCTGATACATCAACGAGCTCGGCAGTCCGCGTACGTATCATACTGCACGCCTCAAAATTGACACGCTCAAGAAGGAGTTCTGCTTTCAGAAAAGACCTTTTGTTGATGCAAGTCTCCGCACGCAGCATGAAGCTTTCAAGCAATCCACAAATTAGGTTGTAGTTGTAGAGATTGACATCATCTTGGCTCGCTGACAAGTGTTTAGTCAACTCAGCTCGTAGCAAGGTGAGGCGTTTGTGTGTTGTGGAGATAATGTCTGCACATTCCCCGGCCTTCAACGGTGTAGCATGAGGGTCATAGAAATCAATCTTATTGATAAAGCTGTACAAGCGTGGTAGGAGGCCGTATTTAATGAAGGTATCAGTGATGTCGACATGTCGGTGCCGTGGAGCAGCGGAAATGACCAAGTTATACTTCATTCCTTTTGCAAAAGAAGATTTGGTCATGATCCACAGTGCGTGGAACAACTCAGTCGCGTCTCTGTAGCTGCATATGTAAAACGGGGTGGCTCGTTTGACATTCTGTCCTCTCAACAGTATCAGCGGGTCGAGCTTTGTATTGTGTTGCGTTTCTTTAGTGTTAGTAGCCGCCAGACGATATGATGACAGCGATCCCCACATCGGTATACCATAATTCCGGAACTTGGCGTTCAGACCTTTGATTCCACACTGAAGGCCAATAACCGTATTCTCGGCGTAAAGGACTGTCTTGCCTTCCTCATACAGCTGACGACATGCCTTCAGGATGGCCGGATATATCTGGCATGTGTTTATAACTGGGGGGCAACCATTAATCTCTTGACTGCCTTTGTGCTTGAAGGGTGGAGCTTCCAGAATTCGGTGGGACTGAATCCAAAGCATGGTGGAAGCATTTTCTTTTGGTGGACGACGAGTGTGGGGTTTTCGATTTCGGTTGATGAGGAGCAGGTTGCGCAGAATCTCGCGACGGATCTCGGATGGGAGAAGAAGGAAGTGCACGAAGCCCCCGTCAGACGAAGCTTGTTCTGTCTGCTGATCTTCATCAAAGTCATCGTCGCAATCAAATATCAGGCGAAGTGTCAACACTTCGTGTGATTGTAGTGGCATCTTGGAAGCATCGCGTGCCCGAGATCAACACTATCAGGCTATGGAAGAGGAATGCCAGGGGACTGAGAGGAAGGCGACCGTAGCTCGACCTGAGACTGACCCGAGGAAATCAATGAGAAGTTCTTTCGCATATTGCCCTTCACAGATCAGCATCAGTTAGTCGTCAGTGGCTGTGAATGAGAACTGTTTCTTTCACGTATGGTGCATGTTAGTAGGGGACAGGATGGGAGAACGCCGCACTTTGAATCTAGTGGGGAAGCATTTGCACGTGACTGTCGTAGAGGTGATGAATCACAGCGAAAAGAGTGATAAAATGGAGGTCTACCGGAGCTATATCGATTCATGTAAGGGCCCTCGAGATGATGCTGGAGGGTGTCAAGATGCCAACAATGCAGTGCTTTGTTGGAGATCCAAGGTAACTTTTGTGACGCCCAGGATGATCAACGAAACTTGGAGGAGTAAAAGGGAATGAATTCCGAGGCTCCTTCACCCCGGCCTCATAGTTAATCCGATTGCTGGAACCACGTGATATGCTTGACTAATAGTGAGCTATGTTGACAGTGTCCACACTTTCAGTACAGCTCACTCAACGTAGAAAGGACAGATAGCTCATACTTCTCCATCAGCCTGCTCTAATAGCATCACTACATCGTGACTGTGCCATAGTCAAGGTTACTCTGCCGCCTTGTCAAGTGTGTGCTGTCGTTGAGGAGTCGCTGGCTTTGTGCCAGATCTACCACTTTATCCTTTCCAGCCATGCTTGGGATCCACCCTCTCATCCATCCATTCACTCTTTCCCAATGACTATATCCATCGCTGTCACGGACCTTAACAATGCGAGCCTCTCTCTCTCCATAGATGACAAATTGTACGCCCATCAATGCATCCATACTCAAGCATCCTGCTGAGCCGAGAAAAAAGGGTGCTGCCCTTGCGACCCATGCCCATCGTTGTGAACCTGCTCCGTCGACCCAACCATGATGTCCGTGCGGGCCATAGTTATTCCATGCATTCGGATTGGCGATCAAGGACGTAGAGTAGAACATGTTTCCACAAAATGCCGCTGCAAACAGAAGTGGCGAGAGTCCAGCTGTGGACTGACGCTTCCAATTCTTATACAACTGGGGCAGGCGAGACCCAAGATACAGGAATGTTGAACTCCAGGCCAATATCGTCCCAGCAATTTCGAGGGAAGTTTCGACCCGGAGAAGGTGCATTCCGTGCTGATAATGGTCGGCTGGGAATGAGATAGGGGCAGCGGCCACATTCGATGCCAGTGATGACAATGTTGCTGTGTACATCAAGGTTCGGGGAGATGCCCCCACCATCCAACTGGAGCCGAGTTTATCCGCAATGCTTCGGGTTGGCGTTCCATTCTTTTCGCCATAATTTACTTGGGAGAAAGAGGGTACATCCATGTTTCTTGGAGTGACAGACTTCTGAGGACCATCTTCTTCACCTTCAAAGAATGGAGAGTCTTCTCCGAAGGACGTGTTTATCGGAGATAGCCCATTGATCATCGCGCTGTCCGAATCATCAATGTCACTGCTCCCACTGGAATGGAGGCTTTCGGCGTAAATCCACTTAGTACAGTGGGTGTACCAGAAATACTGCACCACGAGACAAACGTCGACAAAAACATAGTAACTCGCAATGATGACCTGCCATGTCGCCTGCCTGGTGAACACAGCGCCCAGCAAGTTGGTCAGATCTCCTAACAACCATTCGGCCAAGAAGAAAATCGACAACCCTGCAGTAGATTTAATGTGATAATTCTTGAAGATTTGTGGCATTTGGGCAAATAACCACGATACTATTGATAATGTTCCGAGGGCGGTCGACAGTGCGGCAAGCGGAGAAGGGATACATGTTCCGAAGTAGGAGGACACATCTGCCAAAATCGGCAAGGTGGGAGAACAATGTGCAGGTAGCACGCCTCCCAGCAAGAGGGATGTATATGGGGTCTCCATTGTATCCCAGGCGTTCATGCATGCACTGGGATAACTCGCCCAGCTCTGATCTTATCTTGCTTTTATCATGTCCACAAGGTACAACCCTTCGTCGGCTGTGTACGGTGTCGATTTCAGGGCTGAGACTCCCGTCGAGACGCGCCCTTCTGAGGATCTTCGATGGGTGTACTCTGGTTGCGAGGGCAGTTCTGTGTGCCAACCACTGCGATTGGCGTGCTAGGTAAGGATTCTGTATCAAGTGAACGGATGGGCTGTGGAGGGGAGACCAGGTGTTGGATGACAAGCCCTAGAAAAATAGAATAAGCAGTTCTCACAAAGACTGCAGCAAGAAAGAAGAAACAATTATTGACAATGCGTAGAAGGAGTGCATCAGTGAGCGTGGAGGGGCTAAAGGGAACGATCGGGCACAGGCGTCCATCCGCAGTTTATCTCGAATGTGATCTGAACTGAGTCACCCGATAAGGTAGTCACACCCCCCATTTCGGAGCACTCTGAGTCCTCCGTATCGCCAGCAATAATTTCAACGCTTATGCCAATGGTGGACCCATCTGGGAGCGGGCAAAGGGACGAGCCGAGGACGAGAGAGTGATTGTGTGCAGATGACGATGTCGTTTGAGCATGGAATTGGTCAGTTTGGACCGGCCGTGAGATGGAATTGGTTGCAAGTGTCATGCAGACACATGCAGGGTGCTGTATCTGCGCGCTTTGGCGTGTGGAGGGGGGGGGATGTGGAGGGCGGTTCGGATTTAGACGCACAGCACAAGAGAAATTAAGTGTCACTGATAAGGTGGACTGTGTGAGTTCAATTGGCTGCCCATCTCAAGTTCTTGGCGTGGGGAGGACTTGGCCGGGTTTCTTCGTGTGGCAGGAGCACCTGTGCGCATGGTCAAACATGCCTCCCTTTCATTGCAGACGTCCACGCTTTTGGTCGGTGCATTGGTAGTATGCTATGTGTATATATAGGCCACAACGACGCTCTCGAAAGACTTGCTTCAATTTCTCTTTTGGTCTCATCCTGCTGCATTGGAATCTGGAAATCACCCGGCACCTTTGGTCACGTGCAGGAGAATCCCGTCACAAGTTGGAGGGTACTATTACATGATAAATTCGTCTATTCGCCTGGAGTGGATCACAAGATTCTTTCTCCAAGGACATTCAAGGCGAGCAAACTGGACTTGATGCCCAATGACATAAACGCCCACAATCCTGATAATTACCAAATTGTGCTCGCATCAGCAGTCCAGCTCTCACACTACTACGTCGTCGGCGATCATCGTGTACTGGTTTGAAGAGGGAGGCCTTGGATGGTTCAACGGCGTCAGCCAGAGACGCCATGCAATCCATGACCACTCACTTAGCAGTGTTCCTTGCTGTGACAATCCCAGCACTGCCGACGGCAAACACACTCAACAAGGTTCTCCAATCTCCTGACTGACCTGCTGCTAGAGCGACCAAATCATAAACTAAGCATCCTCCAAAGATCCAGTCACTAGCAGCACTAGCCAAGCCGAATCCTATACCGGTAAGGACTTTTATTGCACCGGTCGCTTGCTGACTTTTGCAAAATGCTGCCGAGCCGTTGTGCAAGAAATCCAGGACCCCAATTCCTGCGAACGTCTTGGACACAATATGTGTGAGTACCGAAGACGTTGACCGAGTATTCATAGGTTGCAAACGGGTGGTCAGATACCACAGTTGGCTCAGGGTGTTGACAGTCACGAAACAATGGGAGATATATAACCTGCCCGAGTTCCACGCGATCATCCATGCTGACCGAGGTACTAAGTATTGTCTTCTGCCAACTGAAGGAGGACTTACCTGCGATGCAAATGTTACCTATACTATAGTATGGTACGTACTCTACTATCTCATCCATCTCTTGCCGCTCCGCCGGCTTCGTTGGATCTAGTTTCCAAAGACGGTATAGCCACGCCACTTGGAACAGCTGCTGAGGAAAGAAGAAACCAGCTATGAAATAAGGTTGAGGGCTGAAGAATGAGAGGTTCTGGTCGTGGATATCCTTCATATTTGGGGTGGAGAGCATCCCGCATTGCTGACAAGCAAAATCGAGCAAGAAGCTGCTTGGAGCAATCCATCTCGCTGTGCTGTATGAGATACCCATTTTCCGAAGCAGTCGGATCGTCTGGAGCAATAGGAGGACCTCTGTCGCAGCAAAAGGATCTTTCGGAGTAGTAGCTTGATGTTTCTAGACGGTACAGGAGCCTCCCACTCCGAACCTGCCTGTTATCTCGAGTTATATGTCCATATCCATCCAATAAAGTCATGTCGTCACCATGTTGACGCTGGCCAGGGGCGAACTCCTACCAATCAAATGCTCACATGACTTCGGTACGACGGATCATTGTAGCTGCGTGTTCCGGGGCCTGCTGGCTTGAAACCATCTCGCCCTTCGATGTTCCCTCATTTGACAGTACTTGTTAAATTGTGCCTCACACTTTGCCGCCTAGAGGGACCGTTGAGCCCGAGAAAGGCCATCAGTCTGAGCAAGGCTCGGCAGAGTAAGGGGGAATGCTCTAGGTTGCTCCCATCATTCGCCGATAACCTAGCACCCTGTCCTTGAAACGATTTGTCCCATCTGTTAACCCTTGATGTGGGCCTCTTTACTGCGCTTTCGGTAGAGTCTAATCATCCAACTGGTAGGAAGATGCTCTTCGGGAGTGTATCCTTGTTATGCATATCCATCCCAAGCGAGATACCTTGCAAGCGGGGAACCTCGTATTCTGCATTGCTTGGCCACATGGTCAAGAGTCAAGCCTAGCCATGCTTCAAAATTTATCCAGCCTTATCAAGTCATTGTGGATTTATCATCCCACTCCCAATACTTCTCTCATCCAGGATGTCGGCTTGTTGAGGTGTGGCAATCTATCAATCCCTCGCCGAGATAGCAGACATCACAAGTTTGCTGAGTTCGAAAAATGGACACCAGGCCGATCATAGTGGAATGCTGTCGTGGGTGTGCTGCTCAGTATCAATTTAGGCTGGAGGAAGGTGGCATTGTGACTGTCATCTGTGGACGGCCCAGTCCTCAGTCAACATACAAAGCGGTCTCATATCTTTGGGAGAAGACCATACAGCTACCACTGAAGTGTCATCAATGCAAGCAGGTCAAGAAGATCCCGATGCGGGACGCTGACAAACTCTGGTCGATTATGAGATTTGTCAGAGGCGGGGCCACCATCTGGTTGGATGCAATGTCTATCGATCAAGATGATCCAAAAGACAAGGCTACGCAACTTTCAATCATGGGTGACATCTACCGCCATGCACAGGCTGTTTCGATTATGCTTCCTGTGTCCGATATCGAAGCATATTCAAATCTAAAACAAGTTGGAATTACCGCCAACGCAATCGTCAAGGAGAGCAATTGCTTAACCAGTGCTGTTCAGGTACCAGAAAGTACGACTATCGATAAGCGGGTATTCAACAGCCTCGCTGGAGAGTTTTTGAACCAACTCATGGAGATCAAGAACAGTCTCGAACGGTGGAGATATTGGAAACGTGCCTGGACTTTTCAAGAGTGGACTGTTGCAAGTGAGATCGAGATAGCCTGCGAAGCCAACAAGAAAAATGAGTGCGTCATAAACATCAAGAAGGTCGTCGTCAATGCAGCCCATCTTGTGTCGTTCGAGATGAGGAGGGCTGCTGATACGGTCCCTGACGACTACCTTGAGCGGGTCAAACGGCGGGACGATCTAGGACGACACCTGCATACTATCAAGACACTGTTCCCGGTCGAGGACTATATCATTGGCGGCGACGAGGTGGACTTCAGTGACATGCGCCTAATGACATCTCTGCCGACAGTGAATACGGCAACTAGCTTCGGTACAGAAATGCTACCAAAAACACCTACCGGGACCAGTCACAAGAGCCTTCAAACATTGGTAAGCCTCACCCTCAACGCCATCCATCTAAGTAAGCGCGAGGCAACCTACGAGGCTGACCTGGTGTACTGCTGGGCGTCAATGTGCAATATCTGTTTCGACTATGACCAAAACGACGAGTACCACCTCGCGCTGCACAAGGTGGTCAGTTCATTACGACACTCTGGAATCACAATCTTCAATTTCTCAGTCAATACGGATTCTGCAGAAACAGACAGGAATTTCTTGAAATACGCTGTTGCTCAGCAGCAGAGCAATGCCGCCTACGGAGGACACTTGGTCGGCTCTGCGATGTTCATCGGCCGTACAGATACCGTTTCACACGTCCAGAACTTACTCAACCAAGACGCACGGATACTTCATCTTGAACCAAACTTCAACGTTGTCCTTCGTCAGGTGGAGAGGACCATTTTCAAGCGACCTGTCCTGATGAGTAACAAGACCAGAGCGCTAGAAGTATTTCGTTCCATGATCTCAGGCACGGCAGATGGCCAAAGGTTGCTCGATGTTGGAGATATGTTGAAGACCACCCTAGGCGAGACCGACGACGAGAAACTCAAAAGCCACTACCTAATAACTGCCCAAATTGGGGTTGAAGACGTGTACACGATGTGGTACTTTAATGCCTGGGCCATCTTCCCCGCCAATGTCCTGTTGACGGACCTGTTCATCGCCCGAGAAAGCCTGAACGGCACACTTGTGCTGGCATTGTATGGGAACCCTAAGCCGGCTAGCACGGCCCGGATCCTTGCATACCTCAACATGACCCACCAGCGAGACGGCACCTATTTGGTCAAAGCTGATGAGCAAGGCACAATCGATTTTGTCTTCCGCACAGCAGATACGCCCGAGCACGACCTGTTCTTCATGCCCGAGGATGATCTCAGTGATCCCAACCGTCCAGCTGATCTGATTCCTGGGTACAACATTGGAAATATTCTTCAGGATAGGGTCTACAACATGAAGATCGGGATAGGGTCCAGGGTCTTCTCAATGGACTTGCAAGCTGGAACCAAATCCATGGCGAAGTTATGAGCCTCTCCACGCGCGGAGTCGCACGCAAGGCTGAGGTTCCAATGACATTACATCTGCATGCGTATTTCATGATCAAAGCGGCAGAGTTGAACTGCCTATGACCAATGGTCAAGCTCTGAAAATGGGGCGTAATTGCTCGATCATCTCACCGTTGAGGAAACAAAGTTCGATGAGTTCCCACCAGTAAGTCCAGAATATGCAAACTCCTTACGACAGATGGACATGGGGCATGATGCTCCTAAATGCGGAGTGTTTTAAGCCCCAGGAATCTCCAGCGACCCTTGCATAGTCAATACCGCACAGCCAGACAACAGCACTTCTTCGATCTCGACGCCATCACCACTGGACTTCTCCTTCACGCCGACATTGACAAATATCTCACTTCTCTGGCCCATCTCCACGCCTTGAGTGATATGATAGCTGTATCGTCCGGGCTTGCCCTCCTTCAACGAAAGATAGCTCGTCAGCGCGCTGGCAGCCGATCCTGTAGCTGGATCTTCTCGGCTCCCATGCGAGCGTGTGCGGAGGTTTCGCACGCCGTCATCACCGACGCCAAGATCAACAAAGAAGTACGATACCACGATGCCTTCCTGGAATCCCGAGTCTAGCAATCGGGATGCGCTCAACGTTTGATCAATTCCAAGCAGACTCTTCGTCTGGAGACCTAGTTCTTCGAGAGAAGTTTGCTGCGCAAGGATGAACGTCATGCCTTTCACAATGCTCACCACTGGGAAATCTGCAAAACTTTGTCCTGCAAATGGATTCGCGTGGGTTCGTACATTGTGCGCAACAGATATCTGTACCCCATCGATGGCGGGATTCAAGGATATTCCCAAAAGGCCCGCCTTGGTCTGTAGCGCTTTCACATTACTGGCAGACTGGCTGCTTCGGACGCCTAGGAGGCCAAGGAGATAGTTAGAGGTCCCAACCGTTGGATGGCCAGCGAACGGAATTTCCGCATAGGATGTAAAGATATCGATCCTGGCCAAGCTCTTTGACTTGTCCTCGTTAGTTTGTTCGTGCAGGAAGACCGTCTCAGAGAGATTAAACTCTCGAGCGATGCGTTGTTTCTGTGATTGAGATAGAGAAATCGTCTGCGGTACTGAGACGATGGCTAGTGGATTTCCGGTGTAGCGGGTGTTGGTGAAGACGTCCAGCGTCACGAAAGAAAGTTGGGTGGCCATGTTTTAGTCGGTAGACTGTGGTCTCGGATGGAAGCAATGCTTCCAGAGGGCAGAAGGGAATGTGTTGATATTAACGCGGAGTTCTCGTATTATGAGTCATCTTGGATGCAGCCCATCACCAATTGAACCCCACAATTCGCTTAAGTCGAAGGGCGTGACATGTTGCGGGTGATGGGAGTGTGTCAACCTCCCGTATTGATGTAAGTACGGACCTTGTGGATTGGACCACGAGATCATATAACAAGACTGATGACGCTGCTCAGTGCCCGGTGGACTGAAAATAGATACTGGCCTAGATACTTCGGACTGGAGATAAGTTTCCCGGTCGTCATCCCCCAGATATCTAACTTTTTGAGAGTTGCATCACGCCCGCGTTTCTACTGAGCGCAGAAGTCATGTTATTGTTGTAAGTCTCCCTGACTGGAGGAAGGTGGAAAGATAGTGGTCAAAATAAGACTCCTGAGGGGTCTGAGAGCTCTGACATTGCTATATACTAAGTACTTCACAGCTCCACAGTCCCTTAAAAGGACCTACGAAGGGGGCTGTCCCGGCATAATATGAGCAGGCAATGGGGATCGATAGCACGGACGCCGTGTGCTTGCGGCTTTTTTCAAGTATGAACACATGTTGAAGTTCATTGGACTCTAATGCGATCTAGGATAAATCCCCTTCGGAGCAGGCAAGTCCCATTCTATGTTCATGGTAATCTTGGGGATCAGGGAGTCGGAACGAGATGAATGGACAGAGAATGACATATTTTCGCCATGTCACAACCCTGCATTTGGTTTTAGAACGGCAAGTCCACCAAATGAGACCATAGGACGACGACTGAGGCAACGTTCTCAGCAGCAGTAGGAGAAGACTGTTCGGCCTGCTTCGGACGTTGACCAGCCATGATTCAATCAGACGCAACGAACACGCACTGCCGTGGATAGATCAGGTTGAGCACTTGATTTGTAAGATCCACTCTGTGCTGTCGTCGTCCGGGTCCAAAGGGACTCTGCCAGGGCCGAAACGCAGCGAGGGAACACACCAGGAACATCATCTCATTTCGAACCCTGCAGTACCCCTGCCAAGGCAATGATGGCATGGGGTGTCATTCCCGACACCTGCCCTATCCATGAGCCCCGCAAAGTCCTCTTGCCACTTTCCATAGATATCTCCTGATGTCCTTGTCTATGTGAGAATTGTGCAGGTACTGCTTTCCCAGGCAGCCGAAGCGCACAGGAGCGTGTTGATCAACCCTTTCTCATGACACAATCAGTATTCACACCAGGGGGGTAGGAAACTTATTTTCAGAAGTTATCCGACCAACATTTTCCTTGCGTAGCATCTGTCAATCTCAATATCCATCTGGAGTAGTAGCCTCGCGATAGTAGCCTCGCGATACTGTCTCGAATCTGCGGATCGGGATCTGAGCAGTAATTTTTGACCTTGTCATAGTAGGACGTTAGCTCCAATTTGTGGCTGTCAACCTTGGCCTTTCCAGCACAACATATGACGGTGCATTTCAGATTTTCAACCGCCGTCGCTTCGCACGACCGCGTGCTTCAACAGGCTGCCGCTTAGACGAATCATTGACCACCAAAAGCCCAAGGCGATGCAGAGTCCGCCAGGGATTGCCAAGCATGCTGAACTCAACTCAGAGAAGCCTAGCAAAGGGATGCGTGCAACCAGCACATTCAACAATTTTCATGGCGGCGACATTTTCCAGGTCAACCAGACTGAGCGCAAGAGTGTCAGCATCGCAACGAGGATGAAGTCGAAATGGCACCTAATATGGAAATCCTCTTTCCGGATTGGGAATTCGCCCGCCCGGCGAATTTCCGCCGTCATAGTCCATTTTAGTCCATCTGAATTAGGAAATCTCCACGCCAAATTTGGCCTTTTTCCGACCCAGCAAATGCAAAATGCATAGATTCTACTAGTACAGCTAGCTACTCACTCGTACACGGCGCGCTTGGCTGCGCAGAGGGGCAAGATGCCTTGTGTCGATATCGCCGCGGTGCGGTGGGTGTCTAAAGCCCAAGCCAGCAAAGAGCTTCGGGTATTGGAATGGGGCTGAGAGCCTCTCCGCTCAGCGCGAACGAGGGTCGAGGGTCAGCAACCCCGGGCTCGGGATACGGCTGGCGGCGAAAGGAAGCATTTCCTCTCGCCGGGAGAACGAGCAAACCCATGGGAGATCCGTGGATCCTACAGCCTCGAATGCCAATGAGTACTTCGCATGCCATATCTCGTACGAGTGCGCAAGGTTGCTGAAGGGGCGAGCTGTGTGACACGCCCTCCATATTCATTTGAAGGGGATATGTGACTGCAAAATCGGCCACCAACGAACAGGCTTGTGCACACCAGGGGCAAGGCAATACAAGAACAAGAGGCACAGCTACATACATACATATCATTGATACGAAGAGGGGGTTTGAACAACAACCAGCGGTCAAATAAAAGGATCTCAGCTCGATGTCGAAGTGCCACAACGAACGGTGCTCGAGAGCCATTCGTCAAGTGGCTTCACAGCCCCCAACCTCCGTCGCCAGAGGCGAGCTCATTGGTTCTCAGGGCGAGGTGAGGTCTGTGCGGCTGTGTGGTTGTGCGCATACAAGGGTAGCAGTTCATGCACCTCATATACATGGGGATCACCTCGTTCTCGGTGTGCAGCCACACGCGAACCCCCCCTGCTACGAGCCTTCCCTCACTCACCGCACACCGCAGGAGGGATGCTGCAGGTGCTGCGGCTATGTGGCGGCTGGAGGGGAAAGAGCTCGATTCTGTCTTCTCGTTGCTGGACTCGGTCCGAGGTCTGATCCCTGAGGATTATGATGCGATCCATGGCCATGGGACTATGGGCCCATTGACGGCTGATATTACCCATGGATGCGCATTCAACGGGCCCCCTACAAGGTCGACTTCCAACAGTTCTAGACCAGCTCGCTTGCAGGCGTGGCCCAAGTCAAAAGTCAAGTGAGATCAATCCCAACCAGTCGTACGCAAATGAAAGCTCCTTATTCGATTCGATTGCCTGCCTGATTCCAACCCGCTTTGCAGTTCTGATTACATCTTGGACACAAGATGGGAAGGAGGATCATCCTCGCCGTGAACCAACGAGCTCCGCAGTAAGGCTCAGGCCGACAGCTTCCAGGAAGTCTTGCGCACGTTAGGGCACAAGGTTTGTCTGCGCGCACAAATCAATGAACGGCGATAATGAGCTCGGATGTCAGACTCCTTGGGATTTCTGCATGATGTGGGTGGCCCGGGTTAGGGAAGGTCAGCAAGCACTCGGCGGGTCTTGTCTGAATGTCAAGTTTGGGCATCTCATTACCACTCTCAGGCTGACATACGGCGGAGAGCTTGGGCAACGGCCGCAGTGCCGCAGTGTAAGCTGTGTAAGCTTGAAGCTCGCCCAGGGATTCCCTGATCAGGCGTCGCTTGGAGAAGGAGGCTCAACCCCGGCACCGCTCTATCTAGCTCTATTGTAACTTGATCTTCATAAACGAATCTTTTCTTCGGCTATTGGTATTTGCAATTTGGAGCTTGCGTAGACAAACCCCATCTCCTTACCATTGGGTCTAACCGTATCACTTAAGCTGACCTGATGGTTGGCCTGCACGTAACAAGAACTAGTTACTAAGTACAGGAGTGTCAACAATCCACTTTGACCACCGAGGAGACACTATGAATTTTGGAATTCCAATAATCGCGATTCTTGGGATTGACTTCGTTGCTCGAGCTCCGAGTGTGCCCGGGATCCTCCATTCCTGGGTCAACTTGGTAGGGATGTTTGGATTCGTGTCGGCCCTACGTTCAGATGGTCATATGACAGATGTAATACTGCGAATCCTGCCGATCCTGCGGACATCGATAGGTTAGGTTGCAGGAGATCGAGGAGAAACCGGAAAACCACAACAGACCCGAAGTCCTCCCGCGAAAACATGGCTGAACATTGCCTACGAGGACGAGGACCAAACCTCGAACATATCTCTCACACCACTATGGCCCGACAAACACATATGAAACATTCATCTATTTTTTCCCCAACCACCTGATCTGTGCTTTGTGTTCTGCGGAATGCCGGGAGTGAAACGCTCCCTCGACAACAAGAAAAGGCGCGGGTCAAAGACGGAGCACCGACCAAGATCACGCTGCCATTAACTCTTCTTATTGAACCACGGTCTGGGGGCTGTGGCCTGTGGGTAGTAGAGCGGCTGAATCATTGGGACGGTTTGCAAGACTTGGGTGTCCACTGTCCACCGGCAGCCGCACGGTTGGACCCAGTGGCAGCCAAATCAGCAACTGATCCCAAATCCGAGCCTTCCAGTTCCCCATCATTAGTAGTGAAAGCTCGGCAGGCTAGTGAAAGCTAAAGGCTGGTTCGGGTTAGTGCGACGGCACCCGTGATTCTCAAATGGGAAAGTTCACGCTGATTCCTTCGCATGGGCGAGATGCGGAGCACCAAGAGGTATTGGACATGCAAATGCTTGGGTAGGCATTGCACGCGTGAGCTAGATACTCGCGATGTTAGTTCGTAGGCGACGGCATAGCATTGCTGGTAATGCAGGCCCAACTCCCAAAACTCCCAAGGGTGTCGCGGCAGTTTTCCTCCTTTCATGCATTTTCGATTACGGTGCCCGAGCTGTGCTAAGCCGGAATGCAGTAGTAGACTGAGAGCGAGGAGCAGCACATCGAGCATCGAAGTAGATTTGGATAATTGTGTTTTGTTTATCTCATGTTGTACATCATTGTTATTATAATCGTGTCATATCACAGCCATGCTGGCAGGCTGCTGCCATCTGGCTGGTTGGTCTGCGCATTCGGTCTGTTATCCGAATTGTTTGCGGTGACCACCACCTCATAGAAGACGCCAAAACACCATCGCCTTCCTTTTGTTTCCCAGACGCTCGTCATGATCATGCAGGTCAGATAGCCACGTGCACCATGCTAGGCCTCCTTTCCTCCTGGTAGGTGTAATACTGAGAACCATACCCGGACTCGTACTCGTGCATGTACTGTAGCTCCTGGATATCCTTGAGCAGTTCTTCCTCAAGCTCCTCTTCTTGGTCGAGTAAATCCTCAATGGCTGCGGAACATCGGTCATGAGCCATCCGGAGACCCTCAGTCTGATCGGCTCCAGCAACGGTGCAGATGCTCAAGATAGAAGACAGCCTTGATCGTTGGGTTTGAAATTGGGCTTCAATCTTCTTGCTGGCGGAGATGATGCAAGCATATGGAGTCGATGAATCTAGAGAGATTGGACTGGAGGCGGTTGGTGAGGATGGTTGTGATGAGCTGGGGCTGTTCACTGGTGTGCCCGTGCAGAGATTGTATCGAGTTGCAAGACCGGTGTGGGATGCGATCAAAGTTGCCAGTTTCCAGATATCGCAGTAAATGCAATCTTGTTGGCAGGCAGATGAGAGAAGCTTTTGTGTGGCGGCGATCTGGGTTTGGGTTGACAGCATGGGTCTGAGGCCCTTCAGAAGGGCAGCCTTGGTTCTGCAGGCTGAAGGCATGGTTGCTGAGGGTCTGGAGTGGTTGGAGAGAAGGTTGGCGTGGTTTGGATTGTATATACTCTCATATGCTTGTGTGGGAAGCTGAGGTGAGGGGTTGGTATTCAATAAATTTGATAGTGGCGGTTCGAACGTGAGCACGGACTCGCTTTGTTGGAAATAGTAAACACTGGATTCAATGTTTGATGGAGAAGAATGCTCGGGCTTGCAAGAGGTGGAATGGAGGGTTATATCAATTCCTGAAGGTGTGCATCTTACATTTCTCACTCACCACGGCTAGTTCCAGGTGGAGTCGCATATGTAGGTAAGCAGCGGAGTCAGGGTCTTGGGACCATATCTAGTACTCATAGGTACTGTAAGAGTCACTCACCGTGCGTGTGGGTTTGCAAGAGTACAGGAGGTAACCCTGGCTCAGACGGTGGCAGCTACGCATATCATCCCCCAAATCGAGGATGGTACGGCGAATGGTTGCAGTGTTTACACGTGGAAAGGCATGGTTGAGAGCGGGAAGAGTGTGAGGCGCAAAACAAAAGATGGGAAATTGTGAAATGCTCACCGATGCCATGGCTGTGGAGCGTCGCCCAGAGTCAAAAGGACAACGAGCCAAGGGGTGACATTAGAGGCCGTGCTAGGCTGCTTCAGGAAGGTTGCATGGCCGATCCAGAGCCTCTGCGAGACCTGACTGGATGGATGAGTGAATTTCTCGTGTTATGACGTGCAGCCCAACGTAACCCTGGTCGAAGGGAGGAAGGGACAGACTCCCTTGCCCGCCCAAGACACGGTGAAGACTCGCTGACCTTCTGCTCCTGCCCTCAGACACGGATTCAGCCTTGGAACTTACCGCTGCCCAGTTCCCCAAGCTGGTTAGTCCAGGCCATTTGGGGGAAGGCGCCCACAGCGAGGTGCTGGCAGCTGCACATTCTTACGACTGTAACTCTCCGAGTCCTTGGGCTGTCCTTGTAGGGCTGCGCGGGTCTTTGTGTGGCGGTTGCCGTCGTAGCTATGGCCCCAGGGAGGCTTCTTGCCCAAGCACTCCTGCCGCTACGAGTGGGTGGGTATGCGGGACATGTATCGCGGGTTAGTCATCTCTCTAACGGTCCTTGCGCCAGCTACGACACCTAGGGAGTTAGCCCCCATGCCCCCCCCTAAGGCCAGGCATGCATTTGGTGCCTATCCGTGCCTGGTGTCTATACCTATCACCGCCTATCCAGGCCTCCGTTTTGCCGTCTGCAATTAATAATATTTGATATCATCTTCATTTCGCTGGTTGCTGACTATTGCAATCAGTAGGATAACAATCTTCATCTTCCATAGCTCAACTCTCCTGCCTAGCGAGACATCCTGCATCGAGCGTTGTCGTCCTTCCGTTCCATTCCATGCCGCTGTGTTGGAAATCACATCCAAGCCCAAGTGCAATTGTCCTGCAAACTGTGCCCCAACTAGGCTTTACCCTCAAACTCATTCATCAACACAACATCGAGCCATTGAGCCATTGCTTGGGATGGGTTTTTTTCTTGCCGCAACTCCGTGGATCGTGCTCGTAGCTCGCTTTCCGACGACGAGGACTCGTCCACTACCCTTCTCAGTGTTCCGTCAGTGTGCCGTCATGGTCCTGCATTTCGCAAGCCACAACCTTCAACTTGAGATTGGCCCGTTTGTTCTGGAAGAACATCCAAGCCCCCAAGCCGCACGCTATCCCAGCCTAGTACAGGGTTATCGTCCAGCTTACGGGTACAGCGTGTCATGCTTCAAGCCCACCACAGCCCTAAGGCTTCAAGCGCTCCTTGGCCGCCAGCCCTATCCTCAGCCATCTCGCTTAACTTGAGGCTGCGGCTGTGTTGCAACATACTGTATCTTCCTGTTGGACACCTCTCCTTTTTTTGGGCCGCCCCTCGAATAACCCTGTCACTTTCCTTGACTGGATGTTCGCTACGCTATTCCATGGAGTCACGTATCCTATCTGTCAAATAGGCTCACTCCCTCAAGTACCTGACACAGCTTGACCTTTGCGTACGGACAGCCAGCAGCAGAGCAACCCGGAAATGTGCGGGTCTCTGGTCAATCAGCTGACGAGGAAAGTCTTGGCATAAAACTTCTCTCTCGTAGCAAAGTTCACAATCGCGATCGCACACAAGCATTGCAAGAACACCAGAATACTGCTTGTTCCGAGGTCTTCGTCCTGCAAAACGCAAAAGACACGGCATGCAGCCCTGCGGCATGACCGAAAATCTATCCCAGTCATACCACAGAACAGGCAATCTTCACTTTTGTAAAGCATCCCCCATTTCCTGTCTTCCAAGACTTGAATACGAGCAATGCTAGCCTCAACGCGGCTGGCGAAAGTCAATTCTGAGAGATACTTGGGTACCTCGTCCTTGATCGTAATGATTGGTTGCCCAACACTGTCGCACTGATGTGATGGTAGGTCATTGCACTAAGCCATCGACAAACCTGCTCTGTGGATTTCAGTTCAAGCTGCCACCCGAGCACGGCCCTAGGTAACATCGACAACCTCCATACGTGCCGTCCCGCTCTTGGACACTCATTATCTGGGTGTACCCAAGTATAGCTACATGCCAGGTTTGGCACTTCACGTCACACATTCTCAACGTCAAAGTTTCTCTCCAAGGTCACAAGTCACGCGTTCGTTTCTTGTGAAACTTGTCCCAGAACATCATCCACCAACAAACAGGCTGATGAAGGAGTCCAACAATCTCAACCTGGCAAGTACGACCTTCATTCAATGTGCAATTCCTAAGGTACATTGAGAGTCCATGCCTTCCCCCTTGACCTTGTCGCCTTCACTACGCGTCACTGGTCTTGGCCCGCGATCTGATACGATTGACTTGCTGGAATTTGCCTCAACTTAGCAAGCTTTCTCTCGACACCTTCTCCATTAATCACGTTCTCCAGTCTGACTCTCAATACGATCGTGGACCACGGAGATTAAGCTTTGCCCCTATCAGGCTCAATGCGTGACTTTTTCTCCAGGTTGTGCTGTGATACCCGCTCCCAAGCTTTCGCCGCTGCAGATCATACCAGGAGGACAAGGTTCGGTAGCACTTCCGAACTCTAGGATACGCGAGCCACCAAATGCAGAGCCATGGCTTTGCTACTGGGTCGCGGGCTCGACGATATCCAACGACAATTCTGTGCCTGGTCCAGAACCGAGCAATATTTACAGTCGCTTGTTCAGTGCACGGTTTCATCAGAACGGGTCCTACGAAGTGATGCAGTGTTCGTCGGCTTTGAGACATACATAGAGTTCTCAGCCGTCGTGCCTAGCTAGCGGAGCCTTCGCAAAACGGTTGTTCACGGTGGACCGTGAGTACGTGACACAAGGTCTCACTGATGATTTTTGTCAAGTTAGATTTTGAGTCATATCTGGACCCCATCCAGTCTGGAAGGCAAGTCGCCCACAGTCACAATGCGCTACGAGCACCAGTGGCATGATCCGCCAGTACCGCACCAGAAAAGACTCGTATCTCCAGCACGCTGTGGTCCTGGCCCCTCGGCGCCACGGTTGAGCAAGATGCTGGAACAAACTTAAGTAAGTTCTACTGCCAACGGCAGCAGAGCAGACGCGCAAACTCACCTCACAACACGACCGCGCCATTGGCTGCAATCACAAAATCGCTCGCCGCGTGATGGAGGACAATGCACCGCATGCGCGTACGACCAGAATGCGACGCTAACTTCCCCTTCTTGTCCACAGTCAACGCGCGGAAGAAGACTTCTAGACTCTGCAGCCCGCAGAAACCATGACAATCATCCAAATCCCACAGGAACAGAGTTTTCTTGGCATGGAGCCTCACGGGGGTGATTTACACTCGCAGCATTCTTTCCTGTCTCACTGCGGAATTCCGCTGCCCGGAGGGCCACGAACCGCCTAGACGCGAATTTGTGGCAGGACCCCTCCCAAGGGGCAGAAAGCAAGGTGAGGCCGTTGCCAGAAGACAATGTGCAGGACACTCCGCGCACTTGGATCGCTCCCCTCGTGATGTTCCCGCGATGTCTAACACCGGTGTTGGTATGGATTCCATCCTCGTCTAGTGCAGAATGAAGTCGACACGGCACGGGTACGACGCGTTTTATGCTTTTCGCCCCCGCCCTTCGCGCAAGCACAGTGTCCCCCACGGGAAAAGAAGATCGGGCAGTCATGTCCTCATAGCTGCTTCTAGAGCCTCTTGTCCATCAAACCGTGCTCGGCGCTTCGGATCTGGCTATGAGATGAAGTGGGCATGGTCGTCCTCTACAGCTGGGCTTGCTATGTGGTGCGTCGGATCCCCAGACATCGCGAGGACAAGGCTATTCTGGGTAAGGACTACTAATAAGGCTTGGCTTGGCTAGAAACTTGGCCGTAGGTATCTCAAGGTGTCGACCGCACTTGCGCTGACCGCTGACGCTGGACCGAAACTTTATTTTATCTACGATGGCTAGCCGAGCTACGCACATTAAAGGAGCCAGACTCTGTTACACTTTTTTTAGTTGCAGTTACCTAACGTATGCTATAATCCCTGTGTCATATGGATGTTGATCGTATCACAACAATGTGCTCAACCGGCAGATGCTGGATGAGTTTCATCCCTAATCTAGAAGATTGCCATCTCGAATAGGCTGAGTGATGCTGAATATTTGACGCCATCAGCCAATGAAAACTTGGCATCGGGCGCCCAAGTGTTGGGATATCTCTCATCAAATAAAGAGAGGGGGGTCCATCTACCTCACTCACGAGCACTCGATAAAGTCTGTTAATCAACAAAGTCCACCAGGCTCCCCCGAGGAGACACTTTGAAAGATGTCATCAGACGATCAATCCCTGCCATTAGTACCTCGGTGGGGGAGGAGCACCACCACCATAGCCGCCTTGCTGACCAGGATATCCACCAGGACCTCCCTGGGCTGGTTTGCCGTACTGACCTTGACCCTGGCCGGGTGGTGGACCGCCATAACCACCCTGTTGCTGTCCATATGGTGGTTGTCCATATCCTCCCTGCTGAGGAGGAGGACCACCATAGCCGCCTTGACCCGGTGGAGGACCACCATAACCACCCTGTTGTTGCCCATATGGTGGTTGACCGTATCCCCCCTGTTGAGGAGGACCACCATAGCCACCTTGCGGTGGAGGTCGTGGAGCGTTACTCTTCTCATCCTTAGAGTCGTAGCTCGAGTCGATGCTACCGAGAAGAAGCTTGATGAGCCAGAGTTCCGGTGACAATTGGACTGGTGGGTTTGCACGTGACATTTCATCGGCCTCAACCTCGTAATCTGTTGACTCGGTCAGTAAGTTTGAAATCAAGGGATGTAAGCTTCTCCGGGGGGGGGGGGGTGGTTACGCACTGGATGTGCAGTCAATGATATCTCCAATAGTCGGTTCCTCGTCCAGCTTGCTCAGGAACTCCCGAGCCTTGAGATCATTTCCGACCTGGGCGAATTGGAATGCCAACGCACCCTTACCGTACCGAGGATTGCGAGAAAGCTCATCAGAAGCATTTTTGATGATCTTAGCCAAATCAGAGGAGCTTTCACCGGTGGGTTGGCCATCAGTGATGGTAATAACCAAGATTGGCTTGCGAAGGCTTCCGTTGCGAGCATTTTGGAGGACCAACGGGCCTAGAATTTTGTTCTGCAACTCACGACCCATGGGGGTCAAGCCGCAGAATCGGGTTCGGCCAATCATCTCATTCACTTGCTGTTCGCTGCGGATACCATTGCCTTGATCGGTCGAATTCATGAAACGGACTTGAATGCCGTCCTCATCGAAGAGAGATGTGGCATATGCAACACGCGACAATATCAACTTGAGATCGTCAATTCGTTCACCATTCTCTTCAAATTGCATGCTACCGCTGTCGTCAATGTAAAGGATGACGTCATAGAGAGCAAGCTTGACAATATCAGAAGCAATTTCCGTGCTGATGCGCCATGTTTGTGCGAGCTGCGCGACTTGCTGTGTGGCCCGGTTGGCAATGTGATCAAGTGCAGGGCTGTTGGGAGGATAGAAGTTGTGGAGTCCTTTCTCTTGAATTGCTTGCTGCAGGAGTTGCTTATAGCCGCCTACATTGCCAACAGGTGCGGGCGGCGGGCCACCAGGGCCGCCAGGGCCGCCTTGGGGACCGCCGGGGCCTCCATACTGTTGCTGTGGTGGTGGTGGGCCGCCTGGATAAGGAGCTTGACCGGGTGGGGGTCCCTAATCAGATGAAAAGTTAGCAAGGATTCGCATCGCAAAGCTTGCGACCATGTGTGAAAGATCAACGAACTTGTCCGTATCCGCCTGGACCTGGTGGGTATTGGGGCTGCTGAAATTGCGATTGGCCATATTGATTTGGGGGCTGATATTGCGACTGATAGGACGTATATGCAGGCTGAGGTGACGCATATCCCGGGTTGGGTGGTTGATATCCCCCCTGCGTTGACGGCACACCTAGCTGCTGGCCATGTTGCTGTTGTTGCTGGGGCTGTTGCCAAGAGGGCTGCTGATAGGGTTGAGGTGATGCGCCTGGTCGTAGAGGTTCTAGAGGTTGACTGTATGATGAAGAGGGTGGCTGAGGAGGTTGAGGTGAATACGAGGGCTGCTGCGGGGGGTATCCCCCTTGCTGTTGCGCAGCTTGGGCAAAGCGAGAGAACTTGCTCATGTCGTGTATATAGGCGGTTCAAGTAGTTGAAGGAAGAGATCCAGACCGGTGGAAGGAAGTAAATAGAGGGTTGAACTTAAGTCGCAGCAAAAGCGACGTTTGCTCAAGTGGATGAATCGAAGGCGATAATGACGGAATGGGTGCCAAGACACGCAAATGGAGGGAGACTTTGTGGCAGGGACACGGAAGATTCATACCGATTGACCTGGTGGCGGGGCACCGCCGCCTGGAGGACCAGTTGGAGGCCCGCCGGGATAGGCTTGATACTGCTGCTGCTGTTGAGGCTGGCCAGGGTTCTGCAAGATGTTGGATCAGTCATTGCTTTGTGGTATGACATATCATGTATGGATTTGACTCACATATCCACCTGGCTGGCCACCTGCTGGAGGACCACCTGGGTAGGCGGCATTGGCTGCGGCAAGTTTGCTTGCAAGCTATGAAGAAGCATACGCGTCAGCAGGAGCTTGGAAGGCGATAGATGCGGGTGACTCGGGGGGATTTGGGCAGGTCAGTGCTGCTTAAACTCGTAGTCAAGCAACGTCATAGGATGGTGCGGGGCTCATGGAGGGGTAGACAGGCGGGAGCACTTACACCCATCGCGATTGACGAGGAACGGAAGGCTTGATAGAGGGATTTTCAGAAAGCTGAGATCTGGATGAGAAAGATTTGGAAGCTGGCGGGAAGGAGGGACGTTCTTTTTAACGCGGAGAGGGATAGAGGGACTGGACCTGAAACTGACGAAAACGTGACAATTCGTGAGCAGCAAGGCAGGGAGCAGGGTGAGGAGTCGGCCAAGACGAAGCAAGAGACAGATGGCCAAGGCCCAAAAAGGTGCAAGCTTCACAGGGCTGTGCTGTTAGTGCTGGCTGGTGGGGCACATGAAGGCCCCGGGACTCGGGGACATCTGGTGAGCCCCTGGGGCCTGGTGAAGCCGGCTGAAAAGATTCACAATCAAAAGCTTGTAGGATCTCGTGCTGCACACTACTAGTATCAAGGTGATTGTCAGGCCCCAAGAGGAACAGGGTACGAGATATGAAGATCGAGATTCTGTCACTGCCAACTGTTTGGCTGATCATCTGGATCCCCAGTTTGCTGGTCGCGCCCCGTCCGAGGACGCCGCGAATCAGCCACAGCCCCCCAGGCACAGGCACCGCGTACTCACTTCTTGTGGCAGTGATGACGTCACATCGTAGTATGGCCTCGAGCCCCTCCAGCCACAGCCACAGCCACAGCCACAATAGCCTCACATTCTCGTGCGCATCCTGTGCTGGAAACGAGAGCGCTATCTCTGCCTAACTGGTAGAAAGGTAACTTGTTGCCTCTTTGATTATGCTATCCAATCGAACATCACACCATGTCTTCACTTTACCATGTGCAGACGTAACTTCGTCGTGGGCACGGACCACGTGATTTCTCGCCTAAGTTGCCCTGCGACGCTCCGCTTGGCGGTTTCCTCACTAGCGTTGGGCTCGCTGCCTTGAAGTTCTTGGTGGATGTTATCGTCCACCAGCGACATGTCGATCACTTGATTATTGCTCGAAACCAACACGATCCATCTGCATCTACGCTCGCCCGGTAGGTCCAGAAGGCTCTCAGCAGTGTCCTGTAAGCCACGCCGGAGGGTCGAAATCTCCCACGCTTATTCAGCCCTTCGCCGCTTGTCGGCAAGGCTGTCAAACCAATCTTAAATCTCCCTGCAGGCCTCACTTACCAGTTACCACGTTTTCAAAATGCCGAGCTACACTTCGACCCAGAGATCGGCAATCGCGCAGTTCACAAGCTTTACACAAGCGAAAGAAAGCATCGCAGCAAGGGTGGGGAACTCATGTCACTGGCGTTGTGCATTGATGTCGACCGAGTTGCTAATTAGGTGCACAGCTCCTCAAATCCCATGACTGGAACGTGGAGCGAGCTCTTGATTCGTAAGTCCCTGTTCTTTGTCTCTCCTTTTTTTTTTTAGAAACGTGTCTTTGTATGCATGCCATAACCCCCAGCTTAGACCATCCAGCGAGAGTGCTTTGCAACTGCTGTGAATGCCTTCTACATTACATGCATTACCTCCTTCTGAGCCACCATGCGCGTGATCGCTGAGCCGATGAATGACAGCGACAGACACCATTTCTCCAGTTGGAAGGACTGCTTCGCAGCTGCCTTTCAGTAGGCTACTCCTCCTACTCAGTTCTCGCGACAAGTTCCTCAATGTCGGGGTCCTGGCCTTCCCTGTTTGTGGTACCCCTTCTTGTCATCTTCTTGCTCTCACACCGTGCTTTTATTTCGTATCTCAACTTTCACCTGCACTATCATTTCAGCATGCCTTCTAAACGCAAGGTACCTGCGGGAGTTCCTGATGCTTTTCACGCTTCGCAGAAATTCAAGCGCAGCCGTGTGAAAACCCAACTAGGAGCCTCTAAGCAGAGTTTCCATCGGTCTGTTTATAGCGCAATACTTTTCAATAAGGCTGACATTCTCAAACACACAGATTTTATCAGAGCGGTACTAGTAATACAACCGTCTCCTTTGCCCAAGCCAATCTGAATAAACTCTTCGATCATTATCGAGGTAAGGAATATTTAGAACAACCAACTGGATTCCCAAGTTGATAACACACAGATAATCCATCTCAAGCCCCGGACAAGATCGGTATTGATGGAGCACAGATCTACTTGACTGAAATCGACGTGGAGCTGGACGAAGTTGCCCATCTCGCCATTTGCGACTTAGTACAGTGTCCTTCTATCGGCGAATTCGAGAGAGCTGGCTTTGTGTCCGGCTGGCGCAATATTTCTGGCGACAAAACCTACGACACTATCTCCCGCCAATCACAATATGTCTCCGTGCTGCGCAAAAAGCTTACAACTGATGCCGCGTACTTCAAGCAAGTGTATCGCAATGCATTCAAGCTGGCTAAGCCTGAGGGCCAGCGCAGCGTTCCTATGGAGACGGCGATTGACTTTTGGCGGATGTTCTTTCAGGCCGGCAAAGGTGGGGTTGAATGGGACACTGCTTCGACTAAATGGCTCGACCTGTGGATTGAGTTTTACGAGACGCGCAACAAGCGACCTGTTAACAAGGATTTGTGGAACATGGTTGGGGAGTTAGTGCTGAAGACCAAAGAGCCCGAGGGAGAGAGCTTGAGCTGGTGGACTGAGGATGGTGCCTGGCCAATGGCTGTTGACGACTTCGTGACTTATGTCAAGGAGAGGCGTAAGACCAATGGTGACACCATGGATATCAGTTGAGTACATCTGTCAAAGGTCTCGTGATGATGCATGAAGATCCAGCCACCTACCGGAAGTCCAAGAGGTCGCTATTTATGGTAGATATCAGGCTCGATCCTGCAACCAGTCGACGCTCACGGCGAGAGTAATTAATCATGATCATGACAGCGAATCCAATATTATTGTGAGCCAGACAGTGTCTATCTGCGTTAGCTGAGCGTACATTCATAGCCGCAGCATACCCAAATACGATTACGCAAGACCATCGTCCTTTTGATGGCCCTCATTGCCTCATGCGGTGGCGTCCAGCGTGCTATCTGCTCGGAAGTACCGAATGCATTTGAAAGCCCTTGCCGCTTTACTCCTCGGTCTCTACTGACGTCAGACACTCGGGTCTGATCCCGGAAGGGGACTGAGCAGATGGAATCTCCAACGATCTTCTCCGCAGTTCAACTCACCTCGCTTGCTGACATTTGTTCAGAGCGTCAATCGAATCAACCCCACGCCCTTCTAATACGAGTACTTTCCGGGGTGAATTATCTGCCTTCTTCATGATTGCATCGCGTCTTGCTAGGCCGATACTGTCGACAGCCACCGTCCTCGCATCGTTAGTGAGACCTGCCAATCCACCGCAGATTCAAGCATTCAGAGGAAATACCGGTGTTGCGACCCAGCAGCTTGTCAGAAAGATGCATATTCAGAGCATCCCCATGTGTAAGTGCTTGGACCTGAAAAACAACCTAGGTCTCATAGATAGTGGTGCTGACACTTATGATGCACCAGGGGTTGGTTCGTCCAACAACTACGCATATCTAGTTAGCGATGACGAGTCGAAAGATGCCGTCATCATTGATCCAGCAAATCCGCCAGAGGTCATCCCCGTCCTCAACGAGACATCAAGTACTCTGAATCTCACCGCTATAATGAACACTCACCACCACTGGGACCACGCAGGCGGGAACACCAGGATCCTGACTTCTCTGCCCTCACCTGTTCCCATCATCGGTGGAAAAGATTGCGAGGGTGTGACGAGAACACCTTCGCATGGAAGTAAATTCAAGATTGGAAAGAATATTGAAGTCAAAGCCCTACATACTCCATGCCACACACAGGACAGTATCTGCTGGTTCTTCGAGGACATAGCCAGCAACGAGCGGGTCGTCTTCACCGGAGATACGCTGTTCATCGGTGGATGTGGTAAATTCTTCGAAGGCACGGGCGAAGAGATGGAGAAGGCCTTGAATCAAGTTCTCGCCGCGCTCCCGGACGATACGAAGATTTTCCCAGGACACGAGTATACGAAGTCTAACGTCAAATTCTTGAAGAAAGTTGCGGGAGATAACAAAGCAGTACAGGCCTTGGAGACATTCGCAGATGAAAATCAGCAAACTCAAGGCCAGTTTACGATCAAGCAGGAGAAAGCACATAACGTTTTTATGCGTACCGGCTCGGAAGAAATGAAAAAGGTCACAGGTGAGACGGACCCGGTCAAAGTAATGGCCAAGCTGCGTGAGATGAAAAATGCTGGCTGAAGGGTTTGCGTTCGAATAAGAAGCGGAAACCCCGTATTTAAAAGAAGGATCACCATTAAGTACTTACACCAATCGGGGTTACACCATATCGAATTTTCTGTAACATAATTGGACCATTTGGATTCAAGTTGGCGGGTGACGCAACAAGACTTTTATCACTACCAGGCTCACTGTTGCCTATTTCCTGGGCCAAACGCATGTGATGACACTGATAATGTACCTCCATGACTCGTGACTGTTAAATTTCTCTTCTTGGGCTTTTGGTTGATTCCACCAACTATATTTGCGTCTGCGCAGCTCTTCCCATCGCCTTCACATGTGTCAGTTCCTCATTTTGAATGATTGTTATTCAACTTCCAAGATGAGCCAGCGACCCAATGTCTCAGGATTTGATGGCTAGCATAATTTCGGAAGAGAAAAAAGAATAACTTGCGTCCTAGACTATATAACGTTGAATGAGCAACCACCTCTCATTACTCCGACCGTCTATATCTGATACGTATGCCGCCCTTCAAACTTGTACATCTTACAGGATCATTGCGAGCCATAAGTGGGAGAGAAGATTGCAAATCAACGGGGTTCCCGAGTCCCTATTATCCTCCAAATATCAAAAGTGAGTCTGTCCAGTTATCTCCCCTGCGAGCTGCTCCGCCAACTACCAAACCCTTCCCTTCTCTGTGCCCTTGGTGGACCCCAGTTCTGTGATACAGATGTCTTGTCATCAGCCGTCATAGGGCGAGGCGTAGCTTTGGTATCCAGGCGACAACAGCTACAAAGTCCGAAATATAGAGGGAAAGGAGGCTCAGAACGTATATCACAGCCGGAGCTGTGCTTGATGCTTCTGAATGGGGGTCAGCTGTCTTCTATCGTTCACTCCCAAGGTGCAGCACGACAGACCTTACTGAGTTGGACTGGGGCCGAGATTACCCACCCACTCAGCCGTCTCTGCACAAGTCAGGTCTGAGATGTCCTGTCAGAGGTGAGAGAACTCGCCTCCACTCGAATCTTTGACGCGTCCTCCTTCTGTTCTCTCGCCAGCAACGCCAGGACTTGGCGCAGCTGATTCTCCTCAATGTGTTGGGCTGGCACAAGTTCGATCTGATAAGAGCAATCCGGATCGGCGGTGTTCAATATGAAACACTCCAGCCAACGCAATTGCACCGATCTTCTCGCACCAAATAATGGGCAGATCCAATTGATGAGCAGGGCCGCATAGAGTAGCTTCTCTGGTTTTATCCTCGGATGCTATTGTATTCTGCTATGCGTTCAATCTACGCAGGACTTCCCCCAAAACTGTCGCAGCGGTGAGACGGCATGGGTAACCGAGAACCGGCGACAAGCCTCGCTGTTGTAAAATCTCTACCTTTGTCTTTGTACCAACGGCATCTAACCCCTTTTCAGTGTCACCCGCTCGTGACCTTTCCCTATCTCTCTTCCAGGAGTCTCTTGTGCTGCAACCTTTTGGTGCCCACTGCCTCGCCAAGTCGGTATCTGCTACCGAAAGTCTTCACAGTAGCCTCCTGATTTTCCACATGTTTTGGACAGGTCAATAACCCTGGCTTTGCTGGAGAAGCAGGCTTGCGAAATGTGACAGGCTCACAGGATGTGTAGAGCTGGGGAGGAGGCCTCAGGTCCGCAATCGCCACTACGTGGCATGGCTAGATTAACAACATTAACTCGTCTCGAGGCAAATACTGCAAGAAGGATCTTGCATGGAGATATGGGCGTCGACAATCTTACCACTAGATCATGCGTGGACCCCTTAATTTGCGATCTGCCGTCATGTTCAACGGAGATAACAGTATCGTTCACTCCGTACCTGGAACAAAACTCGGTGCTAGACTGACATAGCCTTGCTTTCGTATACGCACCGCCTCAGGCGAGGGCGCTCCTGACGGCCAACGTGCCTCGTACTTGAGCTGCCGACCCTCGACGATGATAACTAAATCAAATTGGACGACCCTTATTTTGCGATTGCTTACACGCATGCGAGGGCCTGCTGTGGCCTTGTCCACTTCCGGAAACTCCTTTTTGAACTCGCTCACATTAACCTCTATGTAGCTGAGTAAGAAAGCACCTGGTGGAGAAGTTAAGTCAGCATGAGATTGAAGGTTTTGGAGGTTTCCGGGTGAGTGATCCAACATAAACGCGAGCCGAGGACTATGCTTACCTTCATTCTCCGGATGATGGTTCTGGAAATGTGAGCGGTGCTTTCGTGGAGACGAATATAACCTTTCGACGCAAATGAGTCGATCCTCGTCGCGTGGGAAGTAGTGACATGATTTAATTGCCTCCGTCTCAAATCTTGTGGGTAGTTCCGTGCCCTGAAGTATGACAAGTCAGCTGAAGTCTTCATTACGGCATTGGATGTCTTTCACTAACCGCCTGGATGACCCACCAGATCGTATCGTAGACACTATCATAATGATCCACAGGATCTCTCGCAGGTTTCACACCAGCCTCTATGTGTTCAGTATATTCTAAGTACTGCTCATGTCGCAGGAAGCCGAAGCTCGAACGTGAAATGCGACTGGGGCCATCACTCTTGTTCAGAGCTCGTAAGACTGCTCCCCTGGCTACAGCAGAGGTTGGAAACTCGTGCGGCCAGATAGTGTCAATCGTTGTGCCGATAAGGTTTCTTTTCCCTCCAATGACCTCTTCAATCCGGCCACGGAGCGATGGTGACTCGCCGAACCCGCCGACAACGATGAGTTTGCTGACGGTCAAGCCTTTAACGCTGGCAAGCTCAAGCTGATTCTCCAGCAGATCTGCGACGCCCTTTAGCGACGGCTCGAATAGGGCTAGAATCTCTTCGCGTGACCACTGGATCTTGACGCCACCCGACGTGTAAATTTTTCGTCGCATGTACTTTCTCTTATAGATGTCGATCCTGGGCTTATCAATCAGATCCCAATCATTCGCAAGGGCTGTGGCTGTTGCTTCTATATTGGTTCCGCTAGAGAGATTCGGTCTCTCTGCTTCCAGTTTCATCCTAAGGCCTGCAGCGTAGCGATCGGTAATCAAGCTAGACCCGCAGAGAGCGCCGTCGGGTGGAACCATCTCCCCTTGCAGCCGCAGCGGGCCGAGGCCATCAGATGTTACTCTGTACGTCGTAATATCCACTGTGCCCCCCCAGCGTCTAATAGTATGAACACCTCATTTTTGGAAAGCCTGCCGTTCCTGCCCAGTGAGGCTAGCACGAATTGGGCAGCTGCTTCTGGTTCCGATACAATGAAGAGGTTGCTGATAACATTTTCTTCCAGAGACTCAAGCCTGCAATTCTGTATTGCCCTTGCCATTGCATCGTGCATGATACGGCAAGCACTTTCTGACCACGACACTGGGACGCACAGAACGAATTCAAGTTCCGAATGGTCGTTGAGGCCAGAATTTTCTCTGAGGACGCTTCTCGCATGATTCAAAAGTCGTGTGAGGTAGTCTTGGAGGATGTGGTCGCGATTCTGCACAAAGTGTAGGGATTGTAATCTTTCAACTTGCTCAGCTAGCTCTTTGCGCTTCTCGGTCAGATGCTTGGCCTCGTCACCCAGCGACAATTTAATGAGCTTCACAGCCTCGCTTGACTGATAGGACTGAAGTTGTTGGGGGTACTTCTGCATATCCTGGACGTGGAAACCCCATTTTAATGAAATTTCCCGAGGCCGTGTCCACTTTCTCTGCGCTATATCCGTCCCAGTTTTAGCTGCTCTTCTTTTACGTTTCTTCTGCCGTGGTCGACCGATTCCTTTGCCATTTTCATCTGCTTCTGGTACTACGATACTGAAAGATGAGGTCTCGGACAACGTATCGGAGTCGGGGTCGGAGTCCGAGTCGTGAATATCTGCAGTCGAAATGGCAGGACCGATATATAGGATTTCAGTGGGGACATTGTCTATCCTACAGTTATTCCGAGAATCTGTACGTCCAACTGCCTTGGCGTAGCTATCAATACATTGTATGTCGTTGATCCCGAGTGATGTTGAGTCGATGCCCTGATTTATCTTGGCATATGAAACAGTCGAATATGTTGTTCCAAAATCGACGGCAAGAAGAAACTTCGACCCCTGGCTTGATGATGAGTGTATTGGAATTGAAGCTTGATCGTTGACTTCTCCGTCAGTATTGCGTCTGATGATATCGGGATGCTGCCCGGAGACAGAATGGGCAATCTGTGGATTATCCTCGATTGAACAGGATTGGACGGAAGCGGATGGTCTGATCCTGCGAAAGAGCGGCTCTGTCAGTGACTGCGCAGTCAATGAGGAGTTCGAGTGTGCCATAGTAGAGAACGTATCTAGTTCGTAAACTGCTACCAGGAGTCATTAAGGAGATTAAGTAGGAAGACTTACTCTGCACATGTGATGCCATACTCTCCAGAAGTTTCCAACATCCTCGATTTTGGTGACCATAGCACACGACGGGTGGGCTGAGCCGACTATCCGTACCTAGTTGCCGGCGAGTACGCCTGGCCCAGTCGAGTCGGACCCCACGGTGCATGTGCAGGGGTGTGAGCAGGCAACCAAAAGGTATTGTTGCCTTGCCCCTGCATAAGCGCTGTAGCCCCTGCGGAACGCCGGAACCCATGTCGCAAGCGACCCAAGCACTATCTAGTGGCTTACCTCGTAATAAGCTGTGCATATCTAGACCGCTTCAAAAACGCTCAACATGCTGTAGCTCATACAGTTGAACCCCATAAAGACTCTCCATTACACCTTGAATATGGGCAGGAAGAGGAAAAGAACAAACAAGGTTGGCAACCCAACATCAAAGACCGAGCATAAGGGAGCCTGGCCTGAAGCAATCGTGGAGGAACTGCTGGCTTATCTCGACTCTGGAGTTGCCTTCCTGGATCCTGAAACCAAAGCAGAAATTGAACGCAAAGATGAAGACATCAATGAGGAAATTTCTCAGCACTTGAATGAGGTATACGAAGACGGCAAAGACTCACCTGAGCCATTCCGGCAATTTTCTCCCACTCAAGTTCGGGACAAGCTACGCCGGTTGTTTTGGAATTTCTGTAAAGATGAAATGGATGGTAGAAAATGGAAGATTATCTACAGACTGGGATCATCCTGTCTGACAAATACCAAAGACCCCGAGGTCAAGGATAGGATAGCTCGTCTATCAGGGGCGATCAAAATCAAGTGGGTGGAATGCTACTTGAGGTCCCCCCGCAAAACAAGAGCTAGCTCGCAGCTCAATCGAGAGACATATCAATCGCCTCGGAGATCGACTTCTGCAAGCGACCCTTCTCTTATGGAAGGCAGTCGACTTAGGGGACAAGATATAGCAAGGCACCACCCATTACGACAAAGATACACGGCGAGTGAAAACGATAATGTACGATTTCGGCTGTGGTGTGGCAGGAGCTAATGATTGCTAGGAATCGGACATATCTTCGATCAGCGATCAGCAAGAAGTAGCATCCCAAGTCAAGCTGGAGACTGCAGGGATCGAAAGGAACCTAGCTGACATCGCCAACTCGACTTCTGAGAAGAGTCTCTCCTCTAAAGACTCTCAACTATCGATGAGCCAAGAGCCGGAGGTATATGGCACCCCATCAGCAAGGCTCACCCCTTTTAGTGATTGTGAAGAAGAAAGAAGGATTGCCGACGTAATCAGCGCGCAGCCCTCTTCAGACCTGATTCAGCGACTTTCGAGATTTGAAGCCGAGCTGAGCACATTCAAAGAGGAAGCAGCGATGGAGTTAGACTTCTGGAAAGCCAGATGCCACACAGTCGATGAAAAAAATGCAAAGCTGAAAAGGGAAAGGGATGCCCTGGTCGTGAAACTCGGGATGCTCTGTGAGACTAACACGCAGCTGACAGTCGACGACTTCCTTACGATCCAGGCAGAAAAGGATGAGCTGGAGGAGGAGATACGCTCGCGACGAGAAGTCCAAACCCTGAAGCGGGGAGTTGGCGTAAATGTTGAGAAACAAACGTTCCTCATCATCTCGAAGCTGATGCAAGATATCAGCTCGCACCTGCAAGGCGCTCTCAAACGAGGTAGCTTTGTACCCCTCTTGTCGCTACCCGAGCTGCCCCGGGAACATCCACTCAGATCCCTAGTTGAACAGGCCTTTGGCTTTGACTGGAGCAGCAACGACGCCTCACATTTCTTGGAGGAATGTCGACATAACGGTGAGATGCAACAGATCTCGATGCTCTCACTCAGCGGTGCTGCTTTGGCTCAATGGGTTTTCAATAGAAGCCAGGCAGACCTGATCTTCGACCGATATCAAAATAGTAGCAGTCGTTGCTCTACGAATCGTTACCGCCATGCCATCAATATTCTTGCAATGGAATGTAAGTCTACATAATTGAGGTGGTTATCTGTCCAACACTAACTTAGTGTAGACCCGGAGTTTGCCAGAGCAATTGACCTCGAAGTGCACACGAAGATTGCTCAAGAGGAATCCTTCAAGCATTTCCAGGAGTCGAAGGCTCGAAGCATAGCGCTCCATCTCCAGGAAGTCCTTGCCCCGCTTTGGAATGGGGCATCAGGCGAAGCTAGCGGGGATGGCACTGAAAGCGAAAGCGGAAGCGATGTGGACATCACTGAACAGCTGACCTCTGTGTTCGACAAAGCGCTAGATGTACAATGTCGATTGGCACTCACCGGGCACCAGTACGAATGCGTCTGGTACCCGCCAGGTCATGCTTTCGATGAAGATAAGATGAATCCGTACAGGTCGGAAGACATGCGGGCTGTACTCGCAGACACGTCAACAACCAGGCTGACGCTGATCCCTGGCATAAGCCAAGTTGTTGACGGCCAGGTTGGTGTTGATTTTGGCGGCTTCGCCGACAGTCGACAGTGTCTACAGGGGCATGCAGTCTGCCTTGTGCAGCCCCTAGTGTGGCTTGGTTGTTCGCAATAGCAGTAGTTGCGTTAGATGGCTGGCAGAGAGCAGGGGGTTGTAGGAAGGTCGCATGACTAGCGTTAAGATGTCTGAAACACCAGCCGCGCGCCAACCATCACTGCAAGGGGCGTTAGAACAATGCTCCCAATTCCTCCTTGGCCATAAATACCTCACAGGCTGGATAGATTGAGATACGCCATCTGAGTACCCCCGTACCTCGTACTGGTAGTAAGAAGACACCCAGAGGGTCTTATATTCGAGACCTGAGCAGGGATGGCTCCTCGAAGGCAACACTCAGCCCCAGAAGTTACCACTCTCTTGAAACTGAACCACGACTATAAGATTCGTTTTCACACAGCAGCCACAAAATCCGATTGGGAGCGTGAAGGGCTCCCTGGCAGAGGCTTATTTGACCAGATTGAGAAAATCAAGACCATCAAGTTTTCTGAATACCCACCGCGGAATCACCCGGATAAAGCCACCGCCAACCGCAAGAAATTGCTCGTAAGGAGGATCCAGGCAAATGCAACTCGGTGCAAGAGGGAGGGAGACAATGAAGTCGGCTGGATTAACAATGTCGCCAACTTAGTTCTTGGGCGCTTGGACGGGTTTGAATTGCGTTGGTGCGTCATTCATGACTGAGCAATGAGCATCGTCAGCTAACTGTATAGCCAACGATGCAACAATTACTTATGGCTGTCGGATTTTATTGCGCTGCCGAGTGATCCAGTTGCTGCTGACCGTCTAAAGCGAAAGTATGCTCGGAGGAGTCTTTGTCAATGTGACGCCGCACAAAGGGCGGATGTTGTGCGGTAGGTGCTTCCACTGATCGAAGTGGGAGTTGAATCTGACGGTGAAAGGGTGAATTCGATTCAGCCATCGATCTTATCAAACAAATCGGACGAGCGTGTTTGGCATCAGGATAGTGGTTTGGAGAATGAGGTGATCGATCAAAAGTATAAAAGGCCAGATCGAGTTTATGGGCTAAGCATGACAAGTTCCTTTGTGCCGTTCAGAGAGCGACTAAGCAAAGCCAGCCCCTTCAAAGGCGGCCACACCTTGTTTCCTTTCTTGTTGGTTGAGGCAAAATCCGAGAAGTCGTCTTCAGGATTTGAACAGATTGAACGACAAACAGCCCTGAGCATTCGCACCTGCCTCAAACTCCAGGTAGATCTGGATGCAGAGTCAAATCAGGTCCTGGACCCACTTGTATGGTTCTTTGGGTTTATGGGTGATGAATGGCGCCTGTACTTGGCGTTTATGGTGGGTGACCAGACTGTAAGTCGTAGATGTCCCCGTGCCACAGTGCCAGACGTGCTAACAATTGTAGGACGTTATGGATTGCTGGCACGGATACCTCCAACGCAATGATGAGGCTTTACAGTTACTGGTGATCATCGATTGGATCCACAGCTGGGCCACAGATATCCATCGCAAAGGAGTCATAAGGTGCTTAACTGGGCTCACAGCACGAGATATCTCGCCCTCGGGAACAGCCTTCTCTTCTCAAGAAGCTCGTTCAGAACGGGGCCAATCAATTAGGTCGAACTCCCTGGTATTCCGCACGTCGCGAGCACCGAGCGCCGCACCAGAGGTATTCCAACGGAATCCAATTTATAGCCAGGTCATCGAGATCCATGACTCGGAGGAGGAGATTAAGGATGTTGGAGTTGACAGTGGCATCTTTTCCGCGCCCGAAGATGGCAAAGACTCGGAGGCTGATGATGATGACCGACAAAGAGTTGTACGCAGCGCTAGCTCCACCGTATACCAATGGAAGCATTTCGACATCCCAGACGAAGAGTCTATTCTCCTAGACCTGCTCGGCACCCTTGAGGGGGAAAATTCGCAGCAAGATGCTGCCAGGTCTCTTTGGAAAATTCTCACAGATACCCAGCATACAATAAAAATCAGCCTCAAGACGGTGTCGCATTTAATCCATGACTCGACTGGACAGAGTCTTTCGGAGTTCGCAGAGTACGAGCCGATTGCCACCTCAATAGTATGTCAGCGCACCCTCGTTGAGACAAGCTGGCAGGTGATGTGCAACTTTTGGTGCATCACTTGTAGTCAATCAGCGGCAAGCATGTTGGCAATTATTGCAGGTGTCAATGAGTCTGAGCGTTTCGGGCTAGCCTACTGGAGAGCCCAGGATTCCGCGTGCCTCATGCCAATGATTGCAAGCCTGGCCAATCTGGAAGGAAAAGCGTCTGCTGCTGCAGCTATCTCGCAGGACATATACTGCATGACCTCCAGCGAGTCGGAGACCAATCACGGGCACTTTGATTGGAAGAAAGCCGACAGAAGTACCCTTCAGCCTTGGCTAGTCGTGGTTGACAGTTCCTTCAGGCAGATTAAAGGATCGCGGCGAACTATTCTCCCTCGGGTAATCAGTCGGACGGCTCCTAACTACGTCCTAAATCCTGGTCTCTTCGAGACGAGTGGCCTCGAAGGCCTCCACGGTGTGCTTTTGAGGAGGCCAGAAGAATGGCCGGGTGCTTGTCCGCGGTGGTGCTTCTTGATATTCGACGTCGACCATGTGAACGATCTTAGCAACAAGATTGATAGAGCTCACCGCAAAAGTGCCATATATGCGACGGGAAACTGGAGCCGTGAAGACGATCTATTTCTATCGCGGTGGATTAGAGACCTAGCGAGAGGAGAGAGACGGCGTCAACCCAACTCAATTGGTGAAATCGTATTGGCAATGTGATATAAGGCTGTTGACCGTGTTGAGCGTGTGAACTTACATGCGTCCCAGTTGGAGCGCCAGTCCATCCAGTATGATGAGGGCATGCTTGTGAATTCCTCGTTCTAGAAGTGCCTTTGCGCTCATCCACCATATCTTCAACCTGGCCAACTATGAGACGACGTCACGACCCCAGGGCCAACCAGTGTCCGTAGGGTAGACAGTGCTTGCAAATTGTAGGCAGATCTTCAGGTGATAACAAAGTAAAACTCCAACAAAGATAGCCACAGTGTCTATGAGCCGCTTTGACCTCTAGTCTGGCGATAAGAGGATTGTGATCTCAAAAGCAGGGAACGGGGATAAACCCGGTTAGTGACTCCAGCCACTGCCGTTAGGCGACTCTCCCGAACGAAAAACCTAAGTGCCAGATCCAGTTTAATCCTAGAGGGTAGGCGCAGGCTCCTTTATCCTGAGGCTTGGCTGAGTCTCGAGCTGAGCCTCCCCTGAGCAGCGCAAAGAAGCGTGCAAAACTGGCTCCTGAATACTCGGCTATACCTGCCTACAGGCTCGACATCTGAGAAGCCCCAATGAGCCTGGTAAATCCCTGCTCATGCACTGCCCCCCAAGAATTCCTCGTACTGTAGTGTCGAATAGCCACATTCTCAGACTACATCTGGACACGAGCCCGTGTGATCATGTTGAGCTGTTGGCGCAGAGAAATGCAAACTGTGCACGTTGCGCGGTCGACTTCTACTTCGTTTTGTCAGCTGTACTTTCAGCACTTTTCGATCTGCGTTTGCATAATTTCACGCGCCTTCTGGCTGCGTCTCGCATTGGACGCGGATTCAAATCCCTCCAGTGTTCACGCGTCGTCCTCTTTCGATTCCTTGATGAGTTGCAAATGTATACGGATGGCTCTGTCAGTGGCAACTTAGCGACGCAAGCGTGCATGATAACTTGAATGCACCTGCGTCATTCTTACCTTCTTGCTAGACTAGAGAACCAGCATCACGACTGAGATAGCCTGCCGCACCATGAGGCTCGTTAATCTCTCAACAGGATTGGTGCACTGCCACATAAAAGAAAAGGCATTCTTCCTGGGAATACGCCCAAGTGTGCTACTTCTCTGCTAGACGCCTTGTTGACTACTAACTTCTCCATGTTCGCATATTCTACGAGTCAACGCCACCTCGCACAGGCTCTCGTCAATAAGGAAAATTCTCATCCTACAAACGTGAAAACCATTCCTTCATTACATACAAGTCTCCTCATAGAATACCGCAGATACTGACCTTGACCAATATCTACCCTCTAACAACCTCAAAATTTGCAGGGCTTCAATGCAACTAGTCCGGCAGCGGCTCGATCTCGAAAAACTCCGCCTCTGTGCCGGCCTTGCAGCCTACGCCTATGCGTTGGGCGATAAGACCATCTCTTAAGCGACCATAGCAGGGAAATGGCCGCCGGGTAACAGAATAACCGAGGCCAAATCCTTTTTCAGCCATTCCTTTTACCACAGGCCGGAAAGTTAGCACCGCTTCTTCAAGCCGCACGCGTATGTCTGCCGGCTTGAAAAGGTTCCCCCAGACGGTGTCAATCAGATTGCGGTTGGGTTCAGAGGGACTTGGCTCAAGCACGGTGCTACAGTTATGTGGCCAACGTCATGTGTTGACGACAGATTGCCTGAATACGCCGTACAGTTGTAGACGGCTCAGCAAAATCCGGATAACTCTCCAAGATGTCCAACCTGGCCTTCAATGTAGTTGACCCCGCAAACTACAGCCTGGCGGATCTCTACTACGATGCCACTCTGATCCGTGTTCCTTACCGCAAGGGCGTTGTTTGGAAATGGTACACCTACTGGGACACCCTGGTCTTGGAAGGAAGCAACTGGATGCGTCCAGTTTTCGCATTGCCTCGCAAGGTTGCGACAGGCTTGATTTCCCGACCATACAGAGATCAGATCACCCAACGCGGAATGGTCCTCGCCCATCTCGGCTTTTGGTCCTTGTGGGCATCAGCTGAAGGCTTGGAGGTTATGACCGTGACGGTCACTTGTGGAAAGACGAAAAGTTGTGTGAGTCCTAGGAGCCACCGCTGCCTCAGAACTCGAGAGCACCGGTGCGCAACGGAGTCCTGCAGATCGTCTTGTGAATGCACCAGAGAGTGGACACGACTCGAGAGACGGAGATATATATGGTGGGCCATTCACTGGGAGGTGCCGTGTCATGGTAAGTCTCTCTTCTTGAGGTAGCCTAGCCCCCTGCGATCCTGCTGAAAATATCCCAGGTTTGCTTCCCTCAACATCGTTGCAGAACTGCAAGACAAATTCCCGAACGTGAAAGTCTTCCATGCGACTTTCGGCGCACCCCCTGTTGGGACGAAACGATTCAGCGAACACTTTCGACGCAGCATGGCGGGCCACCAGTCATGGGCCGTGTTCCATAAACGAGACCAAGTTGCTAATTGCTTTGCATGGCTTGGCTCGATACGTGGGGTCAAATTGTTGCCTTGGTGGAGCAATGGGAGCCGCGCTGGAGCTGAATGCGTTATCCAAAAACTGGGTACCCCGACACCATCAACAGTGCAGATAAATGACGGACGTGTCGCGAAATTCTTTCGGTTTGTTAGAACTTGCCTGCCTCCAGATACGCTGAAAATGGGCGGAATTTTGGCGAGGACCTTGATTTTTCTCGGAGTCAGCTCGCTCACGACGCCGCTTTCGATTACCGCCACCCCAGTTTGCTGGTTGATGGACTGGAAGCAGTACAAAAAGCAAGAAAACCCGCCTGCGAATTGGAAAGATGCTAGCAACGAAGACAATATAGGTGTCCAGGGATTGAACGAAGATCTGGACCTGCACAACCTGGATCTGAATTATCACGGGCCGGAGAAGTATGTCTAGCTCCTGAACGACGCTGACCCATTTGGGGCGTAGGGGATAGTAAGACAGGGAAGGAGATATATATACGAAGTTTTATGTCATTAGATTCAGCGCTCCCGACTATTCTCTGACTCTCCTTCCCGGGCGTAAACAGCTAGGCAACAGTCTAGCGACCATAGACAAGCTCTATTGATCAGCCCTTAGCGCTGTGCATTCGACAACAGGAAAGAGGACTTAGTAGGTGGAGACTTTCTGTATATTCAGCCAACGCAGGCTCACTAGGATTTAAGCAGGATACTATCTCTATTCTTCTCCATGACTTACCCTAACCGCTCCTTACTCACGCTCTACCTCATCTCAAGCGCTCCCTTGACTCACCCAGCGTGCTACCCTGGCGCACTCATACCGCCCCACAGCGAAGGGTAAGCCGAACCCAGAGCAGTGATTGGCCGGTGCAATTCGGGGCTACTTATCACACCACATGGCCGTCTTCATCCCTTTTTGTCGCAACCTTGGGATAAGGGCTACCTTGATCGGCCATGAAAATCCTCGTCCAGCTTGATAAATCGGGGGATTGAAGGACTTTCTGCCCAGCGCACCTTCCTGAGCATCCATGCCCCTATGATCGACTGAGTTTTCAATCTCCAAATAGTCTGTGCAAAGGGGACTGCACTTGACAATCGGCAAGTGATCTGCTTATGCAGCAAATTGTAAGGCAATATGGCCTTCAGTCTCTTCCTGTGCCAGGTCCTCAGCTAGCATCACCAATATCTCGATCGACAAGATATCACCAGCGTTCACAGAAAGTTGGATTGGCGTTTCACCCCGGGCCTCGTGCGCCAGTGTATAATGTCTTCTTCCCAGCAGCTATGAGACGATTTTAATCACTGAGCTGCTGCGGCCATACGAAATCGGTGGATGGCTATTTTATCTTCATTGTCGTAAACATTAGAGTTTTTAGCACTTCGCGTAAATAGTCTAAAACAGACCGAGGCATATTTTGGGCTTTTTAAGCACCCGTTCAACCTCAATCTCGTCATCTGCATCTCCCCATATCTCCTCAAGCATATTCAAGACTTCAGACTATATCTGTCGGCCTGGAATGGTCTAGGAAACTACCAGATGCAATGGACTCCTGCCGAATGCGTCACGTGCTAATGGATCTGCGCTTGGCCTGAGCATGGCTCGTTTTGTTTCGAGTTAAAACGCTCCCTCCAGGCAGCTAGGTCAACGGCATATTCATGGCCAAGATCAGCGCACTGTACCGCTTCCAAGCTGCCGCCCCCACAGAGAGTTATCTGAAAGGGGAAATTTGATTCATTTGGATCGCCAAGACAGATCTCGGTAATATTTGCTGCTTCGGGATTTGTGGCACCGACTTGGTCACCCTCCTCTGTCAGCTGGGCTTCCCCGTGGAATCTGAAATTGATCCAAACCCCAGGGCCACAAATTCACTCCATCAAGAAGTCGCAGGAAGCGTTGGAGGTGGAAATCCCGGCGGCGGGCTGTCCAGATCAACCAGCCATCACTGTTGCCTGTGTTCTGATACCGTTGGAAATGGTTGCTCAGCACACTTTCTTGATCTATCCGACCCTATTCCTCAACAACCAGTGCCTCGATCGGATATGGAGGAATTAGACATCTCTACCGGGTGCGCAGAGGATCACCCGTCGTGGAGCCGCCAATACGTGACCGATGTGCAGCAACGCACCCCGGTGCTCAAGACTGGCCATCATTAGCCTGTCCAGTTGTTGTTACTTCTCCTTGGCATCTCGTATTTGTGCCGCAATTGCTCCTGTGGTTCCTCTAGGTCCCTCGTGGCCGCCTTAGCGGGTGGCCGGCCTGTCAGTCGCGGCATGCTGATGCTCTTTATTCGGCATACAAGCCTCGTGTTCGCCTTCTTGACGCCTCGTCCAGGTGCCAAGGCTCAGAACGCTCGCTGTGCCGAATCTTCCTGATGCGCAGTCATATGAGTGACAGCTCACGGTCCCGCTCAACCATTGGCATAAATATGGCAAGGCTTAGGACTGGTTACTATCCGTCCGGAGGACGCCTTTACACTTACCTCTGACCTTCCTTCGTTTACTGAGAGGAAGTCATCTAGTATGACGATGCACAAATATCGGTTCTGTCAACGCATATTATCCCTAGCACTCGGGTTCCCAGTCTTCCTCTCCACAATATTTGGCCAGCAAGTCATACCAGCGAGTGATCTCACACTCGAAGAGCAGACTTACGATTTTTCACGAGGAAGTCGATTGAGGCTACTGGCCCATCAGAGCGTTATATTGAACAGCTCAGATCGCCACCTTCTTGTCATTGATGGAGGGTTTGGTAAGTTTGAAGTAGAGGTTAATGGAGAGGTGGTGGAGGTACTAGACTTGAGTACGTCGTCCCGCCCAGCGATGGTTTCGTTTCACAAGCAAATGGCCTGCTGATGCAGATCAACGTTTCAAGACCGGTACACAGTTGCCTTCGATCTCTCAAAAGATATCAAAACCACGAATTTACAGCCTGTCTGGCAATTCCAAAAGCCTAACGATGGGAAAGCTAAGTTCCAGATCACGAACCATGGAGGCCTATTTATCTCGGCAGATCAGAAGAAACTCTGGTACCATGGTGGTCACTTCTATAATGCTGGCGGCTGGAATGAGAGCTTGTATCATGTGGACAAACCCGATATCCCAGAATGGCAATTGTGGGAGCTAGACCTTACAAATCACCTTCAAAAACCTAATGGCTGGCTCGATGTCACGGATGAGGTCGTTGCACATGAAAAAGTGAATCGTACCTTTGCCAGCGCCAGTACATCAGTGCCACGCATACGCAAGAGCTTCTGGATTGGGTAAGTGGTTGGCGATAACAGAAACTATGTTTCTGTCAAAATATCCTGGTCAGCACATTGCTGACTTCTTTGCGGTGCAGTGGGGCATCAACACCACGTACATCCAGAACAACACCCATTGACAGATTTGAGGCCACCTCACAAATGCTTGTCTTTGATGAAACCACCAGAGAGATTTCGTCCTCGACTTACCCGGGGTCACGGCCAGGCAGTAGAGACTATGGCTACTATCATGGGAAGCTTCTTCACCTTCCCATTGGCTCCGGGGCCGGGTATTTGCTATCTCTGATGTCTCTTGCCGCACCTGCCTACGAATCATGGGTGGATCCCGACGGTGATGGTGGAAATCGCGAGGATATCGTGCCTCCTGTGACCAATGTGTCTTGGAAGACGATTCCTCTCTACGACCTGGAAAAAGAAAGATGGATTACTCAAGAAACGTTGTATTTCGAAGACGAGCTGCCAGAGCCACGGACTCGTTTTTGTGCAGCCCTATTCCACAACGAGATGAACAACACTTGGGATGTTTGGGTGCATGGCGGGCAGCGTCCAACTGAAAATGAGACCGCAACTACAGCCATCTACGTATTGTCGATGCCGAGCTTCATTTGGAAACGGATGGAGCCACTTTTTCCCGAGTTGAACGAGATTCGGAGCCATACCTGTCATGCGGTGGGAGACCAGCTCCTCATCGTAGGTGGTTACCCAGCTGGGCAGACCGTGCTACGGGACACATACATTGATGATCAGTACATCAAGGTACTGAAAATCGGAGACACCTTGAATTGGGCTGATACTTACCAGCCAGGAACGACGTATCAAACACCTGATGACGTTCAGCGAGCAGCGAGAGGTCAGGAACCGTTTTATCCGTGGGCGGACGACAGATTGAGGGAAGCATTTGCATACGAGCAACAAGCTACTATTTCGTCGAATACTTCGACTCAAACTACCTCGACGACAGATACTGCATCGTCCAGTAAGACTGCGACATCTGTTGAGCCTTCAATTTTATCAGATCTCACTGAGTCCTCATTTTCACCGGCAGCCATTGCTGGATGTGTTGTTGGTGGAGTACTTGGTTTATTAGCCGTCTTATTAGCACTGTGGGGTTTAAGGAAGCACCGGCGAGCTAAGAGAGCCCATTATGCAGCCAAAATGAAGGGCAATGACCCACGATCGCCGCTGTATGGTCAGCCTGAAGCGATCAAGGATGGGAGCTTACAGCCCTCGGCCGCAGTGGTGCAAACAGGAGAGTCACCCGCTCAGGATATGCCTGGCGGTGGTAGCGGACAGAGAGAGCATGAGTTGGAAGGATCGACACCTGACGAGCATGTGGGCATGAGACAACGGAGTATTTAAAGTCCAAATAGGTATCTAGAGTTCCGTTGGAAATGAAGATGGGAGCACTGACTTTCTCACTGTTACAATTTATAGCATTTGTAAACTGCCACAGCTACGGATCATTCTCTTAGAGTAGTGTAGGGGGCCGAGCACTCAACCCTGCTGGATAGGCCGTGCTGATGCCGACACTGCCGAATTGAGCCGAGGAGCCCGGGGCGGGGAAACAGTGTTTGAGGTCCGCTTTTCATGAATATTGCAGACACCTAGAAAACGAGACAGACAATTCATCAATGTGCGTGACACACGCCCGGCTATCGCTCTCCAGTAGGTGGCCGCGTTGGTAGGTTGCTTCAAGGATGTCCTCCTCTCAACCCATCAAGATTCTTATAGCCAATCGATCCGAGATAGCATGCCGTCTTATCAGAACATACTCACTCTACTCAAACATCCACACAGTAGCTCTGTTCACTCCCTCTGAGAAGGAGGCGACCCACGTGCGTCTCGCAACTGCATCAGTGGCGCTCCCAGGAGAAGGTCCACGTGCATATCTGGACGCGGCCAATATTGTCAGCATTGCGAAGAAAGAAGGGTGCTGGGGTATCGCACCGGGCTATGGTTTCTTGTCCGAAGACGCTGGGTTAGTGAGGCTTTGCGAGGATGAAGGCATCATGTTCATCGGACCGTCGAGCGAGCAGTTGGCACAACTTGGAAACAAGATGAGCGCGAGGTCATTGGCGGTAGGTGCAGGTATACCGGTTCTAGATGGCACGAAGACTGCACTCGATCGAGGTTCTTCCATCACGGATGTACTGTCGTTTGGAAAGAGCCTGGGCCCAGCCAGCAAAGTCATTCTGAAGGCCGCAGCTGGCGGGGGAGGGCGCGGCATCCGCATCATTGATGACAATACGGATGAGCAAGCCATTCGCTTAGCTTATGAAGCTTGTCAGCGAGAGGCACATGCATCCTTCGGCAATGAAAGCTTGTTCGCGGAGCGATATCTGCACGGGGCTAAACACATTGAAGTCCAGCTTCTAGGAGACGGAACTGGTGAAGTGTGCCATTTCTGGGAAAGAGAATGCTCGCTTCAGCGCAGAAACCAGAAAGTCGTAGAGATTGCGCCTTCGCATTCCATCACCCCACGGCTTAGGCGAGCCATCATCGAAGCTGCGATGAAACTAGGAAAAGCAGTCAAGCTGCGAAGTCTCGCCACAATCGAGTTCCTGGTCGATGCGGCAACCGAAGACTATTATTTCATGGAGGCGAATCCCAGGATACAGGTCGAGCACACCATCACCGAGCAGATCAATGGCATTGATCTAGTGGATTTACAGCTTCAGGTCGCTTTGGGACGAACTCTGGCTGACCTGCACATAACCCGGGAGCCCCCACCACCTCGGCTTACGTCCATACAGCTACGCATCAACGCCGAAAGCTTCAGGCAAGATGGCACCGCGCAACCTGAAGCAGGGATTATCCGACAAGGACATTTCCCTACAGGAGCAGGCGTGCGAGTCGAAACAGCTCTTGAAGGAGGCCGGCAGTATGCTGTGAGCCCTTTGTTTGACAGCCTTTTGGCTAAACTCATTGCCACCTCATCTTCGTATGAATCCGCACTGCGGCTGGCTCGTTGGGTCATCGACAAAACAAGGATTGTGGGATGCAGGACGAATCAGGCGTTCCTAATGGCTTTGCTGGATTTCCAGACCGTGCAAGAGGGCAAGTGCAACATTTTGACCATCGAGGAGAACTTCGAGACGTTGTACCGCGCCACGCAGCAGTTCGAAGAGGTGTTGCGGGCTAAAGGTGACCGCATCTCCGAAGAAGCTACCTCGCTAAGGGAGGATGGGGCTAAATCTGAGCGACCTGCAGGCTCTGAAGAGCTGCCTGCACTTGTCACAGGGGTTGTCCTTTCCATCAAAGTGAGCGGAGGCGACAAGATCACTGCTGGCCAAGAATTGCTCGTTCTCGAGGCCATGAAGATGGAACATTCTGTCCGGAGCGCCTACAATGGTGTCGTGGTGAAAGTGGCCGTCACGCAAGGACAGCAAGTAACTGCCGGCGATCCTCTTATCTTCACCAGCTCGGATGGCGACAACTCATCTACCAATACACACGACCTAGCCGAGACTGAGAGTCCAGAGAAGCTGCGTCCGGAGTTGACGGAGCTGAACGAGCGTCAAGCCTTTCTACGATACGCTGGCCGCGAAGAGGACGTGGCCAAGCGCCATGCAAACGGATACCTTACGGGCCGGGAAAATCTCGACTTACTCGTAGACAAAGATTCATTCATTGAATATGGAGACCTCGTGGTTGCGGCACAGAGGAAAAGGTACCCCATGTCCCATCTCATTGCTCGAACAAGTGGAGATGGTATCATCGTGGGCTGGGCGAAGATAGACTCTCACCCCGTCGCAGTTGTCATTGGCGACTACCTCGTACTTGCCGGGACGCAAGGACACTTCCATCATCAGAAGTTAGACCGCATCTTCCAATCAATCATTGATCATCCTGCGCCACTGGTGTTGTACGCGGAAGGAGGCGGCGGAAGACCAGGTGATACCGATCACTTGGGCATGGCGGGCCTAAAGACGCCATCATTCGCTTTGATGGGCGAGATCAAGGCAAGAGGGATACCTTCTGTTGCAGTAGTGAATGGATACTGTTTTGCGGGCAACGCTGCATTCTTGGGAACCTGCGACATTATCATAGCTACAAGAGGCGGATCAACAGATGCGCCGCTGGGGAAGTCCACCACAATTGGCATGGGCGGCCAAGCAATGATTGAGGGCGGTGGCCTTGGCCGATTCGAGCACGAGCATATCGGTCCCGTCGATGTCCATATGCGCTCAGGTGGCATTGATGTACTTGTGGACACCGAGGTCGAAGCTGCGCCGCTTGTCCGCAAGATCCTTGCTCTGTTCACACATCCTCAGCTGCCACCTGCGAAGAGTCCTTACACGTCGGATCCTCTTCTCCTACGCACCGCAGTGCCGCCACTGTCATCTCGTCGCCGAGCCTACGATGTTCGTCGTGTCATCAACCTTTTTCTGGACGACGATAGCTTCATCGAGTTCTGTCCCGAGTGGGGTCTCTCTGTGCTCACAGGCTTTGGCCGCATCAACGGCCACGCAGTCGCAATCATGGCTTCCAACTCCTCATCTCCGCTAGGCGGCGCTATCGACGTCGCATCTGGAGCAAAAGTCAACCGCCTTCTCCGTCTGCTCACCCGCCTCGGCGGCATGCATCTCCTCAGCCTCTGCGATACCCCTGGGTTCATGGTCGGCCCCGACTTCGAGCGTTCGAATGAAGCTCAAGGTACCGGAAGCACATACCGCTGCTTCGGTGACTGGTTCGGCAACTCCCAAGAATTTACTCTTCTCGGCGGTCGCGTCCTAGGAGTCGTACTACGAAACGGCTTCGGGCTGGGCGCACAAGCGATGCTCGGTGGTGGAAGCTTGAATAACAGCATGTGCGTGGCATGGCCGAGTGCCGTCTTTGGGGGCATGGGTATCGAAGGCGCTGTGAGGCTTGCTTACAAGAAGGAGTTAGAAGCTATCAACGATCTTGAAGAGAGGAAGAAAAGGGAGCAGGAGATGATCGATGTCATGTACAGCGAAGGTAAGGCACTCAATATGGCTATGGCGACTGAAATCGACAGTGTGATTGATCCGGCTACGACGAGGAAATGGCTGGAGCAGATGATTGAGGTGCTACCGAAGAGAGTACCGACGTATGTCAAGGCAAGAAGACGTGCGAAGATGTGAAAAAACGCAAAGTCTATCGGCGAAGTTCAAGAATTGGTGAGATGGATATGTGGCGCTGTCCCATAAATATGGTACCTAGATAGTAGATCTTCCCCTTTTAGCTAGACAAAGTGCGGAATCGGACTTGCTTGGTGCCTGCCTACCCGTGCAACTAGCAGGACATTTCATGGGCCTCACGAAGTTAGATCACGGATTGTTCCAATAATGATATCCGAATCGAGAATTTCCGCAGGCCGGACGGCCAGGGAAAGCAGTGGCGATGGTATAGGGAGTGGGATATCGAAGCTGGGGACTGTAAATGGATCGAGGGTTATGGCATAGAACGTTGTGTCGTTGTAGTCATTCCCATGCTTGTAGGGTCGTGTTGAGCCATTTCGAATCTGATGGGGCTCGAGAAATGAGCCCATCTCTTTCAGTTGTCCCTTTCGGCTAATGAAGAGACCTTCGCCCATATCTAGAGCGTCGACGAGGTCCAAACCTTTTTCATTTTCTAGAATAGGTCAGCCACTTTTGGCTACTTGAACTCCACCCCAAGACGGATATCACAACATCCTATCTTTGGTTTTTGTTGAATGGGTTATCTTGGTGGATGACTCACTGGAATTTCACCAACCATCGCTACAAGAGGTACGGAGATCCCTTCTTGTACTGGAACGGCCGATAACAATCCCTTCAAGTACGCCGCCGCCGCCGCCGCCGCATACGGTTGCCACTCCTTATCCTTGTGCGAGTCTGCTCTCTGATCTCAACCTTGTGAGTCCACTTGATCAACTGGTCCAGGAGCTATACAGTAACATCGATCTTCTCCATTCTTATGTCAGTTTGCCGCCGATTAATAGACTGCTCAAACCAGATATTTCCATCGGGAATTTGGTGTCTGTCGTGGACAAAACACTCGAGAATTGTCCTTGCCTCATGCCAGGTCGTTATGTTCAAGTATTGTGCTTGATCGGCCAGCATATCATTAAACCATCCCAAAGAAGATTCCTTGGGTTCCTCGTTTTCGCTCCCTAATCTATCTCGTTGCTCATTTTGAGCACCCACAGAGAACATCCAAAGATACACTTGCGCATAGTGTGCACATTCTCTTGAGATTAAAGTCTCAATAGCGCTTTCCAGGTGTTTTCTTAATCGTGGCATGATCACGGGTGAGGTATCCCGTAAGTCTTTGCCGTCCATTTCTGCTTCGTGGATGCATTTGCGGAGAGTATGCAAAAGGGTGAGCGCAATGCAGGCCTCGGTAAGGCACTCTCCTGATGTCTTATTTTCATACTGTCCTTCCATGAGATCATGGTACAGGTTTAGTAGAACACACATATCGTTGAACGTTTCTGTTGCGATCCAAGAGTAGACTGCCAGACCGCGAGCCTTTTGTGCTGTATCCGTGACTGGTAATGGTGTCTCAGCAATCACTAGGCAAGCTCGTAGTCTTGTGAAAATTGTGCGAAGAATTGGATTGTCAATGCTTGGATGGACGTCTCGATAGCGGACATCAGTAATTTGCACTAGTGATGAAGCTGATGCCCAAAAATCGGTCAATCTTTTCATCATCTCGAAGTTGAGCGTTATCACTGGCCTTCCCAAAGTATTGGCAGCAAGCTCAGCGTAGCCAAACATCATCACAATAAGGTGCTGTATGATATTGGTATTATCTTTGAGCTTTTCAAGGAGGCCTATGAGGATGGGTCCATGAATTGAGGCAGCTTCTGAGTCTCTTCGTTTGCAGTCTGACTGGAAAAGCAGCATGATGTGTTGGATTGCCAGAGACAGATTGTTTTGATCTTCTCCAGGGTGACTCAGAAGATTTCCCCGAAGTAGTCGTAAGCTTGTCTGCCTTAGTTTCAGTTCAAGAAGAGATATATCATGCTCTTCCAATTGATATCCAAGTTTTGCTAAGAAGCCAATGTGGCCACTTAACCATGCCGCAGCCACTCCCTTATTGGCATTCTTAAATTGATTCAAATCGGCCGACACAGCAGATCCAGCGATTGAGAATTGCGCACGACTGAATGAAATGTCTTTGGAGACCCCAAAAGACAACCGCCTGACAAACGAAGGTATATAGAGATTTGGCAGAAGGACATCCCTCGCCAATGTAATGATGTGGTTGATTTCAGGGGTGATTTCTATTGGAAATGACTGGAACGGATCTGATGAGCCCGCAATACTCAAGCCCATCTTGCTTCTCTCGAGCAGATTCTCATACAATTCCGTAGAGGCAGGTAAAACATTGAGAGTCAGTGGTTGTATTGACTCCTCCCGCTGCTGCCTCGCCTTGCGTCGCTGATGTATGAGTCTCGCTGTGTGTGCCCGCACTCCGGATTTGATCAATTCTTTCTGCCTCACAGAACGGTTCGTTGTTAACGCGGGCAGGAACACAATATCCCGGGGGTTGTTGCTGCTCATTGTAGTGAGGATTCCTGAGATCCCAGACCTCGTAGCGAAGAATTTGTGATTGTCTGGTATTTTGAGGCTTGAGAAGAGGGTGAGTGAGGAATCACTGCTCGCAGGTTCCGTCGCTGGGACAGATAAATACGCCTAGTTTTCTATAACTTTGCAATCTCACGGCCGATATTCTCAAGTGCCTCTTCGTCCCCTCATATCTGCCATCAATCAAAAAGGAATAGCACGTTGATGAATGACAAACCATTTATGTACGTGGTTGCGCGTGCTCTCCGGCGGGGGCAAGGCTGACAGTAGCCTGATGAGTGTGAGGAGACTCTTAGCCCCATTAATTAAGTGCGTAGTCGGGCTTAGAGCTACTTTCCTCTCTCTTCTAGGGCAGCTGTTCTCGGTATCATACGCGCGAGAAGCAAGGTTTGTTGGCTGCCCTGTCCGCGGAAAAGAAGGGCTGTTAATTGCATGCGACGAAATTGCTGAACAAACGATCCCTCGACTCAAAAATGGCAATCGCCTGAAAGCCAGTTGTGTGGAAATCATCCGTGGTGGTTGTTCGCCTGCTGAATCATTTCATTCCGACCACCAGGGGTATGGCGGCCCATTTAGAGAGACCATGCTCTTGGAAGTTGGAGCCTAGCCATGACATTGAAATTTGTAAGGCCCCCATCCATGTCTTCCTAGTGGGCTGGAGTGACTGAGCGGATGACCAACACCTTAGGTAATTCTTGGCTTCAAAATCATGCTCAACGGATCCGGTCGACTTCCTGGCGAGACCGACATCTTCCTGCTTCGGGTAACGACACTAATGCAGAGAGATCCTAGTCAAATTTGGGCGAATCAGGAGGTGAGTTGTTGGGTGTACCTTTTATTGATTTCATGGTTAGTCATCAATCTCATGCCTTACCACTCTTCCTTTCGAACGAACGGAGACGCAGTAAAGAGAAGATAATGGAAAGGATGGGGAGCACAAGAGCGTATAAATGCCTCGGACATGCTCACATTACATCCATCACAAAAAAGCAAGGATCAAACCTGTGGCCACACTTTGTCAAGACATTGTTCACAATATGTCCATCATCCAAGAGGCTCCCCTGGGCCAACTCATCTACTGGATTTCCAAGGGCAAATTATTCGCTTACCCAGAGGATGAGCCCGGCTTTCGGATTCCTTGGGAGAGCGCAGAGACCACTGAAAAGGATGCTGACCTTGAAACCACACCCGAAGCTCCAGACGAATCGAGCTCTGCCAAAGAACAACCCCTCGACGAATCTGCTAAGCCCCCTATCCATTCGTACCCAACAGGAATTTCGAACGCTTCCACGATCCAATCTATAGAAGCCAATTCCGGCCTCGAAAAGACACAAACCACGTCCCGTTCGCTGACACGCGAGCAAACAGCGCCCTGGTCACCAGAACGATTCGAGATCGAGCAGTCCGAAAGCCTACAGCGGGAACAGAGCAGGGTCATCATGCCGCAGAAGACTCCAGATGAAATCGTTCTTGTAGACTGGTACACAACAGACGATCCAGCCAACCCTCAGAATTGGAACAGCTGGAAAAAAGCTTTCGTTGGCTTGCAGATATTCCTGTACACATTCGTTGTTTACTGTGCCAGCGCCATCTACACTCCTTCCCAAGAAGGAGTCATGAGACGATTCGGTGTGAGCTACGCCGAAGGAAGCATGGGGTTGAGTATATATGTCATCGGCTACGGTTTAGGCCCGATGGTAAAATTCTGCGCCTTCTAGCAAACGTCAACGATTACTAACCTGAGTCCAAGATCTTTTCTCCACTCTCTGAGATCCCCGTTGTTGGGCGAAACCTGCCGTATATCATAAGTTTTGGGCTCTTCGTTATTCTTTGCATTCCCACTGCATTAGCAGACAGCTACGCATCACTTCTAGTTCTTCGATTCCTAACGGGGTTCATGGGTAGTCCCGCGCTCGCCACAGGGGGAGCGACGATGCAAGATATGGTGAGTCTTCACTTTCATGGAGTCTAAGTCTCTCACATTTGAGACTTTTTTTACTTACCTTTCTGATAGTATGGTCTACTCAAGCTTCCCTACGCTCTGACCGCATGGGTTGCATCGGCGTTCTGTGCTCCCGCACTCGGACCTCTATTGTCGGGCTTTGCTGTTATGGCCAAGGGCTGGCGATGGAGTCTCTGGGAGGCCCTCTGGATGTCCGGGCCCGTCTTCATCTTCATGTTCATTTCAATGCCGGAAACATCCGCCGCGAATATCCTGCTCCGACGCGCTAAACGATTGCGCAAGCTGACAGGGCGCGACGATCTGAGAAGCCAGAGCGAGATCGACCAAGGCAACACCACCCTAGGAAAGATCATTGCAGACCAGATGATCAAGCCAGCTGAAATTTTCCTGCGCGACCCCGCCGTTTTCTTCACCAATGTATACACATCGCTCATATATGGCATTTACTACTCCTATTTCGAAGCATTCCCTCTCGTGTACATTGGGATCTATGGATTTAACATTGGACAGCTTGGAGTGGTCTTCGTCTGCATCATCGTCGGCTGCATAATTGGTAGTGCTATCTACTGTAGCTACGTCTATTTCTACCTCGAGCCCGATATCAGAAAGAATGGGCTTCGCCCTCAAGAACACCGCCTTGTCCCGGCACTGTTCGCCTCAATGCTGCTTCCAGCAGGCATGTTCTGGTTTGGCTGGACTTCTAGGGAATCCATCCACTGGATCGTTAGTATCATCGGCTTGACCATATTTGCAATTGGCGCCTTCATTTTGTAAGTGTCGCTCTTTCATTTACCACTATGAGCAAAAAGCTAATCTCTTCTTCATCTCAGACTACAATGCATCTTTATGTATCTGCCACTCACATACCCTCGTTACGCGGCGTCACTGTTTGCTGCAAACGATTTCTGCCGCTCAGCATTAGCCGCTGGCTCCATAATTTATGGTCATCCACTCTATGTCAATCTAGGCATTGGTCCAGGTATCAGCTTGCTAGCTGGCTTATTGTGTGGCGGAGTTGCCGGCATCTGGGCGCTTTGGTACTATGGTGCCGCTCTCAGAGCACGCAGTCGCTTTGCGATCTAGCAGATATCTCGGCAATGAAAAACACTGTCCACTTCCGGTCGGGTAGCATTGGGTCTGGAAATCAATCAAATTTGGTCTTGCTGCGGGACAGTATGGCCTAGTCATTTGAGAAAGGCGCATGAAGGGGAGTTGGCACTGATTTCAAGGGCGCGGGACGTCACTATACTTCCAGAGAACACCAAAAGGAGCATTCAACTTTTGGTCATTGCACCTGTAGGAACGTATTTTCTTTTAGCTGTATGTGGTTGGGTTGAGTGTATACTCCAGCGAGTACTTGACGTGGGCATAGGGAAAGGAATGGATCAGGCTCATAGAATTAAACATTGGTGATATGGAACAATGCCTTCGTTGTTGTTGGCTATGCATCCAATAAAGGGAGTATCGCCAGGGGCTTTATTACGTGTAATAATGCTATGTTTGTATATAGCCGGCCATGGTTGTCAACGGCGATCATGCGTTCATCGTTTTTGGGCTCTTTTACAAGTTCAATATAGACCGAGGGCTGACAGAGAGACAATACTCGGCAACGATAAAAGCAGATTCGATAGTTCTACTTCCATCCTTACACAATACAGATAGTCTACCTAAGCGTGGCTCGTAGAGACCTGGACAGGGGAATGATTTACCACAATGCCAGCAACTGGTGCGCAATGCCATATTTTTGGAAAGTAGAGAGCGGTCCATCCTTCACCCAATATCGCTTTGACAGTCTGTTAGATGAAGATTATCAGAATCCAGGCACTCAGACTAGATAGGAAGTCGAGACTAAGTTTCTGCTCAACCGCTAGTTAATGCTGCCTTGGTCCGCCCCACCATTATAACGCCGGGAACAACCGCCCACAAACTTTAGCTACTGTACAAGGTCTCTTTCTACTACACGACATGACTCATTCGTCGTCCAATTCTTCGCCCAGTTTCTCCCACCTCCTTTTCCTTTTGCAGTACAGCCCTTGCATGGGCATTCCAGTCCATGCTTTCATGGTACTGATTGTTGTTGCACAATCCCACCCTAGCCTTTAAGTATCATATCCTGTTTTTCCGGGGAACCGGCACCAATAGTAGTCATAGCCGAATGGAGCATCGATCAAGACACTGGAGGCTTTGTCAGATCCCTTAAGCTAGATGAGCGGCTTGTATAGTGGGACTCTGGTAGGAAAGGACGACGGTTTCTCTAGAGCATTTCTTCATTCGGACCGTGGACCGCCCGAACGTAGCGGATTTCGCCACTCTGTCACTCCTAGAACGGCCCTCGTGGAGAGAAAGCTCACAGAAGAAGCGCTATCGGGTCCATACTCTTCTTGGTCTCTTATCGCGCCTGCAAGGGTAACGTCACTGAATATGCTGCCATAAGACCTTGCCTCCCTTTGCCTCGGGGGAATATTACCTGAATTTGAGCTTTCTGCTGTCGTTTCAGTTGAAGAGGCAAATTCATGATCTCGTACGATCCCTTCTAAAATCACCTCAGCGGCAGGCATATGCTCCTGAGCGAATTCATGGACTTCCTGTCCAAAAGACTGGCTCAAAGACATGAAATGGGTTCGATTGCTTGCGATTGGGGCTCTGGCTGCTACTAACGCGTCTCGCTCCTTGACCACCTCTTTGTATCTACGTTTGAGGATTTTGGACCGTTGCTTCAATAGCATGCTATCAAAATATCAGCAGATTGGAACTGTCAAATTCTGGGTGACGCTCACAGCTCCTGAATCAGATATTCCGGCATTGGTTCCTTCCGTTCTTCCAACTCTTTGGCAATCTTTAGCTGGATGTTGACACTGAAAACTGTCAAGAGTACAGTAATATCCAACTTCGTGGTGTTGAGATTGACAATCAGCAACCTTGCATCTCGCTCGTCTCCAGTTACCCATCTAAAGCGTGCCAGACTTCGCTCAATCCATGGATACTCGTGATTCCCGACGACACTCAATATTTCGAATGTGCTTCGGATTTCCTGGATACTCGCCTTCAGCATCTTCCTCAGCCTTCTGACCGCTCTTGTCGCCTTCTTGTCCTTTGCCAGTGGAATGTTCCTTTCTTTCATTTCGCTGGCAGTCTTGCAGAACAAAGCCAGCGTGTCGGAGACATCCTCGACTAGGCTGCCAAAGCGCCGCGCCTCAGCGGGTGCTCTGCGAAAAGACTTGTAGTACTTCTTACCCATCTTGTGCAATTCTTGAGCGAGTGGTAAAACACCCGCAATGGCTAAGCCTATCTCCATTATTTCCAGCCGAGTGTACAATTTCAGACGAGAAAGCCAGCAGTCAGATGTCTTCAAGTTCCAGTGCAGCATTGTAGATAATGAGACAGTTGCAAGACGGTGACGAAGAGTACGATTGGCCTGTATCTATTAGCCTCAATGCATGGCCATCCGAGCCACATGCGAACAAGCGTTCACCGGTTGCTTGGAGTTCTTCGCATTGGCTGAAATGTATGGCGGCCGAAGCGAGATGCAAAAGTCAATTTCCAGAAACGAACGTATAAGATCCAAGCAAAGTCTTGGTTCGTACCATGAGTTCTTACGTCCCAGAATTATCACTCTCGTCTACCTAAACACTCGCCTGAGTGATAACCTCTCTTATATATAACCTTGGGCGGGGTAAAGACTGGAATGCTGAAGGGACTAGCTTCTCTCCCCACTTTTCGCTGATCCTGACGATTGAATTGCGCAGTCAGATGAGCTTTCTTTCCTTCGCGGCATCCCTTCATAGGTACTTAGAGTCTGACTGGCCCTTCGCTGGGTGCTTGTCAAATTTGATGGCCCAAAATACTAGATGCGAGCGCTGTTTTCAGAGGGGGCGGACATACCACAGGAGATCCTACCGTAGCGATACCTACGATTACACTGCCTATGCCAGCCTGTCCGCTATAGGCACGAAGTGATACGGTGCGAAAACCTCATTTATCTTCTATGGCTTAGTTACTAAGCCTCTTGGAGTTGGGTCTTCAGACTGTCTGTGATGATCTGTGGAGTGTTGATACTCGTTCCGCTACTCACACAATATGTGATTTCCATGTACTTTCTCTGTGTTCATCATATCGCGCCGTCAGATCGATGCGGCTCATGCGATCTCCCCCGTGGTGTTTGCTACATCTATGCTATATTCAGTCTAATTCCCGTGGTCTCTGCCATCGTTCCCATCACCGGTGTCGCCTGGAAATGATCCTGTCCCTATTCCAACAACCGCATAGCCATAGTGCGATCCGGAATAGTTGGTCGGACATCCGAGCAATATTTACTTTCCGGGAGCTCGGCATCATCGTGTTCTAGCACGTAACCTCAGCGCCGCAGGCTTTATGACAGACAAGAACATATCGTCGCACGGCTTTACTGGCTATTGTGCAAGGCCTGACCCGTCCTTCTTTCCAGATTTGGTCTGAGCTGAAGATGTATGACTAATCGGAGGTGTAAAGATGACGAAAGGACAGAATTGGCTCCACCAGAATCAATTTGTGGTGTGCCATTTGCAGATAAATAATAGTACGGGGTTCACTCCAGCGGGGCTAGTTTGGGGTGTCCTAGTAACCGAATGTGCCGGACTGGCTCTGGTGAAGTCGACCTAAGGTATACGAAATGACAGGAGTCTTGAATTGACGCTAATAGTATTGACTCTTGAAGGAATTTCAGTGTTAGTGAAATACCGCATACCTCAGGTAGATAAGTGCTTCTCACGCTCTGTCTTCCATTGGTCCACCACGCAATGATATTCTGACTCTAGTAGTAGTATGATGCTACTTAATCCTTTGATCTACAATATGGTGGATACTTTTCATTCAGTTTAATTCTTCTATTGAGGCTCCGTGAATTCCCGACTTGCCTCTGAACCTATCAATCAGACCGTAATCCACCGAGCCATCCAAGTATTGACAATCTCTTTGGCCTCATCTACCAAACCTAGCTCCAATAGCAATTGCGTGGTACCCCTCAATGCAGAATCTAGGGCAGAGAAGATCCAGGCATGGGTGTAACTAGTGTGCTCGCCAACAAAAATGGTGTTGAACTCGGTCTTATAGTAAGCAGGAAGATACAGCGGTTGGCTATCAAGCGTTGGCGAAGCCCAGGCGCCGGCAGTATGTTCATCGTTCTCCCAGCACTGCCTGTCATAGTTTCCAGTATATTGCTCGCTGGCTATCGAACCATGGACCTCAACCATGGCCCTCTGGACGAGCGCGATGTGATCCTCTTCAGAAAGAGCCGCCACGGACCGAGCTCCTGTGCCGGATTGATACGATGCGAGGATTACACCGGGTCCGGTGCCGTTGATATTGTATGCTGGATAACATACCGATCCAATGCCTGGAGTACTATCAGTAAAAGAATTCGACCATGGGCAAACAAGAACATACCAGGAATGTCAGTACTACCGCAACCACCAATGATCGGAGGGGAAAGATGCTCCCAGAAGCGTGTCTTATAATGCAATGCAACCTTACAACTCTGCTGGTAGTTCAGTGTGTTTATCGCTCTGGACAACAAGGATGAATAGCTCGGATTGCGCCACAGGCGGACTTTCGAGAAAGGAACAGCAACAACAGCATAGTCAAACTCTTCGACCTCGGGCAGTTGAGCAAAGGCATCTCCTCGCCATTTAACTCCAACCTTGTTCGTCTCTTCATTCCAAGTCAAGCCCACAACTTTCCGACCGAATGTTGTCTTATTCTGAACAAGTGGAGTGATTGCCCGCGGAAGGCTACTCAGACCTTTGTCAATTGTACGCCACGTTGTCGCGGCGAAGTAATTGTTGTCATAGATTTCTCCCCAAAGAGGGGAGTTGTCAGACCCAGCAAGGAAGTCGGTGAGGTTGGCATCTAAACCAAGCTGATATTTCAGATAAGCCGCCTCCGACCATCGAAAGAGGCCATCCTCAACGGCTTGCTTATGTGCTTTGTACACATTTTGTCCGGCTGCACGTAATTTATCGGCGGTCACATTAAGAAACTCCTCGAATGCTTGCTCTGCAGCGTCGGCGGCCTCCTCGTCGAAGTACTGTGGCGCTGGACCTGCCACTGACGAGTTTGCTCGGAGCTGGGCAGCGCTTGGGATGCGCCCATCAGGTAGTCGATACCCTCTGGAATTCGCAGGCACGTTCGGTGATGATTGAATCCAGGGAATGAATTTAACCTCAAGGGCAGAGTCATTTCCATTGAGCTTGTTAACGAAGCTGGCAAGTTCAAAGACGAGTTTGTGGTCTTGGATATCAAGAGTTTCATTCGTATCAGAGTAGCGGACTGACACAGGGAACCTCATTGGCCCCATCTCCTGATATTGATAATCCTCGGGCTTTGTGCCATTCAAGTATTTGGTGCGAATACGGCCTCCAATCCGTTGGGAGGACTCAATAATGTGCCAGTTTTCCACGCCAACCGACTGGAGCAAGAGAGCCGTGAAGGCTCCTGACATTCCCCCGCCGATGATGGCAATCTCCTTTGCCTTGGACTCAGCGACCATGGTCGTCGAGATCCCGGTCGATTCCATGAAGCTAACACCATCGAACCAGGGCCCTTCTGTGTCTGCCACTTCAGAGATCGTCTGCCGTTTGCGTCGGGGCCTGGAGACGGCAATTGGGGCAGAGCGGCCAACCAATGTCGAGCCTGAATAGGCATGCAGACAGCCATTGTGGATGACTTCGGCAGGAGTCACCCAGATAAAGCGATCTGGGAAGGCCTCTCGTTTGACAAATGTTTCGCCGACATGATGGTGTCGATTTTCAACCTCCTCCATATCACACCGGCCATAACTTATGGAGAGATGTCCTTCCCATGCTGCATCAGCGCACTCGACATGAATATTATGAACCGAATTCGATTCGACGTTGAATGGACCCTTGAATCGAACAATATCTGCGCCATTGGGAAGTGGACTTGCTGAGGCTATCCTGAGTAGGGACAAGCCTGCAACGACGAATGAAATCCCTGCTCTCATGGCTGAGGTCCGCGAATCTCACGGGTGAGTCGTCCCTGGAGCACTATTCTTCAAAGGCAATGCTCGATCAAAGAAGAAGATTTCCCCCAATACGGGGCGAAGACGGATCTTATGTACATCGCCTCTGCCTCCCGCCTTGAAGGTCCGCATCTTGCGAGGTTTTTCTCTAACTTACTGAGCTTCCTTTCGGTCCAGCATCTGGTGGGATAGTCCGCAATTGCAAAATCTGATAGTGATACCAGTTGAGCCGACACTCCGGTCTTTCATCGAATGGAAGCGCGCGATTGACAATGATAACTGGAAGCGAATTTTATGCAAATCAGTACCGTAAAGAGCAGCCTAATTCTGGAAATATGTGGTCTACGTTCCTTATCGCTGCCAAGCCGAAGAAATCCATCAAGCACCACCATCAGGTTGAGCCGGCCGCTGTTCAACGATGTTTCCCTTGACACCAACTATGCACAACAAGTTTGCCATCAGAAGTTCCTATCAGACTCCACCCCCGCAACCAACCTGTTGCATAGCCATTACCAAGCAAAGCGCCCTTCGACTCTCGGATGCGCCCTTGATGACTTCCAGGTTCTGTCCACAGATTTTAACCTCTGTGCCCTAGATCAATCTGCATCAAGGGTGCAATTTCATGCTACAGACGACGCACTCCATCAAGCAGCAAAGCCGGGATCATACAGGTTCCTAGTTTGACAGAAACTAGTCTATATCAGCAACGATGCACTCATTCCTAACACAAAGTAATGTCTCAATTGAGGTGATGGGTCTATGCGATTCCAGTTCCTTTCTTCGCCTCGTCGCTTCGAAAGCAACTTTTCCATGCCACCCCCCATAGCGACAGTGTACAGCCGCATGCTCAGTAATACCATTGATGTTGTTCTGCTTCGCACGTGGTTACCCCATATGCAAGACATATTATATACCTAGGCGTTCGATACCATGGAACCGGGTGATTCGGAGAAAAAGGGCTTGGCGTATTCCCGATAAATTCCTTTCTCTTTGCCGATTTGTTCTCTTAATTAGCTATCATCGCTGATAGACGAATCCGTGCCTTCGCAAGAAGTCGACTTGCCTAAATCGGCAACATTCAAGGTAGGTCAGGCATTTTAGCACCACCTCCACAGTCGTACCGCCGGTCCACTCATTCACCACACGAAAACTGGGACGCAAGTACTGTCTAGAACATGATTTCTAAGCTTGTCATAACACAGCCACGACCTTTCTCTCCACTAGTTGACTCACTCTTCAATATCTTGAAAAGGTTCCGAGGTAAGTTACCGGAGAAGTGCGCTTTCTCTCTCTTATCTATGACCCATCGCGGATGTGCATGCTTCACTTGGACGGATGTCCTCTGGCACCTTGGCGACTACACCATTGAAAGCAGGTGCTATGCAATATTGGTCAAGGAAGTGGCCTCACCATAACCAAAGCGAATGGCCTAATTGACCGACAAGGTGCCCGGTGCCTGGGGTTCCTGACCATCAGCTTGGCACACGATGCATTTTGCATCAGAAACACCAAAGTCTAGCGGAATCGCAAAGATAACGACTTCTTCTCAAGTAAACATGGCTGGTCATCGATTCTTAGACCCTGAGCATAGTTACATCGGAGAGTAATACAGCAGGCAGGATCCGAGAGGTAGGTCTACCAAGGCCTTGGACGACATCTCGAGGGCCGGCAAGCCTTGGTCTGCATTGAGCGTATAAAGGCAGTGATTTTCATGTTCATTTAGTCTTGTTTACTCGAGGTACGACAGCGAAATCCCATCGAAAGTTCTTCTTCAAACGGCCACATACTCCTAGCTTTCCGCGTTATTGCCAAGCCAACATGTTGTTCAAATATGCCATAGCGGCACTTGTCGCAATCATCGCCTGTGTGACTGGAGTTCCGGTTGAGAAGCGCCATGAGCTAAACGAGACTGTAACCTACCTCGGTTCACAGTCAAGTATCCTTTGTGGGGAACCCAGGCATTAACACATGTTGAGTTCTGCTAACAACATTCATAGCTGGAGGTGCTGCGGCCAAGGGCCTCGTCTACACAGCAGGAACGGTGCCCAATGCCACCGCCATTGGTACTGGCATTGCCAATGAAACTGTAAGCCGATGCTTCTCGGGCCCTCTGGCTTCATGAGGGTTTCAAACAATATGCTTACTGACTTATTTGAACCACAGCGCTCAGTAATCAACAAGCTTGCAGTGATCTTGGAGGAAGCCGGCACCTCTTGGGACTACGTACTCAAGACTACCGTATACTTGGCGAACATGTCTGACTATTCTGCAATGAACGAGGTTTACGGCGAGATGTTGCCCAACCCCAAGCCCGCCAGAACAGCTATACAAGTCGGCAGATTGCCTGGAAACTTCTCCATCGAGATTGAAGCCATAGCTGCTATTCCGTGGCATTAGAGGTCAAAACAACACGTTGGTGAATAGACGTACAGTGTATCATAGAGAATGTGATAGCTTTGGCGAACCCAAGAACACCATGTCTGGGAATATAGATTACTTATCCGCCACACGCTGAACAATTTACAATAGTAATCGGGAACCATGGAATCGAAAATTGCAAAATTCACAAGCTGCAGAGACTGTCTCCAACACTATGAGCACTAATACAAATGATTCAAAACCATAGTGATCGAGGCCATTTTTCATTGATTTCGCGAAGCTGTGCCATGCAGGGATTTGAGGAGAGGTGGAATACTGTCCCATCTGTATATTCATTGCATTTGTAGAATGGAAGCTGCTCATTCACATTATTCGCAGGTTGCAGCGTTGGAGGTCGTTGACAGAATTGGGTTAGAGAAACACTCGGAACACCTTCCCTAGTAGATAGCGTCAAGAGCGGCGGCAGTTTCTATCCGTATTTGGGCTGAGCGGCCCCCGAGCTTGGCATCCAGCAGCTGCAGCAGCAGTATCAACCCTAAACCGCAAGTGCGCCCGTCCGCAATTCGCTGCTCCTTGCTTGCCATCAACAAGAGCCTCAGATCAGATCACAACCATGTCGTACCTCCGCTCGCCGAACTCCCTGCGGCTCTGCAGAACCATCCCACAGATATCCCGCTCATCGACATCACGATGCCTCTCCAGGACGCCTGCCTGCCGCCTCGGCGAACCTGACCCAAAAGTCGTCCCCGACGTGGCAGCTATGCAAGCGACCGAGGACCAGGCGAGCCTCGTCGAGATCGCCCACAAGCCAGAGCCAGGAGCTGGAGTTGAGAGATACCACCAGGACCACCAGCCGGATTATACAGCGACCGTTGACCACGGAACGTCCACATATTCCCCCGTGCCCAAGCGGGTGTTGAACGGCAGCGAGCCCGGCGGCATGACGCCCGCGGCCGTACTCTCTGGCGCACCGGTGGATCTGCAGGCGAGAACAGTCAGGTATGAGAAATATCTTGGAGCTTCCTCGGCCTTGATCAGGCGAGACTCGAAGACGCATCGTGAGACCAAAGAGGGACTAACACCCGACAATCTCCAGAATCTATCAACCCACAAAACCTGCAACACAGTCTGGAACATGGGGCTCACACGCGTGGCGGATGGACTGGGACATACTGGGGAAGGGCCACAGATGGGAGAACCCCCTGATGGGATGGCAGTCATCGGCGGATGTCATGCAAGGCACCAGGGTGCAGTTCAAGTCCAAGGAAGAGGCTATCGCTTTCGCTGAGAAGCAAGGGTATGAGTGGTACGTGCAGGAGCCGCAGGCGCGGCGGTTTGTGCCGAAGGCCTATGCCAATATGTTCTTGCATGAGCCCGGCACGCTGAAGCATATCAAGACGAAGTAAGAGAGGGTTATGTGCATGTGAATGCTTTCGGAGACTGGGGTGAGACGTTGAGGCCCTCCAAGGCTGACAGTCAGTGCGAGGTTCTATGCGGAGGCAGCTTGTAGATGGAAGCGTAGACTGAAGAACACATGAAGTGGAGGATCTGCCATGCACGGTGGTACGCAGCGGATCCCAGGAGGATTTGTATATATGTCTTTTTAAAACCCACAAAAAGAAAAGAAACAAGACCATTACAACAGTAACATCCTTCGAGGGACCACGAAGAGAATAGCATCCTGGTCTTAGTCCGAAACGCAACATCCTCGTTCTTCCCAGCACGGTACGCGGTACGCTTACAGTGATATCTGTATGGCCAGGGTGAAATGTCTGTCAGACATTTTACCCTGGCCATGTGCCCGACTGAAGAGGAAGGACCATTCTCACATCCATCGTACTAGGCCGGGAGCTCCACAGAGGCAAGGGATTTACATGACATTCTGCAAAGGGGAAAATTGGCATTTCAGAGTCTCGGATATTGTAAAGGCCTTAAGAATCCAGGATGACCGAAGAAAATGCACAGCCAGATGTGGGGTTGAAACGCAGTGGGAGTGAAAAAAAACTTTCACTTTCCAATAGGATTGATTTCTCTAACTCAGGGTATCATTCTTCATTCCATCGTCACAAAAGACCGCTAACCAAGCGTCGCTCAAAAGGTGATGGTAGCATTAGCAGTAATAATAGTACAAGAATGTCAGCCGTCCCAGGTGATCTCTCGAGTCATAATGGTTGATCGAGGATCGGGAATCGACAGCACCAACAACGTGTGAAAAGTCTTTCTCTCGGTTTACAAAGAGAAGCATCACTTCATCTCCATCTCTTCCATCATTCCGAGGCCGCAAGGATCAGACGGGCCGACCCAACAGATCAGGCCCTGCAATGACGCCTGCGTCTCCAGCGCCGGTATCGCCGCTGAGGCGACTAGTAGTTATGCTTCGCGGCGTGCTTGTGGACGTCACCCTGGCGCTTGTGCGTGCCCTCGTTGACGGCGTCCTTCATGGCGTTGCCGGCCGCGCGCACGCGGGTCGATGTGCGGACGTTGGGGTCTTTGGCTATTCTGATGATACGTTAGATTTTCGATTCGAAGGGAGGGAGGGAGGGAGCGGTCGGGAAGATGGGAAACTCACTGTTTGTTGGTCTCCTTGCTGGCTTGATGGGCATGGCCTTGGGTCTTCTGGGAGATCCAGTTGCCGGCGTTTCTGATGGAGTTCATTTTGGAGGAGTGTATGTGGGGTGTTTGAGATATGGCTATTGGAGAGGTTGCTGTTGGATAAATGGATATTTTGCCTTTTTGGGTGGGAATGCTGGGTTGATTGTGGATAGAGAAGAGAAAGACGGGTCTTGGTGATGATCGAAGGCTGAATATATACCTTTATTGAGGACGTGGGAACTTGGTTCCGTCTTGCTGTCTCCTCCTACCTTTGGACCCTGGCCATGGAGTGGTTTCAAGGAAAGCACAAAGGCCATGGTGGCTTTCTCTCATTTCCATGGGATTCTGATGCCGCCCAATGCAACAACGATGTCATCTTGCATCCCCTACCTCAAGCTAAGCATAGCCCCCTTCTGAGCTTAATGGAAAAAGACATCAAGCCAGAAAAGGGTGTATTGGATTGTGTGGTGGTGAAACAACCAATCAAGCAGGAAGTGTGCATGGTGGCCTCTGGCAGCAAGGCTGGATGGTGTTCCAAAAACCGGTTTCAGAATCCTGATGGATGACCTCCCATGACACGATGACGGATGGGTGCCGTCAATGGCTCTGGTTGGTACAAGGTGAGATGTCGATCAATTGACAGTTAGGCTTAGTGCCGTGACGGACGCGACCATGGGGGTAAGTTCTCATCACGTGATATTCAATATCTTCTCAACTTTAGTCAACATCACGTGCGGCGAATACTTTTGCCGTAGAGGACGCTAGTAGGCCTGTTCTCTTGGCAAGGCGATGCCCATGACGTAGGCCACGGCGCCAGAAGTAGTCCCATACTAAATTAGGCAGCATGCTAATCCCACTAGCGCTAACCCTTAGTCCGAGAAACCTGTTAAATGGTTCTGTAGATCGGAAATTCCGATCTTGGAAGTAAAACAGCTTGTGCTTAGCGATGCCAAGCGATTGTAAAGCCGTGGTCTACTATATCGCTTCGACGCATCCGAACTAGCTCCGAGAGCTATTCGAACGCTATCCGAAGCGGACCTGAGAGTGCCCAGGCGCTAGTCTAGTGCGTACTTAGGATACTATATAATAGTCTGACGAGTCCCCCGGACCGTCTTAGGAATGACCATGTCCCCTTCCCATCACAAGCTATGGTTATGCGCCTGACAGCGGTGAGGGTGTGCCCAAACCACTTTAGGAATTCCCATTTCCATCTGTCATGACTGGCCGATTTCTCTGTTTCTACATTATTAGTATGGCAATCCTACACCGGTCTGGCCTGCACGAATCTCGGATGAGACTGAAAAGGATACCCGTGAAAGTCCTCAACATGTTGTTCGCAACTGTCGCCGCTGAGAATGTGCCATACACGCCTGAGAGTAATTATGCAATCCCCATATTGTGACCGTGGATCTACCCCAGCACGTAGCTATTGTTGTCCTGCAGCATTTGTCGCGTCTATTAGTTATGTTCTTCATCCACCATCGCTCGGGCGGCCGTCAGCTCTTTAGAAACAGCACAGACCCATTCCACTTGGTACCCTCAATCAATAGAGGAGGCGTTGTCCAAGAATTTAGCGGATTCAGACGGCGAGTTAGTAATGCCGAAAAGGCCAGTGGTTGCAATCGAGCTCCGACCTACTGTCAGCAGGAGGCATGAATTATGGGACTTTCAAGCTCCCTGTATCTGAGGCCATTAAAAAGGCCCCGGATGGGCGAACGAAGGCATGTTGTAGAATGCGCAGTCAGGCTGTGAAGGTCAAATCTCGATGGTATACCACAGGGTCTGGACTGCGGCTGATACATGCAGGGTGGCAATCGGCCAATGACAATCATGCAAGTGGTCTTGTCAAATTCTCCCACCTTTGCCAGCCACCTCGAATGCATGTGTGTCTTGTGCCCAGTGAAGGAGCCAGATTATCCATTCCGACCAAAAGCAATCCCCGAGAGGAAGATGGCCCCAATATCTCCGAAGACGATGATGATACTAATAATGGAAGAACAGAGAGAGGAACAACAGAGGCCTTTGGACCAAATTGATGACCTCCATAAAGAGACCAGACTATGGCGGGGCTGATACTCTGTGTTCCACAGATTCTCGACACTAATCGCAGCTGTCCTGAATGGTCCGAAAGGATTAGCGAGTCATTCTTTCGTCGAACAACATTTCTTCTGATCTGGCTCGGTAATAGCAAAGACGGGGGGAAGGGCAGGTTGGGATTGCGGGATTGCGGGGTTGTGGGGTTGCGGGGGTTTGAGCAAGTCGCGCCCAGGCGAAAAGCTCAGTACGCCGATCTCTGAGGGGCAGGCTCGATCTTTCTGTACTCCGTACAGAAGGTGGTGGTATCATTTACCCTGACCTCTCTCCTCTTCAAGGAAACATGCAGCGGAGTATGTACAGAAGATGCGTTTTCCGGTAGTGGCACCAATGGCGTATCAGGGATGTCACTTGCTTGTCGCATGGCGCTCGCCTGTCCATTGCTCTTCCTCAGACTCAAGCAGATGACCAGACAACATAAGGGCTTGTACATAAGACCACTTCAGCGTCCTCACAGATAGTTCGAATGAAACATCTTGCGCTTGGGTAATAGTCGCCTAGAATTTCACGACGGAAGGGATTTACGCGGTCTGAAGCGGATAGGAACTTCTTGAGAGCTTCGCGAATTTGGTACAGGGGGAGCGGTGACGATACCAAGGCATTCCCACCTGCCGAGGTACTTCTGTTGAGTCTCGAGAGCACTGAGGCCCGCTTCGCTTACTCCTTTGAAATATGGTCTAGTTGTCGTCCCGCAGCTCAGCGATCTGTGACTCAAGGACTATACGACATAGGTGTTTGCCGATTGCTCCAGTAGTCTGCTCAGGACGCACGAACAATGACCCTAGCTATTCAACCACATCAGTCGGAGAATGTGAGTTGTCTCGCCCTACCCAAAGCTAGGAAGGCGTTGCGAGATTTCGTAACGCTAGGTATTCGTCCGTCCAGCCAGAGAACCATCATTCGATCTACGGTTGACAAAGCCAGATTTCGTACGAATTGATGTGGTTAATGAGGGTGAGGAGCTGTACTTCGCTTAAGGCGATTTAAATCCAGTCCGAAGTCCCCATGGTTTTCTATCTTCAGTCCCTACCTCGCACACCTGGGCCATCACAGTAGAACGAGAAAGAAAGACAGACTTCAGCAGATTGTACTAAATCTTTACAAAGACTATTAGAAAACCAGTGTCCCCTCAATATCTTCCTTGAAGGTAAGATACACAGCTGACAGGTACTTGCCATAATGACCCGCCTATGGACGACACTGGGATTTCTGAGTCTGGTTCTGGCGAAACGACCGAACATACTTTTTATTATCACAGATGACCAGGACCTGCATATGACACCCACGGAGGTGATGCCTCTTCTGCACGTAAGGCAAGCTCGGTTCATGACTCGTCCTTGAGAGATAGTGTCTTAGTAATACGTGCTTCTCTAGGAAAATGTTGTCACCCAAGGAGCTACTTTGGCAGCACATTTCTGCACCGTTGCGGTCTGTTGCCCATCACGCGCAACTCTCTGGACAGGCAGAGCTGGTCATAATCACAATGTGACCGATGTCAGCCCTCCTTATGGAGGCTATCCCAAGGTCGTCTCTCAGGGTTGGAACGATAACAACCTGTTTTTATGGATGCAAGCAGCCGGCTATAGCACCTATTACACGGGAAAGCTGTGGAACGCGCACACAGTCAACAATTATGATGCTCCGCTAGCGAAGGGCTTCAATGGATCTGATTTTCTGCTCGATCCTTTCACATATAACTACAACGCACCTGTCATGAGCAGAAACGGAGGTGCACCGGTCCACTACTTGGGCAATTATTCTACTGATCTGATTGCCCAAAAGGCTCGCAATTTCCTTACTGAGGCTCAAAAGCATGATCAGCCATGGTTCTTGACCGTTGCGCCGATTGCACCTCATGCCGTCAACGTCGTTGAAGAATCTTCGGACTCAAGGTGGTTTGGACCTCCAGTGCCAGCGGTTCGGCATGCGCATCTTTTCACAGACTATAAGATACCTAGGGGCGAGTCATTCAATAAGCCGATACTAGGAGCTCCAAGCTGGCCCGGCCAATTATTACCGATGAAGAATGACATCTTGTCTTATCACGACGAATTTCAGAGGCTGCGACTAAGGTCGTTGGTAGCAGTGGATGAGATGGTAGGGGCGTTGGTGCAACAGCTGAATGATACAGGAGACCTCAACAACACATTCATTTTTTACACCACTGATAATGGCTTTCACGTGGCCCAGCATGCGATGTTGCCCGGAAAAAGCTGTGGCTATGGTGCGAAATGCTAAAGAATCTCCATGCTCGAGTCATCACTTCAACTGACAACCATGGTAGATACCGATATCCACATACCGCTATACGTTCGAGGACCTGGCGTTGAGGCTGGAAGCACGCTTGATGCAGTGACGAGTCATACAGACATTGCGCCAACACTTCTAAATATTGCAGGAGCTCCACTGGATCCAGATCTTGACGGTCGACCAGTGCCTCTAGACCAAGTATCAGCGCAGCACGGCCCTGCAGAGCATGCGAGTATCGAGTTTTGGGGTTATGTAAGTGGCCATGGTTGCGGACGATCGGGCTCAAAGATGAACGGGACTAATCGGCCCATTAACCCTTAGGCTGCACCTGAAGGCGCTTTTGGATGGAAGAACATCTCTGGGGTTAACTACAATGTCAATTGGAACAACACTTTCAAGGCGGTTCGATTGGTGTCGAAGGACTATAGTCTTTACTATTCGGTGTGGTGCTCAAACGAAGCCGAGCTTTATGACCTCAAGGTACGTCCACTTCCAATCAAGAGATAGCTCAACGTCTCCGGTGTTGCCGAATGCTAACGTAGCCTTTTCTAGAGAGATCCATTCCAGACAAAGAATCTGCTCGGCACAGGAGTTGACACGTCGGAGGAGCTAGCTATTGCTGATCGCCCACAAGAGTTTATCGTGAGCCGTCTTGATACTTTAACCATGGTATTGAAGTCCTGTAAAGGCGACGTGTGTCGAGATCCATGGGGTCACCTACACCCCGACGGCAAGGTTAGAACTCTCCGGGATGCTTTAAGCGCGGATTTGGATGGTTTCTACACAGCCCAGCCGAAAGTTGCCTTTTCTCGGTGCGAACTTGGCTATCTTCTGGATGCTGAAGGGCCGCAGGACGCCAATGTCTATGGAGGCACAAGCCGTCAGCGAAGAAGAGGAGAAACGTACTATGGGGATGAATTCCACATGTGGACGTAGACTTGTTGTGAAACGAGCAATATGACGTATACTTGCTATCTCACTCGTCCGCTTGACATATGTCGAACACTCAACCTGTCACTGATTCGATTCGTGTCTTGGTTCTGGCCCAGGACCGGAACCAGAGGGGGCTGGTTTGAGGCTCTCAGCCTTCAGGCATGCCTGATATTCAACCTTACAATCGGATACTGTCTCAAGACCATGGTCCCTAAACGAAGGGACGTCGTGCAAAAAGAGACAATACACCACACAGCAAACAATGCTAGATCGATGAGTCCTAAGACCGAATACATATATTTTGTAAAATAAGAGCGTGGTAGAAGGTCCGCGGTGGATTGTCGTTACATTGGTTGGAAGGTGCTCCGATCGTGGGTTGGAGGGAAGGGTGAGACTAACGACATCATTTGCGGCGTCAATAAAAACTGTGGTGGGGCGGCTTCAGCCTTGCGTAAATCAGCCTTGTAGCATCTCATTCACGTGATCACTTCTACTAGATGCCGAGGAGTATCTTAGGGATGAAAAAGCTACGACATTTCCATTCTCTGCGCAAAATTCGATGCAAGAAACACCAAATTAGTTGGTTAAGTTTCTCTTCTCCTGAATCCGAACCATAGCAGAACACATCCGAGATATTGGGAGCTTGGGTACAATCAGTTCGGCTGGATGACCGGCCTAAACGACCAATCTCTACGAGATCGTACATGTTACTGCTTATAGAGCCTGATGTAAGTCCTTGACCACGCGTCCATGGTACTGTGGCACCCATGCCTCGACCTCCTTCATTTGCCTCCCTCGAGCGAACAGGATACATCTATGACGACTTCCCCACCGGCGTCAGTGCCAACCAGCACTTGAAGCTCATGGGGCCGTTGATGTGGAAGCCAGCAAGCTGCAGAGCGGTGTTGTTCTGATAGTTCGGGATACCGGGATATATAATATCGTTCAACTGTCGCCACTGAATACTGGCTTGGGGGTTGTCTGCGGTGTGATTCATGTTGCACCTTGTTCTCTCGTAAAGCTTGCAATTGACACCCCTATCGGGGGAGAATGAGCCATATTCATGGTACATCCTGGGACTGGGATTAGCGACTGGTTTTATTGGCTTTGTTTGTCCCGGGGAGAGCAAGAGAAGGGGAGGCTATCGCTTTTTGGGACAAACAATTGTGTACACTTACCTTTCATAACACTGGCCTGGTACAAAGTCCGTGAATTTGCACGGAGGCGTAAACATCCGATTCGCACATTCATAAAATCCTAGGCCGGCGGCACGTCTCCTGAGCGTGGTGACCTGAGCATTGGGGTGATCTGAATCGAACTTGAACCTGATATCTGGTGAGTCTTCATCGTCCAGAGCCTCTTGCCATCGACGAGAGAATTCGTTGAGATCAATATCTGATTGATTGCCATCATCGTCGTTCTCATTTTTGGCTTGTTCTTCTTCTTCAGGGCTGCGGGCTTGACTTTGTCTAGATGTATGGGTGAGAGCTTTGAGGGCATCCTTGACTGCGTCCTCTTCGTCACGAGGGTGTCTCTGTTTGGACGTATCGGTAACAGCTTTGAAGGTATCTTTGATCGCGTCCCCTTCATCACGAGCATGTCTCTGTTTAGATGAGTTGGTGAGGGCTGTAAAAGTGTCTTTGACAGCGTCCACCACATCATCACGAGGACGAACACCGCCTGGTCGGTCAGCGTCCTTTCCCTCTCTGCCACTGCCAACTCCAAATCCTTGGCCCTCATGATCGACAGTCCGTCCCTCGCCACGTCTCCTATCCCATGAATGCTCACCATCGTTTCCAGAGCCGGGATCCTCATGGTTGCCGTTTTGGATGCCGCTAGATGAACCAGCCATGCCACCAGGCCCACCAGAGTTTTCGTGACGACGCCAAGCAGTACCAGGTGAATTACCACCACCTTCGTGAGACCCGTCCGAGCCGCTTCCACCAAGGTTTTGTTCTCCATCTCCGCCAGCATGAGAACCTCCATGGTACCCATCACGGCCATTGGCACCTTCAGCGCCAGTGCCCCCGCCATGACCTTGACCTTGACCTCCAGCGCCACCGCCTGCGCCAGTACCAGTACCAGTACCACTCGAATAGCCATTGCCACTGTCCTGGCCAGCAGCGCTACTGCTGCCATGCTCACTGGCGGCAACACCCGTAGCGTCACTACCCTGGTTCGACCATTCTGCAGTACCAGGAAGGGCGACACCGACAACAGCCAGTGTCGCCAAGAGCCCAAATGTTGTTTTAAATCCTACCATGTCTTGCTGAACGATAAATGTACCTTTTCAGTATATTTCGAATGAGGAATACTACCGAGAGAGACAGGAGGGTGACAGACTGCAAGTGATGTGAAACAACAGACTACCTTATATCCTGGTGTCGAGGGTAGAAGAAGGCCCTTTGTCCTTGTCCATACTTCTGCATCATCAAAACGCACCGGCAGGCGCAATATCAAAGAAAATCCGTAAGAGTCAGCGGTAAACTCGAGCCGCATGCGAGGGCCATCAAAGGTCATCGCGAAAGACTCTGCACAGGATCAGCAATAGATGCAGGGATGGTGATGGCATTCGGTTAGTCGACGTGGCGGTAGACAAAGGTGCAGCTTAATATTGTTCTTGTGGAATGTGGGTGAGCTGCATAGTATTGTTCTGTTTGGCGCGGACGAAAATAGTGCGCGATTAGGGCACGGGTGCAGTGTATGTAAGAATCAATCGTGATTTGGTCTGTGATTTTCTCATGGCTATTGAAGACCTACCTGATTAGGATATCGGGGCTGCAGTGATGCACATCGTACCTAGTTAGTGAAGTGATTCCGAAGGGAAGGCTGATATGTGAGCTGTTTACTTTTGCAGAATTGTAGGAATTCGGGAATATACATGCACCTGTTAAATTCTGGGGATTTTTGCCTACATGTTGACGTCGTGCCCTTTCTGGCTTCTCTAGACAAGGGAGCAAGAAGGATCTCCCATTGGGTCCAATTTCTACGAACCTGACGTTCAAGTTGAACGTGTTGGAGCCCGGAGCGGATTAACATTTCCGGGCTTGGCAATTACAGACCACCTTTGAACTTCGACGAACATGGCCTATGAGACTCTGAACAATTTTCCCTACCAAGCAAGTATCAATAAATGTTTTCATTGATTCCTGAGAAGATCGAGGATAAGAACGAGCAAGCTTGAGCTACCCTGATTCTGCATACACAAGCTCCATTTACGCTATTGCCGTTGCTAGCGGAGCAAAAAGCCCCCTTCAGTCGTTGATTGCGCTTCACGGGGGAAAGCTGGAAAACTATGAACAGGAAACAACGGCGGGCAAAGGAATCTCAGAATTCCTCGTCGACTACGAAGACTGTGGACGACATACCTCTTTCACAGCCTCATCGGTCACCATCAGCAAGAAATGCCAAGACATTATTCGAGATTGCGGCGGAGAAGCAGGCCCAACTCAATCCCAAAGATGCGAAATTCAGTAGCAGCAACATTAGACCGGAGAATGTGGTGCAAGTTCAGATTGGCGAGGACGGAAAGGTCATTCCAAACGCGGGTTTGAACTCTCTTGGAGGAGAAGACGGTGATGCCGAGGAGAGATCAGAGATGCCATGGCTAGACGCGATATTACTGACGTCGAGCCTCGCGGCCATCCATTTCACACTCGAAGTGCTGACGGTGCACCAGTACGCAGAGGAAGTGCGGTTCCCACCGATATTTGCGCGGACGATCTTCAGGGCGTTGCCGACACTAATGGGGGTGATTAGTCTGTTTCACGGACTGCTGCTGCCGATCTCGATGGAGAGTCTTTCCAAGCCGGTCCAGGAATGGGTCGTGGCGCTACGGTCACTGGTTTACTTGGTCATTGCGAATCTGGCAGGCTGTTACCTTATCTATCTCACGAATGATCGGGGGTATTATGCGGTGATGAAGAATGCGCCTGCTGTGGGGACGATTTGGGTTTGGGCAGTTCTTGAATCAGGCCTGTTGGGTGCACTGGCGGGCGTTGTTGGTCCTGCGTCTTACGCATGGTGGTACGGCTATGGCCTTGTTTAGTTTTGCTGCTCGCCTCGGACGGCGCAGCACCTGGAAGCAGAACTAGCTACCTAGCGCATACCTGAGGTGGGAAGATGTTTCGACTTGGCGCTAAGCAAAGGCACATAGGGATGGTGATGAATACTTGACGGTCACGCCGTTTAGGAAGTGGTCTCGGACGTCCGATCAGGCCCGACGGACATGTCGGAGAAGATGAGCAAACCTTACGGTTGCTCCGTTGTATCATGTCAGCATATAAACATCCGGCCCTGGTGAGTGGTGACTCACAGCCTCGAAGCTTTTCGTCAAAGCTTGGGCGGCAACTAGCACTGGCGTGGGGCTGCCCTGATCGCACAATTTTCGCACAACCCGATATCGGCAAAGACACGGCTACGAGCTGGGGTGGAAAATAAGGGATCAAGTCAGTGTCGGATAGCATACCTACGGAGAGTATAGCACGAGTACTACTGTCTGAGGCGAAATTGAATTAATGTGCAGCAAGGACAATGGGCCACCGGGCGGCTAGATTGACGTGTTGGGGGATTCGCCGGCTCGGTGGATGGCGCGAGGCACCCAACAAGGGCACCGGATGAGAAGCACGGGCGGAGAAGGCCGCATTATCAGGTTGGGTCGGGTAAGTTGTATGAGTGCAGGGATATTCCAAGACACGTGTGGACGGCAACCAAGAGCAAGAGGATGCTTTAACAGTGGCCTGACGGGAGTCTGGCATGGCGAGAACCGCGCCCTGTGAAGAGCGGTAAGTTTTTAAAAAGCATTTCTAGAAGGAATAAAGTGGATATGTGGGTATACAGGAATAACTATCGAGTAATGAAATGTACAAGGCAAGGAGAGAACGATCCAGAACAGCTGTACGATGGGTGACACGTGGGACAAAATTTGCACAGGTACCGCGGATGGGAGGGTCCTGACTCCTGAGTCCTGAGTCCTGAGAGCCCCCACGAAGCCTCAGGGTCAGTAATTAATACGGCGGCAGTCTTAGTCAGAGTGTCACCTTGCCAAGGGGAAATGGAGGACAGTGGGAACTGCGCCATCACACAGCAACAAGGTGGTCGGGTAGCATGTGGAAGAGGAAGAAGTCAGAAGTGCTCGTAAGAAGCATGATGTGTGCAATCGACGTAGATAATTCCGGCAACCCGGAGGGCGTCAGTCCATCTCCTGCCGATCGTCTTATGAGCGCGGAGTTGCTTGGATGATATGATCGTGGATCGACGCGTGCAGCAAAAACTCTTGTTTGCGGGGTGCAGCAGAGGACGAGGGGCAGCGGCCGAGGGGGCTTTCCTTGGGCGCGCGGGCGCCGGTTATTGGGTGCTGGGGGGCGCCCGAAGAGCCTAACGGTGAGGGGCTCGGGCGTATCCAGGGCTAAATGCACGCCTAAGGTTTTCGCCTGAGATGGTGCGGTGCAGTGCATTGGCTCCTAGCCTGCTGGTACGAGTCTTGGCGCACGGCTGGGTTTACGAGTACAGTGTTTCCCTTTTTCTGAGTTGTTTTTCCAGTCAGCAGATGCTGATGCTGATGCTGGATCAGCTCGGCGCCTGTCAGGTGGCTCGCAGTGGCTTGTAGTGATTAGTGGCTCGCACTGTCCTCGTCCATCGCCATCCACCAGGTGATGACATTCTGAACTGGGGTTCTCTCTTTCCGCTTTCAACTGGCGGGCCGCCTTGTACAGGAAACGCCCAAGCAACTGAGGGGCACCACTCGTGGGATTCATTTCGCGGTTGACTCCTGGATCCAGACGAGGAGAGACCAGACCGACCAGACCACTTAGACCCGCTGATACTGGGTGCTGGGTGCTGGGTGCTGGGTGCTGGGTGGTCCATCGTCCATCTGTACAGTCAGCCACACACAGACGCCGACGGTGTTGGTGCATAGCTGTAGCTGAATACCACCTCGAACAATCAACAATCCCAGCGTGGATAATTCTTCCTGCAGCAAGGCGTCGAGCAAGTATCCAGCGTGTCGGCGTGATGTCAGCTTGACGATGGAATAAAAAAGGTGGACACCGCTAGCCACAGGGCTGTCTTGGTTGGGATTCCGAGCATGAACTCATTCCCAACCAGAACAAGGGGGTCCCATCTCCGGAATGCCTGCCCGTCCAGCATCAAATAGAGTCCGTCTGGTGCGGCTAGAAGCATCAGCCCTTTCTGAATCGAGGTTTCTATTATTCATACCGAGTGCGTCAATGGACCGTCAACGAAACATGCGCAACTATACAAAGACTGTGCGTGATGGCGCGTCGGTGCAGAGTTTTCAACCTCATGATTCACTTCCTCTGCCTGGTGTGCTCTTTGTGTGTCTTCCTCGCCAGATTGGAGTGCATCAGCAGAACAACGACCAATCCATCCGTCAATATCGAGTGAATTCTATGTTGCTTGTTTAGTCCTAGCACAATCTTGGTATCCGTGCCTCGCATTCCAACCACACCACCTCCATTTGAACCTCCGCGGATATAGGCGCAACGCGAACGTCAGTCAGGAGGACAAGAGCTGCAGGTGCAAGGAAAGGCAGGCACGAACAGACAGACCGGTCTCTATACGCGAGGGCAGCCACAGCCACAGCCACGCTACGACCACGACCAAGGCACGTGAAGCGCACTGCACTTTGCTCCTGCCCTCTGCCACAGGTGCTGCCACAGGCGCTGCTACTACGTCTGCCACTGCTGGTCGCACCCGCCCTCATCCCTCATCCCTCATCCCGCAGTTCGCAGTTTCCACTTTTTCATCTGCAGCGTCGCCCCGCGTCCATCGCTCACCGTCCACATCCACCATCGGGCGTTCGTCATCGCCGCTCCTCCAACGCCTCTTTGCACCGGGAAAATTCTGCCCCATACAAACCCTTGTTCTGCCTGGGACTTGGCCGCCCCCGTCACCATGCCCCATCGTGTGCAGGTGCATACAGGTACAGCCGCTCCTCCCAGGAACACTCCCTCCACCGTCAATGAAGTCGTCACTGCGCTACAACGAAAACTAAACAACATTCATCTTGACCCCTCCGCCACCCCCCAAGCCAACATCTCTCCCAAGTCTTCAAGACGCCCCTCCTTCTCAATGGATAATTTACTCCACCACAAAAAGGATAAGAAGCGCGATGACTCCAAGGAGCGCGATTCACGTGGTCAGAAGCGCATTTCGCTAACCATGCGCCACTCGAACAAATCAAAAGATCGCCACATTCATTCGCCCAAACATGGCCCTGTAAAGCCAGCCCGTTTTGATAATATCACCGAATCCCCTCCCTTGGTCCTCTACGGCAACATCAGCAACTCCACAGGCGCACTCCTCTCGGGCCGGCTCAAGTTGTTGGTCGAAGACCCCAGTGGCCAAGTCACCCTGGATAACTTTACCATGACCCTCGTTGCAACTACCTCCACCAAGAAGCCCGTGGGCAAGGATTGCAAAGACTGTACCGACAAATGCGAGGAACTCAAGAAGTGGACCTTCCTCTCCGAGCCAAAGACCTTTCACAGAGACTCCGACAATCAATTCCCCTACTCCTTCCTCTTCCCTGGTCATCTACCTGCCACAACCCTCTCTCAACTCGCTAGTATTGGCTATGCCTTGCACGTTGCCGCGAACACTTCCCACGGGGAGAAGATCGAATATCACAATCCTTTGACCGTTCACAGAGCCATTCAACCAGGTCCAGATAAGGCTAGCATCCGAATCTTCCCACCTACAAACCTGACTGGCCGTGTGCAATTACCTCCTGTTGTTCACCCTATCGGCACCTTCCCTGTAACCATGTCTCTCAGTGGCGTCGTGGAGAAGAAAGCAGAAAGCCAGACCAGGTGGCGCCTCAGGAAGCTTACCTGGCGCATTGAAGAGCATTCCAAAGTCGTCTCCACTCCCTGCACCAAGCATGCACACAAGGTCAATGACGGGAAATCCATTCAACACTCGGAAACTCGGACTCTTGGCAATGATGAATTAAAAACTGGCTGGAAGAGCGACTTTGATACCATTGGAGGGGAGATCAACTTGGAATTCGAAGCTTCCATAGCAACAAGAACAAATCACCGTGCCACCTGTGACGTCGACTCCAACACTGGTATCGAAGTCAAGCACAACCTAGTCCTTGAGTTGATCGTCGCCGAGGAATTCTGCCCGAACAAAAACACTTCACTCATCACCCCTACCGGAGCTGCTCGTGTGCTTAGAATGCAATTCGGTCTTGTGGTCACCGAACGAGGTGGCATGGGCATCAGTTGGGATGAAGAAATGCCACCCGTCTATGATGACGTACCGGCCAGTCCACCAGGATATGGCAGTGCTGACAAAAACGATGGAGCTTGGGGCGGTGCCATGATGGAAGATTACCATGGACCAGCCCTAGACTATGAGGATCTTGAGACAATGCACAGCGACGGTCCCACCGCACCTCCATCTTATCGGGATTCGAGTTTGCCAAGACGAAGACCATCTCTCCCTCGGACCGAGTCCGGTGAAAGCTCGTCGCATCCGACCTCCAGCAGACGTCCTAACGCTGGGTGGACCATCGACGAACTTGGCTACCAACCACAGTACGCTCTCCGAGTAAGAGCAGAGTCGGATGACGAGCAGTCAGCCCCCACAGAGGATTTTGGTGAAGGTTCATCCTCACATCCACCACGTAACTAAATCAAGCAAGGCGGTCAAAACAAAAGCTTGAGACTCGACTTTTCCTGGCCCAATTCTCAACCTGCACATAATTCTTATAACGACCCAGCGTTTTTATGACCATAGACAACACAGCAGCTGAGCCAATTTCTCAGGGCTCCTCGGGTGGGTTTTATCATTGTGTTACGAGAGCAGCAAAAAGCGATACCCTCCATGCGGCACAGCAAGCATCTTTTTCGAGGTGTATTCACGATCGGAGTTTGGCGGTTTTCTTTCATCCGAGCGAGCAAAGTACGCGATTGGGTTTTTCAACATGCTCATCTTTTAGTTAAGTTTTTTCTCCAGAGCTTGTCATTAGCATGATTCAGTCCTCTCCTCGTCAGGGTATTCCCTGCTTGCGACTTTGAGGCCCTAGTTTTCTTGTTTGGAATGATTCACTCTTCTCATCATGGCCAATAGGTGGTACTTGAGGCGTTTTTGGGTAACGGACTAGTTCATCTGTGCCCTTTCGCCTCCGCTATAGCAGAATGATGAACCTGGACAATATTTGATAATTGATTCCAGTCCATAATTTTGAAATAATATGCTCAAGATCTAAAAGTCCCCTCATCTTATGACAACGTTTCTTTGTTCTGCGGTGTCTGAGAAAAATCCATTACGGGGGTAGAAACTCGACAGGCAGCTATACATTGAACAGCGGCCCGGGGAAGTAGACCGGACAGCAGCCAGAGAACTGCAAAGACTCATCGTCAAATGCTGCAAGTCAGACAACCCAGTGGCTAGGAAAGAATGGGAAAAGATGCCGGGCTACGATACTTATGCAGAATCTGTGGGGAGGTCTGAAAAACTCTGGTACAGTACCAGTCAGTGCCGTGGCGGGCGGAAAAACTATTCACCTCAGGCCCCGTTCTAAGCGTTTGCCGCACGGGGCCTCGATCCATGCTACTCTCCACTCTCCAAGAAACGAGCACCTAAATTGAGGCGGAAAAGGTGCCTGCTTGATAATAGTGCCCGAGTAAGTAAACTAGGTATAGAAAAATAATAATTGGGGGCGAGAGTTGCATCGTGACGCAAATGACGCAAATGGCTGGCCATTTTTGAACCGAACTCCTGCTTACGTGAATATTGCTAGAAAGTGAAACTGGCCGACGCGCCGGATGACCTCCATCGGCTCTCGGCTTCTATGAAGGGATGGATCGGACACCCCCCCCCCCCCCCCCGGGGGGGGGGAGTTCTGCTTTAGACTAAGCAGACTCTAGACTTCTCAACGAGATAGAGAGGCTGAACTGAGACGTAGTATGACCTCCTGCTCTCAGCTTTCCCGGGGCGGGCGGGCGAAAGGGGAGTGTTCCTAAATCTTGGTCCGACTGGCTGGTCCGCTCGCCAGCTCGCCAGCTAGTCGCCACAAACCTGTATCCTGGGTGGGTGGTGAAGAGGGAGAGAGTTTCACTCTCTCTCGAGGAGGAAGGGCTGAGAAGCTCGTCTGGTTGTTTGGTCGGTGGTTGTGAAAGTCGAGACAGGTCGTGCGGAACGAACGGAAGGAATGCCGCCTTCGTTGGTATACCAGCAGGGCACCAGAGAGGGTTGGAGGCGGTGGGCTGTACATGGGCGATTGCAATAGTAGAGTGCAAATGTTGAGTGAGGGTGATAGAGAGGCCGGGCAAGCCATGTTCGAAAGAAAGACCTGGTGGAAGGAGCGGCGGTGTGTGAGATCATGCTGAACCAGGCCGATTTTTCCCTCTGGGAGAACTATTCATCAACGTCTCTCGGGTCATTCTTCTCCCAGAAGGCCTCATAATCCTCCCAGCTCTGCAGTGGGACCTCGGTGGGCCGAGTGATAGGAACAAGGGCAATGCGTTGTTTCTCAAAAAACTCGAGCTTCTTCCGGGTCAACTCCCGTGTTTTGTTGACGCTGTAGATCTTGACGCGGTGGCAGGAGCTGGTGACGTGCAAACCCCAGTTCCAGGCGCTGCGCACTTCCAAGGGCTGCGTGTTGAGGGAGTTGTCCCAACATCGCACCACGAGCTCGATCCACCCTTCGACGTCACATGGTAGAGAGTACTCCCAAGTGCGCCAGGCGAATTTGTACTTGGTCGAGAGGTTCTCCGGTGGCACCGCGTACCAGCTAAAGCCGCCGTCGGCGGACAGTTCGACTCGTTCAGGCCAGCGGCCGCCGCCGGAATACGCCCAGCCTTTCATGGCGATAGAGCCTTCGTGCACAACAACTTGCTTGTTCCAGGGCGACATGATCGCGGACGAGACGGGCATCTCCTGAATCTGGATGCCCATGGTCGGCAGCTGGTTGTGCTTACCCACCTGTTGGTTGAAATAGAGATATTCCTTGCTTTGGACAGGTGCCCGGGTCGGGTGGGACAGTCCTCGGATGCGATAAAGCCATTTGACGGATCGGGCGCCGATGTATCCCATCACCACGACACGGAGTGGGAAGCCATGAATCCTAGGAAGCGGTTCACCGTTCATCTCCCAGACGAGCATGACTTCGTTGGCTTTGACTTTGGACCAGGGCACGGAAACGAGATAATTCATCAGCTCGTTCTGCTTGAAGTAGGTGTCTGCACCGTGGAACTCGAGATGTTTGCCGCCCTCGGCCATCCCACCGCATGCTTTGATCACCTTTTTCAGCGATACACCGACGTACCGCGCAGTGCCAATGGCCCCTTCAGCCCAAGGAGCGTTGATCATCTCATCACCTTCACCTGCGTACAGTTGAATTTGCTCGATGCGACGAGTTCCAGAGCATTGAATTGTGACCAGCTTCTCCATGCGTGGGAAGACTGATTCATCTTGGAGTTGCGCCAGAGTAAAGTTACGAGGGGTTTTCACCAAACCATCGAGAGTCAGAAACCATTTCTCTGGCTCAATATCCGGGATACCACCATGGTTTCGGACAAAATGGAGAGGGTTGGGAGTTACAGGCTTGGCTGTAACAAGTCGTTTTGGTGGCTCACCGTTGTAAGGGAATTGTAGGAGGTGTAACATGTCGGGGTGCTTTTCTTGGATGACACGCAGCCACGACTCTTCAGGCACAGAAGTCAAAGGTCCACCGATGGCCTTGTGCCAGGCCTTCCATCGTACACCCTCAAGAACGGGATTTGTGTCAGGGATAGGGCCAAGTTGAAACTCTGGCGGATGAGGGAATTCATTGGTAAGCATGATCCTATGTGCTGTTTCCTTCTTTTCAGGATAATCCTCCCACTCGATATATCTGTAGATGAATCCTTGTTAGCTGGGGAAGAAAGAGCATGTCGGGAGTTAAGGGGAAGTATCTTTACCCGTGCCAGCCCTCTCTCTCCTCCGCGAACACGACATTGGGGTCCTCATCCTTTGCGATATCATCAGCTTTCGCATCGTCATCGTCGCTGCTCTCGACGTCGCTGAGGGCGCTCGGGCGTGTTGCGCCATCCTTTGGAGCTGTTTGATCAAGGAGAGCAAGTTCAGCAGGAGCTAATCCCTGCTCGAGCTTCCATTCATCTTTGGGCTGTATCGAGATCATCGTTAGCTATTTCCACAAACCCTGACCAAGTAAGTGGTGAGATAAACCTGGATGTGATGAAGTAACTCTCGAGCTGGAACATCAACATTCATCTTGACTCGAGCTTGTATACGAGAATTTAGCAGCCTATAGTGTCGTTGCCACTTTCGAGGTGACGTGTTTTTCCACCGTGTTTGCAGTATTGAATTCAGCTAGATAGAAACGAGAAAAGGTAGAGAGGGGAGTTCTCGAGAGGGAGAGCATTGCGTTGATAAGTGGAATTCTCAGACATACCGGGAAAACGATGGCATAGAGGGGTTATCTCGACCCACCTCTATCGGCGCGAGCAGCTGGAAAATAGTCCATGGAGGGGTACACGATGACGATTCCAATCTGAGCCTTCCAGTCCTACCAGATCACGGGAGTGGCTAGCTGCTTGAGTCTTTCATGCCTTTTGGAAGGCTCATCTTAGCCTTCTGAATCCCGAGAGCTGACCAAACTGTGATTCATGAGCTTGTTCAGGGCAAAATGATCTGGTTGGTGGGAAGCCGGAACACCCGAAAGCAAAACAATTTGCCGAATCCAATTGGGACTTTCATGCCCAATCAGAAGATGAAGATGAGCAGCAGTCCTAAAACGGACACGGTTCTCTGCAAGGGCATTGGAAGAGCAGTTTGGTTGCACTGGCTTGAACATTATGGGGTTCCTGACTCAAATCTCATGTCAAAGGGAGATGAGATATTGAGGCGGTCAAGCTTGTTGAAAGCTGAGAGGCGTGACAATTTCCGAACGCCTGATCGAAACCATTTCCCCAGCGGAGTTCCAGGGTACGGTATGTAGAGGCCAACATCCCATGCGCATTTTGCTCAGGCGAATGTTGGTTGGGTTGAGACAAAAGTCGACTCAAAGTCGGCACAAAGTTGCTCGGCGGATCAACGTTTTTCCAGGGCGAAATTTATCAGCAGGATAACCTATTGAGGCTAGCTGACGGCATGGACGTATTTACAGAGGGGAGCGGAGCCTGAGTCAGCTTGGTGGAGGACCGACTTGGGGTGCCAGGGGCCCTGGGATCGACTTGGAGTGGCCCCTTCTCGAGTGGCAAGGTAGCAGTGGTTAATGGGCGTCCTTGGATGAAGCGATGGAGATCAGTAGCAGGTAGTATACGGCGTACTGAGGACTGGACTGGCAGTATAGCAGGCATCAGCGTACTAGTATAACATGCGATTATTGTAGCCCTGGCACTCGGATGGTTAACTATAATATATACAGTATCTCCATCAGTTGATTATGTCTTAGGTCTTCATGAGCTCAGACAGGTACCCCTTCCTTCGTGGACAAGCCATTCATACAGCGAATATGCCCATATACCAATAATGGTTATGAAGAGCTCAACTCAACAGCATCTCCAATTCCTCAATACGCCTCTTCTTCCTCTCTTCCTCCGATTCGCCTGATCCTGATTGTCCGACTCCAAGAGATCCAGCCACAGCCATCTTCCTTTCCTGTACCCGAAGCATTCTCTCCTCAATGCTTTCTTTCGTAATAAACCGTACCACTTCAACTTTCTGAGTCTGTCCCATCCTGTGCACACGATCAATGGCCTGTGCCTCCACTGCAAAGCTCCACCAGGGATCCATCATGTAGCAGTAATTAGCGGCTGTAAGATTAAGCCCTACTCCACCCGCTCGAAGGGAAAGTAGCAGAACTCGTGGAGCCTTGGGATCGGACGAGTTCTCGGCATTGAACGAGCGAATAACCTGAGCGCGAACTTTTTGTGACATCGTCCCATCAAAGCGGAGATGCTCAAAACCATGTTTAGTGAGCTGTGGAGAGATGAGATCCAGAAATGATGTGAACTGAGAGAATACGACCGACTTACTGCCTCTGGGCGAAGAAGATAGGTTCTTGAGCAATGCTGCTATTTTTGCTGAGGTCGAGGCAGTAGGAGAGTACGGGTGAAGTCTCCTGAGAGAGATTCTTGTAGCGTGTGTAGCTGTATCACATCCTTCATATAAGTCGCCCTCAGCCTCGAAGGAGTTGGAAGGACTATTATTTCTGACGACTTCGAAGACATCTCGTGGATTGATTGACTCACGGCATTGAAAACAACGAGGCGCTTGGCCTTGATCCAGTTGCCGCGAAATGTACTTCTCAAGACATCCCTTACACGCAGTATGCCAGCAGGTGGTGACTGCTGGATTGATCATTGGCTCTTCGTAGCAAAGAGTGCATTCACCACTGGAGTCATCCTGAATTTGACGCAGAGCTCGAGCAGGAAATGAGCTGATTGGATCTTTTGTAGAGGTATCATCCTTTGAAGCAAGGTCTGTGTCATTTGTGAAGCGGTTAATCAGATCCTGCAAGTCCATATCATCCGCGAACCCATTGTCATCTGCAGCTAAAGCAGCGGCTGCGTCTTCCTCATCAGCAACAATGTCCTTGTTTCTGGTCAGCACGGGATGACAGCATGACTGTCTTAGCCGTAGAATTTGCGCGAATATAGTAGTGTAAGACTTCAATAACGTGCCAGCCTGGAGAGATTCATTGAACGCTCGCTTAGCGCGAGTAAGAATGAGCCCATATACTTCTCTTTCTGTTTTAGAAAGCTCGACTTCCTCAATGAGGGTGGTCTTTGGAGGCAGCGGCACAAGAGCTTCGCCTTCGGGAGTCTTCATATCCTTTGTCCTTCGAAGCACCAAAGGTTCCAAGACAGTCTGCACCACATTGAGAGCACGGGCAATTTCCTTCGATTCAAAAGGTACTGTAATGAATGTTTTCCAAAACGAAAAATTGTTCCATGGTTCAACTTTCAAGAACCGTACCAGACTGAAAAGATCTTCTAGACGATTTACGATTGGAGTACCTGTGAGTACCCATCGGTGCTTGGCTTTCAGTTCGTAGCAAGCTTTGGAAGTTTTCGCTTGCCTATTCTTGATGGTATGCGCCTCGTCCAGTATTACTCGGTGGAAATCAACTGAAAATAGTCCGCTATGAGAACCGCGATCTCCTCCAGCAATAGCAATCTGATTGAACTCAGACAAAACGACTCCATAACTTGTGATGATGACGTTTGGAGCGGAGCTGGCCTTCGAAGCAGAACAAATAACCGGTAAGTTCAAGGTTTTATCGCTCCCATAGTAGACCAACGTTCTCAGAGTTCCTGGCTTGGAGCACTTCACCGCCTCACTTTCCCATTGAGCAAGCAAAGACATTGGTGCAATGACCAGAGTTGTGCACGGGGCAGACTCTGTCAACACTGAAGATTGTGGTAGTCTGGGGAGATCGTTCACCGATGTTACAGGCTTGCTACCAGCCTCCAGATCTATCTCGGATCGATTAGAGTGAATGAGACTGTAGATCTCGATAGTTTTTCCAAGTCCCATTTCATCAGCTAAAATGCCACCCAAGCAATTCTGCTCCTGGACAGGGAACTCTAGACTGATTTCGCCAGAGTAAAGGTTGACGTAAAAGTGATTCTGTCCTTCTACAACAGGGAGATCGATATCATCTGCGTTTTTAGTTGGCCAGGTATACTGTTCCCACAGTGGATGCATTGACTGCTTCGCCTCGGACTTCTGATCTCGCTCCTTCCCCAACATCCAATGCAGTGCTTGCTTCTGGTATTTCCTCAATTGCAATGCAAAAGACGATGCAGGCTCGGCTTCGGGGGTATTGAAGTCAAAGGACTGTGCTTTTTGATACAACGTATCCAGTTGGTCTTCCTCAAGTTCCTCACCTTCCTCGTCGGTATTGGGCGTTGAGGTTCCAGATTTGGACTTGGGCTCCTTCTCCTTGTCATGTTGCTCAGCCATCTCTGCTGCCTTCAAAATACCTTGTTTCTTATGTTTCGTAGTCGTGTCATTAGTTGATGTTGGATTGAGGTTCACTTCTTCGAAGAGTTGCACAAGTGCGACTTGCCGAAGACGTAGGCCCTTCTCCTCGCTGCTTTCATTCTCTTCAAAGAATCCTGTGGCTCTGTTATCATCTTGTGGCTGCACAAAGGAGCTGGCTACAAATGCAGATCGCAGGAGATATGCACGCAATTGGAGGTACACAGTATCGTTAACCCGCACGCGATCGGGAGCGAAAACGCAAATTCCTTCAAAACGGCACATTTTCTGATCAATAAGCGTGGACACCCATTTGGCCGTTTCTTCTGGTAGGCGACCCAGTTCCTCGCCGCTCGAGTTTGTGAATCTTGTGACGACATCAGCTTTCTGGTTCCTTCCGATGGCCGGCACTAGCTTTCCTCCTTTCCCAATCTTTGATTTAGGTATGATTTTAGAGCGTTCGATTCGAACTGCCTCCCCATGGGCGAGGAGATTTGACCCGCTCTTGGTCATCCAGGCTCCAACGCCGAAGGAGCCTACGTATCGCTCTGTAGGCATCGACTGGAGCAGTGTGTTCCCAACGCTTGACTCTTCTGATTGCGTAAACTTTTTGACACTCGCTGGGGGCTCTATTTTTGGAGACTTATTGGGCCATGTTCTATTGGGCAAAAAGCTAGGTGCAGGTTCTGATTTTGCAGATATTCCACGCCATGCACCATAGCTACCCGTGGGCAATAGGGTTGCTGCAGATGGGGAGGGAGTTTTCGTCTTCCAAGAACCATCAAAGTACATGTTGATGGCTCTTTCCAAATTGCCATTGGACGCAGCCTGAATCTTCTGAATTGTGGCATCCCCGACATCTTCTCCAATGATAGCCCGCAAAGTATGCGCATCGAATTTCGACATCTCCCCATCTGGATCTGAAGGTTGGAGATCGGCAGCGTCAGTTTGACTGGATCTTTGTTCGAGGCTGGTAGAGGAAGTGGCAGAGGTGGGTCTGGAGGTATTCACGGGAGTGGCGTGACCTCCATGATCGACAACATCCTCAAGGTCATCTACGAAGAAGCGCCTTTTCTTCTTAGGGCGCTCGTCGAAGAATTCCATGATTGGTGACTCCAGTTGGTATTGAGCGAGGAAGGCAAATTCTGGAAGTGAAGCGATTGAACACGCGCGTGCTGAAATGACGCGCGCCGGCACGTGATCACGCGATCCAATTAAATTTCCACTGGCTGAAGTTTCACTACCAAGTATTCCCCAACGTTATGAATTCGGGATTTCATTTCGCGATTTTGAGCCATGAGTTCTGATATCTCGTCATACAATCCCTTCCTCCTGTATGTACAGCAAAGCTTCTGATTCCTATAGTGGGCCATTTAGATGGCTTCGTCAACTGTTTAATCCTTTCAAGCAACCAATACCTCTTTCAACCACCAGCGAAGCACCGGGTACCGGGAAATATCTCGTTAGAGCAAATCATGTCGCGCTCGTTGGAAGCAACTTTTAGGTCTTCCAGCATGAAAAGGCTTCCAAAAACTTCCGTGCAAGCTCGAATATTCTTTCTGAACACGAGGCGTCAATTTGCCTCCACGAAGACGACGAGGCTGTCGCTAGATCGAGACTCGCCTAATGTTCAGAAAGCACAAGCCTACTGCTCCAAATTTGTCCGGTGGGTTGTAATGGCCATGTACTTCACATACGTCTAAGGTCTTCCTAACGTTTTTAGAACCTACGATGCTCCATCCTACACTCTAGCACATTTCATACCCACCCATATGCAGGCGGCATACTTTGCCATCCGTGCATTTAATATCGAGCTAGCTCGTATTCCAGATGTCGTCTCTCTGCCACAGATTGGTGCAATGAGAATGCAGTTTTGGCGAGAGACGATTGATAAAACCTTCAAGCTTACTCCGCCCGCTGAACCGGTTGCAATTTTGCTGGCCTCATATCTCGATCAAGGGCATAAACTTAGCAAAACCTGGTTTCATCGTATCATTACTGCCAGAGATCGCAAACTGACGCACCCTGGCTTTACTAGTATGAACGAACTCGAGTCTTATGCAGAGTCTACATATTCTACCCTCCTTTATCTAACGCTCTCTGCTCTGCCACTTGAATCACTCACGATGGATCATTTCGCATCGCATATTGGCAAAGCTGCGGGCATAACAGCTGTACTTCGCGGAGTTCCGTTACTTGCTTTTCCACCTCCACCAAACCAACACTCCAACAACCCAGCGGGAATGGGTATTCCTGCAACTCGCGAGAAGCAGGGTGTGATCACATTGCCCCTTGATGTCATGGGACAGTGTAGCGTACGCGAAGAAGACATCTTTCGTAACGGATCAAATGCTGCTGGACTCCGCGATGCAGTATTTACAGTCGCCACACGTGCTTCGGATCATCTGATCACTGCCAGGACGATGCTCAAAAATGTAGCAGAGGACAAAAGCCCGGGCCATGAATTTGAGTACATGGACGACGAGGGTCGGGATTACAGCAGATATGAGAGTGAAACCGACACATCTGCCCAGAAGACGCGGCAAGACAAGGACCGAGGCTTCGGCATTGTCATGGGTCCAGCTGTTAGCACCCAATTATGGCTGAATAGGTTGCAAAAAGTCGACTTTGACATCTTTCACAACAGTTTGCTGCGTCAGGAATGGAAACTCCCATTTATTGCTTGGAGTCGGCATAGAAAAGGCGAGTTTTGAACGCTGCGACTACCATAGCGTTGAGAAGCGTTCTCCTACTGTCATATTTATCTTCTCGATCGATGCAGATCTCTCGACTGGCCATCCAAGGATCTCAATTCAGGCATCTAACGTGTTCCTTCGACTTCTGCTGACAGCCATAGCGTCACCTCTTTTGCCGAGAATGGCTTCAATGGCGCCAATCAGTGCTTGGGGATCATAGAGCATGATGCGCTTGGGGCTCTTACGGCCGTAGAGCTTCAAGCAGTCGATTCCAACAGAAGCAAGATGTTCTCGGTCGACATGAGGAGTCCCATCTCCAGTCAAATGAATGACATGTGTCACATATCGGCGATATATAGATCGAGGCTGAGAAATCGAGTGAAGCTGCGATCCTGGTGCAAGTAGATTGCTGTGTCGAATTGTTGGAGATGTTATTGCGGATGTTGAAAGAGTCTCATCTGAGCGCGAGGCATGCAGTATGGGTCTCCATGCATTGCCTCTCGATTGCTCACAGGCACGAACGATGGCCTCGACAAAGTCAAATGCAGTGAAAGGGCTTGTGCTAGGGCCAACCTCACGGTCTAGTGACCCATTCAAAATAAGGATCTTGTGGCGGGCTGTTGTGGACCGCAAGGCTTCCCCCACACCTTTGAGCACGATCGAGGGAATAATCGACGTGTACAGCGAACCAATGGAATATATGATGGCCTGTGAATGCTTGATTGCCGATAGAACACGCGGATTCGCCGGGGGGAGCATCTCCTGTCCATACGGATTGATATACCAAATGCGCTCGATGCGAGTGGGCAAATCTTCATCTTCCTCCTTGCTAAACTTAATGTTCCGTTGTCTAAGAGTCGGGAGAGTCCCTGGGATGTTGGCGTCTTCAACGTCATCAGAGTGGTCGACACTTGGCCGGGACCTACCACCCTGTGGAGGTCCTGATACCACGGTCGGCATCTCCAGAGCGGTGGCGGCAGCTGGATGGGAGATGTTATTCTGTCCAACGATGACTTCTCCGTTCTCCAGTCCCGCTGCAATGTGGTGGGAGAAGTTTGAGTTGATGCTGGGAATCACGCGGACTTCGCCGTCTGGGATTCCGCAAATGCTGCTTAGTAGATAGATAGCAGACTCAAAGCTACCACTGAATAGACGCGCTCCAGTCAGGAATAAGTTACCGACACTGGCTGATGTGAAGTCAAATGTTGACATCGGTCGGGCTCGCTTGAGGACTTCGAGATTCAGCAGGTTAAAGAAGGACCGGATAAGCTCCCTCTTCGCCGATGATATATCACGCCATAGCTCCGAAGTACCAGATACAATCAGTTGCCACTCTGCCGCGGCATCTACCGAAGACGTGGACGATAATCGGTGATTGAACAGTGCTGATGTTGCTGATTTTTCTGGAGACGGGGGATTGAGGGGAATCAGTCGGACAAGACGACTGCGGACATCGCCAATCCCAGGACCACCAAAGACCCGTATCAACTCTGAAGAGGACCCTCCATTGTCGCTGATGGGGATGATATAGCTCAAGGGGCAGTCTTTGTTTTCACGGACAGCCTCGAATACATCGACCAGGCTATTAGCTGCACTTCCGCCCGAGAAGACCACGATTCCTTTGCCGTCCAGCATCCTATTTACTGCGAGGTAAGAATAGAAAAACAACCCCTACATGATCAACCGCATTTTTAAGGTTGAATGGCAGACAATCCAATGGCAGGTGGCCACTGCTGCTGCTGAGGGACTGGACACTCGATGTTGGCGGTTTAGTCGCACTCTGGCCAGAACTTGAGTGACCGAGTCCGTGGACCGCCAGGTGACTCCGGCATTTCCATTTCGAGAAATCTATCCGGCGGCTCTTCGCTCGGTTGAGAAGTTCTTCCTTTTCCGGGCGAGCACGTGACTCTCCATCATGTGGTCTCAATTTCCGGGTCTCTGGCGGTGCGGCCATTGTACATAGATAACGGTTTCAATGAGTGTTAAGGTGGTAATTGTGCCGAGGACTTCCTGCGGGATATCCAGAATCTTCTCGAAAAAATATGCATCTTCGTGAAGAAAGCCTCTTGACGAGAGAAACCACCTCGCGGGCCCCCTGATGTCACGGACAGGTCCGTCTTTTTGGCCCCAAAGAGATGAAAGGATTTCAGCCATTTCGCCTGGTCTGAAACAGCAGCACCAAACAACAGCACGCCCCTGGGCGCTTTTGCGTGACAGACCTTCCTCCACGAAACGCTAGACCAGAAACCCAAGCCCAGGACGAAAAGCTTAGCGCTCCTTGACTTCGACAGTACCTCGGAAAGCGACTAAGAACTTAAGTAATAATGTTCAGCTGGCCTTGTTTAGATCTGAAAATGGATTGACCTAGAGCGCTACTAACTACCGCCACCTCACCACGCCGAATCCTTCGAATTCACGCTGGCTGATTGAACGATGTGATCAGCTCCTCGTTTCCTTTTCTCCCACCTCTTCCACCTTAATCTTCATTGATATCCTCGATTCCCGTTTCTGCCTTCGCAAAGCGTTTAGTTCCCGCAAGAGAATCCTTTGATTGTTGGGAACCATCAGCAAGCCTCGTACCATGACTCCGGGAGGCCATGGGTCTCATGTCCCCTCCCACCACCATTCCTCCGACCTGCCCACCGAAGATGCTTCGACGCTGCGGTCTCGCGAACATGGCCATCGCCGGTCCCACGAAGTAGACGTCGAGGCTCAAGCTGCCGACGCTCCCATATCCAGTCGGCGCGGGTCTGCAAGCCCGCATGTTAGAATTCAAGAGAACCCTGAACATCATGAGCATCACCATACTGGGAATGAAGGCTCGACTCATTTCCCACGTCTAGGCCGCAGTGATACAGCCTTGTCAAAGGGCAGCGTGAAATCGCTCCGCAGACGCGGTCGGGCAGAGACTGTGATCTACGGTGCAGCTGAAATGGGTAGGACGACCGGTTGGGCCCCAGGACAAGAGCCTGGGATTGATACAAGTGACCCTCCTCCGTACAGCCGGGAGAATGCTGCGGGAATTGAGTCGACACACTACGACCAGCTCTGCCAGAGATGCGAGATCACAGTGGTTGATTATGGCAACGATGGCATGTCAACCATCGATCTGGACAATGACAACATCGCAGAATTTTTGCAAAAGCCGCCGGAGGACTGGTCAGATGTGAGATGGATCAATGTCAATGGCCTCTCCTGGGATGTCATTAGAATCCTGGGCAATTTCAAAGGACTCCATAGACTAGCAATCGAAGATTTGATGCATACCGAAAACCGAACCAAGGTCGACTGGTACAGCGATCATACGTACATGGTGTTGCCCCTTCAAAAATTAGTCCACTTGAAAGACTCCGAGTCTGACAATGAGTCGGATAGCAATTCGGGAGGTCAATCAGGGTCTGATTCAGGAGATGACGGGGAGTCTGCATTCCGAACGCGGATCATCACCGAGCGTGAGAGACGAAATCGCCGGCTGAAGAAGCGCGGTGCAATCTTGTCTCTTTGGGACGATTTCTTCCACCAGGAAAAGCCGAAGAAGACCAAGAAGCAGCAGGAAAAACAACATTCACCATCTTCCGGTCGGCTTCAGCCTTCAAATAGTTTCAAGGGGTCCAATAAAATCGAAACACCATGGGCACCCAAAAAGATTCGCTCAATGCAGCGCTACCACGCGGGTCCTAACCAAGATCGCATCGAGTACATGGAGGCTCATACTACTCTCGCTTCCAAGAAGATCCTTGTTTCCATGGAACAGGTTTCAATATTTCTCTGTGCTAACAATACTGTCATCTCATTTTTCGAAGATTCGGCTTACGATGTGCAAGCGCCCATAATCCATCGCCTACAGTCTGCAGGGACGATCCTGCGTCAATCTGCCGATGCGTCGATGCTGGTTCAGGCCATTCTGGACGCCATTATCGATCTAGCCATCCCCGTCACCACGGCTTACCAAGATTCAATTGGAGATCTGGAACTCGATGTGCTGAACTCCCCAGATATTCACCAATCTAGCACACTATACATCTTGACCTCGGAGATTGCCCTCCTTCGCGGCGCGATCGCTCCCATTGTGCAGATGATCGGCGCTCTTAAGGAGCACAAGTCAGACGCTGAAGCTGCGGCCATAGGACTGAGTCGTGTGGCAAGCCCATCGGTAAGCGAACTGCAGGATACCGCGCTCGGGGCCAGGCCACGCCCACAGGCAAACCCCCGCAAATCCTCGGTCATGGTCAGTGGTGTGCGTATCTCGCCCTTGACAGTGACTTATCTGGGTGATGTCGAGGATCACGCCCTTCTCATCCAAGACGGCTACGACCAGATGCGACGCTCTGCAGACAATCTCGTGGATCTAATCTTCAACACGATTTCTGCCTACCAGAACGACAGCATGAAACAGCTCACCATGGTCACCTGTCTTTTCCTCCCTCTCAGTTTCTTGACCGGTTATTTTGGGATGAATTTTGAGCGGTTCAATGGCGTACAGCATCACAGTGACGCGTTCTTCTGGACCATCGCACTCCCAGTCTCTGTTGTGGTCTTCTTGCTTTTGATGCGTGATGTCTGGGCTCGAATGACCTACAAATGGGCTAATAGAGTGCTCATCCGACGGAAGAGGAACCGGCGTCTGTCACCGAAAAATCAATGATGTGCTATCGAGATCGAGGTCGTGTTTCCAACGAACTCGTAGCTTCTATCTAGGCATGGTGTTTCAGCGACCATGCGTCAGGGACTTTCTGAACAAGATGACCATGGTATTTCCCGATAATGCCTTTACTTGGACGGGTATGTGGGTTACCGTTGAATCCCATTCTACGAACATTCCTATACTTCCAGCGCCAGAATCCTAGAGTTATACTTCCAGCACCAGAATCCTAGAGCAATGTATGCAGCCAAGCCAGTTTTATTTGAACCACAAGCACATATCCCTCAGATCCTTTTCCTACATATGTGCGTCTTGCGCCCACTCGTTGTCATATGCCCAGGCCGAAAAGGCGGCAGCCACTCAGGGAGTACGGATGGGTTGAACCTCGGGCAGAGTACGTGTTGCTGCAACAGATGCCTGCTCAACGGAAGACTCATGCCCTGGAGGAGTGTCATTGATTGCCACAGCCAGTGTTTCTGGTGGTATGTTGCTGATTGTGTTGAGCTCGATGTCCCCGGCATGAATTGGAACTCCTTCAGTGTCGACTGCCACAATGGTATCTACTGTACAGACCGCCAAGGTTAGGCCCCACAATTGAACAAAGTACCACTCCTTACCGAGCAAAAGACATACTTCGATGAGGTCTTCCAACTAGATGTTGATGCACATGACGAGTTGGTAAAGAGCATAGCAACCTGCTGGGACGGCGAGGGCCAGCATCAGCCACTGGGTGACGTTGTTCTCATCCAGTGCCTCAAGCACACTGGTGAGACCATTCGGGGCATCCACGTCTGGTGTGGTGAATACCTTGTTGATAATCGCTTGGGTGGCATTCGGAGTGGTAAACACAGGTGAAGGAGCAATTGGCGACATGGCTCGGTCTAAACAGAAGGCTTTGAGGCCATAGAAAACAGGCAAGACTCTTGCGAGTGATGATAATTAGAACAAGAGGAAGTCTGAAGTGTTAGACAAGGCCATGAAAGAAGAGCGCGAGCTGAGATTTTGTAGGCGAGCGCCATTATGGTAGTCCGCTCCAGAACTTGTCAGGGCCTGGTACTTCTAACCTCGACGACTGAACTGCATTACGGCTCTCCGAGATGATGCGAAGCTGTTTTTCACCTTCATCAGAAGTTGTTAAACACCGAAGAGGCGCAGAAGTTGTTAATTGTTCCCACTACCTGCAGGACCCCAGACGCGCCCAAGAGGGGGTGATTGACCAGTCAGAACTTGGAGCTTGGGCCGGGTCGGGTGCGTCGAGTGTGGACATGTTAGATATAAAGAACAGTCGGTAAAGTACATACCCCAATCATTTATGGTTGTCCTGCGCGTCCCTTGTCCCATCATGCCTGACCACCCCACCTGTGCCAAGTATTCTGTTGCTTTTCCTTCACAGGCTCAGGAGCCAGGAGTAGCTGGCCTGGTAACTAGCGTACTCTCATACCTCGCTGACGGCCAGGCGCATTTCCCGTCACCTACGGGACACTCCTCGGGGGCTGTTAACATTAAAAGTTGTTAATAGTGGGCTGGCAACGCATACCCCATTGGCTTATGCCAGTAGTCCTCAAAAGTTGTTGCCCCCACAGGTTCAGCCGGGTGTGGGTCTACTTCCTGTTGCACGTTTGTTACGAGGACGACGCCGAGGGCGAAGCTGTGCTCGAAAGTTGTGATGTTGCAGGGATTGAAAAGTTGAATAATCGGCCAAACCATTGAACAAAGTCATCATCCTGTTCGAGGTCTTAGTCCTGTCCGACGTGCCCCGGGCCTTAGGGGAGCCACTGCTTTCGTCTTTCAGCCTTACCATGCCCCTTCGCTTCTGACATTCACCCACCTTCAAAAGGTCTTTAGAGGAGGGGAGTGGCTTTCATCATCAAAGTCCCTCCTGCACTCGATACATGTACCAGGAATCTCGCCGCATATGTGAATGTCAGCACAATCATGGGATTCCCTTCATCATCAAGCATGGAGCCTCGAACGCGGTTTCGACCCTATTCCACGGCTGAGTGGGAAGCGATAAGACCTCTTGTCACCCAACTCTATTCAGAGCAAGGCAAAAGGCTCTCAGAGATCTAAGAGATATTGGCCTCCAGCCACGAATTTACTGCGTCGTCAGTCTGAATTTCCCGCTCGTGATCCATCCTAACGCCTTGCAAAAGGGCGCACCATTATAAAGTCCGAATAAGAAAGTGGCAGTTGCGCAAAAACGTCAAGGTAAATCCACGTTACTCTCCTACCAGGATAAACGACATTAAAGTATATATAGCAATCTGAGATGGGCTTCACCGCCCGTGTTCTTGCTGAAAGAAAACGACTGGGAAAGGAGACCATCTTCAATGTCGGAGGCCGGCGTCTCACAGTCAAACAAGTTGAACAACACGCACATAGATTTCCTCGAAGTTTGCACGAATTACTTGGTGCTTCTCCTCCTCCTCCTCCGCCTCGTGGGGTACATTATCGAACTCCGAGCCCACCTCCGCAGAGTACGGGTCCTACTCTATTACACTCTCAGAGTCAGGTGAGGATCGAGAAAAATGATCCTCAGTTTCCACCTGAGACACTCTCGGTCACCGGCGAAATGCCAACAAGTTCTGTATTGCAAGCCAATAGCACCGGTTCAACCCATCAAAGCCCCAGTTCCAAGATAACGAGCAGAAGAGACCTTTCGAGCGAAGTCGATCACCCTAGATACGCCCTCATTGCGCAGGATAACGATTCCGCGCCGACTGCACATGACGGTCAAGAGATTGTTGGAATCTCAAATGTGGCGCACGAAAGGGTGTTGTCTGGCAATGATCGCTGCTTACACTGCCAGAGGAGCGACCGTTCATGCTTTGTTAAACAGGGTGTCGTATTTTGCTTCTCGTGCTTTTGGGAGCCTGATCGGACAGAATATCTTGTCGAGCGCATAATTGCCAAGGGGAGTTAAATCTGCCCCGAGCTCACCCCCGATCGGGATCCGGGTGACGCCGCCTTGTGCTCACCTTTGTGCACCCTCTACTCACCCCCTGCTCACCCCTTACTCACCCTTTGCTCACCCCCTGCGCGCGAGCCGAAGAATGTACGTACGAGTGACTCACTCTCCGTGGGGCTTAATGGTTAAGGCGCCTTAAGGCGCGGATGGTGCGACGCTAGTAGGGCTTAGCTTACCGCGGCCATTAGAAATTATTATTGGTAATCGGCTTCGGCGCCTAAAGAGGCGTCTCGTTTAGAGTCCCTAGTAAGACGGAGGGTAATAAAAAGCGGCAACGTAGTAAGGACGTTTTCGTCCTTAACGGTATAGCGCCTTTAACTAGAGCGAGAAAAACCCCGTCCTACTCCTCGTTAACCGCCTATTAAGATTAGGTAGAGATAAGTAAATTCTACGACCTTAGGCTATATAGAGGGCGCTCCTACCCTCGCCGCTTTTACCTTTCGCTAACGATTAGACTAAGTACTTCTTATCGATAATCTTCTTTTTCTCGTTTTAGTTCGCCCCTATATTAACTCGACCTAAGCCTATAATCGCTATTATAATATAGGCTCTAAGTTATACTACTAGTACTTCTTATAGGAGACTAAGATATACGCTTATTTCGTAGTTATTAGTAAACCGCCTCCTATAGAGTATATAACTATTAAGCCTCGCTTAGAACCTACTAAGGTAGCTACCCTCCTCTATTCCGTTACCGTCGTACTTAACTAGGTAAGCTTCGCCTATATCTATTCCTAGCCTCTAACTTACGAACTCTCTTTATCCGCTCTCTTCTTCTTACTTAGAAGATTTTCTATAAGTACTTTCGGTCTAACGATATTACCTTCTATATTAAAAAACGAAGAGCTTCTAGCGTACTACTATTATAATCCGAGCTATAAGTAGTTCTAACTAAGGTAGGGTTTCTTAATAGAGTAGATACTAGCGTATTAACTAAGATAATAAAGGGAATATATAATCGTCGGACTATATCCTAAAACGTAGGTATAGGATTACTAACGAAGTTAACTACGAACTATACTATCTAAGTAAAGAAGTATATATATATAGTACTAGTCTAGACTATAGACTTACTTAGACTATCTTTATAGTCTATAGTCCTCTATAGTCTATTTCCTAGTTATATAATATAGCCTCGTTCTCTATCGGCTAACTTCCTTATTTCTCTTAAGTATAGGTAGCTTATCCTTAGCGACTCTTTCGGTAACCTAGTTCGTAATACTATTCCTTCTTCTTCCTATTCGTTACTATTAAGACTAAGCGATACCCTATTAACGCCTAGTCACGTAATTAGGCTTATATTAGCTAGGATTACGTAGTATCTATTTAGTAAGGCTATACTTAAGCCTTACGGAAGATTCTATAAAACGCTATTCTATTCTATAGGATTAGAAATTACTTAACTTAATTTCTAAGCATCCTAGGAGTTAACTCGTATTTACGAATACTTAGTAATTACTCTCGTACTTACGAGATATTATAACGGAGCCTACGCCTATATAAAATAGGCCTATACTCCTTTACTTAGATAGATCTTAAGTTATTTAATAAGATAGAAAGCGACTATATATTCTACTCCTTCTTTCTACGGTCTTCGGCTACTTCTATTATAGATCCTAAACCTTATCCTCCGGATAGGTTATAAGCCCGGATCGCTCTAGCTATTACCGATATCGACTTTCGTTATCTATAAGTACGAAAACCTTATAGAACTAATTCTATAAACGAAAATAGAATTAAACGCCTTTAAGTTCGCTAGACTAAAAGGCTCCTCTAATATCGAAATATAGACTATACGAATAGAAGCCTATTTAATTAAAAAAGGTCTAGGATCGACTATTAAAGAGCCTATACAGTCTACTAGAGCTACTAGTTCTACTAGCGATACTAATATAGAGCTCGAAAACTCTATTAAGGTATACGCTTTAATACGACTATCTCTAGAAGACGGCCCTTTAATATAGATAAAAGGCCTATAAATAGTACTAGAATTATAGAAAAAGCTTAAAGAGCTATACTAGCCTAAAGGCTTTTC